TCTTCTTCTTCTTCTTCTTCTTCTTCTTCTTCTTCTTCTTCTTCTTCTTCTTCTTCTTCTTCTTCTTCTTCTTCTTCTTCTTCTTCTTCTTCTTCCTCTTCCTCTTCTTCCTTGCTCACCCCCCGCACTTAAAGACTGAGGCTAGAAGCAGAAGTAGCGGCAGCAGCAACCGCAGGGAAGAAATCAGCCACCACTTGCACATGGCCATCGGACTGAAGGAAGGAAGTGATACAGAAACTTTGCAAAGACATTGATTGAGAGCTCTCTCCTTCTGTAGCTGGGTATCAAAAATTGGGGGTCCAGATTGCCGAGATTGCTGAAAATCTGCTGCAGGTGGACTTCATCTGTCCTGTCCGTCCGTCCGTTTGCTGTACTCGGTACCGCGACCTGGATTCCCCGCCCGGATGACCGACCCCTGGAAACAAACTGGTCATTTATCATGCTCACTCGGCATCCCCAGCTGCAGCTGGATCTGCATTCCGACCCAAAACCATGCCTCGAGTTCCCTAGTCCCTTTATGCCGCCGCCGAGGCGTGATGGCGGAGGCATCCTGTGTTCTTGGCTGCAGTTGTCCTCGATGGTAATGAGACTGAGTCTGATTCGGTCAGGCGGCGGAGGTTGGACCGCCACCAGAGGGCGCGCAGTCTAGCTTGCCGGAAGGTGGAGGAGGGAAAAAGAAGCGAAGAAATCAGTGAACCAAAGTCTATTATCGTGCTTCATTTTCGCATCAACAAAGATTCGCTTGGACGTCGTGAGAGAAGGATTGTTGGTTGGAGGGGGTTGATTCCGTCATGAAGAGCCACACGCAGCAGACATGATGTTCTGGGGTGGGCCGACCGTGTAGTAGCCATCGCCAGAATCGCCTTCAATGGTGGAAGAGTAGCCGTTGTTGCCGACAAAACTGCAGGGTCCGTATCCCGCCACGACGCCAATCTGGTCGATGGTGACATCGTTGCAGTCGCCGATCGCATAAGCAGGCAAGCCGAGACATTCGATGTTCCCTAGATCATACCAGGTACCGTCGGTAGGGACCCAATAGCCATAGGTCTGAGATCCTCCGACCATGACAACGTTGGTAGGCCAGTCTTCTGAGAAGGCTGAGTTGGTGAGGGGAGATCTAGGCCTGAGGAGCTTAGGATTGAGCGATTTCCTGACGACTGGATTTGCGGAGGCAGCGGTGAACAGCGAGATGGTAATCCATATGGATAGTACGCTAATAAAGTACATTCTGGGGTCTGCCGGACGTCAGTCTCGATGTAAGTCAACTATATCTAAGGAAAAGGGACGTACAGATGTCGAAGTATAGAAAATTTTGGCTGTAATAACCGCAATGATCCTTCTCTGGGGCCGATATTCTCTGATATGCACCGCTGATCTTCAGAGGCTGTCCTGGATCGAAAGTGACAAGACGCCACTCCCGGTGTCCTTCTAAGGGGGGTTTTAAAGCACTTCAACAGGCCCAAGAGCTATTCCTCCAATTGAAAATTCAAGTGATTGAAGGAAAAGGTTGTGAAGTCCAAGGGCAACGGTGTGACGTATTTGCCGTTTCAAGTGTATCCGGATGCTGTACGAGATTTCTTCAAAAGAGTGGCAAGCAAGGAAAGGGATTGCAGGACAAATAGTTTACAAGTTGGAATCCCGCCGGATCAGATTCCAATGCCACCTAGATACCCGGGTCCTGGAGTAACGAGTGTGAGGGACGACAAGGAGGTTTGCAAGGAGTTGAAGTCGCAAGGAGAGCCAGGCCAGAGGAGATATTCAAAACGCCTAGGTTGAAACGCCAAAGGGGGGCTCCTGGGCTGTCAATTGAGGTTCGAGCGGCGCACGACGATGCCAGTGGCCGCGTGGCGTCGATTGGGACCAACAGGAGGATTTTGGCCCAAAAGAAGCGAGCAGAGGCTTCTGCAAGATGGTTAGGCGGACTCAGCGAGCCAATATAGAGAGGGGCTAGAAAGCCCCCAGGCAAGACGATGGATACGGGTATAGAATCGATAGGTTTTCGAGAAATGTGTGCTCAAGGAAAGGATTGTCGTTGGCCGGTGCAGATCGCCTGACCACAATATTTTGCGATCATAAGTGTTCGGTGGCGTTTTGCGCGATGCGAACTCTTTGCAGGACACTTTTGGGATGGAATGGGACGGGCCACCAAGGTGGAGTAGTGGCTTGGATAGACTCAGTCTCTGGGAGTCCTGATGACTCGTAGGTACTGGTAGAGACTGCGGTGAACCCCAGCAAGATCAGAGCCGGGGCGGGCGCGCTCGCTGTGTGGCCAGCTCCTCTGCTCCTTTCTCATGTTCCCCCTTCCCTGTCGCCCGGGGTCTGCAATTGACTGGCTATACCTACTTGTACAGAAGTGAGAGGAGGAAAGGGACCCAGGAGGGTGGCGAGTGACTCACTGGGAAGCACCCGATTTGCTTTGGGGCCATCCATGTACCCCTTGCTCCCTGGTTTGGAGCTTGGGGCGTACCCATGAACTCTTCCCCCCTGGTCAATGGAACCTTATGGGCGGACCCAGTTGTCGCTCATCACGGACGGAACCTGCAGAACGTGGCGCGGAGAAGCCAGAGCACCAGTAGCAGCGCAGAACTGTCTCGCCCAGGCGGTGGAGCCGGTTCCCTTGCAGCTCCGACCATGTCTCGCCAGTTCTTGTGTTCGACAAGGTTCGCACGATGTACGAGAGGCAAGCAGAAGCAGTGGAGCGGGGCAATCCTTGGAGGTGCCGTGAGTTCAAACTGCATCCAGAGCGGTGGTGTGTGTGTTTGTGTGTGTGGTGTCACGCAGAGACGGATGACCGTCAGGACTGTGTCTGTGAGGCGGTTGCTGAGGGAGCAGGCGGGGTAGAGGCTGGGTAGAGTTTGAGGTGTTGGTCTGTGTGTGAGAGACTGAGGATAGCAGGTTTGTAGCGTAGCACGAGAAAAACTTGCACCGACGTCCAGTCGCTGGCGCCACGCTCCAGAGTTGGTCGAGTGACTTGCAGAGAGTCAACGGCTATGTAAGACCTCGCCCTGGTTCGCTTGCTTACGAGTAGCTAGCTAGGCACGGTAGGTACCTCTGGGCGACAATACAGCTACCGGGCTTGCCTAGCGAGCGCACTATTTGCACCCCCAAACTTACCTCGGTAGCTTACCTGCGTGCCTGGCCCCCTACCTAGGTATCTGTATATGCACCCGCACCCAGATACTTTCATCATCATGCCACTGCATTTTTACCCGGCTGTGTTCAATTGCGATATCACGATGTGCTATTGGAGTAAGGCACTGTTGTTTGTATGCTCAAGCTGACAGCGTCTCTTGCAACATACTACCGCGTAATGGAGGTCAAGATCCGACACAGAGAACCTGTTGTACCCGGCAAGTATGTACTATTCGGTAGAGCTCTTCTGCACCGGCGCAAGCAAGATCCAAGACAAGCGCAGGTCTAGGGCATCAATAATGGATCGCCCCCATCGGCGGGCGATGGCATTCTCTCTCCGATGTTTTTCTGCAGCCAACTACCTGAGCTGGCGCGGGTAGCTACCTTGCCCAGTGAGAGACGGCGATTTCGTTAGCCTTGCAGCTATATCAGATCCGGCGTCACGGACAATACTGGGATCATGTCCTCCGTAGTCTAGTTTCACACCGGACAACCAAGCTACCTGCGAACACAAATAGATGTGCACTTGTGTGCACGAGGTAGCACGCCATTTCAAGACACAGTTCCACCCTGCCTTACGATCAAAAGAGGTCCGTGGATTGCATTTCGTCATCATTGAGCTGGTAGTTGGTGGGAGTACCAAGGAGCTATCAAGCTACGCATGTCCACAAGCTTGAGGGTCCCAGCTCCTGTCGCAAACGGTATGTTGCCAGGTAGGAAGAACCACCGCTCTCCGGCATTGACTCGATAAAATATGCAAGGCCAGCACCACGCGCAGAGCCAACTCTCCTCTCTGCCAGGCTAACAAGACCGAGCCTGCTCGCCTGTTAGATATGTATTTATCCTTCCGTTCCTCTTATCTGCCCTCATGACAACACGTGCACTTCGTAGAATTTGTTGTGTTTGGTACACCACATCAAGACGGAACACGACGGCATCCATGGCCGAGCACCTGCTCCTCCCGAAATCCCTTCTGACGTGTATGGCAATGTCTTGAAAGGTGGTATCTCCATATATCTTTCAATTCCTGCCCTGCTTGGATTGGGCTCCGGGTGGGTCTCTCGATAAGATCGAGAATGGGGTGGGATTTGCCACGCTTTGCTGCTGTTTTGGCTGATAAAGTATCTGGTCGACATGCTCTGATATGTGCTGTACGGGATTGCTGCACCACCGAGCTCTTCCTCATCAACCATCATTTGGGTGTCCACGGATTCTTCAAGGGAAGGGTTGCAGGACGTCAGAGAAGGGTTGTGCAGTCCGCTCCGGAAATTCCACTGCTGCTCTGCTGGCCGACTATGAGATGGCTGAGTATTGTGATGAAGGGCCCGAGTTGTCACCTCGACGATGTGGGACACTTCGCACTTGTGAAAGGTATATTCTGCGTCGTCGGCACACTCGAGGAACGTTCGAAGCTGAAGGTTCATCAAGTGGCGGCCGGGATTGACAAAACTGCGAGGCAAGTGAGCAGGGTTGCTTTCTGCCACGGGACAGCAGAAAAGCGGTGGTCGACTGATCAGTGGTGGAAGTGCAAATGCGGTACGAGAGTTGTTGCCGTTTGGGCTGTCCTTGTGTGTGTTGCCGTTCGATGAAGGCCAGATGACCCCGGAAGGCGCCATTTTCGGGTGATTGTTGTCAAGGCGGCAACAGCAAGGTCGGAACGAGGCTGGATGGAAACCAGGTCAGTTCTTGAGGAGAAGAAGGCAGAGCGAAATGATAAGGGGCGATTGGAGCCGCCGTTGTGAGTTTACTTACAGAGTCGTCTGTTGATCAAGTTCGAAGTCAAGGATCAACTGAATTAGAAATGAAAAGTCTCGCAGCTGTCCAGAGAGGAGTGAAGTCGCTTTCAGCAGTTGCTAGTTGGGGTTTTATCATAACATTGCCGCTCCTTGCTTTGACCTCATCCAGTGCACCAGGCCGACATACAGGTGTAATCTGTTTGGCTCCAGCATTAAAGGCCTTTTTCGGCAGCCTGATTCCCCGAGTTGTCTCGTTTCTCTATGCCAATGCACCTGCCACACTTCCGAGAACGCCCTTGTATACATCCCTTACTGGTTTTGCACAACTTGTATGTTGTTTTTCTTCTGTACTCATGCATCAGCGAGAGTCCGAGAGTTGCACTGGTCTCAAACTCGCCTTCCACTTGTCCATCTCATCTTGCTTGCTCTTGTATTGTTTGAGTAGTTCTTCCAAAACCTGCTTGAGTCCGTCTGAATTGGTCTTAAGGGCGGGAAGGACGTCCTTCACTGTTCTCTCGACAAGGACCCCGTTTATCAGTCGGAAGCATTTGCGATCTTGAGGCAGTGGTTGAAGTGTTTCCATCACAAGTCTACCCGGGACCGACCGTCAGAATACACATCTCTTGTCTGAAAGACAACTACAACGCTATTGACATGTAGTGACAAGATGGATATGACTGACTTGTGTTCCTCTATCTCTTGTTCGATCTCGCCTACCTTCTGCGCAAGCGACTGAAGGGTATTTTTGTAGTTGGTATATTGCGATTGCAAGTCTAGTGTTCTCTTAGCGGCAGCGCCGAATGTATCAGGGTTCTATTTACCTTGCTGTTTCCTCAGAGCTGTTTCCTGCCCTGACGCCATTCTGTCGACATTAAAAGACACAAAAAGTTACATGTTGTTGGGTTGCGGAGGCGGGGATGCAAGTGGACAGTTACTCGTGTGCGCCGCAAGGCTCCCGCATAAACTCCGGCCAAACTTTTTCTTGCACCGCAGGACGTTCAGTGGTTGACTCTGTGAATCAACCTACGTCCACTCATCTCCTGCCACCACGACACACCTACCAAACGATATCTAGTTCCGGCACCTCCTCCCTCCGAAATAATGGAGCGCAGTTATAGTCCAAAGCGGCGGAAACTTGCAGGAGGTTTCCAATCTGCGCAAACCGATTCGAGCGACGATCTGGGCCCATCCCTCAAGCCTCAATATGCATCCAAAGGCCGTTCCGCAAGGCCATCTGACCGAAGCCATAGCCGCCTGCGCCATTCAAAGCCGCATCAACAAGAGTTTGATGGCCCGGAGCCTTTCTTCAACGATGAGGACACTGCAGCAATGGACCGGGACTGGTACACCGGAGACGAGTTTGGCCACACCTTCGGTGACGAGACGCACAACCCTTTCGGTGGCGCAGATGCTACTTGGGCAGACAAGCAACGCGAGCAAGCACTGTTGGATAAGAAGTTAGGCAAGAGAATGACGGCCAAGGCAGCGCAGAAGCAGAAGGAGGTTGATGCCTGGGAAGCCAATCGAATGCTCACATCCGGAGTTGCGCAAAGACGAGATCAAGTTCAGGACTTTGATGACGACGATACTGTCAGAGTACATCTACTGGTGCATGACCTCAAACCTCCATTTCTAGACGGGAAGACCGTCTTCACAAAACAGCTCGAACCGGTGCCAGCAGTGCGGGATCCTCAGAGTGACATGGCCGTCTTCAGTCGGAAGGGGAGTAAGGTTGTACGAGAAAAGCGCCAACAAAAAGAGCGGCAGAAACAGGCACAGGAAGCCACAAATGTTGCTGGTACCGCTTTGGGCAATATAATGGGTGTGAGAGAAGATGAGGGAGACAGCGCTGCTGCGGTACCGGGCGAGGACAGCGGCAAGAGCAAATTTTCTGCCCATCTCAAGAAGAGCACCGGGAGCTCTGCATTCAGCAAAAGCAAGACATTAAAGGAGCAAAGAGAATATCTCCCAGCTTTTGCCGTGAGGGAGGAGCTAATGCGTGTTATTCGAGACAACCAGGTCATCATTGTCGTTGGCCAAACCGGCTCGGGGAAAACAACACAACTGACTCAATTTCTCCACGAGGAGGGCTACGGTAAGCAAGGCTTAATTGGATGTACACAGCCTCGACGAGTCGCCGCTATGAGTGTTGCCAAGCGAGTGAGTGAGGAGATGGAAGTCGAGCTGGGCGGACTAGTAGGATATGCCATCCGGTTTGAGGACTGCACAAGCGATGAGACGGTGATCAAGTGTAAGTTGTACCATTACTTCTCCGACAAAATATTGACAATGGTGCAGATATGACAGATGGTGTACTGCTTAGAGAATCCCTGACTCAACGAGATCTAGACAAATACTCATGCATCATTATGGACGAAGCTCACGAACGCGCTCTCAACACCGACGTCCTAATGGGTCTGATCAAAAAGGTTCTTGCCCGACGCAGAGACTTGAAATTGATTGTTACGTCTGCCACTATGAATTCGGAGCGGTTCTCTCGCTTTTATGGAGGAGCACCGGAATTCATCATCCCGGGCCGTACGTTCCCCGTTGACATTCAGTTCTCACGTTCGCCGTGTGAAGACTATGTCGACAGTGCTGTCAAGCAAGTTCTCGCCATACATGTCTCCCAGGGTGCCGGAGATATTCTCGTCTTCATGACAGGCCAAGAGGACATTGAGGTAACTTGCGAGTTGATCGAAGAGAGACTCCGCCTGCTTGTTAACCCCCCGAAACTCATGGTGTTGCCGATATATTCCCAAATGCCTGCAGATCTCCAAGCAAAGATCTTTGATCCTGCCCCGCCCGGTGTCCGTAAAGTCATTGTTGCAACCAACATCGCAGAAACTTCACTGACCGTGGATGGGATCATGTACGTTGTCGACTCTGGGTTCTCCAAGTTGAAAGTTTACAACGCCAAAATGGGAATGGATACGCTGCAAATCACCCCAATCTCGCAAGCGAATGCCTCCCAACGAGCTGGCCGCGCTGGTCGCACTGGACCCGGCAAAGCGTTCCATCTATACACTGAGCAAGCGTTCAAGAACGAGTTGTATATTCAGACGATTCCCGAAATTCAGAGGACCAATCTCGCAAATACGGTACTGCTTCTCAAGTCACTTGGCGTCAAAGACTTATTGGACTTTGATTTTATGGACCCTCCGCCACAAGACACAATCACCACCTCCCTCTTCGACCTGTGGGCACTGGGGGCGTTGGACCACGTCGGCGACCTGACATCAATCGGCCGCACCATGACCGCATTTCCGATGGACCCTTCGCTTGCGAAGATGCTTATCACATCCTCTATCGAATACGACTGCAGCGAGGAGATGCTCACCATTGTCAGTATGCTATCGGTACCATCTGTGTTTTACAGGCCGAAAGAGAGGCAAGAGGAGTCGGATGCAGCGAGAGAAAAGTTCTTCGTGCATGAGTCGGATCATCTAACGCTTTTGCACGTGTACACTCAGTGGAAAAGTAACGGATACAGTGACGGTTGGTGTGTTCGGCACTTTTTACATCCTAAAGCGCTACGCCGTGCGAAAGAGATCCGGGAGCAGTTACACGACATTATGGTTGGCCAGCAAAAGATGGAACTCGTTTCGTGTGGGACAGACTGGGATATCATCCGGAAGTGCATCTGCTCAGGGTACTATCACCAGGCCGCCCGTCGACGAGGAGTCGGAGAGTACATCAATCTGCGCACTAGCGTCACAGTCCAGCTTCACCCTACCTCTGCTCTTTACGGACTTGGAGATCCGCCCGATTATGTCGTCTACCACGAACTGATCTTGACTAGCAAGGAGTACATGAGTTGTGTCACGGCGGTGGATCCACATTGGCTGGCAGACCTCGGCGGCGTCTTCTACAGCTTAAAATCAAAGGAGTACAGTGCTAAGGATAAGAGGATCATTGAGAGCGAGTTCAACCGGAAGATGGAGATCGAGAGACAAATGGCCGAAGATCGAGCAAAGGAGGAAAGGAGACGCCAGGAAGATGAAGAGAAAGAGCGACTGTTTATCGGAAGGGCCAAAGGTAGCGGAACCGTGGTTAAGAAAATGGGCAGCAATGGAGTGGTCAAGAAACCGATAGTCCCCAGACGGCGCATGGGGTTTTGAGCGTTGTGTAATAGCAACTCTTCACATTGGTATGAATATGATATACGAGTTTCTGTCACTGGTTAGACTCCCCGAACCATGATGCCGTATTGCAGTCACATGTAGGGGAGCTGCGAGGAACGTATGCTGGACAAACAGAAGTGGGCAACCATCAACCCATCCACAGCCTCACAGCCTTGTGCAGGTTGACTCGAGGCTGAGAGGGTCGGAGCACGCTAGTATAATCTGGGAATAGCGCGTGAGTCGCCAAGTCTTTTCCCCTTTTCCTCACCCGCCGCCGCTTCCTGTTCAGTGGGTGCATAGACCTGTATCGAATCGACCCCTGCCACCATATATTCGCAACCGCGACTCCTACCGGTACACCATAGGACGGAAGGATGCTGGCAGTCTTTCTGTCCAGATTGAAGCCAAGAGTGGTTGAGAAGGGCTTCAAGCTGGATGATACCTACAACGACAGCCCTTCACCGTTTGCATCCAGTCTCCAATAGCCATGGCGCAGTAAAATATCAGCTCGGAAAGGCTGCCTGTGCGTCGCAAAGACACACGCTCTAGTCGCCCGTCTGTGCTGGCTTGGGACACTGCCGTATACCCCGGTGTCGCTCAACGGAGTGAACGAAATAGCGCAGTGCCGTCGTCCTTAGCAAGGTGAGTCTTTGATCACGCAGCAAGAGAGCCGACTTGGGAGGACTCTGTCTTCACCATGTCGATACTGCTTTTCCTCTTTCTCTCCATCGCCAACTATACAATCTCAACAACTGCTGACAACCATGTCCCCAGGCGGCGAAAAGAAAAAGTCCCTTAAGGACAAGGCTCCAGTACCCCTTTGTAAGTCGTCCCGACGGTCCAGATGATCATTCATCGGCGTTCGCGCCATCGGCGCTGGGAGATGCAACCGGCGAGATGACGTTGATCTGACGGAAAAGTCCCGGGACCCAAGAGGGAGGGACAAGCTAACGCAAGACAGCATCTCCGTACAGTCGCGGCGCCGTCGAACAGGAGTGTTGCCTTTCGCAGACACCTCCCTCTCCACCCTCTTCGTCCAGGTCGACAAGTACCGCATATTATAGCCAACCTCGACCCGGACAATCTCCTTTCTTTGCAGGCTCCCGAAGAGAATACCGTCCCAGTGGGCTTCCACGTCGTCATACACATCTCGGCAATCGAAATTCATCGTCTGGAAGCAAACGTCTTCCAGAAACACCCGAGTCTGCCGTCGCAACTTCGCCAGACCTTTCAACCTTAGCTTCGCCCCTTGTAAGTGGAACAAAGTGCAGTAGCGGCGCTTTATCGTCCTCCGCTTTCTCATCACACTCTTCGCCAACACCGCTCAACGAGAAGGACTCCAGTCCTCCACTCACTCGCGCGCCAAGACGAGTTCTCCGTCCAGACAATTGGTGGCAGAAGCACAGCAGACAGCCTCCAACTGACCCTGGGTCTGCCAGACCTCCTCTTCTTCCTGACAAGTCTCCACTCCGACCCAGTGAAGACTTTGCAGCTCCCCCACCGCTTCCTAAGAGATCACCTCTACGACCGGCAGGGCTTCCACTTTCACGTGAGCCTGCAGCTGCTCACCGCACTTCTGCTGTACAGTTTGAGTCCGAGCCGCAGGAAGATACAGCTCTCTGGGAAGAGCTATCTCCGCCTCCACTTTGTGTTCGAAAGACCAGACCCCCAGTAACTCCAGCACGAACTGAACCTGAAGATCGGCCTCGAAAGACTCTTGTTCCCCCAGATTGCGAAGGCGACCTTAAAACTCCAGAATCAGAGTACACACCACTCACCCGCGAATTTGTTCTCCGACGCCTCCTTTCAGAAGAGTCATTCAACGAAGCGACAAAGACCCGCTTTGCAAGGCGAGACGAAGAGGAATTACCACCTGAAGTCATTGCACACCGTAAAAAGACCCTTGAAATCCTTGAATCCTCTCCGGAAGCGAGTGAGCCCGATACTCAGTTGAAGAGAACCAATACTTTCAAACAACGACGTCGAGCGGGCGCGACTTTCACAATGGACAGTCTCCATCCTGATTCCGCTGCAGCTATGACTGCTCACCGACGGGAGGCGGTTCGTCTTGCCCAGGAGCAACAGCGAGCAGTTGTGGAAAAGTGCAAGAGATCCAAGCAGCTTGAACCTGACTATGCTTTTGATGAGTTAATTGGGAAAGGTAGCTTCGGTAGAGTGTACAAAGGGTGAGTCATTTTGAGGTTTCCGGCCTTCGGCTTCCCTCTTCTGACTTGTCTCATAGACGTCAACATTCCACATCAAAGGTCGTTGCCATTAAAGTTCTCGATGTCGATGAAGCGGATTTTCATGCCTTTGGTGATCATAAGGACGAACAGATCCGAGACTTCAACCGGGAAATTAGGATCCTGCGACAAGCCCAAGAGAGCGGAGCAGAAAACCTCAACCAAATGATCGAAGCCTTGCCCGTGCATAGTCAGCTGTGGTTGGTGTGTGAATATTGTCCTGGCGGTAGTGTCAAAACTTTGGTGAGTTTTCGTGATTTTGTGCAGTTTGGTCCCTGAGCTTGCGGAAACCTGTTGCTAGCCTGGGACAGTGAGATTGATGTTGTTGTCTTCCGCTACCATGCACCTTGGGAGTCTCGATGTCTGGAAGCTGCAGTGTTGACTGATATTTGACGCTGCAGATGCGAGCTACCAACGACAGACTTTCCGAAAAATATATCATAATTGTCGCAAGGGAATTGGCAAAGGCTCTAAAAGGCCTTCACGAAGCAGGCATCATGCACAGAGATGTCAAGGGTACGTTTCATTCCTTTACATTGCATGAGATTCTCCGTCTGCCTTCCCTCCTTTTCGGCACACTGATCGAGTATTAACCGTCTGTGTTTCCTCCAGCTGCCAACGTCCTCATTCACCAAGAAGGTCGCCTGGAACTCTGTGACTTCGGGGTTGCCACAATCCTTGATACCCAAACAGACAAGAGAAAGACCTTCATAGGAACTCTACACTGGATGCCGCCGGAGCTGTGGACGGAAAATCCTGAGTACTCAGATGAGGTAAGTTCCCGAAATGGTGCGCTTGCAGCTCTATTTGCCAATACACGTGTACTTGGTTGTTCGAACGTTAAGGCTAACGTAATTGCTAGGTCGATGTATGGGAATATGGCTGCACAATCTATGAGTGTGCTATGGGACGGCCACCAAATAGCGATCTACGCGAACGTCAACAGCTCAAGATGAGGATGCGACGCCTGAAGCAGGCCATTTCCCTCCCAGAAAATGAGGCTTTCAGTGACGGTCTACGTTCACTTGTGTCCTACACACTTACTCCTGATGCCACCACGCGACCATCGATGAAGGATGTTCTTCAACACGATTTCCTGAAAGACACCGAAGCAACGCATCCGACAAGCATGCTCACCGAGCTCGTTCAAACATATTACGGATGGCTATTCAGTGGCGGCCAAAGAATTTCTCTATTCATGCCCGGTGGTGCGGCGGCTGCTTCTGCCCAAGGCCCCGATGCCGACATCGATTCCGACGACGAGTGGAACTTCAGCATGACTCAAGATTTCGAAAAACGCGTCTCCGCAATCTTGGAGATACCAGATTTCCCGAGCTTTTCGCCCAGCGAAACCATGACAGGAGAAGAAACGCCCAAAGGATTGACCGCGCCCGGCGGTCTCTCACCCCCCCAAGAAATGACAGCAGCTCAGAAGGCCAACTTCGAAGCCCGCGTCAAGCGAGGAGCAGACCTCTCAAACATATTTGACCAGAACAAGCCTGCATACGAATACAAGACCAAAACCGATTTTATTCCAATCCCTGAACAGCGTCGAATATCCGACTTACCGTTCCGAGCCATGGCAGAGGACCGGCCAAGCTCTATTGCATCCAACGTGATTGATCTCGGAGATTTTGATGAAGCCGACTATGCAGTAGCAGCTGCCCCAAGAACGGATGACAAAATCCAGACCGCCTACGCTGCCGCGCCCATGAAAGAAGAGACCATCAGACTTGCGGATGCATCTACCCTTCGGGAGAAGCGGGCGAATTCGAAAGGTCCCCGGGATCCCAATGGCCAATCTCTTACCGCCAGAAGAGCCTCATCCGCTGAGGTTGTTGCGCCCTCAAGCACATCTGCGCATGACTTTGCAATGTCGCAGGAGGAGTGGACTGTTAAGAACAGAACTAAAGCCCCTGAACTGCAAGAGCCAGCCGAAATCACATCTTCTCGTCCCGGCCACGCGACGATGGATTGGTCCTTCGCTAGCGCCATGTCCGAGGCTGCAATGACAATCCCACAAATCAACGTGCCATCCGAAGAAGACTCGACGAGCAGCCATGATATCCCAGGCCCGCCGGAAGAGGAGGCCGAGGCAGAAACCAATTTCAACCAAAAGACGAAGAAACACAACACAATGGACTGGTCTTTCTCATCCGCCATGGCTGAAGCAAAAGTTGCTGAAGACTATGAAGAGCAAGAAGCCGTGGAATCGTCTCCTCCACCTACTCCTTTCACATACCAGAAGCCTGCTGCCGGCCCCAGACCGACACCAACCCGTCCAGCCCTGTTATCGCGCCAGATGACTATGCCTGTCACGATCGGCGACTTTGTACAAGCTGAAGAACAGGAGATTCCTCGGCCGTCAACCGCACTATCCGAAGCATACAGTGATGTTTCAGCCTCGTCCACGGATGTGGACCCATTCGGCCTTGAACGCGACGACGACGACGGAGATCATCCGGGCCCTGCCACAATGGACGAAGACGTCAATATGGGTGGATTCTACTCGGGGAGAGGGAGGACGATGCTCTCCGGGTATTCCTCGGCAACAACCACACCGTTGACGGCTTCTGGGCCAGGTCCGGCCCCTTATGCCTTGGGACGCCCGGCACGAATTGGCGAAGACGGGTTTCCTGGGCCCAGCCACTCTCACCCGGCAGCACCCAACATGCACCGGGCCTCCAATTCGTCGGTCACGTCCAATGCAACGGCAATCCCGGCAGGTGGTGTCCAAGGCCCCCTCGTCGCCTTCGTCCCGCCTGCATCTCCTCCTAGCACGGCCGCGATGTCCGCCTACGCCTCGAATGAGGAGGTTGAGGCGGAGCTGATGCGCCTGCTGGAGGGGATGCAGGGGACGTTGAATGCGGCGAGGGAGGTCGTCGGTGGACTTGAGAGGAGGAGAGTGAGGGGGGAGGAGGAATGGGTGTCGGAGGAGGAGTAGGGGAGAGGGCCGGAGCTGGGGGTGGACGACGCAATGACAACGACAGTTCAGACGAGAGAATTTATCCATTCTTCTTTGTTTTCGGCAACCTGTGCATATCTTTCCCAGTGCCGTCATTGTCCCGTGCAGTATGTGCTCGGAGACGTCTCGTCTCTAGGGCCCGACCAAGGCGTGTGCTCAGCACCGTTTAATTTGGTAGGTTCGGGGTGATACTCCACATATCAGAGGAATATGGCTATACATACTAATACAGCCTACTCCACCGTTCTACGCATCTCGCTTGCCGACCTATGTATTTGTGTCGATAGGTAGGTAGGTCCTCCGATAGGGAATCCTCTTCGCCGAGGTCTATCGCAGTGATCCCATCGAACACGAATCCCAACGACAATCAAAGCAATGTCGTTGATGATGACGGATAACGACGGCCGAGCTAGGACTGGATGAGGGCGAAGATGAGGATGGCGATCCAAGACGACGATCGGACCCTTGGAGATTGGAGAATGAATCAGAGATGCGCGATGAGGGTCAGGATCGAGATTTAGATCAAGATGGGAATTGAAATGGCCGATGCACAGGGTCAAAGAATGACGAGCTCCTTTTTCCACGGTGCATGTCGAAGTGCATATCGAAGCGAGCGAGTCTCTGCAAGGGTCGTCGATCAAGTCGAGTCCATATTAGGACCTATGTAGGTAGGTAGGTAGGTAGGTAGGTAGTATATGCCCACTCGTCCTCAGAGGTATGTACCACGCACGATCCACCGGAGCCATCAGAGCCATCAGATAGATCCATCCATCCCTCCATCTAGACTAAGCAAGCCTGAGAGAAACCGTCGAATCGCAATGTCGAACTGGACTCCCGTGCACGCCCTTTGCCCGTCGTTGACGGCATGATACCCCCCGTACAGCAACTACTATGTAACTCCTCCCCCTTTTCTTTTTCCTTCCATATTCGGCCGCGTCTCCTCTTCCTCTTCTAGATCCTTTGGCGTCCTCTTGAGACATTCATTGCTTCTTCTTCTTCTTCTTCTTTTACATCGCGATCGGCTTGTCTGGCCCACCTCCATCGCCTTTCTTCTTCCTCTCTGCTGCCTCCTCATCCCGAGATCCTCCCCCCTTCTCTCCTGCCGTTGCGATGGTCCAGTAGCGATTCGTCTCCCTTCGCTTCTTCTAGCCCAAGGAACACCTCGGTGGGAGGGGTGTCTGTTGTGCTTTTCTTGCCCGCGAGTTCGTGCGTGGTGGCGTCTGTCAGTCGGTGAATTCAGTTTGATCGGGGTGATCCATCGGTGTGCCACTGGCGGGCAGAAAGATAGCTCGGAAGCGCGATAGGTGCCGGAGGAATGCAGAAAGGTAGCTTCGTGGTGTGCCCATCGCTCTCTCGCCGGCTCTCTGCTCAACTTAGTCCTGCACAGGCCCAGGTCGGGACAGGGTAGAGGTGAACTGTGAAGGGCACCCGCCCGGTCCCCGTAGCTCCCATCAAGACCATCAGCCGGATCCTTCTCGCTTTTCTTCTTCGACTCCCTTCTCGACTAGAACATCCATCCTGCATACCATGGATAGCATGCACACGTAGTGCCGTAGCGCCGTAGCACCGTAGCACCGCAGCATGGCCACGTCTGATAACGGCCTGTACCTGGCCCCTCGCTGCTCGGCTGGTGAGACATACATGCGCGAAACGAGGTCGTCGATAGAACTTTCGATTTCAGGGCCGTCGCTGCACAGGGGTAATATCCCATGTTTCACGTTCACACTCACACTCACATTCACATTCACGACCGCAGTCTGATTTTTCATCTTTTGTATTATCAGTACCCCCTTGAAGCAGTACCAGTGTATATATATCTCGGGCGTTGAGCCGTGGTATCAATTGAAATGAAAAGAAGAGAATGGGTGGTCACAAACATTACGAGCGGGGTGGCTTGGTTGGTGGTCGGTTGGGTTGGGTTGGGTCGGGCCAGGGGGGTATATCTCTCAGAAAGCAACACGCATGCATATTGTCCACAACATCCAGTCTTTGCTGTTACAACATCCCACAGCACACCGCAAAGAACACAACACAACACAACACACACACGCTTGTTCTTTAGCGCGAAGAATGTCTATCCTGCTTTTGCTGCTCCCCAAGGTGCAAAGAGTGACTTTGGTTGTCACAGGGTTCCACATCGTCCGCCTTGTACGAGCCTTCCCCCTTTAAGTGTCGCATATCTCCTGTTTCCAAATATCCCAAACAAAAACATTAGATGCCATTCTCGCCGTTCAATCCCCGGTCCTCAGGAATCTTCTCGTTCTCCATGCCCTGAAGGTTGGGGGACTTGGTCGAACGCTTGAAGTAAGACGAGACCTCGGAGTGGAAGTCGTCGTCGTCCTCAGCCAGAGCAAGGTCGTCGTGCTCCTTCTCCTCGACTCTGGATTGCATGCGGGCCTCCCACTCGCCACGCATCTCCTCGATGCGTTGCTTGAAGTCGAGCTCGGCGTCATAGGGCTTGCCGACGCCTCGGAGGCGCTCCCACAAGCTGAGATGCTTGGAGTGGATGGCAATTCCGTGGTAGTCCTTCTCGCGGCCGGCGCGGATGTAAGCCCAGCGGCGCTCCTGCTCCTTGAGATCGAGGCCGGTGGTGTCGGGCATGAAAAGGACGTTGATGATGACACCGGCAAGACCGAACCACGGGACGACCCAGAATTTGGTCTGGGTGGACCAGTAGCTGTAGCCGACAGCGGCGGTCAGAGCGCCCAACTTACCGACGGCAGCGGAGAAACCGTGGGCGGTGGCACGGACGGCGACAGGGTAGACTTCGGCGGCGGCAAGGAAGGTGACACAGTTGGGGCCGAATTGCTGGAAGAACGAGGACAAGAAGTACATGGTCTGGAACTCCTTGATGTGGTCACGAGAAGTGTAGTACGAGAGCTGGGTGCCGGGAATGATGAAGAAGATGAAGTCCATCAAGAACCCGAGGGATTGCATGTGCTTGCGGCCGTAGAGCTTGTTGTCAACCAGGAAACTGGCCAAGTAATAACCGCAAAGCGACACACCGACGTTGATCAGGTTGTACAACCAGCCGGGCATGATGGATTTGGTGTGAGGCATGATGACGCTGATGAATTCGCTCTGGAACAACTTGTTGCCGTAGAAAAAGACGTCGTTCATGTACCACGTGCCAGCGGTGGCGATGACACGGCCACCGAAGTAGTAGAAGGTCAGCTTGAGCGACTCGACGTCGTAACCGGTGACGGCGTTCTTCTTCTTGGCGATTCTCAATTGTCGGTTGGCGCCGGCCTTGACCTTGAAGGTACGGAAGTAGATCAGCCAGGCGGTACCAACCGCCGGGATGGCAAAGGAGACACGGTAGGTGTATTGAGCAGCGACCTTGGAGTACGGGGCGTTGCCACTACCGTGGTGGAAGATCAAGAGCAGGATGATGAGGATGACCTGGTTGGCAAATTGACCCCAACCTTGCATCAAGAAGGCGCTGACGACTTTGCGGCCTCGGTGCAGACGATCCTCTCGAGTCGAGACTTTGCCGGATCCGACAGCGTTCTCCATACCAGAGGTGGCAGTCATGGGATATTCACCACCGACACCGATGCCGTAGAAGAAGAGAGACCAGGCGTAGCAGATGACCCATCCGTTCTGGGTGACACCCCAGGCGCAGACCAGCATGATGAGACCGATGAACATGATGGTGGCATCCTGGATCAGACCCCAGCGACGGCCGATCCAGTCACCAATGATACCGACGAGGATTTGACCACAGATGATACCGCAGATTTCGAGGTAGTCGATGGCGTTGATCCAGGTCTTGCTGCAGATCTTGTTGGATTTCCAGCAGTCCGGGAAGGCGGCTTGGAAGAGGGGCTTGATGTTGCCAATGGAGAAGAGCACGTAACCTTCGAGACCGAGACCAGCTCCGGGAAGAACCATGTTGCGCAGGTAGAAGCCGACGGGAGCGAGGGGGTCGTTCTTGAAGATCTGCCAGAAGGCGGCAAACTCTCTCTTGGTCTCCTGGTGGTTGACCTTGTTGACGAACTTGACTCGCTTCAAGATGGGGAGGTCGGCCCAGTAGACGCCGTTTTCGTCATACAGGTCGTCGGGCTTCAGGAGATATCGGAAGACCTCCTTCTCGTTGGTTGTCATGTCGATGTGAGGGTCCTCAAAGGGAGCGTGAGTGCCCGAGACATCGGGGCCATGAGGGGGGTTGGGCCCATATCTTGTGACCTCGTCCTCTCCGTTGCCAGCCATGGTGTATCAATCAATGGAGGTATACCCAAGGATAGAACACAGAGACACAGGGCTGTGCTGGCGGAGGATGGAAGTAAGAGGTGTTGTTGATAAGTAGTTGAGGTTGGCAAAGGGGAAAGAAAAGTTAAAAGAAGGGTACCCGCGTTTTTATGGGAAACCCAAGTGGCACTAGAAGCTTGTGTAGAGAAGCGGAGAGGCGACCCGAAAAATAAGGAACGATCTTGACGACAGCCAAGGCAGCTCGACGATTGGCCAAAGCTTGACAGTGGCCGGACATGGGCTAAGCAACAGGCCACAAGCCCCAGGCCATGGTATAAAAAGGCTTGTCGCACGGAACTGACGGATGGCTTGCAGGGGACAAGTGATCCAATCGACACGCCTTGAATGGGAGCTGGCAACGGGCGAACAATACCAAAAGCAGGCGCGAGAGAGCCACGAGTAGCAACGGGCTCGATTCATTCGTCCACAAGCGACGGCCAGGGCACACGATGGACGTGCAGCGTGCCGACGTTATTGGTATCGGGGCAGGCAAGGGTCATCGATGAGATTAGAGGGGGGGCGAGTGCTGCAGGCGGATGATATGACTTGTTGGGTTTAAGCCGGTCTGCACGATAAGAGGGCTAGACGAAGGCTACCGTGGGAGGGTCGTAGGGTTGTAGGGTTGTAGGTGGAGCGATGGGCGATGGTCGGATGGAGAATGCTCATCAGCAAGTACGAGGAATGAGCCATTGCCGACAAGGGTCATCATAAGCGGGACTGGGAGGAGTTGAAGAGGGAACGTGGAGTGTGGTGCGTGGTGCGTGGTGCGTGGTGCGTGGTGCGTGAGAGGATGTGTCTCGAGATTGAACTGCTGGGCGGCAAGAGGCGACGGCGCAGGCAATGAACGAAGCCAGAGGAAAAAAGAAGAAAAAATCAAATTAACATTCGACGCCATTCGGCAAGTCCAAAAGTCCACAATTCATGACGGAGATACACACTTTTGTGCTTGACACGCGACAAAGTTTGGGCCACAGCTTCTTGCCAAGGCACGTGTTTTATGTCATTGAAATTCAGCATACGAGCCCCCCCCAATGCATCCAATGCATCGAGTATCAAGGCCATCATCGTGGTTGTTGCCGTCGAGCGACTCGAGCGACCAGACCAGCCGTCACCTCTCTCTGTCTCTCGACTCGTACATGCATGGGGTGGCTACATGGATCGGTGATGGTCTGCTGGTCTGCCACCGCTCGGTGGAGGTGAGGTTGATCTGAGCGTGAACGCCTTGAACACCGCCAGCACTACTCGTGCCGCTTGCATCAACATGCGGCTGCAGTTACTGGGATGAGGATACAACCCTCCGGGCGGCCCCCATGGCGCCTGGTGGCTTGTGGTTTGCTGGGTCGCTGGGGTCGCTGGGCTCGCTGCCGGTTGCTTGTTCTCGAACCGCCCTTCCTCCACCCGGCATGTGAGCGGCGCCAGTCGCCATCGGCCTGATCGTTTCTGCTCAAATCTTCTTCAAACCAAGCATCAGAGCTAACAACAATCGTGTGATCGCTTACGAGGGAGAAGAAATAAAATTGGGGAACAAAAAACTCGGCGTGTTGAAAATGTGGTTGAGGGCGCGAGGTGCTTTTTAAGTTTTGTCTGCCAATGAAGGAGCCGCATTCCCCCACGTGTTGCCCGTCGCAGCGGCTGAGTGGTCGGCAGGGCCTGGACTGGCGCCGATCAGGCTCTTACCTGTTTAGGCAACGGCTGTCCCCGTGCGTTGATGCCCGGTAATTTCGCATACGCCATACCTATCATTACGCGACATTTCGAAGTAATGAATTGCCGTGGTACTTGTACCAGCACCAGGTCGACTGTATAAACAGGTAGCAGCGAGAGACTTCTTCTACAATGAATGGTTCTTGCCGCCCTCGTCACAGCAGCAGCCTCGCCTTATACCAAGATATCACCGGCGTATCTGAGCATTCTTTCTTGCCGAAGTCGCTAATCTCTTGTGTCCGCTCAAGTTCCTTGCCGCATTGACCTCTCTCCATTCCCCCAATACTTGTGCCGATTGGAATGGAAGACCGTGGAAGGAGTGGAATCGTACAAGGAATGGCAATGCGGCAGCCTTGGGTAGAAGGATTGCGTTGAGGGATCTGATCGAAATTGACGGCAATATCTGCATTCAGACCCTATCCCAGATCAGCAAACATGTATAAGTGAAAGACCCATGTTTTTGCTATGTCGAGACAAAGGCTCGTGAAACAACACATGGCATTCTAGGCATGAATGTACCAGAGTGACTGCGGCAGCCCCGTGAGGACTCGTCTTCCATCGAGTCTTGAAATCGCAATCGGTCTCGTATAGTCTCTATGAATGGAAAGAAAGTCGTATAAATCAACCGTGATCAAGTCGGGAGAAGATACAAGTCGAATCAGAAACCTGTCGACTCCGACTTGTATCCCTCGACAAGTGAGTTGATCTTAGGTATACTTCCACCCGGGAATCATTGAAAGAGTAGCCGTCAGTAAACCGATATTTGACTGTTGTAGGTGTCTCCTGTAACTGCCATCTTCTTTACAAAGCAGAATGCTCGCAGCAGAAACACGTACCGACGCTGTAGCTGAGATTCGCAACTCCCTGTATCGCATGCTGAACCGTCCCGAACCCGGGGAATGGGCAATTGGCGCTAAGTACCAATCAGTGCCTGACCCTGGTACCTCTCCACAGCGCCTGGGATCCTCTCACCCACTGAGACGGCTTCAAATCTGCACGAGTAGGGCCATTTCGCCTACTCCGTCCTCCTTGCACAGTGTAACTTCAGCTTGACGTTGCATGTCATCAATAGTGGCTTTCCCATGGGGCGCCCCCTGGGCCTTTCTCCCCGTCTACGACGACGGGATGGCAGAAGAAAACAACGCGTGGAATGAAGTGAAGTTGATTCGGAAAGTGGCCAAATTAGGCGGGCCAACTGCAGCAATGCTGCACCATTCTCAACCCTCGCCGTGGCCATTCGTAGGACTGCTGGCTTCGACCTATCTGAACGACTTATTGCCAGACAGACAGCCCTGAATACTGTCGATCTTCTTTGGTCAAGGTGCAGTGCACAGGTATGGCACCCATATGAATCCCAAATCGTGGACACCCGCGTGTGATATTTAAATCAGCATGCTTGGACATCGCAGGGCCCGCCCTTGATTCGCCGCTCTTTGCCCGTCTTCATCGTTCTTGTGAGCCATAGGGGTGGCTTACTTCTTGACACGGCTCTTCTCTACCTGCAGTGGTTTCATACTCTTGGCTTCCATGCTTAACTCCTTGTCAGGTTGGGTTTGGGAAGCCGTCCACTGACAGCATTGAGCAGAACAGCAGTTGAAGAAGGGAAAGGTCGAGTCGGTGCAGAAGTGACGGAGTAAACTGCCACATCACTGAGTTAGAGGAGTTGGATGCGCCGGTAATCATAGACACTCGCAAAGACTCTGTCTCCATTGCTTGTGTTACCTTGACGGAGCTGCTGATGGGAAGGTCGGCACCTTGGCGAACAGCTTATCGAAGACGGCTGCGATTTGTGCTAATACAAATGAGACTGGAGCGTGCCTGAAAGGATAGCAATCGGGCTATAGCAGAATTGGTTTGCTGGGACAGTGTCTGAGGAGGGATTGTCACTCACTTGCTCATAGGCACTCACGAAACCTTCGCCATTGAGGATGTGCTGAAGTCACGGATCCATGCCAACTCGACCTTGTTCGACGATAGAGAAGGACATTTGGTGGAAGGAGAGATGAAAACATCCAACGTGTCTGTTGGCAGCACAATTGTGAAAGAGATTGCCACGGAATCAAACAAACACTGCGACACTTCCCGGCTGCTTCAAATCACAACCTAGAAGCACTTACAAGGGACGGACAAGGAGATGCATTGAAAATTCGAGCAGCGTTGGTAAATAGTCTTCACCATATTCCTGATTGTGAGCATGTCATTCACCAACACAACTCTTCATGCCGTCGTTCGACCACTGTCGCAGAGATGCATACAGAGCTGGAATCTTTCGACGTCCTCAGGGACAGCCCCTGAAGCAAGAAGGCCAACATCTCGCAGTCCGTTGTTGCTGGTTGTAATTACTGGTACTGTACCACGAAAACTGCGTAATGTTACCTCGTACGGGCCTTGCCCAAACGAGGTTGGTCATATTGTTTCATCTTGGCAGCAGCCTAGCCAAGCGCATTAAACTGAACTTTGGCATCTTCGGATGCTCGCCAACCTCGACATGCTGCATCACAACGTCTGCCCAGAGCCGTATTCGCCTGTGTCAGCCTTGGGGTCCTGACACATGATCTATAAGTATTCATGACATATCTGCCAATGCTGAGTGTGCACTTGGCCCTTCCGTGCACAAGTAGACTTATTCCCATGAAGGGTATCCGCATACCGCCATCGAGTGCTCTACTCAACTTGGCCATGCGGCGTCAGCAACAGACCACCACTTTCGTCCTCTACATCGACCGGTTCCTGGTTTCTGGTGCTTGTTGGCCAAAGTGGTACCTCCCCTGTCTGAGTAACGATCATGACCAACGCGTGGCCTGATCCCGCATCTTCGCGTTCGGGGGCAATGGACCTTGCATCATGTTGTCGCAAAGGTGAAAGCCAAGGGGTGCGCTCTGAATGTTATCACGTGAAAGGCTGGCGAACCCGGGCGCCTCGAGCCTCCACGTGCGATATCGATCTCGAGGCCACCCTTGCCGACGGCCACCTGCTTCTAGAGGTTGTCTTCTGCCGGATGGACCTTTATGGGCATTTTTGTAAGGTATCATCCACCTCGGTGAACCAACGGAATTTCTCGCCAAATACCCTGTGTATGTCGAGACATCCCTTCATTCGCAGGTCTCCAGCATTTTCTTGATAAAACTCTGTAATGTAGGGTTCCACAAAGCCGCAGCCACTCTCTCTTTGTCTGCTAATTGTTTGTTGACCTCATCCGCGGTTGAATGTGTACCCTCTTTAATCCTAACATCAACCCTAAATCTGGGAGGAAGAGACTCTTCCAGCCGAACCCGCACCCCCAGCCCTATTACGGTGGCTAAACTGCAGTGTTGGATCGTAGGGGTAATCAGAACGGTGACAGTCTGGAGATTCGAGTTCGGACGGTTGGGAATAGTGGGCTTGATGGAAATGTCGGGCAGAGAAACGACGGCCAAGGAGCCGAGAGTAATGGGATGCTCGGGATCAGACATGGTGGCTACCAAGTCGTAAATCTCCTGCGCATCAATAGGCTCTTCTTCTGCGTCGCTGTCACTTGGCTCAAGAGACGCCGGACTGGCCGAACGCGTAAAAGGGTCGACGGCAAACGATGGTGCGGGATATGCAAAGGTCGACTGGCCGAAAGAACGGTCATCCCGGGCTGATGCGCGCCGTTTCCGGGTTGGAAGATCTGACGGGTTGAGAACCAGCGGATTCGCATTCTTTCCGTCCTCCATCGCGTGGAAATTAGCCTGGTTGTATGATTACAGTAAGAGAAAGGCCCGTGTTAGGGACCAAGAGAGAAAGATTAGGAGAACGAGCTGGCGTCGCAGTAGCCGGGAGATGGATTTTGCGCCTGAGGTTGAAATCGAGGCAAAAGACGGCAATCTTCGAAAGGTCTCTCACGTGCTGTGCAGCTTGGCGTTGGTTTGCGCTTTCGGTGGTATTAATAAGCTGCGGGGAATCGAATTGTCGCCAATGTTCACTGATCGTTCTTTGGCCGGGTGCTCGCAAGCATGCCTCTAGGACTCAAATTCCTGGCGCTCAATCATGCCGCTGATTGATTTCACACAGGCACACGGACTAGAAGATGATATCAGAATTCGTGTCCAGAGTGCAAAATGTCAACCTTGATGGGTGTTGCCCGCCTTCTCAAAGCGTGGCAAAGCAGGAATAGCCTCTCGTCCTCCGCCCCCTGCACAGCTGACACGCCCCCCCGCTGCGATCCACCGTCCTCGCCTTCGATCGGCATGTCTCAATGTTTCTGGAACCTTACTTCTTCCGTCAGACAGTTTCTTCGCCTGAGTGGCAAAGAGAAGGATTCTGGAAGGTCGCGAGACTCGGGATGAATTAACAAGAACAGTCTCACCACATGCACGGTCTCACCCGGCCGCTGTCAGCCTTCCTGTCTTCGGCCGTCCTCTGTCACGAACTGCCGCTGCGTACTGGCATGCCCTCCGCTGACGGAGTTCGGCCTGTAAGTCTTTGAGATCTACAATGGCTGGCTGTTGGATACCTCTCAGAAAACATCTGATTAGATCGATGAAGTGATGAGACTACGCAGATTTCGGCCGAGAGTCAGCAATCTAGAGTTCTGAGCAAGTTTCAGAGGCTGGTGCGGTCCTTTGCAGCATGACCGAGTTCCTGCTACAGACGGGCCTGTGCCGGCGAGAAAAAACGGGTGTTAGGCAAGCTAAGGAATTGATACATGACGACTCCAGGTATTCTCAACCTGAGATCCTCGCCATTCCAGAAGACAGCGGTAGCTGAGTTGTTCTGGCACTGTGCTTTTTCAACGGACTTGAAATCACCTTCGAGGAGAACCACCCCGTATCCGTTCAGCCTTCGATCATGAGTAACCCGTTGGATAGATTCCGTCCCGGAAACATTTGTCTCAATGCTTGTACCCTGTTCACGTCCTGGTATGTTGGTGGTCGGATTGTCGGAAGCTGACTAGAGCTGACGATTCGAAGAGAACACCGAGGCGTGAAGATAGTGTCGCAGAATTCATTTTCCTAGTTAGAAGCATCTGGAGATGGGGTCTAGCTGCAAGGCTGCCAACTACAATCTTTGTGTTCGGCTCATCTCTGCTATTCCTATTATTTCGACACCTCCAGAGGGCCGGTCGTGGCGAGGACAAAGCATCGATTGGACGAATCGAAGGGGGTATTGGACAATGGGAAACCACTATGCTCTCTCTTTGACATTGCTTTTTCTAGTTCGTTGCATCTGGCAATCCAGGGGGGAAGCTTGTTCTGGCATGCGACGATTGCCTAGCCGATCGGGGATCAGGGAGTAGAGGAGTGCTGAAACTCCTCAGACCCGGAACCAGGGAATTAAGGAGTAGCTCTAGGCACGCGCAGTCATCCTTGTATCACGGAAGCCACAGCAAACCCAGCATACCCGTTCAGCCACATCAATTGTAGAGTTGTGCGTGATGAACTTGCTTCTTCTGAGATGGACAAGCTTGTGGTTTTCTTCCTGACCCTGTCGTAAAGACTCCGTAAGCTGGTGCCCGCAGTTCAAGGCCCCGAACGTCCGAGGCGCGTTTACCCCGGGGGGCATGCACACAGATTGCTGGCAGAGGATGCAAATGATGCTATGACCGTCGAATGTTGCGTAAACGTGTACTGTGTAGAGTGCTTTTGGCGCCCGGTTACAGCTTGTGGCACGCCATCAGGGGCGGCGAGTCGAGGCTCAAGGGTTCGTTCAGGTTGGGTTTCCTGACGTTGCATTTAGGGCTGACGGCGAGTCCAGCCCCTCCTGTCTGGAGAGGTCAGACCGTCAGAGGCGGCCTGGCGAACAGAAGAGCGGGAGAGCAGCAGGAGAGGAGGAGAGCAGGTGAGCAGGTGAGCAGCTCAGCGATGATTCCTTCGTCCGTTTAGCCAGCACCGCCCCCGTATCACCACCACCCGCCACTCACCACCCATCACTCATCACTCACCACTCAGTGGTCCGCCCAACAGCATTCATCCTTGCACTTGTTCACCACACCAACAGCTCGATGTGAGAAACCCAAGCGCCAATCTGGGACTGCGAACCCTTCAAATCTGAGACCCTCGGAGCTGCTTGCAACCACTCCGTACTTTGTACTTTGATTCTTGGACCATCGCGCTGATTGCAGATCTCCCATCCAATCCCCCCTGCTGACATTTTGGCGACCGCGACCAAGTACCGAGTATGCGACTGGACAGCGCCGTTCCCGCAGGCTGGTAGGATACCAAGGTCTTCTTCCCCGCCACGGGCGCTGACTTCTTGGGACAAGAGCACGGCGTATTACTTGAGATTCCCTTCGTTCGCATGTGCGGAAGGCCGTGTCTTGTCCACGCTCCGCCCGCTACCGCCGGAACCACCCTGTCTTGAGATTCGACTATGGCCAGGCATCTTCACGCCTGATGCCTCGAAACTTAGTGAAGATTTTGCCTCTGCCAACATTCTTGTCCAGCGTCTGATGAATCACAAGCCTGCCACTGCCTGAACCTGTGCATCTCAAGGCCCTCGAATTTCCCCCACGTGCCGAGGTCGAAGTGTTTCGAGGTTTGCGCTACACGAGAAAACGTGTCCCCATCATCGACCGCCCTGCCCACTAGTTAGCACCCGCGCACTCTTTGGCCTCTTTTCATCTGTGGTCGGACGTCAACACTGGCTTCTTTTGCGACAGATCTCTTTCCCGCACCCCTTCTTATATGCGCGCAATCCGGCTGCTGCTCACCGGCTTATCCACGAGTTAGCCATTGATTCGATCTTGGACAATCCCACCGCGGCCACAACTCCTCGATCGAGGCACCCGCCGTCCTCGCACTTACCCGATGTGGTGTCAGTCCGAGTGGATGAGATGCCACCATGCAGAGCTATTCTCTGTCATCCGCGCCTCCTTCGGGCCCCAAGAACTATGTCTTTGTCGATGAACATAACCGACATAAGCGGCTCAAGGTGATGAGAGCCTGTGAGGGATGTCGTCGCCGCAAAATCAAGTGCGACTCCGCCACAACCAACACTTGGCCTTGCGCCGCCTGTGTGCGGTTAAAACTCCAATGCATTCCTCCGGCAGGAGGACTCGACAGCGACTCCGGAGACATCGCGCCTGGAAGCGCTGGCGACGAGACGACCGGACCGCCGTCATACTTGGCCGCCCCAGTCGCACCTGGCCAACAACAAGCACAGAGCTATGCGCCAACGGCGCCGGCCTTCCAACTCAACCAAGGGAACCCATACTCATACGATGCGTACGTTACTAACTACCAGAAGCCGTCGTTTCAAGCCGCCGACAAGTCATACGACAGCTTTTACTCGGATTCCCATCAATTTCCAGGGACGGTACATGATCCATATCAGAATGCGGCTCAAACGTATGCCCAGACCCAATATGACGAGAAGCCTTTCAGACAAGAGCGCGCTGGGTCTTCCCCGATCGACCAATTCACCGCCGAAGATCTGATGGAGCACCTTGGCCAGTTGAAGATTGGTGAGAGTGGTGTTGCGCCCTATATTCGATCAGAGAAAAGCAGTAAAGAACTAGACCCTCCGATTCAGGAACCCGACCCTGAACCAAAGATTGCTGCTGCCTTCAGCACCGATGCGGGCTCTCAGATCAGAATACCTCCGGCTCTGATGCCATCGCACGAGGACGCAATGGAGGCATTTGAGACGTACTTCAATAATGTTCACCCATATGTTCCGGTGTTGAACAGAGGTCAATTTTACAACCAGTGGCATGATGACCAATCATCCATATCTCCTCTGATCCTAGAGGCTGTTTTCGCCAATGCCGGTCGACTATCGGATGATCCAGCCCAAGGCGCACAGTGGCTTGCCTTGGCTAATAGTAGGTACAACGACTCCTCTTGATTGCAAGCTGCTAACAACTGCGAGAACACGAACCATTCTTTCTGGACAGTCCGCGGCTGAGCAACCTTCAAGCTTTGTTACTTCTGCTGAAGGCCCGAGAGAGTGCCCCTAAAAGAGGATATTACTATCGTTCATGGATGACTTGTAAAACGGCTATCACGATGGCAAAAGATCTCGAACTACATCAACACTATGAAATTCACTCCCTCGGAGAGTCATGTGGTTCCGACCCCATTGAGTGCCTGACCAAGACTCGAATCTGGCAGACACTTCTGGTTTGTGAGACCATGGTAGGGGGACCGCAAGGTAAATATCACTCCTCGTTGTAGACGGATTTGGTTGACTGAGACGTATTCAGGGCGAACCGATTTCGGCGTCGATCCGAACTCTGTTGATATCAGCGAGAACCCGCCCGGTTCTGAGCAAGACGATTACGAAAGGTCGATTTCGAGACAATTTGCCTATTTCGTCCGCAACGTCCGGAACATTCGTCTCATCACAGATGTCCACCGCAAGCTGCAGAGGAAGAAGGACTGGGCCCTGGATAAAGAGTTTGTGGCATATAACGCCTCCTTCCAGAAATGGCCTGATGAGCTCCCGCCCGACTTGCAGCTCCCCCTACCGCCTACGGGTGCGGTGCCCAATGTGACTTCGCATTTTCTGGGCAACATGCATTCTCATTATCACCTGGCAATCGTAATGCTCCATCGGCCACAGTTATCGGCATCCCAATCCTTCGCTGCTGATAGTCAGTGGAGACACCACATGAGTGTCTGTTACAACTCGGCCAAAATCCTTTGTCGACTGCAAGAAGGAATCTTGGCCAACTTCGATCTGACGGGATTGCTGGTCATGCAAAGAGGGATCAATTTCACCATCTACGCTATCTTGACCTGCATCATGATACATCTGGTCGCGCTGTCTTCGCCGGACCCGGAGTTCAATTTCGAAGCAAAGGACTACTTTGTGCGACAAATGAGGATACTCGAACGATGCGTCTCAGCTTGGCCAATGCCAGAAACGGAGGCTCAAATCAATGCTCTTCGAGCGGCATTTTCGGCCGACGTCAACAAGCCCTTTGAATTGAAGGAGTCGTTCCCTCATGGTACGCCCTCTGAGAATTCTCGACCGTCTCCCGTGTCTCCACCGTCCTACGATAGACAACAGCCGCCGATGCAGTCACAGGGCCAGAAACTCGTTGATCTACAACAGTCGCAGCAACAGCAGCCGCAGCAAGCACAGCCTGGTCCCTACGCGGCACAGCACCTGGGCCAGATGACGCGCCAGACTCCATACCTCGCCACCCCGCCCATTTCGGTTTATACCGCCGATTCAAAACCTCCGACCCCCATGTATGCTCAGAACTACGAACTGGAGCAGACACCCTACTCGAGCATCCCGAGTTCCGCCGGTGGATACTACCAGCAGCCAACATCGGCGACCGAAATCCAGTGGAATCCAACGCCAATCATGGACCAATTCGACACGGCGTTCGCCATTCCTCCATCCGCGCTGGCGCCCCCTCCGTCCTTGTACGGGGGCAGCGGTGCATCGCCTCCGGGGAATATGCACTCCATGCAAGCGAGCTTTACCTCGACGAGCTCCCCCACCTACGGGACGAATTCGCTGCCGAGCTACACACCACAACAGCAGCAGACGCAACAACACTACTTTGCCGCACAACAGTCGCAGTCGTATCAGGATACATCGCCGCAAATGGCGTCGAATTCGCAGCTGCCGATGTCTGCCGGGACCGCCTATGCCACAACGGGCGTGGGAGGGGCGGCTATGCTCGTGACCCCTCAACAGTGGCAGCAGAGTGTAGCCAATGTGATTGACGCAAGCAGATTGAAGAGGCGGTGGGATTATACTCAACAGTAGTATTGTTTGTCTGCTTGTATTCGGGTCATGGAGTTGAATGCAACGCGGCAGAAGTCTGGCGGTCTGCCCGACCACTCTCCCTCATGCCCGTCCTTACAAGTGTAGAATACGGGCGCCAGCTCCTTAGACACAACAACGACGAATGATGTTCTAATGCAGCAGGAACCGTCCAAGGGAGAAGGTCGAATACGGTCAACCTGGGCTTGGATGATATCGTGTCCGTGTATATTTGCTGTTTCGGATGGGCGCACACACAACTGCCCCATACTCGAGTTAAATGCGCACACCCAGGAAGAGGTCCGAACATATTACCCGCCCCTGCTCGTGGGGGAGGGTGTGCTCATCAAGCCCCAGGCGCCAGGATGAGCTGAAAGGAGAGGAGAGGAATGAGCAACGAGATAAGAGCACCGCACGAAACGCAAGAGGGAGGGAAAAAACGAAACAGCTATATACAGCTCGCACGGATTCACGAGGTGAGCAAAGACTCTGAGCTGGGAGATAAGAGACGAGAGTAGTGGCACCGACTTACGATTCCGCCGGAATTGCAGGACGGGCCGCAAATACTGCAAAGGTGCAATCAGTTCAGTGAGTTGGGCGATAAAGGGGGACACCAAGTACGGAGAAGATGCGTGTGTGTCGTCCAACAGATATATACGAGAAGGAGGTAGGGAGTCAACCAAACATGCCCTTTTCGAGCAGGTGGTTTCTGCTCTACGTTGTTTGCAGGCCGGAGGGAAGATGATGATGATGATGACGATGATACTAGACCAGGGTATCTGTGGCCGGCTGCACGACTCTATGAATTGCAACATCCTCTCTTGACCTTAATAATCTTTCTTTGTTTCTATTTTGTTCTTTACCCCGTGTTCCTGTCTATTCCGTGAATCGGATTGTGGCAAGATCAACTGATATATGAGGCCAGAACACTGCCGGGATATCCTTGGCTTCTCGCACGCGCATTCTCCCACTTTCCCAACCTTTGTCAGTGCTCTGCGGCCGAGTGAAGACATGTGTCAACGCCTTCCGGCGAAAAGGCTTTCGCACAAGTTGGGTGGACTTGCTTTAGCCCATTGTATCTCTCTGCCAGAACCAGCTTCCACATTTGACCATGCGGAATCCATCTTGCTCTTTGGGTATCGTCGACGTTGTAGGTCGTGGATCAAGGCTCGGGGATATTTCACAGCCCCGCGACTTCAGATCTCGCGGCGGCGGAACTTGTTGAGTCAGCCCAAGGAGGAATGATGCAGTGTGCTCTCTTAGGGACCCTTTCCCGCGAAAGCTATGTTAACGTGGGACAAGGCTGGGCGCAACCTATCCCACTGTGGAATGCCGTAGTTGTTGGGCTTCTCCTCCAACGTAGTGGCAAGATCGGAACCCCTGAGGTGTTATCGCCTCGTCAACCATTGCCCTAAGCTCCTGTCCCATGCTTCTATCCTGATAGGCATCTCCATCTGCCAAAAAGGGTTCTTGCATACATAGTCCGCGTATCTCTCATAGATGCCCTTCATGAGCACATCTGTATTGGGCATGCTCGGGTCAGTGAACAACAAGAACTTGGTTCCGCTCAGCGTCTGGAAGACCGTGAGCCGGAAGAACGAGGATTCGAGGGACTCGATGCCCGACGGGGCCACGGTCGGGTCGGGATATGTCCAGTTCTTCCCTGATGGAGTTGTGGCTGAGGACGTCACAGGCAACTTGGGCGTGAGGGAGCGCGTAATTGCGTGGACGCCGTGGAATGTGCCGGCCAGGACCAGGTAATCGTTCGTCGTGAGCGTAGAGGTTCCTGGCAGTCCCAGGGTGCCTACTGTCTGGGTTTGGCTTTGGCCCGTGAGGTTCCCGGCCGCGGTGCCCGGGGAGGTAGTTGGGAAAGTGCGGTGGTAGATGAGCGAACCGGCTTTGGAGATGATGAGGAGCGCGAAGACGGGCCTAGGTGCAAGGGGAGGATGAGTTTGTCAAATCTCTATACGCCTGAGCAGCATTGTAGATGGCGAGGCCACAGGGAGATTTCCCGTGAGACGGGCACTTACATCGTGGCTTGTGATGGGCTAGACGAGCAACTGTGAAGACAGATCTGCTCAAGGGTGTATCATCTCCGTCGTCGCCATCGCCAACCCAATTACTACCTCAGGTACCAGCGGGTGCCAGTTACAGAGTCAGTCAATTGCATGTGAGTGTGTGCAACATTCTTGGGGTCTGGAGGGCACCTCAAGAACTCCGCATAGAGGACGCCAAGGTTGCTCAGAGGGTCTTCCCGCTGATTGACGCGTTTGCGTCTGCGCCTGCGCCTGGCATCAGCCTTGTGGTTCCGCCAGCAGTAGTAGTGAACTGAAGCTTCTTTGACCACCATCATCGCAACTTCTCCCAGCAACGCCCTCTTTTCGAAGTCGTGACAAGCTGCTCTGACTCAAACTCAAGTGGCTCTCTCGTCATCTCTTTGAATTGACCAAGAACCCTTGATACACCTGTGGAAGTCCCATCAGTCCACACTTCCACAACACCGCCATCATGGTGCTCGAAGCCACTATGATTGTTGTTGACAACAGCGAAGCCAGCAGGAATGGCGACTATCTGTATGTGACGACCTGGATACTATGGAACGATTAGCTACTAACACTCCGTCAGACCCAACCGATTCTCAGCACAAACCGAAGCCGTCTCACTCATTTTCAACGCAAAGACATCCTCAAATCCCGAATCCGCCGTCGGTATCATGTCCATGGCTGGAACAGGCCCCAAGGTCCTCACAACCCCGACCAACAACTTCGGCGCCATCCTGGCAGGCCTACATGAAACCAAGATCAAGGGCCACATAAGGTTAGGCACGGCTATTAGTGTGGCGATGCTGGCCCTCCATCACAGAGCAAACAAATCTCAACGCCAACGGATCGTTGTCTTGATATGTAGCGAGCTGGATTCGAAATTCGGGGACAAGAACGACACAGAGAAAGAACTGATCAAGTTGGCAAAGAAATGCAAGAAGAACAACGTCTCGGTCGACTTTGTGGCCTTTGGCGATGCTATTGAATCGAGTACGAAATCAATACTGGAGAAATTTGTGGAAGCCGTGGGTGGCTCGTCGGGAGAAGGAAATTACCTCGCCGTCATCCCTCCTGGGCCGGGTTTGCTTAGCGACAGCCTCATCACCACGCCTATAGTCAGTATGGGTGGGGACACGGGAGCCGGAGCTGGTGGCATGGAAGGCATCGAGACTGGTGGCGGAGCTGGTCGATTCGATGAATTCGGCATTGATGCATCGGCAGATCCAGAACTTGCCATGGCCCTGCGGATGAGTATGGAAGAAGAGCAGCATCGTTTGGACAGGGAGAGAAGAGCACGCGAGGAGGAAGAGAGACGGAATGCGGATAGGATGGAGACCATCACCGAAGAAGGGCAGGGTCAGCAGCAGGCGGCAAACGGAGAAAGCCAGGACGGCACGGCGTCAAAGCAGCCACGGGTAGAGGATGATAAGCAGGAGTGATGATGGGTGGCTTGTATTTGTATCAAAGGGAGAGGGAATAAACCAAGCAAAATCTGCGGTCTGCTTGACCGATCGAAGAAGATTCCACTGAGCGTAGCATGCTATCTGGAGAGAGGTGTCTCACTTTCTCCAGTATCCTGTCAATTTCAGAAGAGATTTCTTCACAATTCTTGGTATCCTCTGTTGGCCCAACATTGCTCCAAACCTCAAAACAATATCCTTCCCTTCCAAGATTGAACATCTCGCGATCTCGAACCGGTCTTGCCGTTCTCTCGCGTCGACGATCGTGAACTCATCCAGACAGATAGTCACGCGTAGGTACGCGAGCGCCATTCACTCCATTGAGCACCATGATGAGGCGGAAAGGGGGGCTGCTGCTGCAGCTGCTGCTGCATAGAGAGCCGATGTTTACCTCCGCTGTGCCTTTCTCCCCCGAAGTGATGGTGATGTGATGGGCCCCGTCGCACGTACACTGCTGCACCGCACCTCCCACGACGTCGTGAGAGGTCTAAAGCAGGGTCCCAAATGCTCCGTCTCGCCCGGTCGATGGATGGCCAGATTCAGGCGTAAATGTATGCATGCATGCTGCCTTGAAGCGAAGCCAGGCTCCATGCGGCGCCGCAGGTGTTTCGTGGCCAGTACTCCCGTATATATCCACCGTTGCCAGATGGAGTCGCGTCGTGTCGTGTCGCGGTGTCTCTCCGTCGGCATGGACGTGGGAGTGGGTGTGGGTATGTGTGTATACCTCTCCCTCTGCGCGTGCTTGCGCACCCGAGTGAGTGCGTCAGTGTGCGTATGTGTGTGTACATATATCACCTCGCCCCTCCACCCGCGCCCATGATCCTCTCCTCGCGACTCCTCACGATCCGCGCCTTGTCCCCCGGCAACGGCTTGAGCTCGTCATTCGGATCGACCGCCACCTGCGCCCCGGCGCCTGCGTCGCCGCCGCTGGTGGTGGTGGTTGCGGCTGTCCCATCCGGGCCCGCGGCGCCGTTCTTGTTGTTGCGGAACAGACCCTCCGGATCCTCGCCCGTCTTGAGATACCGGGCATACGCGAGGCGGCGGAGGTATGCCTCTTCAAAAGCCGCGATGTCTTCGTTGGTGATGGTCAGCGCGGTCGGTTTGCGGCGGAGCATGGCTGGTGGTGCTGGTGGTGGTGGTCTTCTAGGCTCTCGGTGCGGTGGGTATTTGTGATGTCGGGGTATGGATGAACGGGAGGGAGGATCAGTTGATCTCTTAAACTTGATAGTGCGTCGCCTGCGACAGATAAGGCTTTTGATATGAGTAGTTAGATGGTGTGGAGTTGATTGATCGAGGTCTGCCGACTTTACTTTTGAACAGTGGATTTTGTTTACTACTGCACATGTATGGCTTGATTTACACTCACCCCCACTCCCTCTCCCAGCCACTACGAGTAATAATAGTGGCCCCTGGTCTACTCCGTATTCGTAATCCCCACTACTCCGCATCGTGATACATCTTCAGCCTCACAACGCGTTGTCTCTGTTGTCCATCCATGTGAACAAATTGCCCCTCCCTGGTTTGCGGCGAGACCAGACCCCTCCCTGTCAAGAGACCGCCAGTCAGTGCACTTTCGGACTAGTCTATTGTGAAAAGCAGATCGAGTTCCCGTGTCGTACATTACCCCGCCCCGCGTCTTCCTCTTCTCGCCCTTTTTCCTTTCTGCAGTCATATAGAGACTCTTCCCTGCACGGGGCGGATGCTCACCGTCCCTCCCCACGAGAATGGTGAGATCACGCCATATGGCGAGGTTGCCAGCGAGGAGTCATTCCGAAGAGCAGCCGAATAGGACCAGATATTTGCACTGGACTTGCGTAAGGGCTCTTGTCGCAAAGAAGGATTGCCATTGCAGTGCACGCGAGTATACGGGGCTGATCGATGGGTGGGTCAGTGCAATCCAGACTGTGCGGACAGAGAGAACAGGACGGATGCCACAACAGCATCCCCTGGATGTAAATCATGCCAGTGGCCTCGATGGGCAGGCTGCATCAAACGGCCAGTTCTGCCTGGTCTCAGCCTGGCCGACGGATGTCCGTGGACATTTAGGCCGAGACGAGTGTAGTTCTGTGTACGTCTCCCTTACCATTTTGGAAGTATGAGGATGGCCGCTCAACCCTCTCCTCCTAGTGTCATTGTGGGAATGGTCCGATGACCGAATCAATCAAACCCCAATGCTCGGCTTGCGGCCACAGGCCCTGCGCCCACTGTCAGAGGGATTGATGCATAAAGGAACGCCTATGTGCAGCTGAATGCTATTTCCTAGGAAGAATATTCAATACATCGAGAGTGTTTGAAAGCGTATGCGATGTAAAGCCTTACGCCCCCCTTTTCACTTTGCTGTACGCCATGCCGACTTCAAGCCTCGGAGCTTCCCTTTGAATGCCACGTAGAACGTTGGCAATCCCAGGATGAGCAGAGACAGCATCCAAAAGAGCCATCTTTTAGGGAAAAGATGGACCAAAGTCGGCATAATTAATTGATTTAATACTATTACCTGGGACATCCACAAGCATTTTACCCAACTAACCAACCAAGGCCGATGATCTCCAACAAGTCCCAGCGTGCTACTTCGCCGTCTCGCTCACACCGTTCTGCTGAATGGGCTCAATTTCATTGTTCACTGCCTCGACATCGGATTCTTGCCGCCTCCTCCGGAACATGCGTGCGAGGGCCTTTCTCCGCGCGCGCGGTTCGCGAGGCTTTTCGTCTTCATCATCGCTCTCGCTGAAATCGGAGACACTCTCGATCGCGTGGTGGTACTTCTGCCTGCGCTCTTTCAGCTCGGTCTTTCTGTCTTCCAGCTCTTGCTTGTGCGCCTGCTGGATTTCGTGAAACGTCTTCCCTTCGCCCAAATACCTCGAGATGCCCTTGATGCGTGGCTTGTGCATAAAGTGCTTGAGTCTTTCCTGTTGCCATTTCTCTCTGGCCTTCTCCGCCCCACGCCTCCGGGCTTCCTTCTCGTTGGAGACTTCTGCGGAGGACTTGCCGGCTTTCTCTTTGGCTCTGACCGCCTTCTGAGGGTCTACCGATTGCACGACGGACTCCGGAGCTTTGAGCTGAGCCTGATGCCTCTGGCGTTTCCGTGGATACTGAGGTAGATCGAGGAACACGAGCTTGATCAAGTCGTATAGGTTGAGTGCCAGGAAGCCGAAGACCCATGTGAAGGCGAAAAGAGGAAACAGAAGGGTGCCCAGCAAGAGCTTGCCGACCCTGGCTTTATGGTCTTTCATCCTGACCACTTTCCAGGCGACCAGGACACGGCGGGAGGGATAGCGCACAAACCAATCAGCAAACTTCTGCCCAACCTTGCGCCACTGGCTTTCCGAGTGCTCCGTGAAGCCAGCCTCATCTGGCAGATCGAAAACCCATATTTTCCACGCCGCAATTGCCCGCATAAAGGTCCCAGCGTTGAGGACAAACGCAATGGTTGCAACCAGTGCAATGATTGCAGCCGTCACAAATGAGACCGCGGTACTGTGTGAGGGAGCTCCGCCCATACTAAAGATGCTTGACGCGAAACTGAGAGGCAAGAAAACGACGGTGGCGTAGGTGAAAATCCGCACGTCGTCCGCAGATCGGTTTGACACTCTTGCTTCTTTGAGTTGCAAGTCGTCAAGAAGCCACTCTCGAAGTTGTTTGATGTGGTCCAATCTTGCTTCGATTTGATTCTTCAAATGGGCCATGTTTTGGACATTGGCTTGGGCTCGGCGACGCCAAATCGAGATCTCACTGGCATAGGCAGCCTCGTCGTCACGAGTCCAGCGAGGCTGAACCTCGCGTGCATTTGCTCGGTCGTCCCACTTGTCGGCAACATTTCGGACCGCTTCAAGATTCTCAAGAACATGGCGGAGAAACTTGACCGTTTCTCCATATCGGGAGTAGGTGGTCTTGTTGGCTTCGAAGGTCTCCCGGAACGTGTCATAGGAAGTGGCAGTGTACCGTCCATTGCGCTGTTGCCAGGTCAGTCTCGAAATCACAATATGTTCAATGGACATTACCCACATCCTCACCGAGAATACCGGAAATGACTCTCAATATGTTTTGCGTCTCTTCACATATAATTCTGGTCGCTCTCTCAAACCACCTGGCTTCCAAAATCTTTCGCTGGCTGTGTTGGGTGTCCTTGTTCCCTTCCCCAGTGGGCCTCATCAACTTGAAAGAGTCCACATCAGCGAACCATCGATCTTGATTGTCACATTGCGGCAAATACAAGGCAACGTAACAAGTCCAATATCGGTCATATAGGTCGCCATCAAAACGGAATCCAATTGCGCATTTCTCAATGAGTTTTGTCTCATCGCCCGGAAGCCGAAATGGCTTGCCCGAGAATATAGTCCGGCTGGGTGGAATTCGCTCGTCATCGGAATCGTCATCGGCAGCAGGAACCGACAAGTCCGTCATAACTCTGTAGAATCCTAGGTGCAGTTCGGTGATCCAAGAATTGAAGGTCTTGTGTGTCTGCGATATCATCAACGTTAGGGACAACTTTCCTCAAAGGGAGTATAGAAATTGTTCATACATCTTCGCGATGAAAAACGTCCCGAGTCTGGTGGCGAGCCAGGAAAGTCGCCATCGAGTATTGTTCTCTCTCAGGGACAGAAAGATAGAGCTTGTTTAAGCTGTCAGCGAAGAAGCAAACAGTTCGCTCTCGGTGAGCAGAAAATCAGGGGCTGTACCGCTAATGAGAACCTTGGTCCACAGTTGTATACGTATCTGTGGAACATCTGTCAGTTTACATCCTCGGGTTCAGAGCAATGTGTAGAATTACAACTCACATTAGTCTCTTCTTCACATCGTTCTTAGTCCTCTGCTTCCATATGTGCTCCAGAAGTTCCCATGCATTAGGAATTTCCTCCAGAATCTGTGATTGGCGCTTGCCGGTCCTGATCACATCAACTAAACTTCCAAGCCGCTCATCGTCAGCATCTGCAAAAAATTGGTCGTTATTGCGGCTGTATAATTGAATGACTTCGTTGAACACGACGTAGGGGAAGTTCCCTTCCTTAGGATCGAAGTCCTCTAACACTTTCAGTGCCGATTGCACTGTTTCTTGGGTGTATTTGGAAACACCACGTTCCCCCTTGGGACCACCCGTCACGCGATCCTCTTTCGTAAAATACCTGTGGTCGTCAGTGAGATGTTGTGCTTCGGCATCAAATCGATACAGTACCATGGATCGTCGAACAACCATTCCGGTTCGCACTTCTCTGCCAGATCAACCACGTTGGCCTTGTCAACACTCGCAATGTTGTACAAGCCGGCTTTCGTTCTTGATCTGATGGCTTTGTAATCCTTTTTCCAGAGCTTCTCATCGAATGTGATGCCGTCTTTGGCACCGCCAGGCGGATTGGAAATTTCCCTAGGGAAAAATCCAAGCAGGTCTCCATAAGTCATCCTGAACAAATAATAGGGTACCCCGAAAACAGCGCTTGGAAAGTTCCGGGGTCTACTTTGAGGCTTCTTGTCTTTTGGATCCACCTCTTCGGCCATCAGCCCGTTGCTCAAGACGCACCCCAGCAGGATCTTTTGACACGTAGAGGCCATTGTTGCTGGATCTTTCGACGTATCGAGAGAGACTTTGCTATCTGAAGCCAGAATAAGGGCCAAGACGTATCGGAGAGGCTTCCTCCAAAACCGCTCGAGCTGAAACTGTTGTGCCTCGACCGCTCTCGACCACTCGTCAAGCCGCTGTGAAGGATTCTCGGAATCAAAGAAACCGAGATCGAACTTGGGACAGAGTACCATGGCCTCAGCGTACCTGAGAGAAATCAGTTGAACTGGAAGAGGGAGAGAAGAATTGATTCAACTGTACCAGTTCCATCTCGGCCGCTCCTTAGCACAGCGTTTGATGGCAAGGATTCTCTTCTTGTCATACTTCAGTACTTCCACGACCGGAGCCGGATCAGGTGCTGGGTTTTTGACCTCGACAGATTGAATTATGGCCTCGACAGAGCTTCTCTCGATGTCGAAAGAAAAGCGTTCCAGTATCTTTCCCCGAAAAGCAGAAGGATCTAGCTCTTTCATGAGATCCGTATCTTCCAACCTGTCGAGAAGCTCTTTTGTCGTAGCTTGGAGCGACGTCGCAGCAGCCACGCCGTCGGCACCTCTTCGGGAATCTACGTTGTCCGTCTTCATTTCGTTGATGATGTTGAAGACGGTCTGAAGAGTTTGCCAATGTTGAACGGAATCACACAAGTCGTAGTTTGGAATTGTTACTTCCTCATCCCGTCGATAATTGGGATCCCACCACGACAGTTGGATGGTCTCTCGGACTGATTCCCAGAGGCCAGAATTTTTGTTCCGGGTCTCCTGAAGTGCCTTGAGCCAAGGCAAAAGTCGTCTATTGAGCGTGGTAAGAACAAATGGTCGACTGTCGGGGAACTCCACGAAGAAATCAAGCAGTTTCTGAAAGTTCATGGCGCTGTGGAGATGGTCGTCCTCAGTGGACGTTTTGGCGCCTAGAGCCTTGTAGGTGCTGGTCCATAATCCACTCTTCGTCTTCTGGGCGACTTCGAAGCACCTGAACGCCACAATTAGAACATTGAAGGGTATTCTCAAGCTGGAGGATGAAGGTTACCATTCCAGATGACCTTTGCAGAGTTTCTCAATGTTTGAGTGTAGCGAGCGCCTCAACGAGTCATCAATGATGCCATCTTGACTCATGAGCAACCGATGCATACAGCCAAGGAAACGGAACTGATAGCTGGTGAACTTGATTAGAACCGGTGTGTGGCATTAGAGACGGTCCTTACAGAGCGGCAGCGGGCTTCATGGACACATCATGCAGTCCACCGGTACAGAAGAAGTAGGCACAATCTGCGTCTCTTTTCCAAGGGACCGCAATGGGCACCACTGATAGAATGTGTTGCAGGTATCGACGAAAAAGGAAATCGGTTGGCTGGTCCGGAAGACCTTTGATCCATCTGCCAGGGCATTGGAGCCGCAGATATTCGTGGGCATCAACGTACCCACAAGCTTTCAGAATTAGCAATCCCCGGGATAAGAGCTTCTTCACGACGAGGCTCACCTGGACGAGTCTTTGGATCGGCCCTCAGCTTCGTGAACTTCGCTGCTATTAGCTCTCCCATTTCATCCTTGTATTTTTGGGTCTTATCCCCCCACATAACATCCCAGAATACATCGGCATCCATAATGTCCCGATATGACCACCTTGCTTTCCATTCAAGACCAAACAGACGATGAGAGAAGAGACTCTCGCCTCCAAGATTCTGGAAGGGCACCTGAGATTTGATGAGAGGCTCGCCTTCTTGAGCAGAGGGTGGCTGATCCTCTGTAGGCTTTGGTACCGTCGTATCGAGAGAATCCGACGCGCTATCATGTGCATCTTTCTGTGCAGGAGCTGGCGGGGTTTCGGGCACCCACTCTTCCAAAATCTTGTTGGCTTGCTCAGTGTCGTCCTTGCCCATAGCTTCATTGTAGGCTTTCCAGAATGATTTTTCTTGGTGGCGTTGTGATGTATAGAAATTATCACTTAACGGGCGCATAATTTTCAGCTCATATATCTGGTCTCTTGTCCACCGTTCACAATTAAAATCATAGACAGCTGTCAGCTCTCGTCGCCCACCCGATTCAATCTCAGTGGGCAGGAGGTGGAAAAGGGCACTTGGAAGCCCCTTCTCCTGACCCTTTTCTCCCCCATGGTGAGAAATATCAACCTTTGGCTCACTGCTGCCGGTCCCGAGTAGATCTGTCGAAGTGAGGGGTATAAGACGTACCGGACGGCCGCGATCGGTATATAAAGCAGCGCCGAAACTGGCATGGCCACCCGGATTGCCACAGAGCACGATGCAGGTATTACCTGAGGTCAAGGTTCCTCCTTTGAATTTGGTGGCGCTTCGATACTGTAGATCATAGTCTCGGGGGGCATCCAGCGCAAAACCCATGTCAAACACCAGGTCAACTGTGGCGTTAACGTTGCCTTTATTAGAAAGCACGCATTGATGCACAATTTTCTTATCCACCACGGCAAACACCATTTCGACTTCGATCCCTTCTGTGGTGTATGAGAGCTTCGGCCATCTGTCATGGATGTATGAAACAGGGCGGAAATCTTCCTTCGCAACGGCTGATCGGTCATTCAGACGCAGTCCGATGCCCGGACACGAACCTTGTATTATGTGGTCAAAATCGACAGTGTCCGAGTTGGGCCGGACTTGTATCACTCCATGTGGTCCAAAATCCAGCATGCGCCGCACTTGAATCAGCTCTCCAAACTCGCTAATATAGCCGACGGTGCCCTGGCCATCCCCAAAAGCGATGTCCGTCCTTATAGCAGGCTTTAAGTCTTGCGGTGGCTGGAGGACGCATTCATGTCCTAGGTGGCACTGTCTCGTAGAAGTCGTTGAAGAGGATGTGCTTGAGGCTGAGCCTGGAAACGCGCATCTCGATGAGCAATTGGGCGAGCGTTCAAGAATCGCGACAAACCTTGAGGCTCCCTTCCACTGTTTTGTACTGTGGTAACAAGCGGCTTCGCGAAGTCACCGTAGAAGTCCAGAGAAGATTTACGGCATCTGGGAATGATGAACTTGGTAGAGGAAGGAGTCGCCTGGAGGGTATCCTGCGCCGTGTCTCGATTGTCGCTGTCGCCAGCCATGTTCCTGGCGACGCCGACATTGAGGTATCGTTGATAGCGACAGATGGACGGGAAAAGGTCGAAGGGACCCCATCTCGACGACTTTCAGCTCAAGAGCATCGACCTGCAGTAGTAAGGCTGGCCCCATTGAACCTCAAGCGTGAGGTGGGCTATTGAGGGGAAGGGAAACCTGGTCGCCAATCGCTAAACTTTTGGTTCGCCGCCACAAGATCAGCGTGAGAAGGAAGGCCACGTCGACAGCTGCATCCCTACTCGATACTCCGTGCTCGCAGACGTTCGAATTCCACGACAGACTTGTGCTTGAAGCCGGGGAGAATGAACATGCACAGTGTATTGGGTACTCGTAGTTCTGGAGGAACAACGGGACGATATGGCTTGTCACGATCCGTGCCGAGTCGCCCAGCAATTTGCTTGGTACTCCACTCACCCCTAACGACCCTCCAGTGCCCTCCCTAAGACGGCGCCCAGCGTGGCAACTGGGGCCCTTCGTGTTGCGCGGCCAGGTACGCCAGCTGCCTAATGGGCCGGGCGCCTGATGGGGTCTGCGCCCTCCCACCGAAAGAAACTGCAGTCAACCATCCTCATCGACAAACACATCTGCCTGCGCGTCATCAGGTAGGTAGGTTCGTTAGGATTTCATGAGTTCTGGGGCCTAGTCTTCCAGAGTATTTCAACCATATACATTCCCCAATATGAGCCAGGATTGGAGAGGTTATCTTGAGAATCCCAAAGCCTTACCGTGCCTGAGGGATTGTTGAAATGGCTTATCAGAAGCAGTCTATCAGTCCCGTCTCAAGCTCCGACCTGCCATTCCTCTCCGACCTTGTTCACACCTGCAAACTTGCTCTCCCCATCAACCGTCTCTTGTTCAAAGACTGGCCCAACGATGCAGCCCAGAAACCACTCTATGCAGCTGCTGTCGAATCAGCGTTTAAGGGTGAATCGGTCGATTGCCTGAAATCCGTTGACCAGCAACCTGGAGATATTCTCGGATATCTTGCTTTGACCAGGAAACGGCCCCATACTGGGAGTACGGAGACTCAGCCGCCTTCTGGTAAAGGTATTGGAAGTGAGAAGCAGCAGGATATACCCGAATTTTTCAATTCCGAGGTCCTCTCGGCTGTCTCAAACGCGGTGTCTGAGATTGCCAAGGGAACGGAAGGATTCGATCATTTCGGTACGCTATCTCGTCCTGAATGGATTCTGTCCAGACTGATCCAGAGGAATTAGAGCTCTCATATATCTGCGTCAAGCCTTCAGCCCGTCGACATGGAATAGGATCGCAATTGGTCAATGTCTGCCTCGAAAGGGCGAGGACCGAGGGTATTCCCCTTGTGGTGTGCTCGGAGCCAGCGGCGCATGAATTTTTCCTCAATCTAGGCTTCAGGGATACCACACATGTGGACATTGATCTGACAAAGTGGGCTCCAACACACAGTGGGTTTGGCAATTTCAGGCTGTCTGGAATGTTTTGGACTCCGTGACCTCAGCTCAGGCCATTGACATCGACCAGCGCCTAGGGAGAGTAGCACGAGTGCGAGACTCCATCCACTTACGTTCAGCTTTGTATTGATGCCGTTCTTGATGAACTTCCATTGTGATATGTTCCGGCTACAGATACGAGGAAGAGAGCACAAAGCATGTCCGTTGCCAGACCTTTCTCTGCACCCTCGGTTTCCGTTGGCGCTCTGGACAGAAGTCGCATGCGGTCTGTACCCAAGGCGGAGCATCACCTCACAGCGAATGGCCTGAAGTTCTCCCGGGCTGGCCACCTAACACAGCCTGAATGAAGGGAAGGAAACCCCCGGGCCCAGAAGTAGCCTCCTTCAAATGTACAGAGGTATCCCCGCTGAGGGTGATGATTTCCTTGACAATCTCCAACCGGTGCTCAAGCTCCAAGCCCGCGCCGACGAAGACATGCTGAATTGTGCGGGCCTCTCTAGAGGCCTGGTCGAAGGCGCTTCGCAAATCATCGACGGTGGTTCCGGCGTAGACGCGTAGATCAGGGCGGGAGGAGGGGGACGGGGACGGGGAGGTTTCCTCGTTGGCACTTCCTTGAAGGAGCTGAGATCGAGTCTCATCGAGGACGCTACCTTTGCGGGCGAGGAGGAGGATCGTCAAGGTCTCGCGGGTGGTCGACATGGTCGTCAGCCTTGTTCTTTGAACCCCGTATCTCTCAAATGCTCGATGAAGCTCTTCGTCCAATTTGATATACGACGAATCATGCCCTTTGAATCGAGTTTGGTCGTCGCGTCAACTTTATACTCCTGTGCATCGCGGCGCCCATGCGCGAACGGTGCCATCACCTCTCTGTGTAGAGTTCTCGACGAGGCTCGCAGCACCGGGGAGGGGTTGTCGGCACGATCTGATCTCCTCCTCCCTGCCCGCTTAATAAGCCGCTCATCGGGTTAGGGACTCTCTGGGCCCGACTCGGAGGCAGGAAGAACCAGAACTCAAGCAAAGCCCTTTAACATACCTAGATACCTACTGTACCCTCCCAGTTCCTGCAAGGCCTCCCTCCGGACTTCATCGAAGCTCAAGCCGGAGCCGGGTCGGGTGATATCTTCTGGGACGCTGATGCTTGGTCTCGGTGCTAGGGGGCGAGAGATACAACAATCGTGCACGCCAGGATCTCGGACGAGCTCACAATATTCGCCCGTAGATGCGTGTCGACGACAATCAAGGCCCGAACGATGGGCTCGGCATCCTGAAATGGAGGTGGAAAGGGGGGTTGATATTGACCTCCATGTAGGTGAGGCCTCTATACCCAGCGTCCTGAAGATTTGGGGTTCGGAAAGTTCATAACTCATGTTCATTGGGGAATTCTTGATACATGCTGCAATATTTCATTGGGATATCCGAGTCTCTCCCAAAAGACCCAACGACGGTTCAGCTTTTTGTCGCTTTCGCCTTGCTCCTCCTTTGCGCCCAGAGCGCTCTCTGTGCGGCTCTGTATTGAGTGTTGTCCATCGTCTCCACCCGTTTGAGCCGTGCCGAGCACAATTATGACAGCCTGTTCGTCGACCAGTCCGCTCCCAACACATGCTGCCGCCGCTTGATGTCTTTTTCCCCTGGCCCGAGTCACCTAGGATTGTCAAAATTCACAAGGAAAGCTGAAATGAGAAGACCAGCCGGCAGCGCCCTTCAGCATAGCCCTGTGACAACATCGACGTTCCCCAATAAACGTGGATGGGGACCAGCATTTGTTCGTCTCTGACGTCCATTGGAGTCGGACGCGACCGAGGAAGCCATTACCAAGTCGGCTTCGTCTCTCCTCTTCTCCCAAGATCGGCTTTCCTTCATGGAACCATTCAAGCGTCGTCCAAGATATCTTGGTCCCAAGAGCCGTAATATACCCACGCATACCTCGCGAAGAACCAGTAGTACACAATTGCTGTTTAGGCCCCTCAGGAAAACTTCCACCGGTTGCCACAATTAAGACACTCGCAGAATGTCGTCATCGGTTCGTCAGCGCTGCGCGTCTGCGCCTGCGAGTAGCTGACCTTCTTCTGATGACACTTTCCGCACTCGAGAGACGTACTCACGGACTTCTCTTCCTGCGCCACCATGGCATTGTTCATGTTCTCCTTTGCAATCTTGAGGTCCTCCTCTCTTTGTTGGCGGGATTTCATCTCTTCGTGTGACATGGTGACAAATCGTTTTGCCGTAACCTCCCCCGATAAAATGCGAACTCGCAGTCCCGGATTGGATTTATTCTTGAGATTCTGGTACAGAGAGCGGATTTTGTCCTTGTACACGGCTGAAGCCGAGGATCCTTTGGCGTCAGGGAGATTGAGGGCGGCGGATTCGATTTGCTTGGCTAGGTCGAGGATCTGTTTCATGGGAATTTCAGAACCCAGGCATAGACCATCGTAGATCAGCCCAATACAGTTGTTCCGTGCCGTGTCGGACGTCAGCTCGTCGCGAGGCACTTTGTCCGTTTTCCAGTTGCGCTTATCAGGCGCAACTCCGGGGCTGGACGCCTTCGGAGTGGGTGTGGCGTGCTTTTGAGGGACCGGTGAATTCGTTCCGTTCGATCTGGCTCCGTTGGCGGTGGGTGTAGATGCGCCGCTTGCCAACTTTTGCTCGTTGACCACGTGTCGCCAGCGAGATATTATCTCCGCCGCGAGTTGGGTGACTTGAGGGTCCACGTTAGGTACGCCCTTCACCTTATTGACAATCTTGCCTATTCCCGTCGCACGCAATAGTTCTTCACTGGGTCGGACATTTGCTTTCAAATCGCGCAGGATGGTCAAGATGTTCGCGGATGGCTCCTTCGCGGCGATGGCTTTCTGGAGTGCGGATCCCTTGGAGAGGATCTCCCGACGGTCCATCTTGAAGGGGAAGAGAATGCGGCTCGGACGGAGAGATCAAATCAGGCGCGAAAGGGTGACCACGGGTGGCAAAAGGGTTGCCGAGAATCTGGACGTTGTCAGCGGCGACGTTTGCCTGTTTAGTTGATCGTGATTAGCAGGTCGGGCTGAAGTGACCGTGGTATGAACAATGAACATGACAAGCGGAACGCGGAGTCGGAGTGCGGAAGACTGCCAGTGGCCATGACACCCAAGGCGCTGCGCGCGTAGGCTTCTGGACTTGCAGGAAGTCCCATCTGCCCGTTTCCTCACTTGAGCTTGTCTCTTTGGGTGCGCGAAGGGTTGGGCATCGTTCAAAAGGTGGGGATGTTGGACAAGAGGCGTGAGTACGATCAGGCAGTCCTTACCTGAATCAATATCTCGCTGCGACCTTTCCGCAGGCTATCCCACAGTCCACGGTCCTGGATGAATCCTCTGGTATGGCTGCCAACGGGACGGAAGCTGGCTCAAGAGGAAAGAAGTCGCATAAGGCTTTCCAGGCGGGAGTTGTTACGAGCAAAATAACGGCTTTGAAGATGGAGTCAAATGACCGTCATTAGAAATAGGAATCTCCACATTCGGATGTCTCATCACTCTTGCTACAACGACAGGCATGCGACGTCACAAAGAGCATTCAGACAAGATTTCCGCAAGGGCAGCTTGATTTATTTTTATCTCAGGACATACAGATGCTATAGCTGCTCATGATACAAGGGTCAACTCCATGCTGTCTTCCCAAAAGATATACTTCCCAAGGGGAAGCTGATCACGCGACCTAATACTCCAGTCGAACTTCCTGACCCTTGACGCGGCCAATGACAATGTCGGCAGCATATTTCGGAATCACTTCATCGTCGTGCAGCATCTCGAATTCTGCATCCATGTTAGCCAACTTGACCGGTAAACTTCATCTTGCAGACTCACCTTCTGTAGCATCTTTGCCCATGTGGCTGAACAATGCTTGGGGACCACCTGGATGCTCATCAAGCCAGTTGGTGACGTCCATCACGACACCCTTGACAGCGATCCACAGATCATCTTTCTTATTATGTTTGGCAACCTCTTCCAGAGTGTACTCTTTATCCGGGACCTTGAAGTTGCTGATATCGTTGACATCTTTCTTCTTGGCTGGATCTTGGCTCTTGTCGCCGTCCATCACCGGCGCGGCACTCTTCTGGGCTTGCTGCGAGATTGTCTGGGCTCCCGCTGAGGACCCTGAGGAAGCACCACTTCCCCATTCAACCGAGATCTTCCCTGGAGTGCTGGGATCAATGTGTAACGAGATTTGACCTAGACGCTGAGAAGCCCCGGTGACACCTCCTTGGGTGGTAAGCTTGTGGAACAGGTATTGAGACGCAGATGCCCCAGCAACACGGCCGTAGACCACACAGCCCAAGAGCGACGAACCACCGAGCCGGTTAGCTCCGTGAACACCGCCAGCAAGTTCACCGCAGGCGAAGAGGGCTTCGAAGGGTTTGTGTTCCTTGTTGAGCACTTGGGCCTTGTCGTTGATCTCCATGCCACCCATAGTGAAGTGCAAGACGGGCTCCATCAATGCAACGTGGAAAGTGTCATTGATGTCCATTGGCATGTTGTGGAAGTATTTCTTTCCCCAAGGATCCTTCTTTTCGCCCTTGGCAATAGCGTTGTACTCTTTGAACTGCTTTTCCAGGGCAGCCTCACCGCAGCCGATCTCCTTGGCCAGCTCCTTGCCGGTCATCTTCTTCATCAAACCACGGCCAGAATAGTGTCGGGTGTGAAAATCGAGGACATTTGAAGCCTTGGAGTTGAGAACCAGGCGGATGGGCCATTTTCCTTTCTCCTTCTCCTCCCACATCTTGCCGGAAACGTAATCACGGTGGCCGAGATCGTCACAGAATCGTTGGCCATCGCTGTTGAGAAGAACACCACCTTCGCCTCGAAGGGCTTCAGCAGCCAAGAACTTCCACTTGGAGTTGGGATCCTTGGGGTCTACCAGGCCGGTAGGATGCACTTGAACCTTGTCCATATCAATGTCATTTGCGCCAATTGCCATCAACATCTTGTGCCCGTCACCAGTAGCGTGTGTACCATTGGTTGATGACAGATTAAACGTGTCTGGTCTGTGCTTCTTGAGAAGAGAAGTCTCTGTGAAGTCCGCAGCGTATCCACCAGTAGCCAGAACGACTACACCGTCTGCAGAGTGCGTCTCACCGCCATATTCGTAGGTAACACCGGTGATCAGGTTGCCCTCTGTGTTTAGAGATGTGACTTTGGCCTTCTTGATGACCTGAACTCTCTCGGGTTCGGATTCGCAGAGTTCCTCCAATCTCTGCATCAGGGCATAGGTGATGGCCATACCGGGGAATTTTGCATCATGTCCTCGGTGCGTTCGGGGGAAAGAGTGACCGCTGTACCCTGGATTAGATTTGGGTCTCTCGGAGGTTTGAAATTCTCACATACCCCAATCGAGAAACAAGAGTAAGGTCGAGGTTGAAGACATCCTGAAGCCATTCAACAGCCGCAGCGGATTGGTATGTGAGAACTCGAATCAGATCTGGTCTGGCCTTGTCACGGGCCGACTTGAGTGTATCCTCGTAGAATTGTTTGACACTATCTTGAATGCCGAGATCGACCTGGGTTCGGGTGAGGGCGCCGTTGATACCAGAGGTGGCCTTCGTGGAGTTGCCACCAAAGAAGTCTGCGCGTGCATCAGCGATTGTGGATTGGTACCGAAATGTCTGCTCAACTTACTGTTCTTGTCCAAAACAAGGACGTTACCTCCGTTCAGGTAGACGGTATGAGCGGCACTGAGACCGGACACTGGAGTTTCCAAGAGTTAGCTCATCAATTGCCTCGGATTCCAAAAGAGGAGGGCTTCCTTACGGCCTCCGCCAACAACAATGACACGAGGAGGGGTCATTTCGGACAGACGCGGATTTGGTTCGAAAACGAGGTAAGATGGGTGGGAGGAGGTTGTCGAGGTAAAGGATTGGGAGAAAGAAGAATGATGAGTTTTTGAAGCTCGAGACGAGATCGATCACCTGCGCGGCCAGTAACGGGGCTTCGAGGCAAAGGATTGTGGTTGACGACACTGGGCAACCAAGGAGGTCGACAATTCACTGAAATGAACCTCGGCTTCCCGGTGACCTGCCACTGCCTGCCAAATATGTTCCAGCTGGTTGGTGCCCACAATTCAGCCCTGGTACTAACTAGCACTCGCACTCCGTACTCAGTGTCGGCCCACTCGACGATTTACGATTTTGCACCCACAGCTTCTCAAAGACCGGAGGATGATTGATTGTTCTCCTGAGGGCAGTGAACCTGGCTTTTGTATCTTCTGGGGTGCAGAAAAGCTTGTCAAGCAGTGGCCGACTTCCAGCGGACTAGATCTCGACCTATCCGGGGTAAATTTCCTTTCTCAGACACAACGGAGCGTGCGAGGCTCGCAGTTCTCACCTATACTGCGTCCAGTCAAGCAGTCTAGCAGGGTGTTGGGCGCCCCTAAGCCCCTATAGGAGTTGCTCCAGGCTCTAGGCTGCCCCCGCACAAGCCTTCTCCAAGCCGAGCCTGCGGACTTCACATGCTTCGGTCTCTGCCTCCGCGGTCTTCCAGCGTGGCCCGACCCCCCGAGGGTTCCATACGCTTGATTCACACGTTCACGCTCAGCCAGCAACCAGTCCGAGGCATGTGAAAAATACCTTGCGGTAAGGATTCAAGAGCAGGATTACAGGCTCTCAGGTGATGCGAAGCAGGATCAGCATGTCACATGGCTTTCCTTTTCAATCGAATCAAATGATCATGCAAATACACGAGAAACAAATTGAGGCAAGTCATATTGGGTATCATTAAAATCCACATATCAGGCATGTCCTCTGTCCAGCACCCATTTGCTCTAGACTCCGTACATCTTACATGACCAGCCATAACTTTATCCTTCCATGTGAATAACCACTAGTTAGTGTTCATATATATTCTTCTCATAAATCATTAGTCCGTGCACGAAGGGTTTGGGGACATCCAAAACATTGACGAGACGCCGACGTTCGGTATCCGAGGGTTGAGAATCCTGGTAATGCGTTCCCTCTATGACCATTGACCAGCTGTCGCTTCACCCACTGAGCGCTAGGAGGTTTGACAGAACCGGGCACGCCTCAAGGCCCGCCTCAAGTGTCCAAGGACAGTGGACTGTCGACGACGGTGCGTTCCGTCAGAGATTGATTCGATCAGCAAGCCCACTTCGATATGTCGGAGGCCTTTCTCAGGAACCTGGGGGATTTTTGCCTTGGCAATTGTTTTTGAAGCAGGACCACGTGGCTAGAAGTCCGTGAGGTGTAAGATATATATCTGCGCGTTCCCTGCTCATCATCGTTTTCTTGCTTCTCCATCACTCCTCGTCTGCGGTCCGGCAGTCGAACTCGTCGAGTATCTTGACAACAGGGAGACCGTCGAAGTTGGTGATCGCAGACTGGATCCTGAGGATAATGACCCGCTCAAGGGTTGAGCATTCGACCCCTGTCTGTTTTCGTGCTTTGGTTCTTTGTAGAACATGGTAAATCGGAGGGTTTGGTACCTCATGTTTGCCAGGAACAGCCCTTGTGTGAAGAAAGACAAAGGATGAAGGTAAACAGAAACGAAGGGGTTGAAAGAGTGACTTGGAACGTTGGAACACGAAAGACCAAGGGAGAACTGTGGATGTATTCTACAACCCCTCAGCTTGCCGAACGATCGGCCGGCTGTTGAAATATGTATATTACATTGGGTCGAGTTCCCGCGGGCCAAAGGTGACGGAGACTCTCATGATGACGCTCTGCGATTTGCGGAGGACGACTCTTGAAATGAGGACAAGAGGGAGGCTAGGAAAAAGTCGGGGCTGGGCTCGGAACTGCGACTTCGTGACGAGGCCTCCCGAAGTACCATTGTCACGTGAGAAGATAAATCACGTGAGCAGCCTGTGACTATTACCTTTCCTCCAAACCCGCGAACACCACTTCCTCCCTCCCCTTACATCCTCCACTCCAGCTCACTCAGGCCCAACCCTTTGTTGCGTCACGGACCGTGTCCTCCAAGCTCGCCCACCCTGGCTTTCCAAATCGTCTCACAATTTCCTCCGCCCTTCCGTTTGAAATTTTGCTCAGATCCCTGCCGAGATTGGGCATATCATCCATGAACTTGTGTTCAGGGTACAACTTCCTGTATATGGCCAGAATGTCATTCCAATTGAAAGGGTACGCGAACGCGAACAGGCGCTCTCCTTGGACATCCGGACAAATCAAGGCGCCAACGTGAACGCGGGCATTGTCTTGGACGTTCACATAGTACTGCGGCGGGTTGAATGCGAGTTTCTCTTGGCCCTTGAACTCGTTCCAGAGTGCCTTGAGCCAGCCGACTGTGCTTGGCGCCCCTTGATGCTCAGGTGAGAGCACTGGACCCATGTTGCAGTTTGGGAGGACTGTGTTCAAGACAAACCCAGGCTTTTCCTCTTTCATGAACTTCCAAGCAGCCTGCTCGCCCTGTGTCTTACTAGCCGAGTACACATCCAGCTTTCTCTGTTCGCCTTCGTAGGGAGGAGGAGCCCAGGCTGCTTTTACAGCTTCGTCGTTCCAGGTCGATTCATCTGCGCTGAACTCGACATTCGGCTTTGGACTGATGGCAGCAGTGGAGGACGAAGTCAGCACAAAGCGCTTGACTGAGGGCTCACTGGCCGCAGCTTTGAGCGCGTTCAGAGTACCGTTGACCACGATTGGGATGCCTTCATTTGGATCGTACGACACCATGACTGGTGTTGCTGTGTGGATGAATCCGGAGGCGCCTTTTACTGCTTCGTCGAAAGCTCCATCCTTGGCCATTTCCGGCACTTCAATCAGCTCTAACTTGCCGGGGCCATATTTGTTGCCAAAATAGTCAATTAACCATGCAGACTTGTGGGAGTTGCGGACAGTTCCCCTGACGCGATAGCCGGCCAACAGAAGCTGATCGACAACATGGCTTGCAATAAACCCATTCGCTCCACTCACCACGACGAGACTCCCGGTCGGAATGGCGCGTTCTGTTATAGAAGCCATTTGTTTTGAAGACAAAATGAATCTTTTCCACCACCTGGGGTTGTTTTCGTACTCACGGGAGGTCTGAATGACTATGTTGAGACGAAGCTTGACCAGTTGAATGCAGACAACCTTTATACGTCCTTTCTGCTCATTTCCGAGTAAACCTTACAAGCATTGATAAGGCATGACGTCGCGTCACGATGCATCTTGCTTATTCACGGAACGTTCGAATTGGAAGCTGCTGAGTGAAGAGGTCAAGGTGTCAAGGCTTTGCGTGGTGTTCGAGTTGAGTCCATAACTCTCGGACACTACGAATGCCAGAACACAACGACAGCCAATTAGAGACGAGAGAAGTTTAACCCAGACTGGTTACTCTAGTGAGGCACATTGTTTCCTTGTTGACAGGGTTTTGCAGCCTCAAGATGTCCCTGGCGGGATTTGTGTCAAAGGCCCGATCAAGCGGTTTCTTCCCAGTCGAGCGGCTCTCCCTGGTCCGTATCTTACTTGATTGGAGTTCCATTGGGCCACTAGACAGGTTTCCCTTGGGCTGTGAGAGATAGGTGACGCCTTATAGTTTCCTAGGGCTCAGTGAAGGCTGCTTTTACAGGCCGCAACAGCAGCGTGCGATCTGTCTAGATTCAGATGCCCACAGGAACGTTTTGTCCATGGTCGATCTCAATTCTGTGTTCATCATACCGCTGTTGTCGGCGCCCCTTCGATAGCGCCTGCCCAATCCGGGTAGGGCTGAGGGCTGAGCGACTCACGATGCAGGGAGCCTGACCTGGCCAGGCATCGATGCTCATCAGCGGTCAAGAGGGGGAAAGCCAGTGTTACATTGACTGTGAATTGAAGCCGGACCTGGGGATGCCTTAGCCATGAGGCGGAACGAGAATGTTTGAATGCCAGGCATTAACAATCAAACAGAGCAGTGTCCAGGTGCTCAGCCCCGCCACTGTACCGAGTATACCTTGGGAGAGCGATCTCTGCCTTTGCCGCTGTGATCCCTGCAGTCCAACAACGGTTGATGTAACGGCCTCGACCTGAGCCCTAGGGTATTGGGTGGCAAGTCTCCCACTATCAAGATGGTGACCGCCCCATGGTTCTCGCACAAGGCTGGACAGCTGGACATTCGGATTTAGAACGGAAATGCAAAACCATTACAAAGGAATCTTCCGGCGGATCCACGCGACCTGCGTTCAATCGCTTCGGTAGAGGCGAGTACATCATAGGCTGGCCCGATCTCGGGCAAAAAGCCTTGCATCCTCCAAGCCACCAAGGCCTAGCGAGGCCCATCCTCGGGTCGCTTTGAACAGGCACGGATCGGCAGGATTGGAGGTCACAATATCTCGTCGTCCACCTCCAGGAAGGCCGTCTCGAACTCACTATTCCAAGGAAGCATGAGTGGAAGTGGCTAGAATCGCGCCTGTTCCATCACCAACGGTCCTCGTGCCTCAGCTGTCTCTAATTTTGCGCAAGCTGAGTCATCAGCCGTACAAAAGGTTTTAAATACCTGTTTGGCGTGGGCTTGAACATGTTGTAGGGGGGCAAATCTTCCAGGCAAAGCCGGCGTGCTTCTGTGGCTCTGATGGCAAGGGAAAGGGAGGCTCATATATCAATTGGACAGACACAACACTCCACACCTAACTTCATTACACTTCACGTCCGCCATCATTCCTCTCGAAGGTGATCAATTGCATATGCCTGAACAGTCCAAGAAGAGAAATACTTCAGCAAACGTTCCGGAGCACGTCTTTATAGACCAAGGTCCGGAGTCGTTTCGCAGAGACAAATCCAAGTTGGTATCCAGTCAAGCACGGCGATTTCAAAGCGCAGGGAAACGCCAACAGCAAAGACTCTCAGCAAAGCAAGATGCTGGATATGCTCGGAGCTTGGTTGGCTGGAGGTCAACGTCATCCACGCCCTCAGCCGAAAATCAGGGAAGGACATCATCACTGAAAAGCACGACGCCTGACGAACAATCAACCGAGCCAGGCGAGTCGGACGAGACACAGATGAGCCTGGCCCTCCAGACTGGACTGCGAACGGATCCTTTCAGCGCCTTTCCGGGGTCCAATACGAAGGAAGTGATGTTCATGGTCGACTATCGTGAGTAGACAATCAACGACCAACTGGCTTTCGATCCAGGGACCACGTTGACAACGACTTTAGATATCCATGTGTGGGCTCCTCACAAAGCTGGCAATTTCGACCATCTGATGGGTTACAACACACAACTCGACCTATGCTGGCCGCTTGCGCTCCAAGATACCATGCTGTTTGACGCGACTGTAGCCGTTAGCCAAACGGCATGTGTCCTGGCTCAGGGCAATAGTCCATCGGAAGACCCGCTGATGCTGTATCATCGTGGCCTCGCAATGACGAGGTTGCGACGAAGAGTATCTTCCGGCGACAACGGGCCCGACGAAGCTGTCATCTTTACGATCGGCCGCATGATTAGCATTGCTGTAAGCTTTGACTGCATTCTCTTCAAGGCTAAGACACCAGCTCATATCTGACAGTACATGTCGAGCGAGGCAGAGGCCTTCGTCGCCCATTTCGAAGCCTTCCAAAACATCGCACAGCGGTACATCGACGACCACCCAAATAGTGCCGTTGCTCGAGTGGTCCAGAACCGGTTAGAAAGGTAAGTGTATCGCCTCTTCATGCGTTCCCGGGCTTTGGAAACGATTGACACTGCGCAGCTGGAAAGCCCTGCACGGCTACCGGAATCGAAAGATTCTCCTTCGCGACCAGAGCAACCCATCAGAACCAACGAGCAGCGAGTCGCAGTCCAGACGAAGCACTCCGCCGAAACGCCATATGCGCGCCCAATCCCCAACGTTGCTCTCTGGGCTCGATCTTTCAGTTGACCTTGCCGCCTCGCTGAATTCCATGAACCGATTGTTAGATCGACTGCAGACATTTCAAAGCCTTACGGTGCAGAGTAAACGGGCCCTGGATCTTATCGAACAGTGCCGCCAGTTCGGCCAGATTCTGAAAGGGTGCGACAACCTCAGTCCAACAGAGCTGCAGCTATGCTGTGCGCTCGTCGCCTTTTGTCTACAACTCTACCGTCACCATATCGGCGGTGGTCTCGAGACACCGGCAGAGCAGCGCCATGCCTCTGAGCGGTTTGACTTCTTGCCAGCCCTGTCGGACATTGCCAGCACATTCATCAACAAGCAGCTGGAAGGCTTCTCCGAGTCCGCCGAGCAGAGGATGTGCCTGACGTGGTCGGCCATCGTGCTGGGGAGTTTCCTGCTCCGACACCCGGACAACCGACTTCGCACCAAAGGCCATATCGTCCATGTGAACCTCGGCCTCCACCTCGGCAAGGGTCTGTTCGGCGGGCGGCCTTGGCCTTCCGGCAGTCCCTCTCTCCTCGCCGACGAGGACAGTGGCTGGACCGACATCGAATCCGCCCTCAGCGGGCCCGCAAAAATGGGCAGTCTCTGGCACCCAGACCTTGCGCGGCAATGGCGCCGGGACTGGCAAGGGTCTGTCAAAAGGCAGAGACGGTGGGAACAGCAGGGTGTCTGGATGCTGGGGGCACCGAAGAGATTACCTGCGCCAGAGGGCGGGAGGAGTCCCGGTGGTAAGGGCAAAGGGGTCGCGGGGAAGACGACGACGGCGACGACGGCGACGACAAAGAGGACCGCGCACACGCCGTTTCCTGTGCTATCGCTGGATCTGAACGGTGAGGTCGATGTTATCGAGTATCTTGTCTTGAGGGAAGCGAGGGACTCGCTGCCCAGAGTCGAATAATCGCGCACAGCAGGGGGAGAGGGAAGCCCACAGCCAAGTCGCTTGTACATTATTATACGTCGGGATGGTTAATGAGCACGGGGAATTCGAGTATGGCCTTTGAGGAGTGAACCTTTCGGGTGACCACCGACTAACTATTCTCTAACTCCCTCTCGATGGTGCCTTGATATCACTGCAGTGACCAGGCCACTCGATACGATATGATATGACTTGTCCCAAGCCCCTTTGTATAGGACAGACTAGCTCACGTCCTGATTCTCCCTGCTCGAGTTCCCTCCCACTTCCCCCCAAACGCCATTTCCAAGCCCGAGGCACGACATTCCTCAGCTTTCGTCCATGACTCCCGCCCTCCCCTTCTCTCCGTGCCCATACCCCTCCACTCCCCCTTTTCGGGGCGATTTTGTTCTCCACCTACATCTCGCCGCACTGCACGATCCTGACGTCCAGGACGGGCCTCTCGCCCTGGCCCCTGCCCCCGGGCCCCGCGGTCCTCGTGTTCTCAATCATGCGCACGACCTTGAGGCTCTCCTCGTCGGCGACCTGGCCGAAGACGACGTGCTTGTTGTCCAGCCAGGGGGCGGGCGCGCAGGTGATGAAGAACTGGCACCCGTTGGTGTTGGGCCCGGAGTTGGCCATCGAGAGCATGCCGGGCCGCGTGTGCTTGATGGCGAAGGACTCGTCGGCGAAGGCCGCGTTGTTGTAGATGCTCGTGCTGCCCGTGCCGTCCGAGTGCAGGAAGTCGCCGCCTTGGATCATGAAGTTCTTGATCTGTGTTGGGTTGGGCAAAGTGGTCAGTGGGGTGTTTTGCGAATGTGCTTGAATGAGTATAGAAGCGGTGACATGGCAGAGGAAAGGGAGCGAGAGACTATGTATCGCGGGGAGGAAAGGCTCGTGTGGCACAAGAGAGGTCCCGTCCTGGGACTGGCGTTCATGTCGATACATCCATAGTCCCCATCATTCTCTTCTTGACTTCATCCCGCCGGGCACAACGACCGACGTCACCTTGTCTACTTTCCCACAGTTCTTCCCGGCCTTCACGTCCTCTCTCTCACACGCATCGCAGAGTCTTAAAGAAAGACGGCCTCAAAGAACGAAACTGAAGAGCGAACGGTAGCAGTAGACTTACCACGCGGTGGAACTTGCTGCCTTTGTACCCCATCGGCTTGGCGCCCATCCCTTTGTGCTCCCCCGTGCAGAACTGGCGGAAGTTCTCGGCCGTCTTGGGCACCGTGTTGGAGAAGAGGTGCATCTTGATGCGCCCTAGTGGTTCGCCTGGGTGGTAACGCATCGAGTTAGAGCGGAGAGTATACTGATAGGGGGATTTGCAGGGAAGAGAAGCGATGGTGTTAAAGGGAACCATGATCGCAGGACTGCTTCCAATCACGATGACGACGCCGACGAGAGGGTGTCTCTCTCACGGACAAGAGGAACGGGGAGACAGGCTCTGCAGCACATCCCCATCTCGCGCATCGTCTCAGCCCTGGCCCTATCCCTTGCAATCTGGTCTGTAGAGTGTCTCTTGAAATTTTCCCCTCCGACGCCAAAATAAAAAGTGATCGGTACATTTGGAGAAAAGAGGGAAGTGAAAGAACTTACCGCCGATCTGGACGTCGAAAAACACAATCGGCTCGCCCTCGCCCGGCTTGGGGACGGGGATCTGGTCCGTCGCCATGTCGGACTGTGTCGTGGGTGTGCGGTAGCGAACGTGGAGGGAAAGGAATTGTCGAGGGAAGCAGAGTCGGTCGTTGTTGGATGTGTGACCACAAATCAAATATCTAATTAGTGGAGCCTCGAGGCAGTGACAAGGCTGCAGTGGCAAGGGATCCACGACCCTCCTCACCAGGACTGCCACAGTATTTACCGCGCCATGAGAATGATGCCGGAATGAATGAAATAGAGCAGTCTCAGTGCTGGATTTAGAGGGAGTCTCATTGTCGTGTCAATTAACTATATGGAAGATGCTCATCACTTAGGTCATCGTTTCGTGCCAGTACCCTCGTTAAACACTACCCTACCAATCTCCCAAACGCCTATGCTTTCAAAACAAAACTTCCAGTCTCAAAAGGCGGCGATATCACGCCGTTTCTCCTCTCTCCTCCAGAACTTGAGACCTTTCTTCCTCTTCTGTTCGCTCGGCTCAAGCGGTGGTGGGATAATGTACGGCACTCTGCGCGCCCCTTCTCCTTCCTCTGGCAATACCTTGTCCAGCCACTTGGATTCTGGTATTTCGCCAATCTTAGTGCTGGCCGTCATGAATGTCATGGTCGATGTTGGACGCCCCCTTGACTGTGTTGGGTTGGGGCGGCTATGAAGTGGAACCTTCGGCGGTCGAGGTGGAGGTTGTTGGTATACAGCCTGCTCAGGAAGGTTTCGCGCGTCCTCAAAGAAGTCTGCAGGCACGAGGAGCATGCTTCGCTGGCTATGTGGTCGGGGCTGTTCGCTTGAATTGCGTCTGTTGAGGGGCTTTGATCCTTCCAATCGACCTGGCGCTGTTTTACACGTACAGCCAGACACCTCGCTAGGCGACTCTCCCCGCTTGGACCTAAGGTCGCTGGACCGCGATGCAGACGACTTCGACACCATAGAATCAGACTTGGATCGTTGGTGCTTCTGCTTCTGCTCTCCCCTTGCTTTCCTCGCAGCAGCCCCAGACACGACTGAAGACCCGCTTTGGGACCTCACCCAACCACCACGGACCAGTAAAGGTATCGGAGGCGGCCGCGTGGTCTTTTTTGTCGATGATGTTGGGCTGGATTTGAGTTCTTTGTGAGACTTCTTTTCATCAGCTCTCCGGCTCTCCTTAGATTCAAGAGCTAGCCTGGAGGATGACACTAGGCTGAGGCGCGAACCGAGTTGTCCGATAGCAGTTATGGTGTCAGCGGCAGCGGCTTCAGAGAGACTGAACAAGGTCCGCTGGGACAAGGATATCGTCTTGTGGTCTCCAGCAAGGGCATGATTGATCAAGTTGAGTAGACCCGTGTTGAGGACAAGAAGAGTGTGGGCCAGACTTGACTGAGCAACAGTGTCACCCACTTCAAATTGACGGCCAAATTTTGCGACTTGCTGATCGTATTCGTGCTGGATCTCCACAGGCCGGTTCCTCAGCGAGTGTCGTAGCCACTGTTCTTCCTCCGATGGTCGCGGGAGTCTGGCGTTGGTTTTCCTTTTCTTTCCCCCCAGTCGATGGAAAATGTCCATTCCACTGCCGAAAGCTGAGATAATGGAGCTCACCACAGAGGAGACATCAATGCCACCCATGTTGCCGGACGGTACTGCGCCTTTCAGGGTGATAGAATTTGGCACTTTTGATGTCACATAGCATTTAAAGAGAGAAGTAGACGGAGTTGGGAGCTTGCAACGACTGGTCAGTGATAGAAGAAGATAACGCTCACAAAGAAGGCAACATTGGGACGAACGATTGGGAATGTCGAGGAGCAAGAATGAGGAAGGCAACCGTCGAAGCGAGGCTTCTGGTGCTCGGAGGGAGTAACGGTTCACCTCTGAGAGCCGGGTGATTGGGAACCCTGCATGTGCTTTGCCCAGCGCCTCGAATGGCAATTGCAGGAGGATTTCCTCCAGTCAAGGAAATGATGCAGAGAAAGTCCTGGTGGATGGAGGGGCGAGCCATCAGCTATCACCAAAGCGATCCAAGTCTTGCCCGGGCTGGTATGTGAGTGGTAGGAAGAGTCGGGGTGGATGCTGCGAGGTTGACCATGGCGTTTGTTCCAGGCGCTTGCGGAACTGGAGCTTCATCGAATGGACTGCACAGAATGCACACGGGGCGCAGCAGTAGTAGAGACATTTATGCAGCAGGGCACATTCGGACTCTGCATTTATGGCTGAATTCGAAGAAACACATGAGGCCGTGAACCAGTGAGGAAAAGAGGGCAAGGAACGAAGCTGCAGGGCGAGAGACCAGACACAGACTCTTGACCAGGACTGGCCTTGGTGGGCGGTGGCAGTCCCTAACAATCATCGAAGGCCGTTGCCCTCTATTATTTGTGTTTTCTACAGGCACATGGCACTGCAGGGCGCTGTTTCCGGTTAAAGCTGGTCAAGCCTTGACCCCCAGGATAATCCCGAAACTGCGGAGTTGCTGCACAAGACGTCCTGGTTACCAGAGTCGGATCGCCCAAGAGTTGAGCCTCAAAAGACCAGAATTGTTGTTTCACGGAACTTTCTACACTGTGCATCACCAGCCCTCTGATCCCTCTCTTCGCCCACGACTCCAACAAAACCCATCCACCCCTTTGGCGACCATGTCTTCTATCGGCCCCCAACTCCCGCCGCATCTGCAAAACCGCAAGAGAAGCCATGACGATGAAGACGAATCGTCCGATTCTTCGACTGGCCCTCTTCCTCCCACAAAACCTGCGCAAGAAGGCACAACCTCCTCCGCAAAGCGACCTCGAGTTGCAGGTCCAACCCTCCCACCGGCACCTTTGGATGAACGCCCGCCTTCAAGTCCTCTTCGACCAACAGAAGAGACAGACTCTGACACAAATGAGGAAGAGGAGGAAGATGATGATTTCGGCCCCAGGCTGCCCTCAGCCAACGACCGCCCTACCAAGTCTTCAGCGTCTTCATCGATAGGTCCTCAAAACTCTACAACTACAGTGTCAACAGCACCAGTAAAGCGTGACGAATGGATGACTGTGGCGCCGTCCAACGGGGACTGGTCAGCAAGAGTTGATCCCACCAAGTTGAAGAACCGTAAATTCAACACTGGCCGCGGGGCAAAGGGACCATCACAAGTTCTGGGGGGCTCAGGAGATTCTTCGTGGCATGAAACCCCCGAACAGAAGCAGGCAAGACTGAAAAGAGAAGTCATGGGTATCAATGACCCTTCTACATCGGCCAAGTCGTCGACGTCTGGCCCAGCGAGAGATCCTCATGACGAAGCGACTTCGCGAAGACTGAAGGAATACAATGTAAGGATAGACTTCTTTTTTGGCAAAGAGACCCCCGTTCTGCTCCTGCCTCCCTTCTCCTGTCGGGTCGCGTGGCATGTATCATTTTGCCATACCCATTTGTGCTTTGCGCTTTCGCATCCACGCCCTCCAAAGTTCCATCCGCTCACCAACATTTGCAGGAGACTCAACGCGGACCATCCCTCTACTCCACCCACACCGCTTCCCAGAACAAGCCTCTGGATGATGATCCCAGTGCCCGTGCTTTTGATCGGGAAAAGGACATCGGGTCTGGTTCGACAATCACCGCCACTCAGCGCAGGGACATGGTCAAGAAGGCGTCGGATTTCTCCTCAAGATTTGAGAAGGCGAGGTACTTGTGAGGTAATATGCGCTTATCCCTTCGACTCCTGGCAGTATCGGTAAGCTCCCACCGTGGCATGCTTTTGCAAAGCCCAATTTGGGCTCAATTCATTTTGCCTGCCTCGGCAGTGTTCGTCGTCCCGATACGAGCCCGGGGGAGTGGAGAGGGGCGCTGACAATCACGGAGTCGGGGTGCTGTCCATCGCCTACAAGAGGGAAGAGGTAAGGGGCACGCTTTGCTTTCCTAATCAGTGGCACTTTGGAGGTGTCGGCGTCACCTCTACCATTGCGGAACGTGATGGGCAAGAGTTGAGATTGCACACCGTTACCCTTGGGCGGAAAAGACGCAACTTACATATGAACCGGAGGCGCGGATGGCGGTGAACGGTCAAAGTGCGACGACAGATGACCGTCTGCTTTCGTGGTGCTTTGACGCTGTCGCCGTCTCCACCCACATTGCTATTCCCATTCTCACTGCCGATCTGGTTCTGGCTCTGGACTCCCTCCCCCTCGGGCGCGCAATTCGGGCTCGAGCAAGCCAAATTCCCGCCTCTGTAACGGTCCACTTCCGGCCCAATGGGGGAAAGCCCTGGTCCAAGCGCATTTTCCGGGTTGGGCTGAAGTCTCTCGCATTATTCCCTCTAGACGGCAATAACCCTATCAGCCGCCCTAGAACTGTCCACATTGCATCCCCCACAGCCTTTTTCGCAAATTTGCGATTCAAATTTATCTTGCCAGACGAAGCAGACGTCTCGAGGGTTTCAAGAGACGAGCCCTCCCTCCCCCCAGGGGGGTCTCTTGAAGAATGATTAACCGGACAGACTCCGGATCAACGGCATGGATTTCCCATGCGTGCTGGAGGGAGTACTCGGTACCTCGTAACGTCGTCGCCATTATTACGGAAGGATCGTGTTCTCACACCCGACGGCCAACTCTATCCTTGAAGCAGGACCCCCGTCACCCACCAACCATTTCGAAGCGATAGTTTGGAAACCCGCCCCAAGGATGACTTCGCAAGCTATTGACCGCCTGCCCGTTTTGACGTGTTTCCCTTGAATGAGGGCACAAGCTGCGATGTATCTAATAGCGCATCTCTACGCCGCGCCTCCGGATCAGGAAAGCTTTGCGGCTACGCAGCTGCAGGGTTTGCGAGATTCTCTTGACTTCCAACGACCATGTACCTTGCTCCGCACCTGGGCCTTGGTCCGACATGTGCAGGACTCTTAGAACGCCCATCCTAGGAACCAAGCCCAGATGCAGGGGATAAGACAAGACAAGCTTTTGGATCCTGACAAATATGAACGGCCTTATTTCCACCTGCCTCAAGCGGGTTGGGTTATACCAGACTGTGACCATGATGGATGTATTCGAGCCCCAGGTTTCACATCATTCTGGAACAAACTTGAGAAGCGGAAGCGCAAGGCGCAAGGAAGAGGTCTTGGACGTTGATGCCAGACTGTCCGTGCACCTCCTATGAGAGAAACAGCAGCCCTTGTCGTCTGTTCTAAGCGGCCGACGTCGTCTTCTGGGGTTTCTCCCGCTCACCTCGCGTTGGCTCCCTCTCGTTTTCCACGATGTACCAAGTATGTGTCTTTGCGTATCTCTGTGTTTCCCGGTCCGCCCGCCCGTCTCTCACGCCCGGTCATCTCAACCGCCGATACGCAAAACCCCCCAAAACCGTAAGAACTGACTAATAGCGTCCCTCGTACCAATGTTCATGCCTATGATTGTGCACGATGGAGGAATGCGCCCGGGCGGCCGCGAATCACGAATCGCGCGAGACTCCCCGTCCTCCCCGATCGATGACCTGCCCATCAATTAGTAGTTGTGTTCAGCGCCCTCCGCCCTTGGGGACTGGCCGTCGCAAAGTCGGCCGCGTCGGAATGATCGGTTGGGGACGCGTAGATGCGGGACGGGGTGAGACTATTACGGCACACAGAGAGAGACTGGTATGCTCCCTTGCCGTTGGTTAGATACGAGGACTGCTTGCCGTACGAGGACATGTGCATGCTCTATCTAGTATATGCATGCACGAGAGAGTAGCCGCATTATTCAGTCCTATTGCACACATACTCGGTCCGGCTTGGTACCTTCTTGTGCCAGTCACGTTCTTTTTGTCGGCGCCATGCCCGTTGTCTCCGTCATTGTCACTGCTACGCTCTGTTTTCGTGTCCCTTTATTCTGGGGGTTCGGGATTTTGTAGATCGATAGTATCGATCGAGTGATCCAATTTGTCGTCCCTTCAGAGTTATTGTCATCTCTCTGCCCTTTCCCGGACCAATCAACCCCCCCTGAGCCCTTTGCCTTATTCAGTACCTCATACGCACGAGGCCCCCATGGGCCACGGCCCCGTTTGGCCCTGTAGCCCCGCAAGGCACCGGTGTGGCGTACCCAGGAAGGGTAGTCGATAAACACCTACGGAGTACGAGTAGGTTGGCTAGTCGTAATAGTAGATTCAACGGTTCGATCCCGATCAAGTCCCAACGGGGGAAGCCACAGGAGCTCTTACTCACTACCAGTGGAAAATCTGCCGTAGGGCGGGCACGGAGCAGAGTGCCTTGGGCGGTTAGTTGTTTACGGAGTAACGTCCATACCCCTCCCACCTCTCTCGTATGTATGTACTTGTACCTCACCCGGGCACGCTGAACTATCGCGTAGGGCGCTTACGAACAACTAACGGACCTCCACGACCTCACCTCTGACAAGTCCAGGGGGCGGAGCTCCGAGGAGTACATAGTACGCGCTGCATGACGGGAGGAGAAGGAAAAGGCACTCGATACGAGGTAATACCCAGGCAGTGAAAGCCATGTACTCCGTACTGTAGCAAGCAGCACGAAAAAAGCCCCTGGCGTGTCTCTGCCTTGCTTAGCCCTACGGCCACCGGGCCCAGCCCTATTAGTGTGCAGCAACTAACCACCAAGTAACCAGCCGTGCCAGTTCCCTCAACCGATCGTGCTGACTCCCGTAAACTCTCAACGACTCGCCAAACGCCCTACCCGACGAAACCTGGCGCAAATCAATCTCCATACATACGAGGGACAAAATACCTTGGTACCGTTAGGTACTATCCTATTCTATACTTTGTTTCCCCTGCGGCTGGGCGGGCACCGGCGGGTACTGGACCCCCGTCCCCCCCCCCTCGCGAGGAACAAAAGTTCCAAAACTACGTTACCGAGGAGGCACTACTCGTTGCCATACGCGTGCATACTCAGAGAGGGTATTGGACTCTGGTATGTGTTGTTGCATCTGAGGACCCGACCCCCCCGGGGCCTTGCGTCAGAGGGATGACTGCTCTATTACTCAGTCGCTGTTGCGAGGACGGAGGTTTCCTGTACCCTGCCTACCTAGGTATCTACCTAGGTCTCTACCTACCCATGTTAGGTATGTTACATGCGGTAGGGAGCTGTGGATATGCTGGAGAGGGAGGTAGGCCAAGTCACAGAACAAACCAATTTGACTTTAGCATGTCGGTGGTGGTCGGCGTCGGGGGGGGGGGGGGGGGAGAGAGGGCATCTGTCTGGACTCGGTGCCATAAGCATCGATCGCCATCACCATCACCATCGTCTCCAGCACGGGTGCCGTCATCAAACCCCCAGAGTCGGATGGCTCCGAAGGCGAAGAAGGTGAAGGCGAAGGCGGGCTGCGAGCGCCACCGCATGACATGACATGACACGACACGACAGACAGCCCGCCGCCACTACGAGCAGGACATCAACTTGGTTCAATCATTGCCATTGCCATTGCCATTGCTTCTCCCAGACTGGGCAGCCGCAGGCGTCAAGGATCAACGCTACTTGCTGCAAAAGCGATCTTGGGCCCAAAGGTCCAATGTCCTTCTGTGAATTTGGATTCTGACCCAAAACGTCATCTCACACAGGACCCCAGAGCACCCCCCTTCCCAGCCTGCCTACCAAGCAGAGCCGGCGAGATCACTCGTCCTTGGGGGAGGACTGGGCTGAATATCCTTGCCGCCTCTGCGACTTACCGCGGGTGGAATTAAAGTGATTACAGGGTAGTCATCGTCTCATATAGCCGCTCTTCATAGGTAGGGTCGTGCCCATTCACATGTAGCCTTGTACGTGTCGGCCAAAGTTCAAAGGCCGGAAACCCCTTGCTGCACCTTGGAGACGCAAATGGGTGCCTGCCCCTGCTGCCCGTCTTCCTTACTGCGTCTGGCGTAATTGTCTCATCATCCTTGCCGTTCCCCAACCGGTCTTGGACCAACTGACCCCGGCAGGCATTACGAGGCCCTGCGCTCTCTGCAGCCTCAGATGGTCATTGTCTCTCCAATGCTCACCCCCCGCGCCTCTCTACCAAATGCCTTCGTTGCCTCTCGATCTGCTGAGCTAATGGTGGGTTTGCGGGTCCACTCAAAAGACCAAGATGCGGTCTATTTGCCCAGTCCATGTAGACAAGAGAGGAGGAGGTGGGCAAACCAGGGTTGGCGGTGAGGCAAAAGGTGAGAGAGGTCTCTGGAAAGCGTTTATCCGCTGTTGCTTTTGGCCCACTCTTCCCGTTATAGCCACAGCTTTTGCGTGATCGGTGTCTCAAAGCCATCGAGCAATGCATGGTCAAATATTAGACGGTAATGACTGTGGGTGTTTGGGGCCTGGAATAGTGTAGCCCATTTTAGATCTCAGGCCGACAATGATATCAGCTGGAGGACCAGCCGTCTGCCTCCCAACAACTGATCTGATGTTGTGCGGTGACGCATCCAACGACACTGCTTGGACGGTAATGTCAAGGCAAGTCGCCGGTGGTGCTCCGAAGATCTTTCTGCTTCATGTGGCTGTGAAGTTGGTGCTCAGCCAGGACAAAGTCCGCAAAAGGACCTCGGGGTCTCGCAGGGCTTTGCTTGTAAAGTATTGTTGAACAATTCAAAAACACCGCCTTCATACTTTTGTCTTGGGTCGGAGAATTAAGGCTTCCTTGGACCGTGCAATCCCACAACTGCATCCCGTGGAGAGTGGCCTGACACCACCTCCTTGATATCCTCCAATGCGGATGATTCTGCACAATGGCTGTTGGGTCGTCAGCATTTGAGGCTATCAAAAATGGAAAAAGGGTCTCCAAATACTTACCCACTGAGCCGAGGGGGCAAACGGACAACTCTGCAGGTCAAGTGTATCCTGCAACAAAGGAGTGGAATCGTAAGGGAACGCCAGGTAGTTGAGACCTGCTTGTGTACTTCGTTTATCCGTGATGAATGCTTCCACTGGGCGGATGAGGTCGTGCTCATCTTTGAGACCGGTGCGTTTGTTGTTGATGGACCGGGTGTTTTCAATTTTGATGATCTTTCTTGCAATAAGATATGCGGTACAACTGGTCCAGTTGTTTTCGACTACCCTCAGAGAGTTGAGGTGTTTCAAGGCCGCTAGACGTGTGGCTGGATCTCGGCATTTGGTAGCGGTGAAAAACAAAGGAGGAATATATCCCATGTGGTACTCCAGATTCCCCATACCAGTGAAGAACTTGGAAGACTCGTCTTTGGCCCACAGCTCTGCAAAATCGTCGTATTTGTCCACAATCCACTTGAACTCCTCGGTGTACTGTTCGTAGACATTCTCATGCTTGCTCGACGACACTCGAAGCATCACGGACAGCATTGTGTAGTGAACTCTGAGGAGTTGCAGTGCTAAACCGTATTTTTGCTTTTGAGCATCGGGTCGACTCGATTCGAATGTTTCAAAGTGCATGCGCCAGGATTCCAGCAACATTTGAACTTTGTGTGGTGGCGATGGTCTCCATTGCGCTCTCCTGTAGTCCATTATTCTTGCAATATGGTGGCCAATACCGTCCAAGGCGTGATGAGCTCTGTGGATTTTGGTGAAATGTTCCACCCACGGTAGTTCCGCACTGGTATTAACGAGGGTGGTACATGCGCACTCGTTGATCGGGAGATCCCCCATGCCGTATGTTGGTGCTTTGTCGATGTAGGCAAGGAAGATGGGAGCTATGGCTTGAACGATCAACTTTGCGGCGGGGGAAAGCTGTAGGTCTGAAGTTCGGGTAGATTTGACCCATTCGTCTATAATGTTCAGACCGGCCTGGATATGCCGGAGTCCAGGCAGTACTGAACCCTTCATGAACTCGCAACAGGCGAACAGAAGACAAGCCATCAAAACACTCTCGATCTGCGGAGACGAACAAGTGGCTTGAATGGCCTTGGTGTAATGGGTTTGATAAACCGAGTTCTTTTCGAGGGGAACACCTTCAAGGGCAGACGCCTCGACGACAGATGAGGTGGCAAGCAGCATATGCTTGACAGCAGGCTGAGCCACACCGATTTTTGGCAACAGCTCGGCCCAGAAAGAGTGACCTATTGGTAGGAATAAGTGTCAGAAAGAGGAGAGGCGGGCTAATCGCGCCCAGCGACGAAGGACGTACCAAAATAAGAGGAGAAGATGGGAGCGGCTTGTTCAACCCAAAATTGGAACGAGCGTCTGTCGTCGGAGTCGCCAATAGGTGCAAGAGGAGAAACAAATTGAACAATGGCTGTGGTGGTGTTGGTGGTGGTGGTGTCTTGTTTGGTTTCAGCCACCTTTCGAGGTTTGAATAGCCATGTCTGAGGCGGTTGATAGCCTTCGCATTTGCGCAAAGAGTCGGTGCATTGTCGACAGGCAGGTTTTCCCTCGTCACATTTAATCCGACGTTTCTGTTCGCATCGTATTAATCTCAAGTGTAATGAAGTCCAACCATGATCAATCGGTACATGAGGGGGGAGGATGGGTGCGAACAGCAAAAGTGGTAAACCATGAACCGTCGGGGAAGGCGGGTTTGGGGGGACTACCTACCCTACAGGTCATACACCCCGTCTTCACCTTCTGATGTGGTCGTTTGGCGCGCCCTTGAGCCATGGTTCCATAGCAGATTTCAAGGACGTTGTCGAGAGGTTCCGAGGGAGAAAGACGGACAGAGCCACGGGCACGGCGATATAACCGTGGCCAGAGATGGAAGGGAATCGAGGTGTCGAAAGGGAAGTCCCGAAGTTCGACGGAAGAATGTGCCTGTCGGGCTAGTTCAACTAGAGCCCTACTCGATCAGGAGTTGGTCGGCACTAGGCATTCGGTATCGGTTGGCGCGAGTAATAACTAAAGGGAAACCCTGGAGGAGGTGCCGATCTGATCATCTGGGTGCTTTTTGATGGTTTTGGCTTGGGTGCCCATTGTCCCCTTTGGGCTGAGAGTTTGCCATTTGTGATTCTGTACAGATAGGTGTTCTAGGCGATGGCAAAAAAAGGTCTCTCTCTTCCTCTGTGTCTTTCCTTTGACTAATGCTCCCCGTGTTTAAGCTTTGGGATTTGCGAATCCTCTGTCGTCTCGACTGGCTCTGTGCATCATCCTAGCGTGGAAAAAGGGCCCAAGGGGGACTTGCCCCCCCGATGGTCGGGGGCTGATGGACCATGGAGGAGGAGGGCATGGAACCAGGGAGAGAGAGGGGCCTGGGGGGACACGACCCTACCTGAGTGCCAATAGGCCTTGATCAGGCGAATGCAATCCATGCCAGATGATGCATGCTTACGCATCTAACTTCTCATCTGTGACCATTATGTCCCCCAGCCCACTAGCCAATTCATTGGGCTGAGAAACGTAGGCCATGGCTTATTCCCTGACAGCACTTGGGGTCTGATGCGCACGCCAAGTTGATTGGTTTCAGGATCGTGAATCAATGCAAACACCCCGTACAGGTCGGTACCGTAGCATCGCAGAAGCCTAAGCCCAAGCAATAATCCCGGGCACGGCGCCAGGCTCTAACGTGACGGGGACTCCCGGAAGGACGGAGGAATAGGGAGGCTGAGGCGTGGGAGGCGGCTGGAGGCTGCAAGGGCAGGGAGAGCACCAGTGGAGGACGGTAAGGACCTAGGCCTAGATTTATTACATATTCATGCCCACCTAGGCATGGCCTGTTAAGGCTCCTCGAGCTCTTGGGGCTCCTAGGGCTAGCCTGGTGAGCTTCCGGGGGGCCCTTTTCTGAGCGACTTACTCGTCGTGGTGTTCTTGTAGCCGTCTCTCCGCTCGTCACAAACTTGGCGTCATTGAGGCTGTGCTCTCTTGATCTTCCGGATTCCGAAGTCCATTCTCTCTGCCCTATCTATGGATGTACGACAAGGGACGGAGTAGCTAAGGACGGGATATCGACAAGGCGGCATGCAGCGGACGTCGGGGTTAAGAGAAGGGCCGTCATCTCGGAGGCGAGGGCATTCGGAAGCGCACGATGTTAGGTGTGTGGTGGACTTGACTGGCGGACAGGATAGACTTGCCAGAACGGAGAAGAGAGAAGTGACAAGGGACACAGGACGGGGTACGGAGTACGAAACACAGATAGTGAACAGGACTGAGTAAGTCGACCTTTCTCCCAAAGTGTGAGCTTCGTTTCGCAACATACGTAGGAGTGCGGTGAGTCTCAAGGAAGCATTTCCCCAGATCCCGGTACCGATGGTGAGGCGAGGAGGCTAGGTGAGGTGAGGGGAAAAAGCTGTCATTGCTGTCCTACGGCGCGTTGCGCTGCTTTTCACTTCATGCCACTGTGTTCGCAACAACATTTCACTCACCCTGCCCAACAATCACCTCCATGTCCTCATCCATGGGACTTGGGTTCTTGCATCACCATCTTGTTCCTTGAGACACACTAATTAGCTCTCTTTCGCCTTCCATCGCCTCCCGAAATGCCTGCATCAATGCTGCTCACGTCGCTGGTTCTCGCATTGACCTGCCTGATCAATGTACATGCTCTTTACAGTAAATCATCCCCAGTGCTTCAAGTTACGGCAAAAACATACGACTCTCTGATTGCACAGTCTAACCATTCCTCTGTACGAACCCCCGCACTTGCCTCCCAATCCGCTTGCGGAAGCGCAATTGACTGATCCTCATTGTCAGATTGTCGAGTTCTACGCCCCGTGGTGTGGACATTGCCAAAACCTCAAACCTGCATACGAAAAGGCGGCAAAGAACCTAGCTGGCCTGGCCAAGGTCGCGGCTATCGACTGTGATGATGACGCCAACAAGCCCTTCTGTGGTCAGATGGGCATTCAAGGCTTCCCGACCCTAAAGCTCATCAGACCGGGTTCGAAGCCAGGTCGTCCTATTGTTGAGGATTATATGGGTCCCAGGTCTACAAAGGGCATTGTGGATGCGGTCAAGGACAAAATTCCAAATCATGTCAAGAGACTATCAGGTGACGGCTTGGACAAATGGCTGGACGCCGAAGATGCCCCGGCGAAAGCTATTGTATTCACGGAAAAAGGTACAGCCAATCCATTACTCAAGAGTTTGGCCATCGATTTCCTCGGCAGCATCGCTTTCGCCCAGGTCCGAGACAAGGCTACTGCTGAAAAGTACGGCGTCCTCGATTTCCCGGCCATACGACTGATCCCTTCCCGTGGGGCTACTCCCATTTCATACGACGGCGAGATCAATCGAGACTCTTTGGTGAGCTTCTTCAGCCAGATTGCTCCTCCAAACCCCGACCCTGCACCGAAGAATTCCAAGCCAGCCAAGCCGTCGAGCAAAAGTTCAAAGTCGAAGGCGTCATCTTCGGCTTCGGCTGCATTCTCGAGAGCTTCTGCAGCCCATAAGTCTTCCGACTTTGAGGAGCATCTCGCGGGCTCCAGCACGATCGTTCTTGACGATGACACTCCTACCGCATCTCCTCTGCCAATTGTCGAGGATTACGAAAAGCCAATGATTGTTCCAGAAGCCGTCGCCCCAACCCCTACACTCTCTACTTCTGCGGAAGTAGAGGCTGCCTGTATGATGCCGAAAAGCGGTAATTGCATCCTGGTGCTCCTTCCCCCATCCCAAGAGACGCCGTCCCAGCCAGCAACATCGGCTTTAGCAGGGTTTGCCGAGATCGCCCACAAATACAACAGGCGCAAGGCTAGTATGATACCTACTTACGCTGTCCCTGCTGATAACGAAGCTGCGACCGTAGTCAGAAATGACCTCAGTCTTGGACAAGAGCAACACATGGAAATCATTGCAACCAATATGAAGAGGGGCTGGTGGAGGCGATACTCGAGTGATTCTTATGATGTTCTTGACCTGGAGGCCTTCATCGATGCTATCAAACTCGGAGAAGGTTCCAAGTCAGCATTGCCCCCTGGCTTTGGTGTAGTGACAGAGAAATCCTCGGATCCTGAACCCACAGAGACGGCCGATGCTACTGAACCTAACGATTCTGCAGAAGACAGTGGAGATCACACCAGCCCCGAGCCAGAACAGAGTCCAGCAGCTGAGGATGGCAGTACCGTTACCAATGTTGCCGAACCTGAGCCCGAACCTGAGCCCGAACCTGAAGATATGCCGAGCGGTGAGCATGATGAGCTCTGATCATGAAAGTAAAGGGTCTTTGCTTTTCCAGGCATGAATCGGCTCAACCGCGCTCAAGCAGCGTTTCAAGGGTTCTTTACGTCGCTGTCATCAGGCTCCAGCGGATCTTATCGATCTGCTCAATCACGATGCTGTTCTTAGCGTTCCACTCTTCCTCTCATTGCGTTCTCACTTCAGTCTCTTCTCAAATCACGACTTCTCTCATCTTTCCCTTACCCTAGTCTTCGAGTATTCGAACTCTTTTTCAATTTTTTGAATGACTTCTCCTTCCCTCTGAAATCAAACGGCCCCAAAGCCCTCTGACATTTTCATTTGTTCTGCTTTCTGCACCTAGGCGATCCTTTCATCTCCACTCCATTTCTGTTATCGTTCACTGTGAAGTCTGGCTTTGAATTATGGGTTCTGGTCATTCTGTCGCCATCGGTATGCAGGATGATCCGTATCTAACCGAACCATCACAGGCCGACTCTGATATCAATCTACCTCAAGGAATGGAGATCGGCTCGCAGCCCACAAACGCAAACCTGGAGTTACCTCAACAATCCTTACAGCATGTCATTCCAGAGGATATCACAGACACAAATCTCGAGCAAGGAAGCCCTCTTAAAATCGCGATCATGCGAGGGGAGCCCTGTCAACCGAAAGATATCGCCCATTCGAGCGACAAATCGTCGGCCACAGTGAGCGAGGATTTAGCAATTCCCGACTGTGTCTCCAAAGCCAACGAAGAGCCACAAGTCACTGAGCCCGAGATCGATGCTGTGGCAAAACCATACCACAACGTCCGTGCTATGATCAGAAAAGATCTTCAGTCTGGTTTATTTGAGATTCCACGACTTGAACCTGTCCAGAACATCCATGTTTCAGCTGAGAACCTTGCGAAATATCAGTTCCCTCCAGCTTCAATGCCAAGCAGCTCTCATTCCCGCCACCGACAACGATTTGATCGATCGGCACTCCTCCCTGATAGCAATCTTCCATTCTGTGCTCAGGTTATGGAACATGTGAAAGATTGGGCGGAATGGGGGACAAGAATTGCAGACGAGCAAAGACGTAAGGAAGTCCTAGACCATGTTTTTGATGTCTTGTCAAAGGCGTGGTTTGAGGCACTGCGGTTAGGCTACAATCCCGGTACGCCCAACACGAAACCCACAGCACCTCAAGTGTCGACCAAGCGCTCTGCACCGCGTGCTGATGTGGTCCCTGCTGGTTTGCCGCGTGGAAAGCCTCGTTCAAAGAGAGAGACAAGTCCATCCAGAAAGCTCGTCTTGGTCGCGAACCACAGGGACGGTCCAGCATGGGCTATCACAGCAGGTGAACTGGAAGAAGCCGGTGTATCTGAAAGCCAAATGCGAAAGCGGGCAGCCGCGAAGAACACTCTCGAAGATGGCGAAGAGCTTTTAAAGGGAGTCCTCCAGGATCTAGGGGGAGCGATCCAACCAAGTGATTGGCACAAGATCATGGATGTCACACGACTAAACCCCTTGGGACGAGATCTCATGGTTTACTGCCTGTACGAGGTGCTGAAGTTACGGCATAATCTTGCGTGGCTATGGGATCTCTACGATCGGTTCCCTACTGCTAGGCAGAAGGACAACACAAAAAGACGTATCGATAATGATCAAGAACTTCATGATCTATTCATGGCTCTAGCCTTAGAGCTCAACAACGAAAACCCTTCGCGGGCAAATCCGACAGCTTCCAATCCCTCGACCACTCGTGAAGGATCAGTGGTCGTTCCACCACCGACAAATGAAAATGAAATGGAGCAATCAAATCAAAGCGATGTCCTTGTTCGACTGGCCGAGATGATACTTGATGGGACTGATGTCGCTTCCATTTCTTCCAGTTTTCAGTGCTTGAGGATTTCTCACGACCACCTTGTCATCTCCCACCCATGCGGAGGCACGGTAAGCAGTCGCGACCGGTGCAAGCGCGTTTTGCGGGATCTGAGGGTCGACGCGAGAGATTGGCTAAGAATGTCCGAGGAGGCTGAGGCGGCTGTCGAGCAAGATACAAACGTGGATTTTTTGCGCACACAGGTTCAGAAGTTGGAGCTGGAGATACTTGAAAGAAAAGAGACTCTGAAAAATCTCCTCCCTTCCCTAATGGCGGAGCGAGAGACTACCGCCAAAAGTCTTGATAGGATCGGCGCCTCTGTCGAAGAGGACCCAGCTGCTGCTAGCACTGCTACTGCCCCAACAGATGATATGCCGGTCACAGAAGCTACAAGTCGAGCATCATCTCCGAATACCGCCAAGCACCCTCTCGATATCGCCGATGAAGAGGCTCCATTGCCGCCCACGAAGAGACCAAAAACTGATCATGAGAAAGAAAAACTGGACCACCGAATTTCCACGCTCGATGATCGGCAAGTCAGCCACGACATCCCTGAGGTTGCTACATCAAACAACGAAGACAACTTAGACGCTTGCTACGGCAGCCGTTCTGATATGGTGGACAAAGTAACGCATCACATAGTCAGACTTCGCATCCAGTCCCATTTCAGCCCCACCGATTTTACAAGCAAGAGAGTCTTCTGCCATCCCAGAGGTTTCAAATACCGCTACACAAGTGAGTCGACCTTGGCACAGCGGAGATCGATGGGCGACATCCTGGAGACATACGTGCGAGCAGCGACGACAAAATACAAGGATTATAACCCGAGCTGGCGGTTTGGCAAGTATCAAGCAGTTGCTCATATGGGTGATCCGCAGAGGACGAGCGTCATCCATGGCATTTGGGACTTGGAGACCGGAGACCAGCCGGAGGGATTCGAATGGTTCTATCGAGGCGATGGCACGCAGCCGTCCAAGCTCGAAGAGGCGTCATTGACTCAAGATGTGAAGGATGAAGAAGCAATGCCAGTCACATCACCACCGCCACCACCAAAACCAAAGAATAAGTACATTGTGCGTCTTAACTTGAGGACGCCCAGTCGCTTGAGCCAGGGAGGCTCTCGCTCGACAGCTAACGACGCCAGTGGCATAAACACCAGCGCCCAAATCAAGACTTCAGGTACCGCCGGTCCACAAGGCAAGAGCAAGAAACAAGGCAAAGGTGGGTACAAACACGTGCGCTTCAATCCGCAGCAGCCAGCGGTTGCGCATATGGACACGACGGGGCCCATCTCTGTCGACCGACCGAAGCGAAGGACCGCCCAAAGAAGGTCGTATGCGGAAGAGGACGAGGACGATGATTATTACCCTTCGGAGTAATGAAGTGCTAGCTAGTGCTTGGTGCTTGGTGCTTTGTCAGTGCTGAAACGGGCTCAACAACTGGGTAATGGTTTTGCGTCCGTTGCTGAAATGGTGGCGGCGACGTGGACATCTGACCCACATCGTCACGATCGGACATGTCAGCGACACCCTTTTGGTGGCCATGGACCACTTTCCCTTGCGGGTTTTTTGCCTCCTTGTTCATGGTACGTCCGCATCGTTACGTTGCATTGAGGTTGCAAAAGGTACAAGGGCGCCTTGTGACGCAGGAACCGCGACGACTACTGCACCTCTTGTTTGCTTCTTTTGGCTCTCTTTCCGGACAGATGTGCAGGGGGGAGCTTTGGAAGGCGAGCAATCACGACCTACGACCTACGACCTACGACCTACGACCTACGACCTACGACCTACGAGTTATGATGGCCATGATGATGATGTTGTATCTACAGTTGGACAAGCTTGGAGGTTTTCTTACATGCTGCATCGTCGAAGGCCGGGACGGCAGGGACCTAGATGGCATGGGGGTTTGCTCACTGCTTTTCTCTCACTTGTTCTTTGCCCAGTTTTTTTGCTTTGTTCCCAGTCATGATTCAAGGGAAGGGGATTTTCGAGGGAATATGTGAACTGGAAGGCGAAGATGGCGACGTCGTGAGATTCTGGGCACAAAGGCAGAAAAGTCATTACCTTATTCATTCTCTGTTCCTGTTCCTGTTCCTGTTCCTGTTCCTGTTCCTGTTCGCGTCGATCGAGGGAAGAAGATACAGCTCTCGGCTGAAGACACGCTCGCCAAATACAGGGACCAACCAGTGAAGCAATTCCAAGCAACGGCATATCGGAAAATAACATCAAGCAAAGCGTCTTTGACCTTGGATCGGTGGCGATTGTCTAGCACTGGAGAATGGGAAGTTCGCTCGCCTTTGACCGTCTTTACCTCGCCCACTGGCTCCGCCTGCAATGCACAAGAAAAGGGTCATGGTCATGGTAAGATTTGCTTTTCATTTCTGCTCCTGAGCTCGAGGTATTCTGTTCTCTCGTCTTGTGTATCCTCTTGCTCCGGCAACCGAAATCCATCACGGACCCTCCGCAGACACGGGCAGGGATCAGTGGGAGTCATTACGCCTTCCTCTTCTCCTTGCCCTTGATCTTCTTCTTCTTTCCCTCGCCGCGCTCTATCCTTCCCTTCTTGTCTTTCCTCCTCTCCCTACCGTGATCGTCCCCGACTCCGGACCGATCTCCGCCCGGGGCGCCATCTTCATCCCCGGCGTTGGCGTCGTCGTCGATCTTCCGCTTCTTCGCCTTCCCGGCGCTTTTGACGCTCACGACGGTGCTGTTGCCGGCCTCGCGGACCTGTCGCTCTGCGTGCTCCCACGCCTCGTCATCTGCTGCGCCAGTGGTGGAGATTTCGTACCTGGACCAAGCGGAACTCTTATTAGTTCAGAGGACGTCGGAATCCCTGACACGGTGTTTGAAAGGGCTGAAAGGGGGGAGAGGCTGGAATAGCAAAAAGTGGATGTGAGATTCGACACAAGGGAACGGTCTAAATTGCTGTGCCGTAGGGGATCGAAGAGACTTACTTATCAAGGGGCAACGCATCGATCAGTGCCCTCTGCTTCTCTCGCATCTCGGGGTCAACTTCTTCCCCATATTCTTCCTCGTCATCCTCACCAACTGCACCCGAAGTGGCAATGTGCACTCTGCCACCAATGGGTTTCAGCTTCGTTGCCTCTTCGCCATTTATTTCGACTTCCTTCTTCTCACCCAAGCTTGCCTCCACCTCGCCACTCACGACCGTTCTCAACGCAGTACTTATCTTCCTCACCACCTTCACAAACATAGCCAACAGCTGATTGCTCGGCAGATTCAGCTCTTTTTCCACCTCGCTGAGGTCCTTCCTTTGCAAGCCGATTGCCAGCAATATACTCTGCTGTACACCTGATAGATTGACGTTGCATGGCGGGAGCTTGAGGCGGCCAGTAAAATAAAGGTATGCGAGGGCGGGGAGAAGGTCGAGGATGACGTGGTAGTCGAGCAGGTTGTTGGCGTATGACTCTAGACGGGCGAGATCGAAGGGTGAGAATAGGGTGTCAAGATCGGCTTGGCCAAGAGGTCTAACATTCATCGAAGATGGGTCTTCCGGAGCAGATTTTGTGGCTCGTGAGGCGGATTCAGAGATAGAAAGTCCTTGTACTGAGGGAAAGGTGCGGAATTGATACGACAGCAGAGTGAGGAACCGCTTGTGGAAATCTTGCGCATAGGCCGCAAGCCACGAGTTATCTGTCGTTGTGCTTGTCGAAAGGGGCCGGAGCATGACGCAGGAATGCTCACCCGTCAGTTCGTTGGGTGTTTGCCGCAGATAGACGGGTGCAAAGGAGTGTCGTTTCCAAAATTTATGGAGTGGCTGGGTCAAGCCGAACGAGACACCAAGGTAGTCCAAGTGGTCGGGCCGTCGTTCAGAGAGTTTGCTGAACAAGGGTGGCATTTGATGTATATCGCGCACTTTGATGTTGTCATCGAGCAGATTAGATTCTTCGAGTTCGGCATCTGTGACGCGGGGCATATGTTCTGCGTCCTCTATTGTCGCTTCGTCCGTCTCGGACAGAGAGGTGAACTTGCCCTCGTAGAAGTCTTTCAGTAGCTCCAGCGCCCGTGATCCGTATCCCATGTTCAGATACTCCGGGTTGGTCGCTATCCTTACTACGCGACTGCCTGACAAGCCGGCAAATTCTGAATCCTGGAATTGCTGACTGACTAGCCAGGGAATCAGGTCTCCTCCAGCCCTTTGTCCACGGGATAAGCTGCTCAGGACAGATCTTTTGCTGATACGACCCTCGAGAGCGACTTGAATGACACACAAAGGTTCTGGTAGTTTGTTGGCGTCCTCGGGTATCGGGGGAATTAGTACAAAGAGTTGATGTGCTGGGGCATCAGACATGAGTTGAAGGTCGTTAGGGGAATTCTTGTAGTGAGAAGCAACGTAAAGCGCCATCATTTGTTGCAAAAACTTTTCTGAGACGGGATGAAAGGAGAAAAGCGTATCGCGGTTGACATGAACCAATTCGCAAGTCGATGGATGGGGCGTCCCTTGCGTATTCATCTTTGACTTGGGTAACGTGGCATCCAGACATAACAGCCGATTCAACCATTTCTCGACCCCATCTCCGGGCGCGTACCGGATGGGTTCTGACAAAGTAATCTCCCTCAAACTCCTGCCACCGGTGTAGACTTTAGCACCATCTTTGGCTGCCTTGCCTGTCGTCTTATCTGCAACCTCAACGTCGTCTCCATTAGTACTAGTTCCACCTCTAGATTGCTCTCGTAGTTGTTGGATCAGTTTCAGCGACAACGAACGGCCCGTGCCCTCATATCCATTGATAGTGGAAGCCATGAAGACTAGATAAGGTCCCATCAATTTCCGCACCAACGGCAAAGGGATCGCTGCTGCTTCATCAATTACAACCAGCTCTGCTTGACCGAGGACGTGGGCGTCCTGAGGTTGAATGTACTGGATGGTCTGCCGGTGTTGTCGGTGAACGTTGATCCGAACAATGGCTTTGTTGTAGTCTGGATTTGTGGATTGCAAAATGGTATAGTCGACATGGTCCATGTATTCTAGCGCATCAAAGCCTTTGATGATGAATTCGAACAGTGTCTTCAGATTTTCAGGACTCGGCGATGTGATGAAGATATTGCTGTAGCCATGAGCTATTGCAGCAGCAACGGCCACCCCAAGAGCAGCTGATTTCCCTCGACCACGAGCCGCAGTCAGGGCGACCGTACTCCGGAGTGTCTTTTCCGATATCGCGTCGACAAAAGTGAGAAGAGCCTTTGCTTGGTCGACAGTTTTGGCCAGAGTGATCAGTGGGCCGACGGGTCTGCTGTCGGCCAAGCTGTCTTTTATTTCCTTCAACTCTTTCTGGTTTGGCAGGACTCGTTCGGACTCGCTACTCGGCGGTGGCAAAGGTTGAACATTCTTTCCTCCAGATATGGGCAGGACGTTGAGCTCATCATCCACAACTAAGCAAGACTCGCAGTTCCCCAACGAGAGTATGAACCTCTCATTGAACCTGGCGACCACATCGTCATGGGCTTCGGTACGGTATCTGGAATGTACATCCATAGACATTGTGTAGAGCTGCTTTAGACTCTTCATCCCTTTCAGCAGAAGCAAAACCAGCCCACCGCCTTCTACCGTTTCCACAGTCCTAGCGAGGAGATTCGGCGTGATGGCCTCAAAGTCTTGAAGAATACACATGCCATAGGTGTTCCCAAGAATCTTGTCCGTCTCTTTGTAGTAAACATATCGAATATTGTGCAGAGTGACGAAGAGCTCAAAGGGATCTTCGGTATCCGGGTCTCGAATGCCTCGCTTGATTTCTTTCCTGATCTTTGCTTCGCGCTTTTTGCGATGGGATGTGAAACCTAGTAGGTCTTTCTTGTAAGCCCATAGGACAGATCTGTTCTGCTTGATATCGACCGAGGACATGATATAGTGCAGGTGGACAATAACATCTTTGGCTCGATCGCCCACAACGACGATGAAACTGCGCTTCTTTTCCTGAATGCCATTGCGGATTAGCGCTGGGATGCGCGAGTCGATGGCTTTTCGAGGCATCGTGGAACTCTCCCGGCCCCCCTCCGCTTGAAGCTTTGACGTATGAGGGGTGAAATTTCTCAGATAGACAACGGCTTTTCTCAAATTTAGTATTGGCGAGAAAAAGTTCAAGAACATCTCCAAAAAATTTCGCCGCAGTTTCCTGTTCGAGAAAACTGTGGGGTGAAACAAGGCTCCGATAAGCTTAAGGCCATTTTCCTGGATCCACAGCCTCGCGGCACTCCAGCCTTGTGTCGGTCGAACAGCAGAACTCGATTCCCGTAGCACCAAATTGACTACGTATGCTATCAAGTCCCTATGCACGCGCGCGATCGTCAATGAGCCTCATCCATCATAGCGCGCTGTGTTCGTGATGTCGCTCGATAGAAGGAAACATCCCATGCGATCTACTCTCTCAACGAACCCGCGCTCGGATCTCTTCTCCCTTTGACATTTCATTCAGGCGCAGGGGGCGCGGTAGGACACTATGGCAACGAAACTCGACATTTTGTGCTTCTCGTGAGTATTTGGGACTTTTTGCATAGGCAGGCACTGATTGCGCTAGGTTGTCCTTGCTGTTGGCAGCATCCCTCGCACACCTTATCCCGGTTTCGACTGCTTTCGATCGGCCCATTCACACCGTAGTCCTTGCGCTTACGGCTTGTTCGTTCGCTTTACCGAGTGCCAACCGGGCAATACCTCAGTTATTCCCGTCTTCAGACGCAAAGCAAAATCAAGGTCAATATGCGGCTCTGCCTCTGGAAGAACTTGGGGAGGAGGCCAATGGAAGGCTGGAAGACCCAGATACAAATCCAGCGCATCACAGACACACTGGCAAAGTTCGCATATCGGTGCTGGCCCTAGCAGTCTCCGCCTTGTCTTTGCGGATAGAATTGTACCGGCGCATCTCTCTGGCGACCGAATGCACCATCGCCAGTGTCGAAATGTTTCTACCATTCTTGTTGGCAGTCTACGATTCCTTCAGGTTTCAGCGCTCAGTTGACATGCAGGATGAAGAAAAACCCGACAGCTCTGTGTACGAGTCCTTACGCGCAGCTGCTAGGACCTACATTTTGAGACCGCGAACTCGGTATCTTCTGTCCATGTTTATGGTGTCCTACGGTTGCTATCTCACCCAAGGTCTATGGACTTCAACAAACTCGACCTATATATGTCCACTTGCCCTCGGCGAGCCAAAGGCCATCCCGATGATGCAAGTCTGTGCCCTTGCGCTGGACTTCTGCCTTGCCGTTATCGCCTTTGAGACCGTCCCGAAATCTGACGGCAGTGGTCTTTCAGGACGACGCTGCGTAGTCCTCTGGAGCTCGACCATGATTGCCACGTCCGTAATTTGGTCGATCACGGCTATCTTTGTGTATATTTTCAAGCCAGAATACCGACTTTGGCTTTTATATCTTTTTCCGCCACTGGACGTTGGGACAATCATTGCCATGGGATGCCTCATTTTTCTTTTCTGCGTTTTGTGTATATCGCTCCTGCATAGTGTAAGTCGGACTCAGCTCTTTCTCAGCAATCTTACTGATATCTGCAGATCATGACTTATGGCGCATTGGAAATGACGACGTACCTTACCGCTTTCACCACGATGATACCCGCCCTCGAGTTTATTTGGTCACACAGAAATCCTTTTCCGCAAACGCCATTCTCTGCAACGACATTATCCTTCCTCATGATCTTTCTTGGGCAATGGGGGTATCGCTGGATTCAACAGGAGTTGGGTGACAAAGACCCGATGCGACCGTCTCGGCAGTTCCTACTCTTTGTTGTCCTCTGCGTTGCAATATTCCCTGCTTGGTTAAAGAAAGACTATGTCCATTTTCATCCGATCGATATGCTCATGTACGACGCTACGCTCCATCATAATAAGTATCTTGAGACAGTGGGAAGCACTTCGTCTCTAGCAGACGCTGTAGCGGGATACACGAGCAGATACAATCGGAATCCCCCTCCTGGATTCGACGTCTGGTTCGAGTACGCAAAGAACAGGTCTGTGTTGATCGTGGACGAATATGATCAGATCTACCATGATTTGCTGCCTTTCCGCGCGGTCCCGCCGTCTGAGCTGAGAAGCCAGACGTGGCAAATGGTATCTAATCCATGGAATGAGATCTCGGGAATCACCATCCGTAACGGGGAAGCAAAGGTGCAAGAAAATGTCCTTCCAACTCATCGATGGATGCTTGAGGGTGTCGCCGTCCTCATCAATAGTTTTGCAAGGTACCTACCTGACATGGATTTGGCTTTCAACTTGAACGACGAATCGAGGGTCGCTGTGCCATATGAGCAGATGAAGGATCTCCAGGAGAAAGGCCGAGCAAAGGATAAGAGCGGTAGCTCAAGTTGGTCCACCGATCGTGCAGGAGGATGGCCGCCGATTCCCGAAACGGAATACAAGGAAACGATATTTCGCGACAACTCCTGGCGCAACAGTTTCCGTGCCTTCGGCTCAGTGAGCTGCCCTCCTTCCTCTCTTGCACGGGCTTCTCTACACATTTCATCTCAATCACATATCTGCGCCAGCTGCGTGGCTCCTCATTCTCTGGGCCAATTCGTGGGCAATTGGTCTGACGCAGCAGACATATGCCATCAACCAGATCTTGCCCGACTCCACGGCTTCTACCTCTCCCCTGCGGCATTCAAGACCAGCTACCAGCTCATGCCCGTCTTCTCTCAATCGAAACCGCACGGCTATAGCGACATCCTGTACCCTTCTGCCTGGAACTATATGGACAAAGCCATCTATGCGCCTAGCGGCCCCCAAGGCACACCCGAAGAAGATGACTACCACCCAGGGTTTCCAGACCCCCCGTTCGAGGAGAAGGAAAACATTCTGTTCTGGCGTGGCGCCACCTCTGAGGGTGTCTCTTCAGACAGCGGCGCCTGGCGCGGCATGACCCGCCAACGCCTTGTGCACATGGCCAACAATCTAACCAACCATCCACACGATGCCGTGACCATCCTCCTGCCCAGCCCGGCAGATCACTCCAAATACCAATACCAAACGATTTCCGGGCCCGACGTCGCGAAGCTTGGTTTACAAACGGACATTGCAGTCGTCGACTTCATCGCCCGGTGCGGCGGCAAAGACTGCACCGACCAGGCCCAGGAATTTAATCTCGTGGAACCGACGGACTTCCAAGCGCACTGGCGGTACCGGTTCCTGTTCGACCTCGACGGGGCCGGCTTCAGCGGCCGCTTTCTGCCGTTCCTCCACTCGCGCTCGCTCCCCTTCAAGACGGCCCTGTTCCGCGAGTGGTACGACTCGCGGCTCACGGCGTGGCTGCACTTTGTGCCCCAGGACCTCCGCCTGCACGGCGTGTGGAGCAGCCTGGCGTACTTTGCCGGCGTCAACGGGACCATGTTCGGCCACCGCATCTGGTGGAAGCCGCACCTCAAGGAGGCCGAGATGATCGCCCAGGCCGGCCGCGAGTGGGCGGCCAAGGTGTTGCGCAAGGAGGACATGGAGAGCTACTTTTTCCGCCTGTTGCTCGAGTGGGCGCGCCTGACGGACGACAACCGGGATGAATTGGGCTTTGTGCTTTGATTTGACCTTTTTTTTTTCACTTGACTTCGCGTATACTTTTCCTTTTCCCCTTTTTCTATATGAAGAATCAAAGACCCTGCGTCCAGTCTTGACCCGCCTTTTCTGTACATTTTCCTCCGTGTCTGCGTCCTTCTGGGTTTTATAAATGTGGTCCCCGTTCTTTTTCGACAGGGCAAGAGAGAATTGGGCACTATGCATGGAATGAATGAATGGAAGACCTTCCGGTTCGAAGTCATGGTAGTAATCATACTTTTCTGTCTCCCTCTCGCGCTTCCCCGTTCTTCGCCCCATCGGGAATCTGGTTGTGTTTGTTGGTTTCATTCCCACCGATCCTCTCCAGCGTCAGGACTATTCATGCCCTGTCTATCTCACTATCTATCTATCTATCTATCTATCTACATGTACGTGTCTTATAGGAGCAGAGGCGGAGGAGCAGAGGGAGGAAGAGAAGAAGAGGAAGTGCGAGAGAGGAGCGTCGTGGTCACGGTCATGGTCATGGTCATGGTCATGGTCACAGTCAATGGACGAGGTATTTCAAGGTTCCTTGTCCCCATTACTTTGCATTATTGTTCTTCTTTCTTTGAGCCCTATAGATATTTATCCGTCATACACAAGGATCTCCGGGAACAGGTCGTTCAGCAGACCTTCCACCTCGACGGCGTGGATGTCCATATCCATATCCACACCCATACCCATACCCATACTCATACCCATACCCATACTCATACCCATACCCATACTCATACCCATACCCATACCCGTGCCCATGTCCATTCCCATTCCCATTCCCAAATCCGTGTCCATATCCATATCCATGTTCATGTCCATAGGCGCCGTCAAAGTCCGGGAACAGTCCGCGAATGGCAGCGCCAGGTGTTCCCCTTCCCGCTGCAGCTGCAGTTGCACCTGCTGATCGCCATTGAAATTGAAGTAGTCCAAGTCGGCGCCGCTGTCGAGAGGGCCATCGAACCAGTCCAGCCCGGTATTCACCAGGGGCAGCGCGTGAGGGAATAACGCCAATTCATCGGCGTTCGGGGTCGAAGAGGATCTGGACATGGGCGCAGAGGAGTGTCCGTGTGATTGTCCCGGCTCTGAAGCAAGACGATCAACCGACGGCGGCATCATACCGGCCTTCGTCATCGTCGTCGTCGTGGACTGGCCCTGCGCCTTGGCTCGGATGATCTCCTCCGCCATCTCGCGCGGCGTGACGCCCTGCAGCTTCTTGAACACGCGCTGCAGGTGCCACTTGCTCAATCCGACCTGCGCGGACAGCTGGGAGAGGCTCAGCGGCTGGCCCTTCTCGGACGCCGCTTGCCGGATGAGGTACGCTGCGCGTTGGATCTTTGCGTGGATGTCCTCCGCGTCCACTTCCACTTCCACATCCACATCCACATCCACACCTCCGTCACCATCACCATTGCCATTCACACCGCCATCTGCATCGCCATGTTGCTCCGGTGTCGTGTGAGCCGATGCAGACCCAGGTAAGATATCGCGACAAGGGACGACTTCCGCACTCGACACCGAACCCGAGGGGGTCGCTGACTGAGGAGATGGTGTTGAAGAAGATGATGATGACGACGACGACGACGATGAGATGTCCCCAAACACCGTCTTCGCTCGATTCGGCTTGCACCGCTTACAGGCCCGGAACCCGCCCCGTTCGGCCTGGGCGGCCAGGTCGAAGAACCGGACATTCGCGCGTCGAGCCAGCCGCGCGCTGCAGTTGGGGCGGCAGTAGATCTTGGTGGTGACGACGGCGTAGACGAACGCGTCCGTGGCGTCGGGATCGCGCGCGACGAGGGCCCTCCATCTCGACGTTTCGCTTCTGTACGGGTCTGCACAGGTCGAGGGAGAAGAGCGTGCATTCTGAGACGGGGAATCGCTGGAGAGATGACCTTGTCTTTGAGGGTGCTGTTGGGGGTGGGGATGGCCCTGTTCTTGTCCTTGTTGCTGTGATTGTTGGAAGGGAAAGTCACTGGAAGCGGGCCACGATGAAAGCATATCTCCCGCTGTCATCGTCATCGCAGAGGAGGCGTCAAACATGGCACGAGAGCTCATGTCATCGTCGTAAGGGTATGAGAAAGGGAAATTCATCGTGACGGGATTGATGGCGGCCAACATTGCTGCGGTGGCGGTGTCGATCCGGTCTTGTCTCGCGCTGCTTGGTCCGCTCTCTTTCTATCTTTCTTTTCCGCCTGGTTAACTCGGAACAACGTCGACTGCCACCAAATTATTGCTGTCAGGGCGTCAGGGCGTCAGGGTGTCAGGGTGCCGGAACAGGAACCAAGAGTCAGCGTGGCTGAAGGAACTGTTAGTTATACGAAATCTTGGAGCAACTCCGAGGACAAAGATCCAGGCCGGCGAACACGGGGACGCAGTTTTGATTGGCCAATTCGACAGCAATGGGCAAATCCAAACCTTGACTCACGTCCTGCAGCCCCAAGAGCCTCCGCGGAGCAAAGGCAGCTCACGAAACGACTCGAACATAGTGACTTCTACCAATGTATGTATATATTAACTCGAACCTGGATGCCATGTTACTGCGCCCTCCAACTAGACTTTGTGTCGCCCTTGATGAATTTCCAACTCCCTACCGCAATCTCTAGGCCGAGAAACAATCGCGTGCGCTATGCTGCCGTGTACGTTGTCCGATGTATCCAAAGCAATATGCTGATGAAATACTCACTCCTTCCACCCCGTCTTCCAATGCAGGATTCTTTGCAGTATTTTCCCTCATCTCCTGCTGCTCGCTTTGCTCCTCCTACTCCTCCGGCTCTCCACCGAGATCTGGCTCACGCTATCCTCGGGCCTGACCTCCCGATCTGTGACATCTAGTTTGGCCAGCTCCTTCTGTTTGGAAACCATGCTCGCCGTCTCCGTCTTATCGTCGTCATCAGTTATCTCTCCGCCATCACGAACAGGATTGAGTTTGCCGATAATCGTCCTTGGCCCAGTCGGTCCCAAATTCGACCTCGCAGATACGAAGCTGGATCTGCCGATGTCGGAACCAGCCCATGTAGCAGCACGCGACGGTGGAAGTGGATATTCGGCAGGGTCTCTGCGGCTGTGCTTTGAACTGACTCGACTTGCTGGCTTTATCGTCGCCTGCGAGTCGTGGCCAGAGACATAGCTGGCCGCCCTGGATCCTGCTTGTGACTGGTGCGCAGATGTGTGGCTCGCTGCTTTAGACCCTGCCTGAGACCTGTGAGCAGACGCATGACTCGGTGCCTTCGAGGCTGCGTGGGACTCATGGGCCGAAACATGGCTTGGTGCTTTCGAACCTGCCTGGGACTCGTGCATGGAGATATGACTCGGCGCTTTGGATCCTGCCTGAGATTCGCGAACTGATACATGGCTGGGTGCTTTGGATCCCGCCTGCGACTGGTGCACTGAGATATGACTTGGCGCCCTGGACCCTGCCTGGGAGTGGTGCGCAGAAACATGGCTTGCCACTTTTGATTCGGTGTGTGAGTGGTGGGAAGAAACATGGCTTGAAGATCGGTGCACAGACTCCGTCATATGCACAACCGTACGTGCTTCTTCATCCTCCGGCACATTCTCCTCAAACTCGTCTCGCCGACTCCTTCTCGACCTGGAGGTGTGTCGGGACTGCGATCTTGACCTCGGCTGATCCGCCGACGAGCGACCACTAAGACTCCTACCCAGACGACTTAAACTGCTGGCACGGGATCTCGAGCGTCCGCCACCGGACGCAACAGAGACCTTTGATTTCACCGTCAGTGCAGTCGGAGCACGGTAACTTGTCGGTGGTGGTGCGTTCATGCTCTTTTTCGACTGCCGCGATGCTTTCGATGAAGCATGCGATAGTGCGTCGAAATCACGAGGGACGACCCCAAGGCCGACTCCAGAATCCATGCTCACTCTTCTTGTCACCGAAGCAGGCCGGATTGTGGATGCTTGATCCGGGAAGTTCTGAACGGTAGATGCGGAGGGATCGTGGTCGTACATGGTGATGAGCTTTTGCTCGCTAGGTTCCTGGGGGGCGTACGTATATTCCGAAGGTGCTGGTTCAATAGCCCGATACCCAAGTCCTCCGGGAACTCCGTGGAATTCGGAAGGGACAGTTGAGTATTCCGCGCGCATCACATTGACGGGTTCGGTGACGCTGCGACCTGTGCCAGAAGGGCGTGGAGGGGGCACAAACTTGTGTTCTTCTCGATCGTCACGACTGTCTTCCTTGGATCGGTTGCTGAAGGCGTAGTGTAGGGCGGCGCCGGCGGCAACGCCCAGAAGGGTCCCAACAATGGCTTCACCCGCTCCACTACCACCGCCCGTTGAGTTGTTACCTGCAGATGAGTTTGGCGGGGCCGAAGAGATGAGATTGGGTGTCATGCTGTTGACAAGGTCGCGGGCTACATTTGCGGCGTTGCGTGCTTCGTTGATCAACGACCCGAGAACATCCCCGGAAGGCTTTGGCCTGGGTTGGGTATTTTCTGGAGGTACATTCGGTGGGCTAGAGACATATGACGGGGCTTGAGAAGCAACTTGAGATGGTGCTCTGACGCTCTTCGCAGCGGATACGACGGATTTTGGAGGTGCCGCAGCGGAGGGAGCTCTCGCACTCCGATGAGACACCATACTTCTCGCGTCTGCATTTTCTTTGTTGGCATCGTCGCCGAATGCAGGTCTGTAGACCGCTTCGATAGAATTTCCATCAAAGTCGATCACTGCGGCCGAGTAATATCCCGAGGCATCCCGCTGGCAAGGTTCCCCGTGGATTTTCCCACCAGCCTTGAGAGCAGCGAGGAAGAAATCCTGTACCTGTGCCCGAGACGCCGCAGGAAAAGCCACGTGTGCGGCCCCCGCGGGCACGCCAGGGATTTCTTGTGTGATCCAAAAGTCGGCCGGGGTATTGGGTGGAGATGCGGGGCCAAACCCGATGGTGTGCTCTTGTCGGCCGCGGAAGACGTAGTTGAGCGGTTGAAGGGCGGAGAGGAAGAACGAGGTAGATGTCGGAAGGTGGCTGACTGTGAGGGTAATGGAGGAAGGCATGGGATCGTCGAGGCAGTCGGTGGGATGGACGTGGGTGCGGGAATATGCTGGAGAAACAAGGACGTGGTGCTTGACGTTGTATGACCTCTCTGATTTTGCAGAGTCGACGGCAATCTTCCAGCGTCTCTTTGAGTTCAGACAGCAATGAATCTGGTCGAGCTTTGCAGCCTGTTTGTCTTGGGAGCAATGGGTCTGGAGCCCTAGCGAGACCGTGTACTCGCAGTTGGATTCACCGATCTCTCACGGACTGTGTCACCGTGATGAAGATCCCGTACAGAAACGCGAGGAAATCAAGAGGCTTTGATTCTGTTGGACGAAGTGTCAAATCGAAGGGAGTTTTCAGTCAACAATGATGCTGTACTGTATATAAGATCCTTAGCAACGAGGGGAAGAGTCAAACGAAAGATCAGCAACGGGCATGCAACATGACTGGTACCAACCGGCGGTTTATTCGCTACAAGTCTTGTGATGATCAACCATCCATCGGAAAACAGTTCTCTTCGTCCATGAAACCACAGACATGGGGTCAAGCGACCCAACCGCGGGATCTGGGAGTGCCGATGGGGGTACCTGCGCCTTGCTTCCTGTCGGCGCCTGATTTTTTCTCACTAAACCCCTAGGCCCATCTGACATGGAAGGCGAGACGAGGGGCTGGGAAATACAATGCGTGATGCATGCTGGGTGAGGCGAGAAGAGGCTCCAGATGTCGATGGTGGCGAACGAATCGAGAAAGGCGGGATGGGCGATGAAACGGTCTGGTGCCGGGGGAAATGCCACGTCGAAGGAGTCTGAGGTTGGCTTGCGAGGTGGGTGGCAGCTGTGGGCCGGGAGGAAGGAATTGTCCGGGACAGAAGCGACAGAAATGGCAATGGAGGAGGGAAAAAGGGCAAAAAATGGCCCAATTGTGCATATCTGTCGAGGCTTGATTGGGAGCACAGGGCGTTTTGATGGAGTCGGGGAATTGCGCAGCGGCATGACTGGTTGAGATGGAGGACGACCAGCGCCAACTGGCTGGTGTCTGTTTCGGCCCGTTGCGATTTCGGTCGGGCGTCAATGCATCAACGACGGGTGAGTGACTTGGTTCCTCAGTAAGTTGGGTGCCAGTCAACTGCTTCCTCACCTCTTACTCAACACTCACCCTCGCCCTCAGCTTCGCTCTCACAGCCCCTTGCTCGACAAGGAGCGTGACACGATCCGCATACATACCGACCATGTAGGTACCACGTACTAAAACCTCAACATCTCGGTCTGCCTTGGGTCGCCGAGGCCGTGCCATGGAGTCACTGACCAAATGAGTGACTTGACCAGCTCTAGCATCCAACCTCGTTGCTTTTGTCACAGTCATGTCAAGTCAACGCCACGCCACGCCGCATTGTGGCAACAAAAAGGACTAATTCACTGCGAGAAAGGGCCAGGGATTTCACGAAGAAGAACCGTACAGACCACACGTCGCTTGCCTCGAGTGCCACGGCAGAAGAGATGATGCAGATGATGGAAGAGAATGATTGAGATGCGTGTCTGTCTCGTGGCGTAGGCTGGACCTACCTACAGTGGCTGTCGCTCACGTGCCTCACCTTCTCATGCTCCTTAACAAATACTATGGAGTCTCAACAGCTGCAATTCGTGCATGATGATCCGCACCCAAAGGAATCTTTCATACAAGAACATTACGGCAAGGTAGAGTGCAGGAGCATGGACTTGTGGAAGATGGTGGTATATGCACCTAGGTAGACGTGAGGATGTGGTTATATTCAACCATTTCCTCGCCCAGCTGACGGCGCTGGGGAAGCGGTGTCTTCAACATCCGCTTCTGGCTACCCAACGGACACCTAGAGATGCCCGGATCATTATCAAACAGTATTTGCCGAGACTGGCGTCTCCCCTCCAAACTTTTGTGCATCAATCATTGTTCTGATAGCCTGTGGATAGCAGTGTAGGGCAGGTTGACGTGCACCTACGGGTATCTCAGACGGAGAAAAGAAATCTCGCCTTGAGGTGTTGTTGAACCATGTTATGTCTTGTTGTGAAAACAAACGCCAGATCCAACACTCCCCCAATGCATCACAAACCGTATCGAGGGGCCACTCATGCGACCCGGCATCGATGTTGTGATCGAGCCAGTTCGCCGGAATGGCCCACGGCTGGAGTCAGAAAATATCGCGACCTGGGAGAGGAAACATCAGTCTGCTCAGAGGCATTACCTTTGATTGAAAAAAAGCCCCCGCTTGCACTTAGATGATTTTCCAAGCGTCCTCGCAAGCGTGGCAGAACTTGCTGCAAGCAATACTGGCGCTGAGGCTGTAGTTGCTGATACTGATGGATTCGTCCTTGAAGGCATCGGCAAAGTCGTCCTTGCCCTTGGCCATGGCCCCGACAAACACGCATATGCTCTCGTTGGAGGCCAGGGTATCGACGTAGTCGCGGACTCGGACGACTTCGGCGTCGAAACTCAGAGTGACCTTCCGACAGTTTGGTGGCAGATGATCCGTGATGGGGTTCTTGATGACTTTGAGGAGTTTCTCCTGCGAATTCACCGACCGGATCGAGAGTCTGTGCAGCAGCTGGACCATGAGACCTGCAAAGCGCTTGAAGGTTCTGGGAATCCGGACAGTAGGGCTGACTTCGATCAAAACGCCCTTGGCTGTGTGAATGTAAATCTGTAGTTTACCCGCCTTGTTGATGGGAGAGTCGAGCAGAGTAAGCAGGCACTGGACGTTGAAGTCAGCTCGCCACTACAAGAGGATCAGTGGGATGTATAGCCACCTGGTGTGTGATGTCGGGTCTGGCATCACTGATATCTCGTCCCATCTTTCTCATGACACCAATATGCTCATCGCTGTTCAAGAGCGAATACTTCTCTTCTTTTCCTCCTGGTTTGCCGCTATGTGCAGCTCGGTACGTCTCGAGGGAGGCATTTGACAGCACCACGATCAGTCTCTTCGTGTCTTTGTCGGTCGCGGCGATGGGGACGTGCTGTTCGGCGACGAGTCGAGGAAGTTCGGGTGGGGGGAGAGATTGCGCTCCTGCAGAAAAGTGTGAGCCAGACCGAGCATGAAACGGCTGGATCGTAGAGAAGCAGAACAGTCATTCATTGCTGGGGAGGGTCTTTCCAGATCGGCCCTGACGACTTGAACGTACTCGAGCGCTTTCTCTTGACGCCGGCTTCAACAGATCCGGAAGGCATGTTGACAGCGGAGGCTGCAGGGTACGCAGGAGGGAGGAGGGGGCAGAGTGCAATATGGGTTCGAGGATGATTTCAGACTTCACTCCCTTCCCAGACCGTGAAGGGAGAGACACTTTCTTGTCGAGGAGGAGAGGAGGAGGAGGCTTTGACTAAGGATATACCGGAAGAATAGTCGGTCGACAAACACATAACCAGGATGACTGTTTGCACGGCTCGGCTGTCGGATTGTTTGAAGTCGCTGAGATTTTTCGCACACGATCAAAATTTCGTCTCCACTCACCCGCACCACCGGCACCGGCTGGCACTGACCGACACCTGTCAAACGTCCAGGCTGACAGCCGCCCCGCGTTGGAAGTTGGAAATGTCTTTCCGCTGCCTGATCGGTCGCTGGAGCTTGCCGGGGCTATTATTACTATCATTATGGATGCTGTCGCCTAAGGGAAAGTCTCCATTCATCACCGCCAGCTCACTTCGAAACCTCCCTCTCACCCCCACTCAAGCACGCTACCAATTCAGATACCGAATGTACCCAGTCTCTCCGACCCTTTTAGCCTCGTCTCGGAAACATTCCCACCGCCTTGACCCTGGGAGACAACCACGGTCCTCGAGTGCAGCATGAATGAAGTCGCCGAGACGTTGTCCTATAGTTGCTAGTCTTGCAAGCTCGACATGTCGCCGATCCGCATGTCTGCCTAGGTACGACTGCAGACTTATCTCCGCGCCCAGACATAATGATGGAGCACGAGTGGAATGCCACACACCGCCTCGATTAGTTGCGTAGAGGAATGAGGGAACAGTGCGTCGGGCGGGCGATGTCGGTGACAGGAGGTTAGAATCTAGCTACATACGCAGGTAGTTAGCAGGATGGAGTCCGCCGGTGTCATACTAAAAGGGCGTGAAGCAGACTCCATCTATGCCCTGTCGCCATCAGTCCTATTAGCCTTAGACTTGAGCTGCAGTCGTGGAAGATCGTGTCTCCCTCTTATCGCCTTTGCAGGGCATATTTTGGCCATATCTGAGAACGGGCCAACTGCCGCACACACCTCGAAGTGCGACCAGCAGGGGGGTGACACATGATCAAACGCAGTAAAGAACCCAAGCGAAGTGCAAAAGACGTCGGGGGAGAAAAGGAAAGGACAGCCTTCGACAGAGAGGGTTGATCAGAGTTGATTCCGCCTCTAGAGCTCTCTTCCGCGTTCTACACCATTAATTACAGCAGGTCCCTCCCCAGACACACCGGCCAGACGCCCAACAACGATATAGCCGCGAGTATCAAGCCGCCAACAGCAGAGCTCGCGGGCGTCTCTGTACACTCCAGGTCCTGTGCGAAGAAGCTGCATTCCCCCGACAACGATAAACACATTTCCCGACCTCGACGATATGGCCTTCAGACCCCAGGAAGCGGGGAAGAATAGGACGTCGAACCACCCCCAGCTGCGGTCCTCCACGACTTTAAACGCGCAAGCAAAAGTCCCCAACCCTGGCATGGCTCGCACCAATCTCCGCCCTTGCCCATTACACGGCGGTCAACGCGGGCTTCTCGAATTTGGTGATGATCCACCAGGCGTCTGTAGAAATCGACATGAGACGTGGTCAGCTTGTATCCCGCGAACAACTGCGTAACACAACACACCCGACACGCCCTCTCCCTCAGTGCACACCGAATCACGTGTGAGCGGGGAAGGAAGGAAGGACAAAGAGGGGGGGGGCTGTATAATATTAAGGAAAAGGGACTTACGAAGAACCCCCGGCAGCCAACCCAGGATGCTCAGGAGGATGTTGATGAGGAAGTTCGAGTCGCACCCGGTCTTGAAAAAGACAGCGAGGGGAGGCAGGAACAACGCGAGGAAGTACAAGCAGACATCGCTCTGGTCGCGCAACAGCCATAGTCAGTCAACCAACGTTATCGAGCATCTCTTGCAGCAAGCGGCGCTGATCCGGGGGGAAACGCGCTTCTCTTCGCGCGAACACAATCAATGGCAAAATCAAGGGGAGCAGTCCCTCCTAAAGTTAGAGAAAGGGGGAATCAACGTACGGTGGAAGATGCGGGACGAGCCATTGTTGCCAGTGTTTGTTTATCTCCTGCTACCGGCTGTTTTTCTTGCTTTGGTTCTCGTTCGGCGTGCTTTGTTATTTTGCGGTTGTTAGTCGTTCGGTTCTGTTCTTCGGCTTTTGATGGGTTTCTCCTGTCAGATTCAAGAAAAGGGCAGGGTTTTATGGTGGGGGTTTTTTCGACTTGGTGCTCCTTTCTCAGCTAAAGGATGCGGTTGATCCTATATATCAGCGCCACGATCCTACGAAATGTCACTTGACCCATCAGGCGATTTGGATGATGTCGGCACCTGGGCACAGAGCGGAGGCGGCATTACGTAGCCCCGCCGCCAATCAAGGAGCCGATTTGCTGGCTTGGCGCAAAAACAAGAATTCTGGCGCTTAAAGGTTAATTCCTGAGCTTGTTTCGGACCCTGGCGAGCCTGGATTTGGATCCCAAGCCAGTGACGGAGGCACTCAGCCACTTCAGCCGCCACCTTGGGAGAGGCACTGTGGCAGATGGAGGTTTAAATGCGTCAATCATCTGTCCAGGGTTTACGTATGCTGGCGCCGTCATGATCGACCTACTCCGAACCCCAAGGCTCGTCGCTCGTAGGGGACCACACTCGCCTCCTGCTATGTGTACAAAATATACCTCTTCCAATTCTTTCTCCTCTACCCGTGGTCGTCGTTCACTCAAAACAGAGTCGCTACTGGAAACAGAAGTATGAATCTTTTCGCAAACCTGGACGCCACCTCCTTTTGTGGGTGTAAGCAGCAGATATGGCCTGTTCAGGACACGGCTCTTATCTGAACCTGCTCCGCGGTGTTGCCTCACGACCGAATAGAAACTGGATGGGCTCTCTTCCGTCGAAGGAGCAGTTTGCAATGCTCCAACCCTGGTCAAAGTATTTTTTTTCCCCGCTCTGGCCTGCTGTTTTTCACCTGTACGCCTGTTCCCAAAGCTTTACGGATCCCTCTGTAACGATCCATGTCCCTCGTCGGGTGATATGACTGAAAAAAAAACAAACAAATGAAATTGCTGATGCTCTCAAAAGACCGCATGCGCTCTTCGTTCAAGTCGTAGTGGCCGTGTAATGCTCCAAAGATGATGAGTTCGGTGACATGACATTTAATGGTTCCCGCCAGAATCCCTCATCTGCTCGTCAAGCGATCTCATCACGCTATCCTGAAGAGGTGACTGGGGCTGGATCAAATCGCTTGCTATCCGCGGTGGCTTTTCATTGAACTCTCTCTCCATTTCCACATTTCGATCCCGCAGCGAGGGGGTTTCGTCGTCGGAGTACAACTCTGGATCGAGGTCAAGGGGTTGGGTCGGTGGACTTGACATGCTCGTGTCATCTGCTCCCATTTCTGTCGCTGTTGCCACTGTCGAAGGGGATACTCTGCGTACGCCTGGGGTTGACGAGCCGATGGCTACAGGTGACGAGGCCAGGTCAGGAGTATGATCTTCTCTTTCTTCTTCAGCCTCGTTCGGCGGACTCAGCGCCCGCTTGTTTTCCCTCGACCCAGCGCTTTCACCAGCTTCCGTGACGACAGGCAAGGTCATGGCGGCACGTGAGTCCTCCGTTGTTTTCAAGGTTCGGTCTGGCTTCTCCTCTTCATTTTTACTCCAACCTTTCTCAGACGGCGTCGCCTTGTCAGTTTGTTTGTGGGCTTTCCTCATCGTCCTTTCCACTGCTGGACCGATGGGCGGAGAATGCACCGTAGATGGGTCGAGACCAGTAGAAGAGGCCGCGCCTGATGGCTGTCCCAGATTCTCCGCAGACGCAGCATGTATTGGCACTTGTTCCCAGACTCGGTGACTCTCCCCGGTTTCACGCCTCTTGGCTTCTTCTTGGGTCATGGTGATCCCAGTGATGAAATTGACGAATCGTTCCCCGTATGCTTGTGGAGGGATAGCTGATATCTGCCCTCGCGGCGCCGAGAGACCCTTCCAGTAATGCTCAATTCTTTTGATCATACCATACTGTGGAAAATAAGTCAGTAGCAGCGCAGTAGCGAGGACGTCAAAGATCAACTTACATGGGTCAAACAGTCAATGATGCCAAGGTAGTAGACCATTTCACCACCTCGCCCATCTTCATGCGTGGCTCGAATACCGCCATCATAGTTGTAGAAAATCCGATCCCGTCTTTCATCCCCTGAGGCCATCTCAGACGGCATCTTGGCACTCACCAAGCCCATAGGGACCGGCTTCTCCTTCTTCAGCGTCAACCGCAATTCTCGCGCTTTTCTCGCATTCTCCAGTCGCGAGGGTGTTCGGGTCAGCACCGAGGGTCCATATTCGTCCTCGTTGTTCTCTCCACCGGGCTGAAATACTTGCAGCGTCGCCTCCCTCAGATTCTCCTCATTCCCCTTCTCCAGGTCGTGCATGCCAACTAACAAGGAATAATCCATAATGTGGAGCCTCTGCAAGAGAGCAACGTCTCTTTTCATCTGGTCCAGGAATATTTGTCGTATTCGAGCGTCGAATTCGAGATGCAAACCCCTCCGCAACCAATTCATGTCTTTCAGCGTCGCCCGAGGGTTATTAGCTAAGTCTTCCTCACTAAAGTCTCTGCCAACGGTCGACCCCTTCAAGTCAAACATTTGGTGGATATCTCGGTGCGGAGGAAATAGATTATTCATGACCACGAAATGAATTTTGCGCCCGTAGGGGATTTTGACTCGATGCAAACCGTAAAACTGACTTATCAGCGTGTTAGGGTTGTCCAGCACATGTCGATAGTAATCCCTTAAGATCTTCCGAAGCAGCTTATGCTCGGCGTGATGAATCGTCTTGATGATGTACTTATAATCCCTCGAAAAGTAGAAAAAGGAGCCCGACTTGCCGGGGCTCCCCAATTCCGAGAGGATATACTTGCTGGTGAGACTGACAAGATAGTCGGCCGGGTCCAGACCAAAGATGGCCCTGAGGTGTCGAAAGACCCAGGGACTGTAATCCTTGAATTTGAAGTCATACTTGGCACTCGGCGTCAGCTCGTTTCCGGTGATATCGAAGCTGAACTTGTGCTTCGCGTCAAAGTCGGCATCCGTCAATTCCCGGTCCATCTTTGCATTCGTTCTCGACACAGTAAATCGAATTCCGGTCAACATATTGTAGGCGGTGACCCAGTTGACGTGGCCCTCCTCGACCTTCTTGCCGACAATAACGCGGTCGTCATCCTCATCCTCTTTCCTTTTGCGCCTGCTCGCTCGTTTCTGCTTGATGAGCTCTGTCCAACGCGCAGCATCTTCATCGGGGGGAACCTCTTCTAAATGGGCATCCGATTGCATCGACCGAGTTGTCCTACGAACCAGGCCGAGCGACGCTCGTCTGTGCCGCACTACAGTTCCATCGTGCTGTTCTCGTGTGGGGGAGAAGCGGCCGGTGGCGGTGGAGAGCGCTTCTTCAGAAGGCCCGCCTGCAAAGGAGAAGTCGCGCGAACTCCGACCGACTGCGCCAATGCCACCTGCCTTCGGAACTTGTAGGGTATGGCGATGTGTGAGTTTCGGGGGCTCGGGAGTGGGAGATAGTTCAGAATGTCGATCCTGTATTGAAGCACCTGGGGACATGGCGGGCGGAGAGGAAAATCGTGCAAGTACGGGAACGGCAGCGCGAGAGAGGCCGGCGGAGCTCGTCTCTCCATCTATTCGCGCAGAATCCGGGACGGTTGAAGCGGTGACCATGTGGTAGGGATCGTACTCGGGCTTTGCGGGAGGGATGTTCGTTTTCAATTTACCCAACTCTGGCGTCGACTGCGACCTGGGTGAGGGTTCGGGGAGGCCATTAGTTTGCTCGTCAATATATTGCTCTGCCGCATTCTCAACACTAGATAACTTGGTCAATGGTCCCTCTGATGACGCGGGACTCCTCGAGAGTTGTTCAGTGTACTTTGCGGCAGCGCCCGTGCTTGCGGCCGAGTTGGTGCTGCCGGCCTTGGATTGCGTTCGATCTCGAGGGGGCACCTTGACGTTTCCATTAGGAATGCCATTTGTCAGGGAGCTGTGACTAGTATTGTTGCGCAGACTCTTAAGCTGATCCAGTCTGTGATCAGACAATCCTGCCTCGACATCGGTTCCGTTTGTGTAGGTAAAGACACCGCTGATGGTCTTGTCGTGGGACTTCCTCGGAGGGCCCTCCAACGACGACGAATTCGAGTGGACGCTATTGGAGACGACGGACAGAGGAGGTTCAGATGCCACAGATGGCATCTCAGTCTCACGGGGTTGAAAAGAGACCTACGAGGGCAGGATGGATGTGAGCATTGGTCGTAGGTCACCGGTGCGTAGAGGGAGTAGGACGATCGGAGGTCATATCTCGGGTCGAGGTGCGTTGCTCGTTCGGATGTGATTGGATGTCTGCAAGTAATATTGGATTCAGGACAGAAAGGGAACTAGCAATGCAGCTCCGAGGTCAGCGTATAGACTGCTGACTGGTATAGACACTGTGGTTGCTATGATGCTGAATGCCTGCATACGAGGGTTGTCATCTCAGGATGTGGACGGTAAAGGTTATTGTGGTACGGGAGTTCCCTACTAACTGGGTAACCGGGGTTTGGGGTGGTGCTGGCCAGATTCCTAGTCTCCCAGACGCCCAATATTGACCATCCAGTGTCCACCGCGATATGCCAAGCTCGTGAGGCACCGCCTGGAGCCCAATCTCCCCTGCCCGCCAGCCCCAAGCCGCGTCCACCAGCGCCCGGCATGAAGCCTGGATTTTGACTGGTGTTCACCAATATCCGCCTCAATCGGCTCAGAATTACGAGTCCCTCGCTGATAATGAAGGCTCCTCCCCGTTAAGGGCACGCGCAACCCAGAACTAATAGTTTGCCGGCTACCTGCAGGTACCAGCTCAGAGCCTGAGTGCGATGCGCCTGCACGCCAGTTCTATTTTAAAGACACAATTTATTTTGTTTCTCCTCCTCCTGCCTTTGTGGAATCTCTATTCGGTGACCGCGCCCTCTAAGATTCGATTCTACTTCAGCCTTGTTTCACTTGGATTGACGATCTTTACGTAGCAGTACCGAGTAGAGCGCAACTCGTAGCCGATGGCTCTCTACTCCGTACCCCCTCCGTACCCCCTCCGTCGAACTTGTTCCCTGGCCGGAACACGGGCACGACGGGGCCAGGAAAGCCAAAGCATGACGTAGCCTCGCGCGGTAGTAGCCTTGCAGGGTTCCCCTGGCACCCCTTCCTACATCCGATCCATATACTTGGTAGGTATCTTGGAACGGACGGACTCTACCCCAGCGGTCATGGTAAGCGATTCGTGAGCACAAAGCTCTCTGTTTGATATATCTTTTGTCGTCAAATGATGCAAAGCTCTCGCAAACAGGAGTTGCTGTCATCAGCGCAAGAAATTGAACACCTGGACGCCTTGCTTTGGTATCCGCAAAATCCTGACAAGCATGCCTGTTGAATTTTCCTTTTTCGAAGGACCCAATGTATCGAATTTTGGATGGCCACGTGTGCTATACTCAAGCCAACAGCATTTTGGCGACATTGACCAGCGCTTCAGTGCCTTCTCCACCGCTACTTTGCGTCCCTCCCGAAGTCCCGTTGGATGTGGTCAACTCGGCATTAGGATAATACCACGCGGTGACTGCGATAATGACGTACACAATCTGCGTGTGATCGTGGTCAGTTATGACATTCCGGTTTCTCATTAGTCGTGGGAGAACATACCACAAGCAGACCGCCTTCCAGGTAGTTGGAAGATCCATCCCTGAGGAAATTGCCAACTACCAAGATAGACATGACCAGAAGCACGACCATGAAGATTTCAAAGTTCAAATCCATCGGCTTACCAAGACCCCAGCCAACGATGACGACCAGAGGGGCATTGAACAGGGCGGTCTGAATAGAAGGTCCAAGGCAGTGGTAGAGAGCGAAATTCTGCAGAGTCCGAAGTTAGCCACTTTTGCTCTTCCCAACCCTGGTGCGAAAGAACTTACGATCTGATTGTCATATGCTTCGTCGACGGCAGTCAAATGTTCCGCAGCCTTCTCGACCAACGGCACGAGAACCAGACCCAAGAAGTTGTCCGGAACTCCATTCGCAACGACAAACTCGATCTCGTCCACTAGGAAGACTGCAATGAGGGAAATGAACGTCAAGGCAAAGACAATGGCCACGATACACTCGGTCATGGTCAACTTTGGCTTTTTGAGATCTCTGTGCCTGTCTCTATCAGCCTCTTCATCGGCTTCGAGGACTTCTTGAAAAATGTTATCGTGGGAAAGTGAATTATAAAGCAGGTAAAGCGCAAATGCAACCAGGAGGATGACAGAGACGCCGTGGCTGATGTTGAGGGTATCGCTGCGTAACTGTGAGGCCGTGTATCCTTCTTCGCCGTCAGGGACGGTGCTGCGGTTCAATGAGGAGTAAAAAGCGCTGGGGATCAAGAGGGCAAATCCCGCAACCAAGAGCAATCCCGATCCAGCTTCACTGATGACCGCGTGGAATGTTTGTTCCTTGTGCACCAGCCCGCCTACTAAGAAACAGGATCCTAGACACAGCAAGAGGTTGGTAAGGATGGACCCGAGGATGGCGGCTTGGATCACTACGATCTTATTGCCACTTCCGATCTCGCCAGTTCCATTGTCTTTAGCAATTAGGACCATGAACAAAACGATCTCCACGACAGATCCCAGAGTTGTCTCGATGAGGATGCCCATGACCTTTGGGAGCTTTCTCGCCAGCTCTTGTCCAGCGAACCCGAGCAAATTGGCAGAGGGAACCATAGCGATGTAATTGATAGCAAAGGTCCACAGATGATGGTCGCCATGGACAAAGTGGAGAGCAATGGCCGCGGGGACGAAAGGCCACAGGATGTTGACCCAGCTCGAAACTGTGCAAGACGATGTCCATATGATCTTGAAGAAATAGACCGGGTGAATTCCGCTGCGACCACTCTCCCCATCGGGATGGATGCCTCTTGTTACCAGATGACCGTTGTGATTGTATTGAGGGAGGACTCCTCCGGCAGCAGGGACGGGCGAAGAGGCATGTGTGGAATCATTGGAGCCATTGGGCTTTTCTGCGACAGGGTTGGCGTTTGGAGCTGCGTCTGTGACAACACCAGCTTTGGTCTTGCGGTTGAACAGCCCCATGGCCGCAGGTAAGAGGGTTTGTAGTCGAGGAGGTAAGGTCAAGTCAGCCTCGACTTTCGAAACGAGATTTTAGTACTGGGTATTGGAATGGGTGCGGATGGCTTGGATGGAAAAGCTGGGTAAAGAGGGATTGTCCCGTTGGCTTCACAGGGACATGTCGACTGGACAGGAAGAGAGAACCGCGTGACAAGACAGGAGAGAGAGACGGAAAGAGTCAGTATGAACAAGAACAGTCAGAAACAAGAAAGTGAAGTGAGTAGAATCAGGTCGAGCGAGGGGTGAGGTACTACTGAAGCAGCAACGAAGAGTGTTTCAAGGAAGGGAAGAACTCTAGAAAGCGACCCGCCAACTCGAAGGCAGTGACAACACGAACCGCAGTCCGAAAGTCAGAATTAATCAAATCCAAGGCAGCAAACAAGGAGTGAAACCTGGACCAGAGTGCTTGGCCCTCGAAGCCCGTTGGCTTGGTCATGTCTTGTCGTGCATTGTGTCGCCCTCAGCTGGAGACAAAAAGGAATGGAGGATTATTTCGACAGTGGAGGACTGAAGGGATTGTGGAGTAAAAGAGCCCGGAAGGCCTGAGGAGGAATTGATGGGCAATATGAAGGATCCCTAAAGGGCCTGGCGCGCCGGGGGGTCGTTATTTTAGGCTCGGCTCGATCAGGGGGGGCTAGGCCGGGAACAGAATGACCCGGGGAGGTCAGAGCCTGAGAGGTCACCGCCCACCAGCGAGTTCCAGTAGCCATGCTGCCATGTACGTGTATCAATGCAGCCCTCTGCGCCTTGGCCTTGTTCAGCTCGGGCTCCCCGTTTGACGTATAGACGACTCATATCCTCGACAGATGCACAATCGAGACGGGCAAACTCACCCGAGCAGAGATAACCCCCCAGAGAGCGTTCCTTTTACATTTTGTCCGCAGCCTCGATGGGCCTTCCCTCATACATCCCGGTACCTATGTAGGTAACTGAAGCTCATCTCTCGTCTACACACAATCCCTCTGGCGTTTCCCATTTGTTTCCCTCTGCTTTCTCAGCGTAATCCATGTCCCTTTTCTGACCATCAGCTATATCGTTACAAACCAAGGGCGGGTATCACTCTCAAAATATCAAAACCTCATTTCTTGTCACTCATCACGGTCCACTTCCAACTCGCCACCTGCGGACTCTGCACGCCCATAAACACCTCTCCCGCAGCGCTGTTGTCGTTGTTCGCACTCGTGGTGGAAGTTGCACTCAAGTTGGGCATTTGCTGCGTCTGCCCAGACCCTTCGGCTTTGGTGAGGTCTGGTGTCGACCCGCTCATCATGCTTCCTATGGTCTGAGGATAGAAACTAGACCCCGTGCTCATCCCGAAGGTCGCGTCCGTGCTAGTGTTTTCAGGAGATGACGTCTGCGTGAACAGGTTGTTATTGGGCGAGTTGTTCGACCACAAGCTCGCTGCTGGATCGAGTGTGAGATTCGAGGGCTGCATGTATTGATCCCATGCCTCCTGTAGATGGAGATTAGTATCCATCACCAATATCTTTCAACTCAGAGCCTTGGAAACTTACCCAATCCAAATTCATGCCTTGGTCCAGGTTGCCCATCGCACCGCCAAACCACCCGCTGGGGAATGGGCTTGTCGCATTCGCCGCTCCAAAAATGCCCGTATTGAATTGTTCGCCATTGGTGCCGAAATTGGGATACAACCCTCCCTTTTCCCACGAACCACCTGGTGACGCCGCCTGTGAAATGCCTCCGTTCTGTCCACTGGAGCCGATGGCTCCAGCTTGAAGCATGCCCAGAGTCATCGCCGCGTTCTGCTCGTCGTTGTTCGAACCCTGAGGCTGCTGAGATGCTCCTGGAAGTTGCGAGTTCTGTGGGTTACTCGGCAAAAATGGCAGCTTTATATGATAGATCAGCACGTTCAGAAGCTCGCTGGCCTTATAAGCCTCGATGCTCAGGTCACGGTTCGCCATCCACACATCGCGGCTCTCTTCCAATGCATGGATGAGGTCTTCGCGATTGTAACTGAGTCCAGGCGCATAAGCTCCGTCTGACGACATGTTGCTGCCTTGGCTGATACTGCCGCCACTAACCGAAGTATTCGGAGTGCTCACATCGTTGTTGTTGCCATCAGGCCGCTCTCGGTGATTGTATAGGTCCATGCAGACGATTGTTGCTGCCAGGAGATAGTCGTGCGCAGTCAGTGAGTTCACATGGTTGCGTAGACTCCTCAATCGTCCGCGTTCCCGGCTCTGCTGATGTTGAATGGCCTGGAAGCTCAGTAGTTGCATGGCCGAGTCTAGACACTGCTTTCGCGAATGTGTATATCGGTTCCCATTTCTGGCAAGCCGCATGTACCGGCGGTGGAGGACACATTGGGACTTGTGGTAAACCGTGGCGAGGCTAAAGCGAGCCATGATCAGTGAAATGGGTGCTAGCGTTTGTTCTGCCATTGGTCGAAGCTTCAGATGATCGGGAATACTCTCGTAGATATCTCTCAATCCACGATCAATCTTGAGGACCTCGTCGTACCCTTTGCGGTTGACTCCATTAATCTCCTCCAAAACTCGTCCGAAACCAAACGACAGTCGACCCTTTGCAATCATGTAGGAGATTGGCGTTGCTTCACTGGCAGGACGAGCCGGTGGCAATGACGCAGAATCTTCATCGAACTCGTCGTCGTAGATGTTGCGCGGCAATTCCGTGTCGGAGTCGCCAATGCGAATCATCGATGGCAACGCCACTTGAAAGGAAAAGAGAAGATCGGCACTGCGTACAAATGTCCAGACACGACGCCGCATCTCACCTTGGAATGGACTCAAATTGGGAAACAGCTTCGCGTCGCGGTGATAGCCCATCCGCATGGCGAGACGAGCAATCATGCCAACCAGCACCCAGACACTGGCTTCAGCATCTCGGTTGGAAGTATACTCCGCATGCAGATGGAATATAAGCGTCTCGATAATATAGTTGTGTGGCTTTGTGTAATCGGCCGTGATGAGACAGTGAGCCATTTGCGTGCGGAAATTCGCGGCCAGGTCCTGACATTTGCCTCGAAACTCGGGAGGTTCATCACCTTCCCGTCCATAAGATAACATGGCCAAACGCATCATGGAGAACAGCATGGCCACCCAAACAATCGAGCTCTTGGACGGATCTGCCCAATGCTGATTGTAATGTCGCTGAAATGTCGGGCCGTGCAGGATGTGAGTGGCTGGGTCAAAGGTATTGAAGTATCGTCCGATCAGGATATCAGACATGTACCGTGATGGTATTTGTGCGAGAATCTCGGCTCGACTGGGTGGAATAGTAGAGCCGAAGAGTAGAGCTGGGCCTGACCCCACGTCCGCACCCATGGATTTCCTGGCCTGCTCGACTTTTTCCATCTGGGCCTCATACTCTTTTTTGTGGGCGACGAAATAGTTCCTGACTTCGCCAATCTCATTTAGTAGGGCTGCCCAATGCGCTTCGCCGATATAAAAGGTCTTTTGCTTCTCAGCGTCAACCTTCAAAATCCCAAAGCTCTTGGTCACACCATCCGTCTCACTTTCAGGTTCTTGGCCATCTGCATCATCCATCATCGCGCTCTCTTCCAATTCATTGTCGAGATTCGGCCCCAACGATCCACTTTCCATAGTACTCGACCCGGCCGAAAGTGCCTGGGCAGCGGCTGCTGGACCAGCTGCTTGTGAGCCATTGGTCATGAGTGACAGGACCAATCCCTCAAGCCGGTCTATCCGATTCTGCATATCATCCGGGGTCGCGTTGGCAGCATTCTGACTTTGGCTGCCCTTCTTCCTCGCCGCGGGAGCGGCGTAGGTGCAGGAGGCGGTATCTCCTCGTTTTGTGCAGTTATCGCAGGGAGACTGTCGATTGCATTTCAGCTTTCGGTGTCTGCACGGCGCGCACGATAAGGGGATTCGGTTCCGCTTGCGCACGACTCGGAATTGGTCGGGAGAGGCGCCAGAATGCGACGAGTTCGCAGAGGGAGGCGTGGGCGTCATTGTAAGGTAGTCTTGGGCTGTCTTGCAGTCCAATCTCTCTCGGTGATTGTGTTTGCGTTGTTGTAAAACCCCGCTGCAAAGGCTGGCTGCGGAAGAGCACACTCAATGCTCCAAAATCCCCCACAAGCGTCTGTGTGGTCGCAATACCTGTTGCGGAGGTTCGGACGGGCAGGTCGACTGCTCAATCGACGTTTGCGACTCCGATGGATACTCAGTCCAAAGGTCAACAAAAGCGATTGAAGATGTTGTTGAGTGGCAGCCTGGGTCAAGTGGGCGCTCGGATTTAACACAATTATCTGCGCCAACAGCAGTAGAAGTTGGTTGGGGCAGCACGTGGATGGCCAGCAAAGGGTTCTTCAACCCTCGATTTCTCCAGCTGAGGGGGCGTCTCTCTGTGCCACGTCTGACGGCAGAAGTGGGAGAGAAGGAAAGAAAAGAGAATTGCAACAGAGAGAAATTGCCACGGATGAATAGAAAAGTGAAAGGAGACTAGCGGGCAGCGAGAACCTTGGGAGTGGTAAGCGACTCGATTTGACCGATGAGGAGCAACTGCACGGCGCAGCGCAGCCGGCGAGCCTTTTCGACAAGCATGCGCAGTTTATCAGCACCCAATGCAGACCACTCAATCATGATCTGATACGCCCGCTAGGCTGGTCGATGACTCACAGCACACAGGACCATGTGCGGGAACTCAACTAGTGGGAAGAATTGCATGTCCCTCGCAGGGAAGACCACCGTCCACCGCCCACCGTCCATCGTCCACCGGGCCAGCATCGAGTAGCGGTCGATTGAAGGAGGGGGACGCCTTAATTCCGGGCTCTCCATCAGCCCATTTCTTACGAGGGTCTCCTCCGTGCCTCCTACTACTCGCCAGATCCTTTTCCCCGTTCCTGGACCCAGCAGAGGATGATGATGTCAATCTGCAGATGCATCGTCCGGAGCAGATCATCCGCGGTGAGCGTCGACGTACGATATCACTTAGTACCTATTTAACTATTTGTATCTGTTCACTGCCTCCTTAAACAATGTCATGACGATGCTATAGACATCTCTCATTCAACAGTCGTTCACTGCCATGCGTGATCAGGACAATATTGTTGTTCTTTCCTCGATTGGGGTTTCTTGTTTCCGCAGTTACTGAAAATCAATCTTCACGAAATGCTCAAAAGTCCCAGAAGCTCTTTTGATTCTTGTTTTTCCCATTGGTGGTGTCCTTTTCCTCCTCTGATCCCATGCTCCAGTGACTCTCCATGCCCTTTCTCAACCGACTCTGCGTAGGCGGGTTCTGTGGCTGGTCGAGTGTCTCCTCATACGGGTCCCAGTGTGTTTCCATTTGTGACGGCTTCTTGCGGTGCTTGCTGACAGGCTTGTTCTCATTATTGGCCTTTTCGTTGGCTGGCGACGCTTCAGCCATTGTCCAGTGGCTGTCGAAATCGTGTTTGCGACTGGTATTGTTGGTGATGGTTGAGAGCGGTGCCTTTTCCTGCGGTCTGCCATTTTCATCCTCGTCGAATACATTATTTGAGTATAGCCCCATGCGATCACTGGCCGAGCTGGTCGGCCTGCCCGAGGTACGGTTGGGAGCTGGGGTCGCGGTATCTCTCAGTTGAAAGTGCGTTTCCGCGTCTTTTCGGGGCTTTGGGACGGCATGCCGCTCGATGGGAGTTCCGTCGTCCTGCAATTCAAAGTGGATCTCATTGTCGCGGCGTGGCTTCCCTGTGACCTTCTTTCCCGGGGTCTCGAGGTCATTTACGGCACTGTCAAGGCTGAAGTGGACTATGTCTTGATCTCGCACCTTTTGCGTGACCTTCTCTGGCGTAAAAAAGTCTGCGAAATCCCATTGAGATTGCTGTCTGCTGGATTTTCCTCGTACCGGCATCGTTGTCTTCGGCTTGGGAGTAACGTCACGATACTGCAGTGGATCATCTTCCAGCTCCTCTCCGAGATCGAAATGGTTGTACTTGGCAGGGTTGGACTTGTAGCCGACGGGAGCGGGCTCATTGGGGTCGTCAGCGAAGAGACGGGGCGGCGCGAACTTCTGGTTGCTGCCTCCTTTGGGTGCAACGACAGGCTCGACCGGGGCTTTCTTTGGCGATCCTGGCTCATGATCTTCATGTCCCGCCGCGAACAACTCGCTCATCTCGCGTGGCGGGGGTCTGGCTGACGCCCGCGGAGCCACAGCATTGGGGCCCAAAATTCGCTCATTTTCGTCGACGGGTTTCGGTGAGAAGAGGTCGAGGCTTGCATGAGGGTCCTTGATGTGCCTCTTGCTTGGGGACGCATTGCGCGACGATGCAAGACTTTGGTTTTCGGAGCGACCTCTGGGACTAGTGGGGAGTTCTGCTGCCGGGGGCACCGCCGTCAAGCTGGAGTTGATGAGTCTGACCTGGTCTTTGCCGTCGACCACAGGCCAATTCTTGCCTCTTGAACCAATCACTTCGGTCTGTTTCAGCAATGACGCTTGATCCCAGGAGATACGGATCACGGAGATTTTCTGTTCGGCATCGAAATGGACAATATGCGTCTAGTCGAGTTCACCGTCAGTTTTGGCGCCGTCATGTGGAACAGAGTACCCTTACCGTCGGAATTATCGCAATTTTGTCGACAACAAAGTTCTCGAGACCTGGCAGGTATGATCCTCCACCTGAGATGAATTCCAGCACCGTCTCAACCTCCAGGGCAATGGCATGAGGTCCCTCCACAGCCGAAATTATCCTCGCACTTTTGGCCTTGACCGACTTTTTGTTTTGAAACTCAAGATGCCGAACAATGTTGACGGGCTGTGTAAAGGTAGTCAGGGTGGTAATGTAGTGGAGGGAGGCATTCTCGGACAGGCTGATAGGATTGGGTAACTCTAGGAAACGCTGGTAGACGTCTTTGAGCGTCATCTTGATGACGACCCTGCAGACTCGAGATGTAACTCTGCGAATTAGTCGGAGGCGTCTGTCAAAGAGAAAGAAGGAATCGATCGTAGCGGAACTCGTGCAGGAGACTTGTTCAACGGGGACTGCGTTGTTTGTGTACGTGGAGGAAAGTCAAGTGGAAAGAGCCGCTGCGTAAACAACAGATCGACCAAGTGTGGAAGGTGAGGCAGCGAGCTATGCGATGTCTTTATTCGGAAAGGAAAATCCGACGCCCGACGACTACAATGTAGAATACTGAGCCGACGAACAGATTGAGGCGTCAGCAGCGGAATCTAAGGGTGTTTTGGTAGGTTTGCGAAAGGGAGCAAAGATGTCAATGGGCTGTCCCTGAAAGTTGCATTTCCTTAGCGGTGCAGGCTGCGTGAGGTTTGTTCAATGGGGAGACGCGTTGCCCCGCCATCGCGTCCAAAACACCCAAAGACGAGCTTCATGCAGGTGCTCCGCCTTAGCGTTGTTTCAGGAGTTTGCTCCTTGCTGGGGGCCATGTTTGAGCCCTAGGCTCAAACCCCCACAAGCGTGCCCTTTGAGAGATCAGCCTTGGGGCTCCCACTTCACCGACAGTCGGTTTTACAACTGCTGTCTGATCCAATCTTGCAAGTTCCATATCCAGAACAACCGTCCCAGTCTTTTGATCATATGTCAGCCTATTCTGCGGCCAAGATCGCCTTGTATGCGATTCGTCATCAGAATGCAGTCCCACAGGGCGGTGTTAACAATTTGATTGAGGACAATCGTGAGACGGGGCAGGTGCAAAGACTGCAGACTTTGGGGTGCTGGTTCGATCCAATCGTACTGACATAACAGACAATCTCTCTGCGAGAAGAATGCTGCACTGCTGTGATCAACTTCTCACGCAACACTGTTCCCGTTAGCGACAACCTTGCACACCTAGAGATGAGGCTGTCACCTACCCAAACCATTGCGAGGACATCTTTCCAATGGCATACATATTGCCCACGTCACTCCGCAAGCCGATCAGCTGAACTCTAACGGCCGAGCCTTTCTCGATCACATCACCAGCATTGTTGGAGTATTGCGGTGGGGTGGCGTCGGGATTGTGTCGCATATCAGGCGGAAGATGCTATCAATCATCAACACATTTCGCTCCCAAGATGACCACCAATACCACCTACCAACTTTGAAACAAACACAGTAAGTGGTCCAGCTTCGCAGAAGACTCCCTGGGGCTTGATAGAGGAGACGGCGCAATCGATCTGTCATTCTCGTGGTCAAAACACATGCTCTTCACCAAGTCACGGCATGAATCCCTACCGTCTCTCCCTTGAACGGTTTCCATAGAATGGCGCGGTAAAGGATTGTAAAGTGCGCCTCTCCAGAGCCCGGCCTCACTCTTCCAGGGGAGATGTTGTAGATGTCCATTATGCACACAATGTAGTATTCTCCATTGCAGCTTCCTTCCAGATCCGCATAGAGCTGGTCTTTGAGCCTCTCATTCACATTGGCCGCGAAAAAGGATGGATGAATGCTGATTTCGCGCTCGAGATATCGTAGGAAGAACATCGCGCTTAGCTTGCCCACGGACCTAGGCTCGCCCCTGGTAACAAGTTCGCGTGTAGAAGGGACAAGATTGGAGGCTGGCTTTCGCTTCAGCTTGGCCTCAATTCATCGTCTTTTCACAAGGGTGCCAGTAGGTGTCGCGCTTGTCACCGGAAGGCCTGAGGTCTGAACAAAGGTTAACAACGAGGACCCAAAACGGAGCACAGCGAACAAACCTCACCCCAGTGGAAAAGCGGAGGGAAGGGGCTTTTGGTTGTTTGCCGATTGCGAAGTGAAGTGCGCAGATTGGGGCGCGACGGCACTCTGGATTATTTTTTGAGTGCAAGGCGCATGCGCGATGATGCGAGGCGGGCTCGGTTCGTCAACCACTTAAGATGCCGTGTAGTCGCATCTATGGTGGGCTCTGAGGGTACCAAACAGGGAGCTCAGCGGCTGCTACTAGCGGACGACCTTTAGTGACTTTAGGCCTATACGCCAGTGTCTACAGGCTGCGAGGTTTTGCCGCACAGGCGGCATTCTCGTCCCCTTGGCGCCTGTGCGGATGTTGGGCTTGTACGTAACCACGACTTCCGCATTCGGTAAAGTCCAGCCTCGCACCTTTTGACCCGTCTCGCTCAGCATTTCTTCGTCATCTTTGGCCAATCTATATAACGTGTCTTCTCCATTTCTGACGAGCTGTTGAAGGCTTGTTGCAGCTGAAAATGAGGCTGAAGAGGTTTTTGTACCTGAATGGAGAGATGGATGGGTATCTCTTGACATTGATGGAATGCTTGGGTCGTTCTGGAGACAAAAGGTATCTGGAAGTCCGATAGATTGAGGGTTCCAAAATCAGCTGAAAGCCGAGAAGGTTGGTGAGGAGCCGAGGAACAGGAACGGACAAGATGAGCAATAACGCTCAGGAAAAGTCATGCTGGATTGATTTCGTTGGATATCAGTTTCTTCATCGAAGGTCGTCCACACATCAAGCGACTGTCTTTTCAGATCTGACTATCTGCGAATACATCTAATGAGCAGAGCCTGAAATGGGTATCTGTCGGGTATCCCAAAGGGAAAATCTATCGAACAGCGACATCTGCAGAACCTTGTCTCTGGACGCTGTCCGTCCTTTCTTGTCCCGCAGCCAGCGCCTCCAACCTTGCGGCTTGCACGCGGTGTTTCTTGATGATGGAGATCCACTCCGGCTCAGGCTGGGATTTCGTCTTCGTCTTCGTCTCTGTCGCCGCTGCCGTTACGTCTGGCTCTTGCGGAGCTGTAGTTTCGGCCTCGCTGTCCCCTTTGCCATTGGGTACATCGCTTCCGGTCGCTGATACGGATTCGCTTGCTTCGACCCCTGTTTCTAAGTCCGTGGCCAGGTCTTCAGCGGCGGTTTCTGCCGCGTTTTGTCCCTTGTCTACGTCTTCATCTTCATCTTCACCTTCATCTTGGTCCTCATCGAGCTCCGCTATCATCAAGCTGAAATCTGCGCCAAGCCGGCCCAGCGAATTCGCCGCGTAGAGAACCTGCATCAGCAGACTCTCTCTCGCTGCCGGGTCTGTCACGTTCGGAAGGTACTGTTTCAGCGTGGAGATGAAAATATCGACCAAGTACAGTGGGAATGTCTGCAGAGCTGGAGGTAACGTGAGAGATGAATCTAGCGGTGACACTGGGGGAGCAGCGGAGGAGAAAGATTGCGGGAGCTGTGGTTGCTCGTCCGCTGGGAAGATGTTGCGGTACATGCTTATTGTCGCGAACGACTGTTCGCGAAAGATTTCAATGAAGCGTTTCAGGTAGCGTTCCGTCTGTTGGCCGGCCAGCGAGGGATTGTAGCTCACACCGGACGAGGACTTTCGGGTCGGTGGGGGCCGTGTCGTACTCGAGGATGTCGGGTGCTGGTGTTTTGGATGCGTTCTGGAGCCGGTCGCTTCTTTCCTTGCCAGCGTCTCTTGATCCGCTAGATCGCGTAGGGGAGAGAGCGCCTCAGTCATGCTTAGGAACGTACACAGCCGTGAGACTAGAAATAGAGCTCCAAAGTGGTCTTCTTGATGTGATGATGCAGGCGCACCCAGTCCGAGTTGTGAAGTTGATGCCGGCGTGAACAGGCCCGGTTTGTTGGTCTGAGAATTGGCTGAAGGTAAGCCCGTGGCCTTGCTTGTTGACAGCTCTGGCGCCACCCGCCGTAACCAACCAATCATCCGTATTGCAGCAGCGAGACGAAGGTTCTGGCCCCGAAGACTAGCGATGAGATTTGTTGTCATGTCCTTCATTGCACTTTCGGCATCGGCGAGTACGGACTTTACCAGCTGTGAGTCGGGATAGAGGATCTGAAGGCGCTTAATATGGGCAAATAGATCAAGCGCTTGGGTGTAATTGGCGCCGCTGACACCGGAAGATGAGGAAGTTGTCGATGTCGCTGATGTAGTGTGGGCTGAGGCAATTGCAGCAGAGAGTAAGGATGGAAGCTCCAAGATATCCTGAGCCTTGTCCGCTTGTCGAGCGAGAAGCGCGGCCTCGCGCCGCGCAGTAAGGATAGCATTTCCCCCGCCTCCCGAGGTGCTTTCCTCTTTGGACTTGGTGTAAGTTGAGGCAAAGCTCACGGCGCTGGCATCCAGGTCCGGAATCGCATTTTTGATCGATTCAGCCGATGTTGATATAAGCGGTAGTGAATTGCGGAGAATGCTGAGATGATCTGATGATGTGGTCGTCGTGCGGTGGGACCGGGAACTCAGCGCTTGTATGGAGAATAGATTGGACTGTGCTGCTTGACTGAGTGACTGAGGCTCTGTTGTGGTCAAGTCACTGAGACGGAGGGAGACGAGGCGGGATAAATATCTGGATATTTCTGGTGATGGGGATGAGGGTTGAGATGTCGACGCAAGACGAGGTTGCAGGAGGTCGTAGAGAGCATCGGTCATCTTGACATTGATGTCGAGCCTGGAAGCAGGCTCAAGTACTCCGTGTGTTGGTCTGCACAAGCCAGATCTCCCACCCTGTTTCCATCTCGATGGTCCAGGGCCGAAGGGAAAGGAGAGAGAGGAAAACACCTATTTCGATTGGCTGGGCCACCACATACAATTTTGTCTTGGCGCAAAGCTGGAAGGCTACGAGGCTACGAGGCTGAAACCCCCCCCCTCCTCAACATTCTAGTTCCGTCATCCTCAGCCTGATCCTCGATAAACAATGTCCGGCGTACACCTCACAGCCCTGCTAGGCAATCTAGTAGATACTTCGATGGCTCCGCTCTCGCCTCTCTTCATCTAGGATTTGCTGAAGCTCGCCGGAAACTCGCTCCTGAGTCCCAATCTCCAGATCCGCCTCTTCCACCTCTGCATCACTCTGGTCACCCAAGGCATCGGCCATCTTCCTGTTGGGATCATCCAATTCTCCTCGCAATGCTCGAGCCAGTGACGAAGAGAAAGCTTTCTTGGTCTTCTCGGGCGACCCTGACAACGGTCCCGAAGGCAGCGTGATTCCTTTAGGACTCTCATTTTCAGTCTCGTCATCGGACCCAAATGGTGAGCCTTGACCCGATCTTGTCCCACCACCGTCTCTGCCAAGGTATGATTTTATGCCACCCAGATTCGTACTTTTCCTTCCTGTATCCAAAGCGAGATTACTAAGGGAGGTTCGAAGGTTGCTCGACGACCGTACTCTTGTGCGACTTTGGTCTCTGCTCGTTCCACCTCTTGTCTCGGTTGCCACTGCCTTTGGATTACGTTTAGACTCGCCTTTCTCTTGTACCGTTTCGGGTTCGTCTCTGAACATATCTATCGTGCTTTTCCGCACCGGCGTAGGAATATAGCTGGCTCCGGTGGGATCGTGGGCGTTTTTAGAGATCGTCCAGCGTCTAACCGGTATGGTTTCAACATTTGCGGGCGTCGATGCGGAGGAGATACTGCTTTTCCTGGCCGCCTTTTCCCTTCTAAGGTCTGACCATCGCCGTAGGCTGTTCTGCAGCACATATCTCCCGTTTGCGCCCAGCTTCATAACCAAAAACTCGCAGTGGTTGATGTTTCGGAGATCCTCGAAGAATTCCACACTGTAGTGGTACCAGGCCATCAGGAAGACGCGACTGCAGAGACCGTGGGTGACAAGAATAGCTACACTGGCCATCGTATCTTCGGAAAACCGTCTCCAAAGCGAACCGTTGAAGGATGATACACGGTCATAGACGTCGGCCCCGCTCTCGCCGTTAGGAATGCGGTAAAAGAAATGGCCATATTGAGCACGTTCTCGCCACAGTCTCTCGACTTCTTCGGTGTCTGGTTGAAAATTGCCAAAGTCTTGCTCCCTCAGCCTTGGTTCCTCATAGACTTTGATATGGTGCCGTTGGAACGGCGAAGGCACAGGGTCATTGGAACACAAGCTTTTCAAAATGCCTTCTGTTGTCTCGCGGGTTCTTCTATATGGGGAAATGAAGAAGTGAAGTGTATCGTCAGTTCGGAGAAGAGCACGGAGCTTCTCTCCTGCTTCGAGGGCTTGTCGATGTCCTTCCTCTGTTAACCCGACTCTGTGGTCCGGTGTTGTCTGGTGAATTGCCTTGTCGCGATTCCCCTCAGACTGGGCATGCCTTATGATGATGATCAACCTTGGCTTGCCCATTTTCGCCAGACCAGGATTCAGGGTAGCAGTGGTGACCTCGCCACGGCAGTTGGGTTTCAACCACTTAGTTTCTGCACTCCTGTTGCTGGGTCTACAAGATATGCCGAAAAGACTGAATGTATTCCAAATTTCAATGTCTGAAGGTAGACCAGATAGCCCTACCACATGGTTTTCAGTAAAAGGGAAGGAAATTACGACAGCCTTGCTCCGTCGGTGTTCGAATCGGGCTCATATGATGCCAAGAAATTTGTTCCAAATATAGACTAGCTCAGATGTGCTTGGATCGCGTCCTTCATGTCGCGATCTTTCCCTAGCATCGCTGCTTTTGCGATCATCTCTCTCATCGACCAACGCTTCGCCGAACACATTGACACGCTCTAGACACCCAGCCTATGGGCAGACCATAGTCGCGATCCCGTTGACGCCCTCTCTCCTTTCTCCGAATAGTCGAGCAATCGAAACGAGACGACAAAATGAATCCACAGATGCAGAATTACAGACAGTATGCCCAGGCGCAAGGAAGGTCCCCAGCAGCACGTAGGCCAGGTGAGTGCGACTTGAGCACCCCGATATCTGCGAGCCCAGATATCGGAGGAGGTCCCAATAATCCCTTTAAGGAAATGGATCAACATGATGAGCGACACCTCAAGACGCTCCTGCCCAAATACCGTCGTTTAGTGGACACTGGACAGATGGCTCTCTTATCTGCTTGTCTCATGCAAAACCAAGAGATCTTTCACTCACAAACCCTAGGCCAGATTCCACCAGTCCAACATGCCGCCCAGCAAGCGCAAGCTCAGATGATGCAACAACAAGCCCAACAGCGCAATGCTGCGATCGAACACCAATTGGCGCAGCGACGTGTGCGAAAACCTAGCGATCGAAATATGCCAGATGGGCTAGAAGAGATAGTTATTGGGGATGGGGTTGAGCAGTATAAGAAACTGCGCGAGGCTGAGAAACGATTAGACCATCTGATGGCGCGAAAGAGATTGGAAATCCATGACAACTTCAGCAAAAACGTTAAAAGACAGAAAACGATGCGGATATGGATCTCCAATACCGTCTCAAGCCAACCCTGGCAGATGAATCCAGACGAAGAAGGTTTCACATTCGACTCGGGCGGCGAGCCTACCTATCGAGTCAAGATTCAAGGCAGGTTACTGGAATATGACGACGATGACATCTTACACAGTGACGACGAAGATCAAGAGATGGGAGACCAAGACAAGCCGGTCAAAGAGAAGAAAATCAAGACGCCCTCCAAAAAATTCACCCACTTCTTCAAGGGGATGAACGTCGAGTTTGACAACCCCAAAGGCGGCCTCGGCGATCCCAATCAGACGGTAACGTGGAAGAAGGGTCAAAGCAGTACTCAAGCTGGTGACTTTGACACCATTGAATTTGAGCGTAAAGCCGACGAAAACGCCAACATTACAATCTGCCTGACACGCGACGAACAACCCGAAAGATATCGCCTATCCAAGGCTCTAGCTGAAACTCTGGATATGGAAGAAGCTGACCGTGCAGAAGTCGTCATGGGCATTTGGGACTACGTGCGCGCCATGGGCCTGCAAGAAGACGAAGAGCGCCGGAGTATTCAGTGCGACGACTCACTAAAACGCATCTTCGACACAGACACATTTTTTTTCCCTCAGGCTGCCGAACGGCTAGTCCCGCATTTACACCCCTTGCCTCCTGTGCGATTACCCTACACCATCCGCGTGGATGAAGAGTATCATAAAAATCCCGAACCCACGGTCTATGATGTGCAGGTCACAGTTGAAGACCCTCTCCGCCCGTTGATCTTCAAACTCACTCAAAACCCAGAGTACCAAGCTGCGCTCCGGTCCGTTGCGAAACTGGACGACGAACTCGCCATAGTGGTACAAGCTTTGCATCATCAAAAGGCACGGCACCAGTTCTTCACAAGCATGGCGAAAGATCCGCAGAAATTCATCGAGAGGTGGCTAAGCAGTCAGAAGAAGGATCTCAGTGTACTGCTTGCGGAGCAAGAGCGAGGCGATGTGGCGGGCATGGAGTTCTCGAAGGGTGGGGAAGACAGTGTATGGGGAGGCCAAGTTGTCAGGGAGGCGGTGAGGTATAGACTTGCTAGAGCCGAGGCCACAGGAAGGTGAGGGTTATGAAGGGTCCGCATTCATGGGTTATGAAGTTAGCAGCGGCGGTTCAAACTAGCAAGGCATTGGAGCTGTGAGCAAATATGCTCAGGCCGTACCAGAGTGGTTGGAGTTTTACTGCGAGCAAAGATTCCGTCTTCAGATGGCGCCAATATGAAAGGGAAAGGACGGCACCATCCAGATCTGGCGGATGAACATCACGATATACAACCATGTCGCAAGTGGATGGATCGGACGCCCTTTGGGGCAAGGATTTCTCTTAGGCCGCCTCCTTTCGTTACTGCCTTTGTGTGCACCAGGTGCGGTCTCAAGGGTCAAAGAAACCGAAAGAGTATCTGGATGACTAGTAAGTAGACCATCCGGGTTCATTTGAAGCCTGTTGTTACCATATATGTTACAATATCCATGATCTGTATCTCTTTACCTTCTCTATTTCAGAGAGATGGCCATGATATCCTTATTTCGCAGCGATGAGTTTTTGGTATACTCTGCTGTTCACAATACTATGGAACAAGCACCTCTTTCTCTCTCGCTTATATTCTCCCTACCCTATCATTCGGCGAATATGAGATCGCCATGGCGTTTGAACTTGGACCTTGGTTTTGGTATCCTGTTCCTTTGGATTTGCGGTAAATAATATTTTAACAGTAGTCTGGTATTGATTTGGGGGGGTTGTTTTTTTTCCTCTGCGCTTCGTGTATAGCAATTGTCTACCTCTCTATCCACGGACCTCGATATCGCTTGGCGTAGCCGGTATGGAATATGGTGCAGGCATCGCAGCCCGGAGGTCTTTGGGACATGTCAGCTGACGGATGCAAGAAAACTGTTTCGAGTGACGAAAGATGAGATTGGCGACGGATGGGTGAGAACATCCTTTCTAGACGTTCGGGTTCGCTCGTGTGACTGTGCGGGGACTGAGGTGGGAAGTCGGCGCGACGACAGGCCCGTTACTGATCACGGTATATCGGTTCTGAAGCCCGGGTCGAGATCTCCGACGTCGCCTATGAGCGTGCCGCTGTTGCGGAGCATGTCGAGAGCTTCTTGGCCTTGCTTTGTGCCTGGAGCGGGCATGAGCGGCTGTGGCTGTGGCTGGATCGGCATCGACGGTGCAGAGACTGGGAAGAACGTATACCGTCAGTTCCGTGCATGGTTTTTTTACCTCCTGGATATTCGGCGGACGCAGGAAAAGAGGCTGCAACGCCAAGTGACGAGAAGGGAAAGGGATTTTCTCCCAGCTCCGGAATGTCGCAGAGAATGGCCCGGGGACAGACTGCAACTTACCAGGCATAACCAGACCCATCCCCTCGATCAAGCCTTTGTAATACTGCGCCTCCTGTATGCTTTCCAGGACATCGGCTCGGGCAGTATGTCGGAGTTCTTTCCTTGGGGCTGCCATCAACACGGATTCGCTCGCCCAGCGTCGCACCATCTCCTTCATGGCCGAGACATCAAACAGCCGGTAATGGAGATGCTCCAGGATGACGTTCCAAGGCGGCACGGCCAAGAAAGCACGGTCGGCGTGGATACTGTTCCCTGCCAGAAGAGCCCGGCCTGGTTCGGGGATGTAGTGTTTGATATATGCGAGCAGCCGGGCGGCGGCGTCTTCAGCACTGGTCGACGAAGCTAGGCATTCCTGTGTCAGGCCGGTCTCGCCGTGCGTCTTGACGCACCACTCGGACATTCTCGAGAGTTGTTCCGGGCTGTGGAATATCACGGCGTGGAAGCCTTCTGTGTCCAGCGGGGCGAGGTTGGCAGTGGTGATGATGCACGATATGGACATGATTGTATCCTTTGCGGGATTGAGACCGGTCATCTGGGAATCAGGATTTGGTCAGCGCGGCTGGAACAGCACGAGCCATGGGTGAAGCTGGAAAGGGGGGAAATGTGCCAAAAGGCAAAGAGAAAATGTCGAGAATCCAGCTTCATTTTGAGCACTTTTTCGTCTCTTTCTAACCGTTTTGAGTTCCCTTACCATCACAGGGAAACCGGATTCGCCAACATTTGTGGGGAGGAATGGACAGGGACAAGGAGCAGCGCTTCATCGTCGGTAGAAAGGGAGGTAGGAAAGGGGACTCGATCTGTGCATGCCTACCTCACAGTCAATCCAGACCAGTGGATCGGTAGATCTGGTGAGTGCCATGGGTGCTGTTTTCCTGGTAGATCTCTTGCCCGTAGTTTGTGGTTCGGTTCTGAGAGTCTATCGATATGTGTTCCAGCTTCAGTCTATGCCTGCCGACGACAAGTGTCTCGCGAAGAAATGCTCTGCACCCATTCATTCCAGTATACAATCGGGTGGCGAACAGACTCGACAAGCCTTCCAGAACTAAAGTGAACTTTTCGACACATTTGCCCGATGGAAGACATGGAGAAGAGGGAAATCGACCAGTGAGACTAAACAAACCTCGTCCAACGGTGATTGGACCAAGGTGGAAGGGTGTGATGACGATTATCGGATCATCTGCACCCCTCGCCACCAGTACATCGACAGTCTGAAGACGGGATTTGTGAGGAGAGCCAGGAGAGAAATCGGAGACAGAGATGACGATATGTGCCTGGGACCAGCACAAGCTCGGGGCCAAGACTTACGAGGTTCCCGACCAATAGCATTGCAGCGGAGTCGGGGCTGAAGTCGGAGTGGAATCCCGCTCCCGGTCCCCTTCCCGTCACCCATCAACAAACTACGACTATGCCTACGCTTGGGCAGTAGCCACCTGCAGGATCCTGCACAACTCAAAACCTATAGAATGGTTCCCCAATTTTGATAATGTGGTTGGAATTTCTGCCCGGTTTGCTGGCTGGTGCTAGCTCCAAGCTGTTCCTCGACGTGGCTGTATGATATTTGTCTTTTTGTCGAACATGGAAAGAACACTCTTCGATGCCTGGGATATTGGTACAGTGACCATCGCGGGTTTGAGCCAGCGATCACGCTTCCATGCCCATGCCATTTCCCTTGGCCTCTTGCACCTCCTCTGGTTCAAAGCAGCCCTGGAGACTCCCACATGCCCCTGTCCCTTCCTCACCATGCACACCATGCTTGCAGCTTCTCCGAGGCATCCGTTTTGCGCATCACATCCCGCATTGCATTCCCCATGCACAGGCCATTGGGGCAGATGTTTGGTTCGCACAATTAATCAAAATATTCGACGGCCAAACCTCGCTTACGTGTATCTTCAATCCCTGGCTGATCATCCTGGCTCCAAATTCTGCGATGTCTAGACAAAAGAAAGGTGGAAGAGTTGAATTTCCAATCCGAATGCCGACAGAAGACGCCGTGGGCTGCCTCGATTCCTGTCTTCTCCTTAACGTGGCATAGTACTGGTAGACAGTATTTCTGAAGAATGTCTGGCCCATGGAGGTACCATTCTTCAGAAGCTGTGGACGAGATTCAGTTCCCACAGTCAAGCGGCAGCATCGTGCCTGTGTGGGCCTCTGGGAGCCCTCTCAGAGTTCTTCGTCGTCGCCAGCGGCCGGTTCTTTGACCAGTGGGCCCCCAAATTGCAGGCCAGAAGGATTTGAACTAGTTGCAGTCGGTTGAGACAGTCCCGAAGTCCCTAGAACCTCGCCAATAGTGCCCGAAGAAGCGGACATGCTGCCACCTAATCGCTTTTTGATGTCTTCATCAAAATCCGCAATACTAGCCCGGTGTCGCTTCATCGGACTGCCGACCATGAAACTCTCGTCGTCCTTTGTGATGTCCAGGCTGCTGCTCAACCCCGTCGATCCGATAGTCGTGCCCGCGGGGGATGTCCCAAGCTCAACAGCACCAGCCTTAGGCGTCGAACTACCCGAAGGGCTACCGGATTTCGAGCTTTTGCGAGGTTCCGTTGTACCGTTGCTATTCAGCGGTTCCGCCGAATGCTGTCGCTTGAGCTGATGATACCTTAGCCCATGCCGGAATTTCAACGGCGAAGGGTCTCTTACCTTCATTTTCCGGATGCCCTCTGCAACTTGGCCCGTCCGCTCAGCATCTTCCGGAGTAAGCATGCTCGGATCCCTCTTCGCATCGGCATCGTTGATGTCCTCCATTTTGCCAATGATGCCAGCACCGTCATCGTCACTCTCACTCTCCATCTCGTCGTCGCTTGTTCCTTTGCCTTTTCGGCTCCGTCGACGTTCCGAGTCGCGAAAGTTTGAAAAGCCAGCAGTTCCTTCTTTCTTCAGAGGTCCAAGTTTTGGTAGCTCGGCCGCTATGCTACGTCTCTTCGCATTTGCCGCTGCCTTGTCAGACTTGGGTCCAGCAAGGATGCCCATCTTCTGCAACTGCCGCTCTCCTCGATAAAGAAATGTGAAAACCGCATATGGTTTGTCAGTAGCGTCAATACCAGTCACCGTCTGTGTTGAGATGGTTTTGGGATCCAAGGTCTTGGGTTTGGCAAAACTAGTGGTGTGGTCAACATCTGCTCGGTTCTTGCCCTCTCCGTTGCCAGCACCTTCTCCGGCGTCTGAGCCCTCCGAATCATCGTGGGCATCAAACTGAGGCGAATACTCTCCGCGCTTGATCTCTCCAGAGGCTAACACTCGGAACAGGGCAACCTTGATCTGGCCCGCTGCTTCTGGTATTGGGTCGTCATCATCTTCCGATGAACCACTCTCACTTGCAGAGCCCTCGTCATCCGAAACGTCTTTCAGTTCACCGTCCTCCCCGTAGCGCATGGTGTTCTTTCTTCTATCCTTCTTCGAGACTCCATTGGCGTCATCTTCACTCCCTGTAGTCTCCTTCCGCTTTCGACGTCTCTTCTCCAGTTTCTGTCTGCGTCTCTCGATGGTTGCTGCGGCATCTTTTCCGTCGAGATCTAGACCATTCAACCATCGCTCAAGACCCACCTCACGAAACAAAAACTCTCGTTCTGCAAGACCGCCTCCTTCTTTCTCAGGGACACTGACCCACCGAGAATTCACCCAGGTCTCTTCACCCTTTCTCAGCAGTGTTGCAACTTCCTCTTTGGCTCGGCCATCAAAGTAGATGTAGGCTGCGATGGTTTCATTCGGCGAGGTTGTCAAGGGGACATAAGGCCCAACAGAGCTTGTGTACTTTCCTCGTTCGCTTGTGTGACCTGGAAGGCCTCCGACCAGTTTAGGTTTTGGACTAGGATTATCCGAGGTAGGCTTTGGCGTGGAGTAGGGCACTTCCTGGCCAGGGGTGAGGAGGGTGATGGAGATGGCGAAGGTCGATTGTTCGGGTTTTCCCGTCAGAGAGTCGGCAGGGATTTGCGCAGGCGGCACAGGGATGTAGGCACTGATTCTTGAGAGACGGGAGGTTCTCTGTACAGAGTATTCTGGCAAAGGCCCATTGGGAGTGTGTATGCTCACAGCAAGACCTTTGAAGCAGGGCATGGTGGCTGTCAGGAATTGGAAGGCCCCTTAAGTGAACGTCGATTCTCCGCTCTCTGCGCGCAGAGATGGCGGAGAACAAATCTCCGATATGATTCGTGAGAGAACAACTCGTGCTTTGCGAATGTTGAATCCAACTTTTCCCGAAAGACAGACACTACAATTACCACAGTGTCGGCGCCTTCGCCACTTGAGATCTATGGTGCGTACAGCGAGCCGGGGGAATAGGAGGACTTGCCTGCTCCGCAGACTCGGCAAGGAACGGTGAGCTATCGGGCGAATGGCGCACGCGATGGAGGGGACGATGCTCAAATGAGTGGCAGGGCTGATTCGAACAAGGTGGAACAAGGCGTTGAACGCAGGTAACGAAAATGTCCGGATTGACAATGTGGATGAAGAGAGAAACGGCCAACTTAGTTTACTCTTGGGCCAAGTTTGTAGAGGCTCCCTCTGCCGCTGTGACTTCTTTGACGAGGCAGAACCGCCAAGATCATACCAAGCCTAATCCGGATAGACGCAGCCTGGTCAATCTGCGGAGAGACGAGGCTGCATCCGTTGACCATCTCCCGCGAGAGGTCACTACTGCACCGCTAGAAGAACACAGGTGCAGCCCAGCGATCCTTCACGTTCAACTTAGGTGTTATATACCTGCTTAACTTTGCTGTCTGACCGGTAAACGTGCCGTGACTTTGTGCAGCCATGTCTTCGTTGCATGCCAAAGCACCGTACACTGAGCAACCTGACATCAGTATGACATGGAATTTTATGTGCCCTTTTTTTATTTCACTTCCATAAAAAGAGTGCATTTCGCCCAAAGGTACGTACACAACATGTCGGAACCGAATTCCCAAAGGCTCGTGAAGTCTATATGCCCAACTATTTTGATATCCGTCGCAGGATGCAGAGCAATGCGAGCTCGTCTTTTCAGCGTCTCGATTCTTGAACATATGTGCAAATGGAGTGCTTATAAGCCTGGCAAACAGATCTGAGACATGCTGTCGAAGGGCCCAAAAGATGATCCTCATTATTTCCATACTCTATCGGGTCTTGGTGGATGAGACCTATCGAATGTTGCCGCATATCGTAGCGCCTCCTCTATTCTGCTCACGATATCCATGAACCACTCATCTCCCTGTCACTTAGCTTACCAAGCCGACCTTGACTGTTCACGATGCAGGGGATGGTACGAACTATACCAACACCAAATTCGAGAGTGGTGTGAGGATGTCGACCTGTGGCCTCAACCCGCCAATCAGAAGGCTCCGACCGACTGATCGGAGAAATGAGGCGATGACGTATCGCGTGCAAGGGTTTCGTTGACGCTCGTTTGCTATTGCCCCGCGATTAATTTCCTCGTGGCTTCATTTTCCAGGTGGCAGTTGAGGGGATCTTCAATCCAACAAAATTTCCCCCTCTGGCCAGCTTGTTGCATACTCAAGCTTGCTTCACAATTGCCTGTTGCTTCTTGTCGAGATATTCAGAGACCCGTTAAGCCATATCGTGTCTATTCAACCCTACAAACTGTTAAGCGTATCACAACCATGGCCAGCGTGAAAGAAGTCCAGTTTAAATCCTTCACCGACCAGAAGTAAGCTGCCAGACGAACCCCCTCTGTGGCAAACTGTCTTCTCACTCCTTGGTCTGCAGGCCTGGTACGTCAGGACTTCGTAAGAAGGTCACCGTCTTCCAACAACCCCATTACAGCGAATCCTTCATCACCTCGATCCTCCTGTCCATTCCCGAAGGCGCAGAAGGCGCCTTTCTTGTCATCGGCGGCGATGGCCGATACTGGAATCCTGAAGTGGTCCAACTGATTGCGAAGATTGGTGCTGCATACGGTGTCAAGAAGCTCCTGATCGGTCAGAATGGCATCCTGAGTACTCCAGCTGCCAGCCATGTCATTCGTATCAGAAAGGCCACGGGCGGTATTCTTCTCACTGCCAGTCACAACCCAGGCGGTACGTCAAGAGGCGTCGAGCATTGCCAAACCCATATCTGACAATGCCGCAGGTCCCAAAGCAGACTTTGGCATGAAGTACAACCTCTCGAACGGTGCCCCAGCCCCAGAATCGGTGACAAACAAGATCTTCGAGAAGTCAAAATCCCTTACCTCATACAAAATTGCAGACATTCCGGAGCTGGACCTGTCAACAATTGGCACCAAGAAGTATGGGGATCTCGAAGTCGAAATCGTTGACTCTGTGGCAGACTACATGGCCATGCTGAAGGACATTTTCGACTTTGACCTCATCCGGTCCTTCTTCAAGTCCCAGCCCGACTTTAAAGTTCTCTTTGATGGTCTATCCGGTGTCACTGGCCCATACGGTGTCGCCATATTTCAAGGAGAGCTCGGCTTGGGACCGGAAAGCACTCAGAATTGCCAACCAAGCCCCGACTTTAACGGCGGCCACCCAGATCCGAACCTGACGTACGCCCATTCTTTGGTAGAAAGAGTTGACAGGGAGGGCATCCACTTTGGCGCTGCTTCGGATGGAGATGGCGACAGAAACATGATTTATGGCAAGAATGCTTTCGTCTCACCCGGTGACTCCTTGGCTATTATTGCCCACTATGCCCAGAAGTACATCCCTTATTTCAAGAAGCAGGGTGTCTACGGTCTAGCAAGATCCTTCCCCACCTCTGCAGCGCTTGACCTTGTGGCCAAGAAGCAGAAGTTAAGCATCTATGTCGTGCCCACGGGATGGAAGTTTTTCTGCGCACTCTTCGATACCAACAAGATGTCGATCTGCGGTGAAGAGTCCTTTGGCACTGGCTCGAACCACATCCGAGAAAAGGACGGTTTATGGGCCATCACTGCGTGGCTCAACATCATTGCCGGAGTGGGGAAAGAGACTGGCAAGTTCCCGTCTATTGCTGAGATCCAAAAGGAGTTCTGGCACGAGTATGGCCGCGTGTATTTCACCCGATACGACTACGAGAATGTGAGCAGTGACGGAGCCAATGACATGGTCAAGTATCTCAAAGAAAAGATTGCAAAATCCGACACTGTCGGTTCAGAACTCCAAGGCCGCAAGATCCTGGAAGCCGACGACTTCTCATACACAGATCTCGACGGCTCGGTGTCGAAAAATCAAGGTATCTATTTCATATTCAACGACGGCACAAGGGTCGTTGTTAGATTGTCGGGTACAGGCAGCAGCGGTGCTACCATCCGCCTCTATGTCGAGAAACTCGAGGAGGACAAGAGCAAGCTTGGTGAGGACACGCAGACATATCTCAAGGGTTCGGTCGGGCTTGCCATTGAGCTCTTGCAGCTTCAGAAATTCATTGGCAGAACCGAGCCAGATGTCAAGACCTAGATCATTTGCTATCGACATGAGGCAGTGATTTGCACACGCCGTCACATCATAGAAGATATCGGGTAGAGGAATTACGTGCAAAAACAGTTGTCATCACCGACAGCGATGGCTCTTAAATGTCGAAGTAGTAGTCAATCATTGCAAATAGATCACAGCCGTCCGCGAACATTTCTTTGTGATTCTCCGAAGTCCAGCATTTGTAATATAAGTTTTTGGCGTCAAGGCGTGATATAGCTTCGCCCCCTATAAAAACTCAACAGGTCGCTGTTGGTCTGTTCCGATGGATGATGTGGCGGTCAGTCATGCACTTTGTGTGTCACTGAGCTACCACGCCCAAGGAACCCTTGGGACAGCCGCAAGGAATATTGGATGTGGTCTGGCAGGACACAACGATCTTATGGCTGTTCCTGTATCGAGGCACGCTGCCCTGGAAAGCACAATGATTGCTCAAATATATGCCAATTAGCAAGCCTCTCTCACTCAGGCGCTGTTCTAGCTCCACCAATTCTGTTCCTCCTCTTTCTGGGATGCTTGCTCCTTATCACCATCTGTAGAGGCTGAGAGATCGTTCGGAAGCAGGCACGGATTGCTGCATGGAACCAAGACACCGCCATGCTGTTTCGGAGAGGGTGACACAGCGCTGGTGGTCCATCTCATCCCACCAAAGATTGTCCGACCGGAAGCAACGTGGCTTGACAAGCGGAGGGCAGGATAGAGCGGTCGGATTAAGTTGTGTGAGACCTTGCCGGCGATTGGTTCGATACAGCCTTGCTCCGAGTTTCAGAGCCATCAGGGCGATGCAATGTAGTCAGCTTTCTGCGTATCCTTCCAGAATCGGGTTGAAGAAGACTGTGCCACTCACCTCCAAATGACTCGCGGCGACTCGCATGTAGCTTTGCGAACAAAGTCCTGGCTCATGTGCATAGTCCCACGGCGACTATACTCTCAGATTGACTGCAGAAGCCACATAATATGCCCCCACCTGCACCACGGCAGCACAACATCTCTCCCACGCTGCACAACATGTCCATCGTTCTGGATAAAGAGATCAAACCCGTCGCCGAGCGTTTGTCATACAGGGAGTCCATCAGACGTCAAACAATGGCCTTCTTGGCGCTCTTCGGTGAATACATGGTCTGCACTGGGTACATCTAAATCTGCAATTTAAGAGGAAATGAAGGCCTCAGTCGACCTTTATCAAAATCGAACCCTCGAGAGATTTCGGCGCCATCTGACAACAGGTGCGGAAGCGAGATGGTTGGTATGGAAAGATTGACAAGAATGGCAGACGCTTCTCAAAGATATCTCTTCCAGGAACTTGACACCTCGTATATGAGCGTGGTTCTTGTCATCTGCTTCCTCATCTCAGGCCTTATTGACAGCGTGGCATTCAACACATGGAACTGTTTCGTCAACATGCAGACAGGTATATAGCCTCTGAGCCTTACCTCGAACAACTCTGGGGCAGCATCTTTGACGTCTCTCCTTAGGAAATACCGTCTTCGCCGCCCTTGGTCTCGGTGGCCAGCCGAAAGCCAGCCACAAGCAGCAATATTACAAGTCTCTGACGTCCATTGGGGCCTTCTGCCTGGGTGCGCTGTTCTTCAGTGCCCTGCATCGCTATCCTGCGGGAGCCAGCCAACAGTTATCGTCGCTGAGACGAGTGAATCTCATCATATCCTTCTTTGTCCAGACAGTATTCATTGTCATCGCCGCAAGCTTGGTCTCCACGAACGAGGTGTCAAACCAACCATTCGTTGCTGGCACTTTTTCATCGGGAAACGACGAGATCCCGCCGTCGATGATCAACTTCCTGGATCTGTGTCCGATAGCCCTGATCTCGTTCCAGGCAGCAGGGCAAGTCACTCTGTCGAGACTACTCTCCGTGGTTGAACTGCCGACAATAGTCCTGAGTGCCTTGTACCATGATGTCTGCGCGGACCTATACACCATCCGAGATTCGTGGAGGAAGAGCTCCAGTCTTTGGGAGTTCTTTGTTGTGAGCCAGAGAAAGCAAGAGAGACGAGCAGCTTGCATCGCCGCCCTTTTTCTCGGAGGCATTACCGGTGGCGAGATGTACAAGTCATCGGCTGGCATGGGGGGAGCGCTATGGCTTGCTGCAGGCTTGAAGTTCGGTGTCCTCATCGGATGGTTCTTCTGGAGGGGACAAAAGGTGGGAGAGGGTGGCGGCGAACAACTACCGCGATGAACGTGGAATCAAGACACCGAGCGAGGATGCCAGGACTCTACGTGTTGGGGAACCAGCCCAAGGACACTTTGCGATCGAGGGGAGACTGGGTTGAGGATTTGCAGCGCTGATCAACAAGGGCATGAAGACGTGGTCAAAACTTACATCCGCGTTTCTCTTTTTCCTTCTGGGTCCGCATCTCTCAGAAGGATATACTCGGCGACGACAGCGTGGCGTGGACGATACCATGTCAAGGAGACAGCGATCGCTTTCGCTACCAACAAGCAGCCACCATTTGCCCTCAAGCGACCATTGGCGAGTGCCCCTCCGCACATGGTTGGAGATGGAGTCACTTTCAGAGCTATGTCCAATTGCGTCGAAGGTGTCAGGAGAGGACTGGGGAAGCCGTTTGTTTCAAGGTAAGGCTCTCCTCCTTACTCTCGGTTATCTGTTACATTGGGGTGTCTCACCAGGAGAAACTTCCTTCAGAGTCCATGAAGAATAGGTCAAGCTTTCGCTAAGGTGCCCACGAATGCTTGAATACTTCAATTTCCACGCCCTTTATTGCTCATCGGTGAACACGCCACATTACCGAGCAACTTAGCATGATCTCCAGTTCATGGGGCCGTTAGACTGGTACCCAGATCCCAAACTTCGCGTCTACTTCTTCTATCCCTGTCCAGACAGCACTCAACCTTGCCCGACCTTACCCTTTACAAATCTATACGAACAGCATCCATGCAGCTGGTGGGCCACTCCACGACTTCAACTGATCCTCTCAATTCCATCTGTTAGTCGCCATAACCTCCTGCCTTAGGAGAATGCATTCTCTGATGCGCAGGACCGTGAACCTCGTCGCGGCGGTTTCAAGCATCGGCCGGGAGTATTTTCTGTGCGGCCTGATGCTCTTTATAATGGTTTGTGAAAGCTCTTTCGTTTCTCCCACCTCCAGCAAAGTTGTTTTCCGTTGCATCCATTCTTTCTTTTCCTTTTCCCCTCGGACCGAGTCCTTCCCTTACCCCAGGCTGGGCCTGTCACTCGTTATCTTTTCCCAGCAAGCCGCCACGCCACCACAAAACATCCTTTACCGTAAATCTAAAGCATGGCTGGCTGTTCGGTCGCCCTGGTGGCCTTTTCATTCCTTGCTGCGGTGACCCATGCAGCTCCTCGAGGGACTACTGTTTTCTTTGGCAACACTACCACCCCTGCAGTTGCAGCGTCGACCACGACCTCATCGGTTACGGTCAAAAATACAACGACGGCAGCAAATACTACAACCTTGGATCCCAATGCGGTCGATTGCCAACTGCAGCTTCCAGCAAATGCCCTCACAGCTGCGGGGCTTTCGAGTCCATGGCAGCTACTGGCTCCATGTTCTCAGTCTGTCGGTAGCCAACAAGCATTCGCTGAAGCTGCCGTTATCGACCCCTCTGGACAACTATCAGTCTACCATCCACTGATCATTGATCAAGGCAAAACGCCTCAAGTGGCTCCGGTTGTTCCTAGCATTGCCGCGGGATCGCAGGTGATCCTGTTTTTTGGCTTCAATGGTAACACGCTGACGCTTGTCGACGCAAATGGACAAGACAGCGACTCATCCCCGACGCTACAAAACTTGAAATGCGCCAATGGTCTTCCCGGCGCCCAAGGAGATGTGTTTGGTCAAGTCAGCTGGTGCAACACCGTGGCTTTCTGGGATGCTGCCAATGCTGCGGTGGCGGCTGGGAAGCTGACTGTTCCACCCTTGGGCACTGACAACAACGGCAATCAGTGTCTGTCGAGCCGTTCATTTGAGATTGTCGATCAGGACCAGTCTGACAATTTACCCACCAAGTATCTCCTCCTGGCCGATGGCAGTACCGTTCAGTTCACTGCTGCAAACGTCGCCAAATTTCCCACGGCCACCGAAATTGACAATGCTTCGGACGAGGCTCTGATTGCAGACTTTGTGGATCCGGTGATTGGTTGCACGCCTTTCAAGATCCCTAGCATCGACGACCCTGGTGCAATGGTCTCTTCCATGGCATCCCAAGAACTTCAAGCTCTACTTCAGCAGCAGGAGCCAATTGCCCTTGCTCCTCTCAACGACCCCGATTGTCTCCTCACTTCGAACGGCGAGATGAGCACTGCAAAGACCAACGCTTACCGTCTGGGTGTCAACATGCCACTTCTGGGCAATGGTGCCCAAACGGACAATGGCTCGCCAACAGACTACTGCAACAACCTGATTGCTATCCAGCCTCCATTCCTGGCCGGATTTCAGACCGCGCTAACAAACGCCCAGACTGCGGATCCTACAGTCGGCACGAATCTCTTCACCTTCCTGGCCAACCGGTTCCTTCAGTCTCTCACCAACCTCAACTGCCCCAACAAAAACGTCCCCGTCTCCTGCACGCTCGACGACAATGGTGTGGCGACCGCATGCAGCATCACCGTGACTGGCAGCACTGGGAACGGCACGACGATCAGCAAAGGAGCAGGCGGCAGCTCCGTCGGCTCGACGGCAACCGATCTCGCCCCGACCTCTGCTTTCACCATGACAGCCGTCCCCACGCACCATATCCACAGCCACGGCTTTGGCGGCAAAACCATAGCGTCGAATCCTCACACCTTTACCGGCACGGCAACTACAGTAGCTTCACCCACGACGTCTGTGGCTGCTGGTGCCGGAAACCCATCATCAGCACCCGTAGACCAAAACTTAGGAAACGGAGGGGCGACTATCTCGACGACGCCAACCGTCCCTGTTCAGGTTGGTGGTGGTGGTGGCGGCGACTCGACCTTGTCGACCTCCACCGCACCGCCGAATCTAGGCACAGGTGCGAGCGCGACTCTTCCGCCTCCCCTGACCCAGTTCACAACCGTGCCCACGTCGGCGGTGGCGGCGGCAGTGTGCTCGAGTACAGCAACGGCGAGCCTACAGCACTGTTGGTCTTTGGCAGGGTGGCAATTGTGCAAACTTGCCTGAGGAACAACCCTGCAAAATGCATGTGCAACTCTGCTCCTCCAAGCAAACTGAAAATCGGACAGCAAGGTCAAAGCGTCGAGCATTGTGTATGATTATTGATTGTAGTGATGCAGCTTCTCTCGGCCTTTTTGGGTCATGCTTCTTCGAACCCTATGTATTTATATATACTATCTGACCGGTCGAGGAAAAAGTACTCCTGTTACAGGACAGGTGTGTGTGCTAATAATGTCCCTTGATCCAATTCATTTTTTTAAGCGTCCGAGGGACTCTTAAACAGCCGCCCACCCTTCCACACATGCGTGATATTCTCCGGCTTTTTGAACAAGTCCATATCCTTCAAAGGGTTCGCGCCCAAGGCGATCAGATCGGCATCGTACCCGACTTCGATCCTGCCACTCTTGGGCGCCATGCCCAGGGCGCCGAGCACTTCGGGCCCCATGGCCGTCGCGGCTTCAATGGCCTCCAGGGGCTCCATGCCGCCATCGCTGACCGCGTAGGCGAGTTCACCCCCACTCTGACCGTGCGCCAGCGGGTGCGTCGCGGGCGCGCTGATGCCCAGGTCGGTGCCCAAGGCGATCTTGACGCCGGACTTGACGGCCAGGCGGTACGCGGCGCGGTGGTGCCGCGCCGTCTCCAGCATCTTGCGGTACGACTCGGGCGACATGAGCTCCGGGTGGTCCACGCCGACCTTCACAATCGTCCGCGTCGGCACGTACACGGCCCCTTGCTTCTTTATGAGCTCGACGCATTCCTCGTCCATGTACGTCCCGTGCTCGATGCTGTGGACACCCGCGCGTAACGCGGCCATGATCCCGTCCTTGCCGTGGCAGTGTGCGCCCACGACCCGCCCCGCACGCTGGGCCTCTTCCACAATCACCTTCAACTCGTCGAGCGAGAATTGTTGGCGCAGCGGGTCGTCGGCTATGCTCAGCACGCCGCCACTCGCGAACACCTTGATGCACGTGGCGCCTCGGCGGACCAGGAGCCGCACGGCGCGTCGACACTCGTCAACCCCGTCGGCGATAATCATCGGTCCCGTACCCGGGGCGAGCGCGTTCGCCTGGGTGTCCCTCACTCCAAAGAGGGAGGTGACAAAGCCCCAGGGCAGGTCAAACACGTCCCCGTGGCCCGCGGTCTGGGATATCGCGGCGCCCGACGAGTAGATGTTTGGCCCGACGAGCGTGCCTTCTTCGATCGCCTTGGAGACTTCGAGACCGTAGCCGGCCAGCTCGCGCACCGAGGTGAACCCGCTCATCAGGATGTCATGCACATTCCGGGCAATCCTGGCGCCGGCCAGAGCCGTCGACTGCGTGGCGATCTCGAAGAAGTTGAACGTCTTGCTGCCCAGCAGATGGATGTGACAGTCCCACAGCCCAGGCATCAGGACTGGGACGGTCGTAGTCGGAAGGTTTTTGAATGGTGGGGGCACCGACGCCGTGGGTTGGATCGAGGTTATCGTCCCGTCTTGAAGGATGACCGACATGTTGTGCTGGGGCTTGCCACGTCCAGGAATGAGGAGCGAGGTGTTGATTAAGTGTGTTGTTCCGGTGGCTGTGAGTGGCGGCGGTATGGAACCATGGCCGGAGGTGGGATGTGATGGGGGTCCTGGCAGTTCTTCGCCTGTCCCGCTCGAGGCGCCATTGTTTGCATGACCGCTGGTTTGTGATAAAGTGGGAGCGGCAGCGGGTTGAGGAATCCAAGTTGTCCCAGGTATTGGCTTGCGGCGAGTCATGATGCTCGGAAGCCTGGGGGGAGAGAACGTCCGTCGCTTGTATTCAAACTCGGATGTGACTGCAAATGTGTATGACTGTCATGCAAATTTGCCAGTCAAGCTGCCTGACTCCAGATCAAGTCTTCCTCTTCGTACAAATGGCCGGTGCGTTTGATCTCACCGCCGTCGCCCAAGTGCCACGGCAACCAATCTAACGTATTGAAACGTCGACGAGACAACAATGGCAGGCGTGCAAACGTAGAGGATACGCTGGCTCACGTTCATGAGATGGTGTAGGGTCAATAGCTTTTTCAATGGTCGCTAAGCATTCAGTTCTGGAGTGTATGTGGTCCAAGCACAAGAGCTTGGTCGTCGAGGTGGCGTTGAATCCAATGAGATGAGATAAGCTCGGATTGGGACTAGCCTGTAAATTAGTCAGATGTTAAGTAATTGTGTTCGCTAGGCAGACCGTCATTGGCTGTGCCGCTGGATCGTTATTCCGTTCCGTTGTCACCAACAATGCTCCTGTCTCTCGGTGTTCAAAATGCCTGTTCGGATTGACAGTATTTATGAAGAGAGATATCACATCAATCCCACGTCTCAAAAGCTGACTGACTGACCCACTGCATACAAACACCAATGTACGAAGCAGAAATACATCAGCGCTGCCTGCCCCCGTCTCACCCTACCTCCGGCACATTCTGGCACATCGCATGACTAAAAACGCCTCCTCTTACTGAGTTCATCAACGTTTTGATGCATTCGAGGTTCAGATCTGCTGGATCCATTCGAGGGAAGCAGTGGAGGCCGTACTCCTACTAGTTCTGGGACGTTGTCATTGATGGACGAAATTTGAATACCGAGCCTTATGGCAAATACGAAAGTCGGTTAGGATGAGATCTTCTATACGAGTCACGGTTAGTCCTGCTTCCATCTCTAACCAAATATAGCTGTGTCACCACAACAGCCTGTCCGGCTATACAACGCTACGATTTGAACAACTCAGTCACCGAGGCAGCAGGGCAGCTTCGGCATGACTATATCTCCGTGTCCGCTTCGTTCGCAAGGCGGAGGCTGCACGACGTTTCTAACCGGTCCAATGTCGCTGTCTCTGGTCCTATTGCATGATGGGAATGTCAGGGACCTCTCCACCGATTGAGAGGCCGATTCCTATATAAAAAGCAGGTAGGCTTCGAAATGGAGAACGATCCAGGTCAGGAAAATATCTTCACGGAAATTCCATCATGCGTCGCATACTTGATTCATTTACTTATGCGCTTCTGTTCAGTCTTTCAACAGCTCTTCCAGCTACATCACCTGCGATTGCTGCTCGGAGCGGTCTGGTCGCCTCGTTTCCGCTGCCTCCTTCACAAGATTCGTTCTACACTGCTCCTACTGGCTATGAGTCCGCTGCACCGGGAACCATCTTGCGGTTGCGCGAAGCAGTTGGCAATCTGACGTCGATTTACAATGCCAGTTCAGCCGCATACAATATCCTCTATCGCACCACCGATGCACAATATCAGCCAGCATGGGCAGTCACGACTTTGTTTGTGCCTTCTCACCCCAGCAGCGATGCCCTCCTGTCTTACCAAATTCCCTACAACACTGCCGACGTCGACCACAGTCCCAGTTATGTGCTTGGGTCCGAATTAGCCACAGGTCTAATTCTTTCGGATATCAACTCTGCACTCAACCATGGTTGGTTCGTCAATGTACCTGATTTCGAAGGCCCCTCGGCGTCATTTGGATCAGGAGTTGCAGAAGGCCATGCCACGCTTGACTCGGTTCGCGCTGTACTGTCTGCAGGGTTTGGTCTCTCTTCCGATGCACGATATGCTATGTGGGGTTACTCGGGAGGATCAATCGCCAGTGAATGGGCTGCAGAACTTCAGGTTCAATATGCTCCAGAACTCAACTTCAGCGGTGTTGCACTGGGTGGTCTGGTCCCGAACGGAACAACCATCCTACACACCATCGATGGGACGCCAGCAGCAGGATTGATCCCTTCGTTTCTCATCGGCGTAATGAAACAATACCCGGCGGCGTACCATTACTTGGTCAGCAATCTGAAAGCCTCTGGACCTTACAACGCGACGGGCTTCTTGGCAGTTCAAAACATGTCGTATCTAGAGGCAGCAGTCGCCTTCATGAACCAGAGCGTCCTGAATGACTACTTTATCAACGGCACTTCTTTGATCCAGCAGCCTATAATCCAGAGGGTCTTCGACGTTGACGGGCTGATGGGCTATCATGGTGTCCCGCAGATGCCAACGTTCATGTACAAGGCGACGCACGACGAGTACAGCCCCGTGGGTGACACCGACTCGCTCGTGGCAAGATACTGCAACGCTGGCGCAAATATCTTGTATCAGAGGAACAGAGCAGGCAACCACCTGGACGAAGAAACAAATGGAGATGCACGGGCATTCGACTGGTTGAATGCAGCATTGAATGGGACGCTCATGATGCAACGAGGATGCACGATTCAGAATGTGACAGTCGACATCAGCTCGCACGCGCCATTTACCCTTCCGCCTTGATTGCTGACAGTGTTTCTATCAAGCAGAATACCATTCCACATTGAAATGATATCATGCTTCAATATTTTCTGGTCCAAGTATTTTACTGCTCCATTCGCATTACTAACTGGGAGGGAGAGTGAAGGGTAAGCCATCTCAAGCTATAGCGCAGTGCCGCCACTCAGTCGAGCAGGAGAAGGGAAGGAAAGATACGGGCGGCAATAATGGTGGGTGTCTTGAGACTTTGGCACCGTGGATGCGGACGTGGATGCGAACGACGGAAGTATTGAGTATAGGCTCTCACAACTTCTGCATCAGATTCATGTTTGCTCTCCCTGAGGGGCTCTTCAGATGGAATCTGCCCCTGGTCAACAGTCTGCGAGACATTGTCTTCCCACATCAAACACTTCCCGTACGCAGGCCACCGGACATTCGGTAACCTTCCGTCTCAACTCAAGGGGCTTCGACAAAAGGAGTATCCTCGCTGGAGTTCGAAACAATTGAGCTGTGGACCTGAAAATCGAAAGGATACCAGACACCCGAACATCAGCGCCAGCACTTTCCGCTACGGTCTTGCGGGTCACAAATGATGTACAAGAACGGCAGTCGAATGCCTTTGTTGCTTGGACATCGTCGATAGAGTGGCAACTATTACTTTGCAGCAATGGTCTTGTCCGGCGCGGCGACGGAGGTCCTCTTCGAGGCGTTGGTCGGGACCGTCGATCCTACGGGCGCATCCGATCCCGGGCCTGAAAAAACATTGCCGCAAGCCCTACGAGTATGAAGCCAATGTTGACACTCACCCGGAAAGAATTCTTCGGGGTCATCAAGGGGCCTGTAACGTGAGACGTCACCAGAGCAAACCGCCTGCGTCTCCAGACACTTTGTCATGCCCAATGCTTGCCGTCAGCGGGGAAAGGCAAAACTCGAATTTTGTTGAGAAGCCAATGCAGGGTGCTTTTCGGCGAGGGCAGGTGGCTGAGGGGGTCTCTTGCGGTCTCGACTTCTCATTCTCGTGCGTTTACAGAGTGTGGCAAAATCTGGACAGTGCTCCATGCACGCAGCTGGCCATTGGAGCTGGGATTGACTTCCACATTGTCAAGGGTGATGCTGATCGACGAGTATGCCGGTAAATCTCTCTTTTTGAGACGATGTTGAGCACCTTTCTGGACACTTCGATCGATGGCCGGCAGATGGCCTTGGGAGGCGTCGACGACGATCGTCCTGGTCCTGGATCACACAACAACGGGATGTCTCAATTCAGAGCATCCCCGCCTAAAGTTGCAGGGGCAACGGAGGCGGGCATCGATCATGGGGAAGTATCGCCATCAGACTTTGCAGGCAAACATATCCGTAAACACAATGCGATGGATCGGGAGCCGCCGGGGCGAGCGCAGTCTTGGCAATGGCGGTAACGTGACATTATCGGACTAGGGAGAAATATGTGAACAGACTAGGAAATTTCTACGGGCGAGCATAGACGCCTTAGCGCACTCCTTGCCTCTCGCCACTTCGCCCGCTTCATCGCGGCATCGGGGTGGCTTCTTTCTCTCACGTAAATCTGGTCCAAGCAGAAATTTCAACAGGCACACAGGCCAGTGCTACCAGACTCGACACTCGCCACGTCCGGATGGGGTCTAGCCACCTCGTGATCACTTCTTGAAGGAAGCACGCAACTGCGACAACATTCTCGTGGTAGACTCCAGGCCCAAGTATGTCACTCAAAGCTGTCACTGGTTTCTGTGGCCCGAGCGCAGCTCCTCCCTTGCCACCCTCAACGTTGACTCGTCAGGCAACGTGGCTCGATATCTGTCAAACCAGTCAGCACCAAAGTCACCCTCACCGAACCCAAGGGGGGCACTGCTGCCTCACAAAAAGGCGCTTGCCGACGTACCATGTATTCTCATACGTAATCTTGTGTCACCAGGGACTAAAGGATTGTTTGACACATTCGATGCAAAGCTCGTATCACCACCAGTCAGCGTTCGCGCCCAACCCTATCCCGGTCAATCAATGCCTCAGGTGCAAAAGCTAGGACCCCTCGCCTGTGGGCTGGTCGAAGTTTGCCAGCCCAATATCCATGCGAACAAGAACTTGGAAGGACGGTTATCAATGGCGATCCTGAGACACGCGAACGACCCTCCCAAAGCAAGCGTTCCACATCCTCCCCTCTCGAACAATTTCGGTAAGGCTAAGTGTGGAGATGATGGTCTACTCTCCATCTGCGCTATTGGCTCTCGCCTCTACTCCTGATCTTCCATGTTCATTCTTTCGAAAGAGGGGACTGATGGTCACATGGACCCGTTGAAAGCGGACCTTCTCCCCCCCATTCACAGTCACCCATCTGTAAATTGTGTTGCGGATCACTGTCCCCTCTGCCATTTAAGAATGGTGTAGGAGAACAATTGGGTCTGCCGAACCACTAGCAATACGTGGCGAATCAGAAAGTGTCAGATAACAATAAGTTGCAAGCCACACCAAAGTCGGCTGCCGACAATTCCGCCGAGGCTGGCACTGCAGCGTGACCCAAGGCGCAGAGGCAAATTTGGTTCAGGTGCGAAGGGGGGCCACTACTGGAAGCCTGGACTCTGCTAGAGGCCATTATTTTCAGCCCGCGCACTCGACGAGTTAGCTCTGGCTGGTGTTGAGCCAGGGCGTTCCCGTGCTCTCGATCTCGACAGTCTCACCACGCTACAACTCTCTTCACTCGCAGAGTTGGTGGCTGAGAACAGACTCCCGCCATTGTTTACCAGGTAGGGGTCCCCCTATCTCTGGGACAAGTGTGCAGCAAAGCCCTCAAGGGCGAAGGAGAATAGTGGGCTCGAAAGTTAGGTGGTGAAGGCAGGCTACGTAGCGCTGACCAGCATGCGGCCCTCGCCAGAGATAGTAATCTCCATCATGAGAGAGAAAGAGAGAGCCTTGTGTCCGGCGTAGGCGACAGACCCCAGGGTGTGCCCGCCGCCCGGACGAGTTGCAAATCTCAGACTGCTGCTGGGGCAATTGGGCAGGAATGAGGGAACAGCATTGCATGATGCTTCTGCCGCTATTCCAGCACACCCCCTTCGTGCTGGGGCTGGCTGGGGCTGGCTGGGGCAGGCCGATGGTGATTGGGTGCTCCAAGTGATTGGGAGCAAGGGATTGCAGTTTGAGCAAGTTCGGACCGTCAGAGTGCGGTTAGTGCTGGAGGGAGGCAGGGCCAGAGTCCCAGTGTCCAGCATGACGACCTGCGTACTTTGCAGACCGACCAGGCCGCCGTCCTGTGCCCTGCCATTTTCAGAGTGTGGCTACTGAACCCGCCATCTGCCATCTGGCACCCAGGCCCCCTCCTTGCTTGAAACACGAGCGAATGGCGAAGGCGGCCTGCCCAGCCCAGGACTAGCCTTTCCACCACTGCCAGGCGCGAGGCGCAAAAAGCAACAAACGATTCAAGCATCTCACCGACCAGGCCACTCCCCGACCTGCCGATGGGCGATCAAATTTTTTCATGGTTCCTCGTCTCATGTCCGATGCCGTCTGTGCTGGCGCCAGGAGGACCCAATCGCCATCACCCATGGCCCCTCCAATGGTGTCAATCACTCCGTCTCCTTCTGAGCAAGCTTGCCCAGATGAAGCAGACACAGCAGACGGCATGGGGAGTGTGTGTCTGGTCGTGGCGTCACAAGTGAAATTTCTCAAGGGAAGCCATTGGTGCCAATTCCAGACATGTCAACACCCGGAAACAGGCGGGCGGCGAATTTGGGAATGGCAACCCAAGCACTTTGCCGGCCAGCAGCCCAAAACAACTGTGCTTCCGGCATGACCATGTCGAATTTCGCCTTCTCCCCTCAGGTGGTGGGAACCCAACCCTGCAGGCACCCCCAAAAATGCAGCGCTGGTGATTGGGATGCTGGGCTGTTCTCGTCAAGGACCACAACTACTGGTCGATATGCTAGCGCTGGCGCTCGGTCTCGCAAGGAACGCTGATCTGTGGTCGGTGGTGACAAGAAATGCGCCCAGCCACCTGGTGATCCGCTCATCGCCCACTTTTCCACCGACAAGAGCATGCAACCCACTCTGCCCGTGTCTCCTGCCAGACGGTGCCCGCCTCGTCTTGCTTCCTCTGGCCGGCCTAAACCAAAACCACTCATGGGAAGCTCGTCATCCAGCGTTCCCAGCGTCAGACTACAGCCCAGGGTTTGCGAACTTTGACGCATCGATGTGGGCCCTCTCCCTTCCTGGCGTTCTATTCGCAGCATCTTCTGACCAGGTTCTGACGGCTTTTTTGCCCCACTGGCAAGGGTGGCATGAGTGTCGAGGGTCCGTGCGTCGACGCTTGCCATGTTCGCCATGCTCGTAATGGCTCTCTTCGAGTACAACGTCCGTCATACCTAAAAGGACATAATATTGCCTCTATACCTCGATACACCTACTCGCATCAACACCAGCACCACCTCAAAACCATCCGACATCCCATCTTGGACCTCTCACCCTTCCTCCTATATCTTTTACATCTGCTCTCGACTGTGTACCACTTTTGTATCCTCATACCTTCTGGTCTTTCCTTTACTGCTCGACATCCAAGCCGATCGCCGCCTACCATAATCCATTGGACCTGCCTACCATATCCAGGGACTGGCCACTATTTTCTGTTCATTTCCTCAAAACAAGTCTCTGGAACTCTTCTGGACCCATGTTTTGAACTGTTCTTTTTGGTCTTGTTCGACTCCCTCCTTTTCCTAGATCAAGTACTCCGTACTTTTGGGCCCTCCCAATAATGCTATTGACGCCACCATCGTCCCCTCAACTCGCGACTTGCCTTGCACCAGAGGACCGATTGGGGTGTGTTTTAGCCGGCCGACTCGAACTGGTCTCTATCCTAGGAATTGGCGCTTATGGAGTGGTCTACCAGGCCATCGACAGACTCACAAACATCCCCTATGCCGTGAAGGCCCTTCCCAAAGTTGGATTGGATCCCAGACAACGACGTTTCCAACGGCGCGAGATTGCCCTCCACCACCAAGCCAGCCAACATCCCAATGTTGTGTCCCTCCTTCGCATCTTGGAGAGCCCGGACTGCACCTTCGTGGTGATTGAGTTCTGCCCCGAAGGCGACCTATTCTCCAACATCACCGAACATGGCCGATTCGTGGGCGACGACCAACTGGCCAAGCATGCTTTCTTGCAAATTTTGGATGCCGTCCAATACTGCCATTCCATCGGGATCTACCACAGGGACCTGAAGCCTGAGAACATCTTGGTGACGAACCATGGCCACACTGTCAAACTCGCCGACTTTGGGCTCGCCACCACGGATTCCATCACGTCCGACTTCGGGTGTGGGTCCACATTCTACATGTCCCCAGGTATGTTTTTTTTTTCCCCGACTCCCACACGAGACAACATATACTGATGCTTGCAGAATGTCAACAAGCGCCAACACGACCATATGCCCGCTATGCGGCCGCACCCAACGACGTCTGGAGCCTCGGCGTTATCCTCGTGAACCTGACCTGTGGTCGCAATCCCTGGAAGAAGGCCTCTCCTGATGATTCCACATTCCGTGCCTTCTTGAAGGATCCCAAATTCCTCAGCTCGATCTTGCCAATCTCTCCCGAACTGAACATGATCTTGAGACGCATCTTCGAGTGTGACCCACACAAGAGGATTACCCTCCAGGAGCTCCGCGAGTTGATTCTCAACTGTCCCAGGCTGACGACCAATTCATACAACACTCTTCCCCCGTCGCCTCCCGCGTCTCCCTACGACTACGTGGATCCAATGGATTGTGCCAACATGGCTCTCCCGCCCTCTCCACCCGCATCCCCATCTCCTCAACAACACTTCCAACCCCAACCCTCGGAGTGGTCTTTGTTTGAACCTGCCTCCAAGCAGAGTTCGTCTTGTTCTTCGCTTTCCACGGATTCTGGATACGAATCCGAGGCTCCGTTCCATGATGCTGGTCAACGTCTACAACCTACTGTCTTCAACTTCTACGGCAACGTTATTCCACTGAACGAGCACGAAAAGCCTTATTATCCGCAACCGAACTTTGTTCCCTCGGTTGCCGCGTTTTAATTTCCCGAAAATGTTTTACATACGTTGTGCAGCAACCTGGTCGACGCTGTAACGAGTTAACGGTGTTACGATTGGAGCTTTCATCCCCTTTTGGATACCCAGGCGGTCAGTTTTACGATACCACTTTTACAACAAAAAACTTGTTTTCCGGATTGGACTGGATTTTTCGGGAAAAGCCACGAGGCGCTGCAGTTTTACAGGACAAAGTCAGCGTATTTGTCGGCGTCTTTTACTAGACCGCGGATTCTCTTTGTGTGTGTTTGTGTGTGTGTGTGCGCGCGCGCGTGTGTTGGAGACTGTTCAAGCGTTGAGAGTTACCGGATAAGAGAAAAACTTAAGGGGAAGGCGCGTTTGGAAGAGTTTTAGTCGCTGTGTCTCTCAACCCAAGTGCTGGCGCGAGACGACCTGTTGGGACATGGGGAGGGTTTTTGTCATTACTGTTCCCGAGGACTGCCTTTGCAACTCCTTACGAAAAGGATATATCCTAGGACGATCGTTCAACCCTGCTATGGCCACTATGAATCCGAGGATTTCACACAAACATGAGTTCCATGGGACGCTTCATCCTGTCAGGATGACCCTGGGCTTCCAGTCTTTCGCATTCTTGTGTCCATGGGCCAGGGCTTGAATGACTTTCTGTAAATAGCTTTGCACCGACTAAGAACAAATATCGAAAAGGATGGCTTCAGACCAGGCGCCGTTTTGAGATTCTATGCAACTTTCCACTTCTGCGTGTAGGATAGACCTCGCTGTCGCCCTGCAAATAATCACGTGATGCCAGCACGTGGGCGCAGGCGACCTTTCCGGATACTCTGTAGCATCGAAGTGGCAAAGAAGGGGAATTCGTCTTCCTTCCAACCTTCTCTCTCCCTCCCGCATTCTCGCCCACCAATCCATCCTCTATCACATCCTCCCATCTCCGATCAGTGACAATATCTCCCACCAACCATTCAGCTGGGAGTGGCTTGTGCCCGCCCTCTCCCGCGGTTCTATTCCTGACGACATTGTTTTTGCCATCCAGCGCAGGCCGCAAGGCAGCTTTCGCCCCGACTGTGCCGCTGGGGTGCTCACTAATGCAAGCCCCTTCTGTTCCAGCCTTCGTCTTTGACAGCGCATGCGTCAGCCTCTCGGCTCTGCCAGGATGCATTGGCTGCCTTACTCCTCCTCCCTGCCCCGCTTTGTCGGTCCTTCTCTGACTTTCTTTCGCAGAATCCTCGCCCACCTGCCGTCGTGCGGTTGGTCAGATGGGGACAACTCTCAAGTTTTTGCCACCGACTACTGCAAGGTGGGCGGCACCTTCACCTGCGTCGGCAATCCAGATGACTCTTGGTGTCCTCTCCTCCTACGAATGACCGATTAGGATTTCTGAGTCTCTGGCTCCATGGTGGGCGATGGATCCCGTCCATCCATTATCTGGAGAAGGATATCCATGTCCGCAGTGAGGGCGAAACACACCAGATTGGCATGAGACTAACCCAAGGATATCGGAGAAATAGCCCCTCCATTCTGGGCACGCGCTGGACACCACCGAACCCTACCGCTAAGAATAAAACCACCCATCAGAGTCCGACCTGTCCCTCCATCAGCGACGACTTATGCAGGAGCTTTGACGCTTGCTGCACTCCAGCGATCGACCTTTGGAACTTTGAGGGCAATGACAGGCCCCTCCCGGCATGTCAGGCGTAGTCCCTAGGACACTCGTGAGTTGATTTCAGTCCTGGCTTGTTTGCACGGATACTTTCGAGAACCAAAGACGACTCCTGCAGCATTAATGCGAATGATCATTGGACCAAAGCGGAGAAGAGAGGGGCAGCATGGAGACACCAGTACCAGCTCCCCGAGACTGATTGACAAGTGCCCACGAGGGTCGATAGGCCCTCTCAATCACAGCCCAGAACCCCTCCCCCTATCCCGTCTCGACAGGTTGGGCATTGTGTCACCGATAACCATTCTGACCGTGCTCAGCTCTACGTCAGCCCATGGTTGTGCGACGGCAGAAGGTGCCCCTCAGGATAATCCATGATGTTTCGAACAAGAAAAAAAAAACTGGGGCTACTCGATTCCCTCAGGAGGGTTGCCGAAGTCACAATGTACCTCCTACTTGGATGCTGACCATCTCAATGCAATCTGTCGCTGAAATCAGCAGACAAACGAGAAGCCCGAGACTTGTGCCAGTCGTAAGTCGCGTACCTGGACCTGGGGAGGATAATGGAGTCCAGGCGAACCGGCATGACCGAGAAAAGCCGCAAGGGATGTACGACTATGGCTATGAGTTGGGTACACTTTGTTGGTTGACACCGCCACCAAGCGATGCTCGAGTCATGCGCCATAACGGGCCATTATTCAGCCAGTGCCTTTTTGCGAGGACTTTGTCCTCTCGGACAACTGCAAACTGAGCTTCCTGTGCTGGAAAGGTCCAGTTTCTCGAATATCTCCATGGACTCTGGGAGTATCTTTTGGGATTTGGCTTTCGTCCAATTGAGAAAGCATATTCTTCCGAAGCGAGCCGTGCTACAGATGCTTCCAACCCAAAAGCTCCGCCTTGCACGTACAACCATCATTCCTTCAACCTGTATATGGTATAGATCGCTCGAACTTTCCTCCCAATCATACCTCTTTGCGATCCGAAATGACTGGCAAAAACTTTTCTAATGACAACGTTCGCCTTTAGAGCGGCAATCCACGTTCACCTTTCCCCCAAGCTTGTCAGGGCGACTAGATCACGAGGAACAATGACTGGGCTGGCGACAGTCTGCGTACCAGGAGGATACCAGGCTGGCATCTTGACGGTTCTGCATTCAGTCGTCTGAGGCGTCCTGAACGAGGAGACGGTGCTGCCAGACTTCATCACTCGGTCTTAGAAGCTCGACACTCCTAGACGACTATGCCAGTGCCCAGATTGAAGTGTCCATATGGCATGGTTGCGAAGCCTCGACAACGTCTATTGCCGCTATTATGGTCTACCTCCCCAATCGCCTGTCATTTGAAAACCCAATGGTCCATTATCCATGTCAGCCTCTCTGCGGTTGGTTGAAGACAAGGTCAAGTCATCCCATACACAGCTAGGTCCGTTCCTGATAGCTGAAAGGAAAGGCGGTTGAGTTGCTTTCAAATCTTGTTGTCATGTTCCTGGCCTTGATTCCAGTCATCATCGATTCAGCGAAGGATGATTGTCCCTCCAATCAAGCCGCGACTGGTAAAATGGTCCGCTCCTGCCCGGACGGGTTTCCGCGAATGGTCTCCAGAACAGCGGAGCACCAGACAAACTCTCACTCATCTGCTCGGGTTTCTGTGCCAACTGGGTCTGGATGCTTGGGAATACGACGCGCCTGCAAGGCAGACCCAAGCCAATTGGCAACACCATACCGTACCACACCATACCGCTCAGGCATCAAACTACTAGGGCCGAAGCCCAACCACCTGTTGAGCCACGAAGCAAAGCCTCATCCAACTAGTGACTGGCACATGGCAAAAATGCCGCATACAAAATCCGGCATGGGCTTGTCTGGGCAGGATGGGTTGATTCCCCCTGAGGCCTGCATGGCTATTCAACCAGTAAGAACAGGTTCTCCTGCTTGGGTCGCCTTGTTTCGGTGACGCGCTGCCTCCCATGATCAAGCAGAATGGACGTCTCCATGGGCATTGCTGCAAAGGTCCAGACTCTCGCCGGTGCATCTGCTGCCGAGTGTGTTGCACCGTGCTTCGTGGTTGTTGTTTAGTCCCCACCTCACAGTCGCTGACAGGAAACGATGGCATGCGAACACTTCTCGGACAATTCTCGTCGAGGAAGTTTGAGAATGACATGTTGAAAGACCACGTTTTGAGCGGTGGGCGTCACATGACTCAACCACTGGCCCAGACACGGTCGTTGCCGTGGTCGTCAGTCCTCATGCTGCTATAGAAAGGCAAGATTGGGACCATGCACGGACATTGTTGCAGATGAAGTTTCAAGGAGACGAGAGCATCTCACTCACTTGGTCTGAGAAATACAGGTCACGCCGCCACGTTTCCAAGGTATGTTTCTCACTCTGGCCGGAGAACTGTGTTCGATAGGCAGGAGAGGAAGAATCGGTTGTTGCTCTCACGCATTGGTCAAGTTGCAATGCCTGGAAGCCTCCCTGTGTCGAAGTCGAATCCCAACGGGACAAAACATGGATGCACAATTTGTCGTGCGAAGCAAGAGACGCGTTCACACAATCGGCAGCAGCTTCAGAGTTCTGGCAATGTGGTCAGCAGTGAGGTGTGCCCCGATAGAGCCCTCAAAAGCTGCGGAGTTCGTGCGTGGAGGCAGATGCATGATACAGGCCTGGGTGAAAACAGCGTCTGCCTCGTTCGAGAAAGGCTGAGTGGTCACCGGCGAGCGAGCCAGCTTGCCAGAAACGCATTCGACAGGACTCCAGTTACTCTAACGGCTTTTCTAGTCGCAGCCTTGTCGATCACTTGATTTGGTGTGTTTTTTTTTAACTTATTCCCACTTCTATTTACTTTGACTTCATCTTGCGTTGGACCGTGGATCTGGGGAACTTGCTCAGATGCTGACCAGGCATCAATGCTTCTCGGAAAGAGCCATTTGTGCCACTCCAAGGTGGATTCCTTGAGACGACGTCACTATAGAGAAAGGGTCAGACATGTTCCCATTCTTGCCTCCAGCCTCAGCACTGTTCCGGCTGAGCTGAGAGGCAGTCAAAGTCGTCAGTCAGCCACACCATCAGATAATTGACGTCGAGGTCGCGGCGTGTGTTGATGTACTACTCCGTACAAGATGGACGCCACATGTGGTCCATGCACGTGCGAACTGCGCCTCAAACTCTGTCGCAAGCAGTGGCTTAACCGGGTCTAGCGGCGCCTTGTATCCAAACGAACGGTGCCTGAGTCGATATTAATGGATGCGGTGCAATTGTCTTCCCTTAAAGATCCATACTTTTATTGTGAGTTACATTCGCATCACTTTTTGCGTTTGGCCGTTCCGCCTCGTCCATCTTTTCCTCGGTCATGTTCTGTCTGATCAAGGACGAGCAAGAGCAAGAGCAAGCGGTGACACGGTGACAAAGGGCCAGTGGCTGAGCCAAGTCACCCCCAAGACTCACTATTACGCGTCGCAATTCGCAACGGTTGCTTCCCGCGTCTTCGCAGCGGACAATGGAATGCGCTCAATGAACTCTCCGGTGTGAATTACGTTTGCTTCGTGGTAGAGTAGTCGGGCTTCTCATTCGTCCATCGGCTGCCTGCGCTGAGCTTTGACCTCCCTCAGTGGCCCAGGTATATTTGTGATTGTCTTCTCGCCTCACCACTCTCTGCATCAGTCAATTTGTATCGCGCCCAGAGTGACTGTTCCCTGTCCGTGCGCAGACACATTCAGCATCGGACCATCGATTGCTCCAGATCAAATTCCCCGTCCTGCTGCACAAAGACCCAGATACCCGGGAGCCTAGATCAGGCATTGATTGAGCCCTGCCCGCGAGTGAACGCGACATCACCCTCGAACAATCCACCACCACCGCCGCCCGAGAAGAAAAAAACACCCCCAGCCCAAAAGACACCATGGGCGACAAATTCCCTCCCCCCCAATACCCTCCGCCCACGCAGAGCCCCGGCCCCATCCACGCCCAGACGGGCTTCCAATCGCCGCCGCCGCAAATGGCCTACGACCCCAACTACCAGCAACAGTACGAGTACGATGCCTCGCGCGGCGCGAACCAGGGCTACTACGGTGGTGGTGGCCCCCCGCCGCCGCAGGGATACTATGGCGGCGGTCCCGGGTACGGGCCTCCGCAGGGCTGGAATGGGCAGCCGCCGCCACCGCCGCCGGGCATGTATGAGAGAGATCGAGGCGGCGGGGGAGGAGCTGGGATCTGTACGGGGTTATTGGCTGGGTTGGCGTGTTGTTGCTGTTTGGAGGCGTTGTTTTAAGACGGGTTTTTCACAATTGCGACGGACACGGACGGGGGGTGCGAGGCGGGTGCGGGCCTTTCGAGTGGGATGGAAAAGATCACATTCTGCTGAATAGGTTGAGCATTTCATTTCATCGGGGGATTTTGTCCCTATACTCGATTGCATTACTAGCATAGCGTTTGCGGGTGGGGAGGAGCATATCATTTGGCTCCATCACAATGCATCAAAAGATAGATTGTGATATACTCCTTGACTTAACTCAGAATGTGGTCATCAAAGTGCCAATTCGTCTCTACGGCGAGAGTTCACCAACTCAGTGCTGCCCTTCACATCACAGAACAACTGCTGGCCCCGCTCAACCCGCCAGATTCCGTGGTCGTTTTCGCTGCAGTCCGGGTGATGTCCTCTAGGACCTCCCACATCAACTCGCCCGTCAAAGCACTGCACTCTGCATACCGATCACAGTGCATCTCCTGGGCGGCGCGCAGCCCTTCCTGCGGCATGACACACTCGTAAGACCCGTCCTCGCGCCTCTGCTCGGTGCGCTCGTCCCGCTTCAGGCCCAGCAGCATGACGGGCATGTTGTGCTCGACGTCATGGTAGTGCAGGGACAGCTGCTTGCGCCAGTAATACTGGGCGTTGTGCAGAGACTCACGGGACGAAATGGAGAAGGCGATGATGGCGAACGCCGGCGCCGACGGAAACGGGTCGATGAACAGCGGCGACGTCGAGGGATGGATCCGGAACTTGTACGGACGCCGAAACAGGCTGACGTCGAAGGTCACCGGGCCCGACGGGGCGAAGACTCGCTTTCGAGGCGCCGACTGGTCAAGCTTGCCGTCGCGGATGTGTTCCAGCTGTCTGCGTAGTCCCATCCAATCGTTGAGCCTCAATGCTGTATCGGATTGAGAGGGGGGACAAAAGCGAATTGACTGGGACAGGGGAAAATGGGGCGCGTGGGACGACTTACGACAGGAAGGTGGCTTTGCCTACGCCGGGGCTGCCGAGGAAGAGAATATCAACTTCCGGGATGGGCTGAGCCTCGGGGGCCACTTGCGCTGCCATCGCTGAGCTCTCTGCCTGCAGGCGTCCTCATTCATCTTGCCAACTCCTCTGGGAATGCATGTTATGGCGCAGAGGATGGGGGATGGGCAGGAAAAGAGCATGGGATGGTTTGAAAAAGTTGATATCAGCCTCGGCCAAGAAGAGCTAGACCCGCGCCGCTTTCGAACCCTGGGGGTGAGAAAGAAAAGATTGAGTCTGACAGATTCAGTCTCTTTAAGGTTCCCCATGAATAAGCTCCGTCAGACACTTCTTAACATGCCTGGCAGTGGCATGGTACGTCACCGTGCTGAAAGCGGCCACTGCCACCGTTGACGCGCTTCCAAATCTCTTGAAACGGTGCCGCCTGCGTCCTCAACCCGCAGTATCATTCCCATCCATCCTTTCCAGTTTATGCCAGTCACTCAGCTGTCCCAGCTCAAGCCGGGCCAATTAGTTTCGATCGTCCTCAAAGCAGACCAGCGCACGGGGCGGCAAGTTCAAGGCACCGTCTCCCAACTGCTCACCCGCCACAACCACCCCCGAGGGATCAAGGTCAAACTGACCGACGGCCGAGTCGGACGAGTCCAGCAGATTCTCACGCAGGCACAACCAGTGTCGCACGGCAGAATGTCGTCAAATAACCCCTGGGCCAGCACTGAAAGCCAAGGGAACCCTTACACCTCACCGACCTCCGAACAACCGAACCAGGGCGCCGCGCAGTCCTACTACCAGTCCCGTCCTTCGCAGCAGAACCAGAACCAGCCGCAGCAGTATCAGTACCAACAACCGCAACACCAATCGTCCACGCCGGGGCAAGGGATCAACCGCTCCGACACCGAGCAGCTGCTGGCGCAGCAGACCGACCGGGCAGAACAGGTCGAGCACATGCAGCAGTACGAGGCGAATGCCCGGCAGACAGAGGACGACAGGATCCAGGCGCAACTCCAGAAAGAGTTCCCGAATATTGACAGCAGCCTGATAGCCGCAATATACAATGAGAGGAAGGGACAGGGCGATCTGGGCGAGGTCCGGGAGTTGTTGCAAGAATTGAACACCACTTGAGTGAGGAAATGACAACACCACAAACGCTGGGCGCCGGAAGAAAGCAGTCTTCCTGTGTCGCTCATGTCTACGGATATTAAATCGAGAGAAGAAAGGAGAGATGGGACACTGAGGAAGAGTTGTGCTGAATGCTAGTGCTTGCTCTAGACAGTCTCAACCTTTTCGACCTGTCCTCAGTCACGCTTCTCTTGTTCTCTTTCCGAGACTCAAGTATCCTATGCAATTGAGAAAAGATCCGCTTGTTGCAAGACAAGTTCGCATTGATTGTAAGTGGAAACGTGTTCAGTCTGACGACGGATGCCTCTCAAGTGCTACTGGGAAGTGCCCTGCTAGGCACTGCTAGTTCGCGCGGGCGATGTCGGCTGATGACTCTGGGAATGTTCGTGCCGTCAACTCCACAAGTCTGGTCTTGATTGAATCCCCAGTCTTTGCATCTTTCAATGTGCCAAGCGTACAGGTCCTCTATCATTGCAGGAGTGATCCTGAATCCAAGGATCTCTGCAGATTGACCGCAAGGACAGCACCAAATATTCCTTGGGACACTGCAGGGGTTACATGGTCGTTTGTGTCTCCGAAGGTAAGTGAGTCGGGCCCATTGTATCCTCCACATTGAAGGATAGATCAGAGATTCTTGTGCCGCCAGAGCGACATTTTTATCAGGCGGTCGAGATTGTACCCTTGCCCTAGGTCTCGGTCGCTTGATCCCACACAGCCGCCTGACAACTGTAAAGCTTGGTCAGAAATGATGTCAGTGACGTCCCCAACACGCGCAGTGTCCTCTTCGATTGTGTGCCGGTCGGTCTGTCCCAGGACAGTTCGGAGACCGAGTATCTGACCCTGATGAACGCATAGGGCCAAATACAGAAGGCGCATGAAGCTGTCGGCGATCTATTTCTAACGGGGAAAACGATGACGTTGTCCATCGGCCAATCGCATTCGGCGATTCCAGCGCAGCCTTGCACAGCGCAATGCTCCAGAGAGAAGAGATCCAGCCATCGACCTACCCGTCCTGTCCCCCAAAAGACTTATAGACGCCGCCGACTTTCATATCACGATTCCCCAATCCACAAATCCAACCTCCCCACAGACAAACCCTCTTTTCTCTCTCTCTCGTGCAACCCAACTTGAAAACAACACCATGGCGCGCTCCTGCTCCCTGCTCAAGAACGAGCCGCACCGCCTCCTGTGCCTGGGCGCACACTACGACATGGCGCTGAGGCTGCAGCAGAAGCTGGCCCCGCACTTCACCTACTGCGCGATCCTGACCAAGGTCGAGCCCAAGAGGACGTACTCGCTGGACCACTTCGAGCTGCTGCTCGACGCCCTCTACCCGCCGCCCGAGGGCGTGATCGTGGGCGGCGGCTTCAGCGACGAGGAGGGCGAGGAGCTGCGGCGGCGCGTCGAGGCGCGCCGGGACCGGGTCGAGGACGGCGAGCCCGTCAGGTTCGTCAAGGTGCCGGCGGGCACGCTGGAGAGGGCCGGGCCGGAGGGGCTGGTCGCCACCATCATGGGGTTGTTGGGCGAGGCGTTCAATGTGGAATGGTGAACCAGGCCTGCTCTCCCCCTTTCCTCTCTGCCCTGCCCTGCCCTGCCCTGCCCTGCCCTGTCCTACGCTTGCAATTGATTGGGTGGGTGCGGACGGACGGACGGCTGAGAGTCTCGGTAGGAATGTTTACCACACCGGCGTGCCTGACACCAAGCTTTGAAAAGAGGGACAGATGCTCCCTTTCTCTTCCGGACCGAGACGGGAAGTGAGTGGGAGAGGTAGCATAGGCTCGGGTGGGTGGGAGGGATAACGGAGTTCTCAAACAGGTGCATCATCACCGTGATGGATTTCTCTGTATCAACTAAATCTCCACGAGATCGCTAAGTTGCCTCACACGAGCACACACACACTCTCTCTCTCTACTACGCGCATTGATCTGGAATTGTTTCGGTCCGTAATCCCATTGCGACCCGGTTCAACTGTCCCTTTTGTTCCCCCCTTCTCAGACCCCGACGTTCGATTTTCTCAATGTCGGCGCTGGGCAAACGGTCCGCCCTTGGCAGCCAGATTGACGGCTCTCTTGGTGGCCTCGTCAAAGTCCTCCTTGGGCAGGCCCAGGACGTCGTTGTGCAGGCCGTACTTGGACTCGTAGTCGCCGTCGCCGTTGGGGAAGAAGACGCGGGCGTACAGCATCTTCATGAACCCCAGGCGGTCGCCGCCCTTCATCTGCTCCACGCCCGCCTGGTAGCGCTCCCGGACGTCCTCGTGCAGCACCGTCCAGTCGTCCTCCTTATCGCCCGTCACGCGCAACACCGACGCCAGCATGTCGCGCTGGCTGACCCGGAACGACGACACGTACATGACGTTGTTGCGGAACAGCGACAGCGTCGGCGCCGTGTCCGCCGCGTCCTCGGGCAGGATCTTCAGGCCGAGCAGTGCCGCCGCGGCGCGCCCGCACTGCAGCCACGTCGTGGTGTTGATCTTGGTGTTCCCGTCGTCGTACAGGGTCACGGTCTTGGTGGCGAAGTCGAACCCGTAGCTCCCCGGCGCGGCGGCCAGCGAGTACTCGTACCAGAAGCTGCAGGTGAAGCTGATCCAGGCGCTGACCCCGAGCTCCTCGATGTGCCGCCGCGTCACGTCCTTGTGGTCGCCGATCACGATCTCGTGCTGCAGCGTCTTGTTGCGCGGGTCGCTGCTGTACTCGTTGGGCAGGACCCACGGCACCCCGGCCGCCGCCGCCGCGTCGACCAGCTTCGTCTCCGTGTCCGGCGGCGCCGTCACCGCCATGGTGATGATCAACACGTCCTGGCCCCGCAGCGCGTCCACCAGCGTCGCCTGGTCCTCGTAGTTGACTTTCTTCACGGCCATGCCCTCGGGCACCGTGCTGTTCGAGTCCGCCCGTGTGATGGCCGTGAGTCGGTGCTTGCCTGTCTTGAGGAGTGCTCGGGCGATGTATTCGCCCACTTGGCCTCCTGCCTGTTGCAGTGGTCGTCAGTCAACAACGTTGCCAGATCTTATGATATAAGAGGGCACGGATGGTATCGTCTGGCTGTCTGCCTACTTACTCCGACGATTGCAATGTTTTCCACATAGTTCTTGAAGCCTTCCGGCTGGTCCTTTGCGTACTTTTGTGCCATAGCGAACGGGTTGCTGCAAGGTTGGTCTTCGACAATAGGGATGTCTTAATCAAGCGCTGGGTTTGTCCAGAGTTGAAGTGCTAGGGGGGGGGTTTGAAAGTAGATTATCTGGTGGATGAAGTGACGTGTGGTGTTCACGAATAGCAGCAATCGACATGCACAAGGCATCGCTGGTGGTCTATATATACCTTCTACCCTGTCCACACTCCAACATGGAACGACAAGGTTTTGGGTATGGAGACAATCATACAACGCCTCCTGCTTGGCCTGCTTTCGGACCTTGGTCCTCTATATCCGACATGGCATTGCCAGACTGGGCAACGGACTCAAAAACATGTGATACATATTTGCTCCGTACCGCGCTACCATCTCTCGTAAAGAAAGAAGAAACCGAGAATGGCAATCGAGATGGCCGTGCCGTCATGAGCCCACAAATGAGGTATAGCGAACCTGTCACGGACCAATAAGCCCGGCGTTACACCCAAGGCAATACGAGCTGTGGTTAGTCGAGATCTGGGGCAAGTCGGAGTGAATAAGAGCCGACTGATCGGTGACTTTTTGCTCTGGCCCCGTTGACTGGAGGGAGGGACAGATGGAGAGATGGTCCTCAGAACATGTGTACCTAGGTAGGTAACTCCGGTAGATTGCAAGTTATCAGGACTCGCTCGTATCGCTTTTACTCGGTCTGGCTTTTGATTGGGATCCGGGCGTAATGGGCGACTTGGGCGAGTCGGGCGAGGCTTCGGCTTTTAGATCCAGTCATCCAGAGACCTTCTTTTTGTAAAGAGGTTCAGTCTCGCCAATAGGATCAAATATGCCCTTCTCGCGCTTGGGTGTCCAGGGTGTCGGGCAATACCGCGCTCGGGATGAGGGCGCCTACATTGTTCCTTCGATACAAGGCTGCCGGCAATCAGAAGCTCGATTTGCGACGGTTCTACATTCTTCCGGCTATTCCTGGTCCCACAACCGTTCCTGAGAAACTGTTTTATAGGGTCTCTTCCACCACGAGCTTGTGAGATAGTGTTTGCTGGAGGCGATTCCACTCCGGAGTATGGCGACCTTGGAGGCTCACAGCAAGCTCCAAGGACATCTCAGTAGCGTTTCCCCATGTGCCCTAGGATGTGCATCTAGCATCCTCCGGATCCTGTCAACCGAGCTTCCGCTTGCCGGTAGCCTTGTGCCCTGTGGCATTGGAAGCTTCGTTCAAGCGATAGTGCAGCTTCTTGTGAAGTGGCGCAATCAGGGAGGGGATGTGACTCAATGGAGGAACATGGTGAATTCTACTCGGTCCTGGGGACCGTCAGACTATATACCCTTGAGTAATTTACACAGACCTACTAGTGCCGTCCGATGGCCATCGGGCGAGCGGGGTACCTTCCCTGACCGTCATTACATAGCCTTGGCAGGGCCGTCAGTCACAGGGAGCCGTTGGTGGGGTCACATGACCTCCGGCACGCCTTCCACCTTGGGATGGGCTGCCCACCTAATACTTCTACTGCACTTGGACGCAGAGCTCCCCCCCTCTCCTTCTTAGTTACCTCAGAGATAGCCCAACACAGCACACACGCCATTAAGGCAATTGAGTCAATACGACTCCTGGCCCATTGTGGCCTCTTTCCTTTGTTCTCCTCTTCGCTCCGCTCCGATCCCAACAGCCGTTTTTGGCATGATGTCTTCTTGCAAGGCGAGATAAAACAATTGCACCGTATTTCCCCGTCTTCTCGTGCGCTGGTATCGGTCTCGACTTTCCGTAGAATCCTTATTGCTAGGCAAGTGAAAGACGTGGCGATAGAAGTCTCGCAGGTGGTGACACAGTGATCGAGGTCTTGATGCGTGCCACGGCCCGGAAAAATATAGTCCCGAAAGAGGCAATCCAATCTCTTCCACCTGCTTTCACTCGCAATAATAACAAAACATCACGGGAATGAGTATTACTTCTGGATCGCATTTGATGATGTCCTCTGCTGTTGTCAACCCGATCCTGGTAGGCTGAGACGGGAAAAGTTCGTATCCTTGCTTCGAGCTCATGTTTCAAGGCTAAACGAGCCATCTTCGGGCCTGACAGGTAAGATAACAAGGACCACCAGTCGTATCGTGTCCTTTGCGAATACGAACGGCTCTCGTAGCGAAATCCAAGGTAAAATGCGCCGCAAGTGATGGACCATAATTCGCCTCCAAAGCGCTTCGCTGCTGCCTAGCTTCACGCTATGGACGACCCAATGCATTGGAACCCAGGACATCTGTTATATGTCCCAGCATTGATGCGATTGTCAATCGAAACAGGTCGTTCACTTGTCCCACGTCTATCATTTGTTACATATGGCTTTCGAACTGAAAACGGCGCATTCTGGGGATGGCACCAAGATTGCGTACTACCAGATCGGCGAGGGCCCAGGGATCATAATCCTGCATGGAGCGATGCAGCACGGCCTCAGTCACATGGACCTCGCAAAAGCCCTGTCGGATAGCTTCACTTGCTACCTCCCTGATCGGCGAGGACGTGGGAAGTCCGGCCCAACCGGCAAGAACTACTCGGTCCAAAAAGAAGTGGAAGACGTTGAAGCTATTCACCTCGCGACTGGCGCAAAATTCCTCTTTGGCGTCAGCTCGGGGGCACTGATCACTCTGAGAGCGGCGCTGGCAGCACCTCCATCGCACATACGGCGAATTGCGGTGTTTGAACCGCCCTGGCGGCCCGAGTCGGATCGAGAGGAAATGATGGCGTGGGCACAGAGATACGAAGCCGAGATCCAACGCGGTGAGCTTGCAAAAGCTGCCGTCACTGCTATGCTCGGAGCGGAGATGGGTCCAGCTTTCTTCCGTTCGAAATACTTCCCACAAGGTGTTCTGGTGCTCCTGACGAGGGTGTTGATGGCATTGGACCAAACAGGCAACAAACCCAATAAGGAATCGTGCGCTGGCGAACACGCGCGACCATCGTTCAAGGACCTGGTCCCAACAGTCCACAACGACATTGAAATTGCGATGTCTATGCTGGGAGACGAAACCCTTCAGAAGCTGGCGGCGATCCAGACAGAGACGCTTATCTTGGGTGGAAGTCGGAGCCAGGCGTATCTGAAGAATTCGGTTCACGAGCTTGAAAAGATCCTCCCCAACGCAGCGCGCGTCGAGTTCGAAGGTCTCGACCACGGCGGGACGTTCAACAAAGCGCAACATGGCAGCCCGGAAGTGTTCGCAACAGAGCTCCGTCGGTTCTTTTCTCAAGGCAATGGCAGCGACAAGGCGCAAGAACACGTCTCACCTACATGAGCAGTCTCCATTTCATGGTATTGCCTAGTATGCACCAGGAACCGAGGCTCGGTAGCGGAAGATTGCCACTTTTGCTCGCTGGAAAAGTGACGGCCTCTTTCTCGCTCATTGCACACGGCCATTTGGAGAAGTCGGATTTGGATGGCGTCACGGCTTATTCTGCTTTTTGGGAGAGTGAGCGTTATGGAAAGATCGGTGCTGATGGCTCTGAGGAAGCATAATAGTCAGGTTGCTATAAGATTGAAAAGATAGCCCCCTACGCCTGCTGCAGAGGCGTTCGAATGGAGTGGTTCATGGGCGGTCTTGAGCCTGTGTTCAGACAGCTACCTTGGAATTGCAGACTTCAAGGCAAACAGCTTCCTCTCAATAACAGACCAACAGGAACCCCTCTCCTCTCGCACCTAACCTTTCCATTCGTGCCTGTAGTCTATCACCCGGATGAGGCTGGCGGCAGTTCTCAAGCCGGTTTCGGCCACCCCCTCACCACCACAGCCTTTCTCCGCAAAGTGAAGATGCGGGCGAAAGGGGGAGCAAAATGTGGAGTAGCAAGACCTTCTATTTGGGTAAACCCTGGATGTAAATAGTCAACTGATATCATTTCGTAAGGCTGATTGACTTGTTGAACCAGGGACTATTGTTATCATCCTCTAAGGTGCCAAAGCAGATATCTGTGGAACAATGGGCCGACTTGATGGGAAGAGCATAATCGTGACGGGCGCGGGAGCTGGATTTGGGCGAGGCGTAAGTCAAACATGATGCATTTGGACTGAGAATGAGGCGGTGGTGCATTCCTCGGTCCTGGGAGCTGAAGGGTGGCGGGTAGCATTCGAGGAAGCTGGTCGAGAGACTTCTATCCGCACGTCTCTGGTCAAGAGGGTGGAACTGATGATACACCGAAGAGAGTCCAGGTACTAACACACGATTTCCCTCCAGATTGTCCAAAAGCTCACGGCCGAGGGTGCCTCCGTCCTGGCTGTTGACATCAACAGCGCCGAGAACGACAAGACAGTCGCGTCGTGCTCCTCCAACCCCGGAAAAGTCCACGCCTTTACAGGAGACATAACACTCGAGTCTTCGTGGCGTTCCATCCTCTCAACCGCCCTCGAAAAATATTCCAATCGCCTAGACGTCGTTGTCAACTGTGCCGGCGTAGTGCACCTCGCAGGTCCGTCGCATGAAATGGCCGAAGAAGAATTCGACAGAGTGTTTCGTGTGAATGTGAAACCATTATATTTGAGCACCAAGGTGATTGTGCCTTGGTGGAAGGAGAACAAGATACCGGGATCGTTCATCAACCTGAGCAGCATCAGTGAGCCCCGACCGAGGCCGAATTTGGTGTGGTATGCCTCGAGTAAAGGAGCTGTTACAGTTGTGAGTATAGAGATTGGTTCTTTCTAGCGAGAAGCTCGGCTGCAGCTGACGAAATCCGCGCAGGCGACGAAAGGTCTTGCGGCAGAGTATGCCGTCGATCAGATTAGGTACAACTGCATTCGTCCAGCGGTTGGAGAAACAGCCATGTGAGTTGTCCGTGTTCGTTCGGCTTGTGATCAACTTCTGATCGAGCATCCGGCAGGCTTCCTCGAGTCCTTGGGGGGCAAGACTCGCCAGAAGGACGGAAAAAGGTACTGGGCACGATCCCGCTGGGTCGTGTCTGTCAGCCAGCCGATGTTGCGAATATGGTGTGTTTTCTGGCGTCGGACGAGGCGAATTATATCACAGGTGCGGCATTTGATGTGGATGGCGGCAGAGGCGTGAGTTGAACGGATCCCGTTGGGCGCAAAGCTGCACGATCGACAGTATATAAATAAGTTTAGTACATGATCGTACATTTGTTTCTTTCCAACCGATATTTTACAAGCTGATCTCTCCTTTCCACATGGCATCATTGAGCCCAAGTTTCTCAACAACGTTCTGCCATCTTGGCCCGCCTCGGTCTTGCTTTCTTAGATAGGCCATCAACTTTTGTCTCTTGTGCACCATCATCCTCAATCGCCTCTTGTTGCTTTTATCCTTTTTGTGTAAGTTGTTCGCAAGGACGTTGATCTTTGCCGTCAGTATCGCAATTTGAACTTCAGGGGATCCAGTATCTGCGCCGATCCGTTTCGGGACAGGGACGGTACTCGCGTCGGTGCCTTCACCTTCCTTTCGGGTATTTTGTTTGCTCTGAAGCCCCGGTGCAAGAACTCCTTCAGTGTTGTGACGACCAAACTCCTCAATACATCTTTGAATGTTGATGCGTGTGCGATCTTTGCTGCTGGCGTTTTCTAGCGAGGCAATTGCCAGCAAAGCCTTCGACGCATTTCCATGGGAAGCGGCATGCTCCTTGATCCTTTCAGCAAGCCGCGCTTCACCCCCCACAACCGGGTTGGATTCCGGAAGAGGTTCAGTAAGCCACTTGGAGTATTCGAGAGATTTTTGGACGTCCTCTGGTTTGAGGAAGTAATTCAGGTAGGACTCTTTGATCGTCGAAATGGGAGCATTAGCCTGCAAGGAATTGACAAACGGAGTCGGTTGAGATCGGACAGGGTCGCCGAGTGCGAGCTCGCGTTCTGCTTGTAACACTTTTTGTCGAGCAAGATTCGCTGACTTGCGCTGCCGGGCCTGCGCCAATCGATACGGGTCGACATGCTTCCTGACCTTTCGTTTCCTCGTCCGCTTGGCTTCTAGAGGAGCTGTGGTGGAGAAGAGGCAGGTAGAGCACTTTGTGAGTGCTTGATTCCGTGTGGTTGCGGGCAAGCTCTGCAGGAGACTGGTTACTGCAAGACTGGTTAGCACGGGAGCCCAAGAAGAGTAAGGTTGGTTTACAATTGAAGATACTGCTTGCGGCAGAAGCAGGAATTCGCGGTGGCATGGCTAGAGCGGTTGAAATTGACGAAACTTCAACGCAGCGTGGTGTACTACACGCTCTTGTGCAGCACAAGAACTTTCCCCGAGTCTCAATTGAGATTGAGCATCTAGCCGCTCAAAAGTATTTCCGGCCCGAAGATGCCCCTTAGCTGCGTTCGGGAAGTGGCCCGAAGAGAAATCTTGGCATGGATTAGCTAAACGCACATTAGAATCTCATTGCTCAATCTTTTCCCAGGGAACTCGAAGCCTCGTTGCTGGTCTTGATCTATCAACCCTCACGTTCTCGTTTCTTTCGTCCTTCTCTAGAACTCGCCTTCGGACTGTTCAACGAACTCAGTCGCAATCATGGCGAGCCCAGCAAATCTCCCTCCCATCTTCAACCCCACCTCCCAGGACATTGAAATGCTCCTCGCAGCACAATGTCACTTGGGCTCCAAGAACCTCCAGGTTCATATGGAACCCTACCTGTGGAAGACTCGTCCTGACGGTATCAATGTCATCAACATCTCGAAAACCTGGTATGAAACACCCCTTTTCTGCTGACCTCCCTAACCACAAACACTGCGAATCTGGTGGTGCAAAAATCACGCTCACCCGAACTTCAATTGACTCGGTCTTCATGCAGGGAAAAAATTGTCTTCGCTGCACGCATTATCGCTGCCGTCGACAACCCGGCCGACATCTGTGTCATCTCCGCCCGTCCCTATGGTCAGCGTGCTGTCCTGAAGTTCGCCGCGCACACCGGAGCCGTCGCCATCGCCGGTCGCTTCACTCCTGGTAACTTCACCAACTACATCACCCGCTCGTTCAAGGAGCCCCGCTTGATCATCGTGACGGATCCGCGCACCGACGCCCAAGCCATCAAGGAAGCCTCCTATGTCAACATCCCCGTCATTGCCCTCTGCGATACCGATTCCCCCACCGAATTCGTCGACGTGGCTATCCCGACCAACAACAAGGGCCGTCATGCCATCGGCTTGATCTGGTGGATGTTGGCTCGTGAGGTGCTTCGTCTCCGCGGCACCCTGGCCAACCGTGAAGTCGAGTGGGATGTCGTGGTGGATCTGTACTTCTACCGTGATCCTGAGGCTGAGGAGCAGAAGGAGGAGGAGAAGGTGCCCGGTGCGGACGAGGCTGGTGCTGTTGCTGTCGACCGTGGATTCACAGACAATGCGGACTGGACTGGAGAGCCTGGCGCTGCGCCCGGTATCGAAGGTGCTCCTCAGGCTGATGCCAACTGGAACGAGCCAGGCACCGGCACTGCGGATTGGGCTCAAGAGACCGCGGCCCCCGCGGCCAGTGGCTGGTAAAGCTCTTGCTGAGCAGACAGGACCACGAGATACTCGTTTGGCGGCGGCTTCGCGTACAGTTCCGCCAAAAAGGGTCACCACTACCACGTCTCATCCGACACCATTCCGTCCAAAAGTCAGACACAAGCTCTGCCCGTATTTCCAAACTCTCACAAAAACCACCCCAAATCCGCGTCACCCGCAAGCAAGGCCGAAAGTCGATGGCACTCACGAGGGAAAGATACTCGACCCTGAGGATCACTCGTTCTTCCTCGGTTGTAGAGAGAAAGCCCTGTGCTAGAGATGAAGGGATGTACTTGACCGTTGCCCAGCCTTGTACTGTCGAGGGATGTGGCTATGCGAATATGAAGACGGCCCCGGAGCATTACGAGGTCTTTCGGATCAAAATAGCTCAATACAATCAAAGTTGAGAAAACATTCAAAGCTCATTGACCTAAGAGCCACACTTTTTGCATTGCAAATTCAAACCCCCTTTTGTGGTGTTTTCGATTTTCTACCTGTGACTATCATACCCCAATCCGTGGTTCCCTAGTATCCAAAATGTCCCGTTTCCTGCTTGTGTACCACGCCAAAACAAAGGGAATTGTCTAAACTGGTCGATGCTGTAGCGGTATCGACCCCCATTCGAGGTCTGGCATGCGAGTACCGTCCGTCACCAAAACCTTCCTGTAAATCACAAATAAACTGTCCAAACCCCTCACATCTTGTAACCGTAGTAGACCCCAGACTGTACACGCAGATCGCCTCCCCTCCCGCCCAGCCTTTTACACCATTTGTTGGGCTTTCCACCATCCAAGCCACCGTACCCGTTGGAGAGAGCATATCCTGTATGCCGAGTCGAATGGTCTCGCCGCATGATTTTGGCACCTTGCTGCAAGTCTTTCAAACACTTCTGGTTGAGTTGATCCACAGACCAACGTGTTCAGCGACAGGTGTTGCATTTTCGTTCTCGAGGTTCATTCCACGTCCCCAGGACGAGGCTTGTAGCTTATGACGATCGTTCTGACAATATTCCTCGGTTGGAGGCTGAAGATGATGATATATCAGGTTGGGAGAAAAGAGTGTGATGATCTCTATCCGGCAGAGATAAGTAGGACTGAGTCGGGATATTTGAGCAGAAATGAGTCAGTGTTGAGCGAGGGACCAACAGCGTTGTGCTAGTTGCCACAGCCCGCACCAGCGATATTCGCAGGATTTCTGCACTGCGTTCGAGTGCATTGTGTCCTGGGGTTCCCTCGGTGCAGTCGACGTCCGCAAAGGCACCGTCCGTTCAAACAGGCTCGACAGATGCAGTCGGCATCATGTACTGGAGGTGGCTTTGGCGCTGGAGGTTGATATTTCTGCGTCTCCTTATGCATAGTGTTGGCAGATGATGCTTGAGAAACGAAGGTCGCTCCAATGGGAGAGGGATGAAGGATAGTCTAAAGAAATGAGATTCGTGGCTGATGAGGATTGGGAAATACGGGTGCTGCTTGTGAGGAAGGAATAGAAAACGAAGAACTCCTGGGTAACCCAGATATTTGTAGACTTACTCTCGTCGACCACTATCTTCAGTTCCTTGAGGCCTCGAAGGGCAGTTAGCTAGGCAGTGTCTGAAGCATGTAGAAGCCCGTTATGATTCATCTTCATGACCACAGCTGTGTTCAGAAAAACAAAGGATTGAAAGATATGTTTTGGTCGAAGTCACAAGGGGGTATCCTGCCTTGTTGAGTCCCTCGGATGCTTCCAAGGGCAGATTGGAGAAATTCCACTGCCCACGGATCAGACTCAGGTTAGAGGAAGCCAACAATTGATTCTTTGTGCCTGGATGTCTCAAGTCGGCGAGATCCTGCGCCGAGACCAGGTCAAGGTGAGCATTGGAGGCGGCTGGCCACTGACGCCTGTCACAGGTCTTTGATTTGGCGACTCCTCTCTCAAGGCAATAACTTCCTGATCCTAGTGCGGATACTGAGGAGACTGACATCGAAACCCTGTGGAATATATCACGAACCTGGGTGTAGCCGTTGTGCGTGTTGCCATGTGGTGCGGTCAGCAAATCCGTCTGAGTCTTTTGCATTGTTGAAAATGCAACATCAGATGCTGTCAATTGGGGACTGTTGTCGAAGGGAGTCGACTGACTTCCAGACCCGGTCAACTTCTCCAAGCTTTGAGACCTGGGGCGACATCAAGTGAAAAGTGAAGATGGCTGAATGGGTGGAAATGGGCGGGCAAACAGGGCAAACATCTCGGGGTTCAGCCTCGCCAATACACTCATCACGTGCAGTGGCAGTACAGCCTCGTCGCTTCTTGCTCAACACCTCTACTCGTATCTCAGCATTCTACCATGCCTGGCCACTTCATGATTTTCTGACATTCCGCGTGGGCTATCCATGTGACGATCGGAATCCCCTCAGCGTCCGACCTCCTCCACTGCGAAACTCGTGTGACCCTTTCAGTCTGGATCTCAAACGTCAGGCTGAGACAGACCATGCTAGCCTCTGGGCGAGGCGTCCACGACGTCTCAGCTGCCATTGGGCATTCCACTTGGGGGCTGAATTATCTAAGGAGCATCTCCAGCTTCCCAACCAGACTTCCCTCAGCCGCGCAAGGCCATCCTTTCTCTTTGTTTTCACCCTTTTCGCTGGTGTTTTTTCCCCTTTTTTTTTTTTAGAAAAAAATCGTCAACCGCCATTCTCAAGCCGTCTTCTTTCTTTGATCTATCCGAAGGATGGGGTTTATTATCATTGCTTGAGTTCGTCCTCCGTTACTTCCCGGCGCTTTTGCCGCGTAGCGAGTACCCGACGACCCGTTCCTTAGATTCCTTCGGTCACTTGTCAGAACTATACGGGACGATCCACCAATGGCTCACACGTCATGGGCGCCTTGGAAGGTTCTTCTCAAGTGGGCTCCTTTTCACATCGACGCTCTCGGTCTTGTAACGCTCTTGGGAGCTGAGGAGGTCAATGCAGCGGTTGGGCGCCTCGTGAGCAGTGCCTATCTCGAGTATCTACCTCTGCTGGGCGCGTATGTCATTGCTGGGAACCGATTCACCGAGAAAGCCGCTGGCTTCAATCTCTACAACATATCCCAGGGCATCCATACAACAGACCTCGCCGCCTGGTTGACGCGATGGATGCTCTCCCAGGAGTTCGCGAATACTTGCAACTTTGTGGAGTGGACGGTGACGGCTCCAAAGTCCCGAAAGAACGAGATATCAGTCTCCCTGATCATAAGCTTTGTTCTGAATGGCTTCCTCGTCGCCGGCACTATTCTTTCCAAGGATTGGTATGGATTTGCTAACGCAATGGCCATGATTGTGTCCATCATCGTTCGTGCCTACATCATTGGTCAACAACGTATTGCGTTTGATAGCATGATTGACAAGGCTGTCAACAAGTCTAAGTCCGCTAAAGGAGCCAATAACAAAGGACCATCAACTCAAGATGAAGACGACAAGAATCCCGACGTAAGAAACAGAACAACGGCCTCGGCGCCTCATGGAGCCCGGTCGGTTGGAAGCGATTCCTCGAGTGCTACAAACGGACAGAAGCAAGCGATCTCTAATGCGAGTCCAACTCGTCCAAAACCGGAAGACTCTGATAAGGATGTCTGGACCGGAACAACCACGAAGGTCCTCATTATCCAATCTGATTCCAAAGCGGTTACCTTCTGGATGCCCAATGAATTGCTGGTTGAAGTCTTTATTCGGGGGCCCGAGATCCAGAATCCCAAGACATATTTACTCATGAGATCCATCGGATGGCTGGCCTTTGCTGTTCACATTGTCGCCATCGGTATGGCAGACTTGGCGAGTCAAATGTACACGGTCGTCCTAATGGTGTTGCCGACCGTCCTGCTGATAGCGAAGGTTGGATGTGACGATTCGGAATGGCTTTCGAACTTTGAAGTGTGGGTAAGGAGGAAGCTCCGCGGCGAGGACCGAAAGCCTGATCAAGATGCCGAGAAAAGCGAGAAGCCCAGGGAATTCCGCACATTGCGGCAATGCTGGATTGGGTCTCGGCTCAAGGCAGAGATCTGTGAGTGGCCCGAGTCGTATGAGTTTCACCAGGTAGGGGAGGGGGACGACAAGAAGTGGGTGAGCGGAGAACGGACGGAAGGCCAAGAACGCTCCAAGAAACGACAGGATCTGTACGCTTGGCTCGGGCTCACCACCGACGAAGAAGAGAGCATGGACAAGTGGGATCTGTTCCCGCACATCCGAAAGGGCGACAACGAATGGTGGCAGACGTACAAGCTCAAGAAGGGCGAGCTGAAAGACAAGCGCGCCAGTAAGGGACCGCAGCAGCCCCCTGATACCACACCTCTACCACCACCGGGCCAGCATCCCGCTGCCGGCCCTACCACCCCCCAAGGTCCGGCAGACCAGCAACCCAGAATGTTGCAAGCGGCCGGCAGGACGAGAACGCAGCACTTCATTGGCGCCCCTGCCTCGGAGCAGGCAAGCCGGCAGACGAAGTCGGAGCCTCGCCAGGGCACCTTGGTCACGATCAGCAGTTCGGCGTTCCCGGCCATCAGCGACCACGACCAGATCAAGGCCGACGAAGGTGGCGCAAAGACAGACGACGCCGAGACGCAGACTCTGGACGACAGTGACGCCCCGACGGGTCTTCCCCCTGACAACGCCCCGCCCCCCAGCACACCACCGCCGGGTCACGATGCTACCGTTGTCACCTCCCTCAACGTCTTGACTTCCTCTGAAGCTCTGACCCAGTCGCCAACCACCGATGTGCCTCCACACGACCAGAAACACAACTAGGGACCGGTTATTTGGATGCCCCCAAGTTCAGATTGTGGCCTTTGTCGTTTCTTCTGGCAATTCAGCGTAGTTCGAGCCTGGTCACGATATGCCCGGCGACATAGCGAAGCGGATGTTTGATCGAGTTTATGAGGATTCACAGATGACATGGACGTTGGACGGGAAAAGTTTGCGGCAGAGATTTTATACAAACTATACAGATTGTCTGAGTGTCAGAGGATAGTGGCGGGAGCCAGACCGCGGAGAAGAACTCTCTAGTCTCTTGGAAACCTTGTTGTATCTCACTGCATACTGGAGCGCTTGAGATAGGAAAGTGGCTCTGTGAACTAGGAACGCACTCTGCTAATAAATATTTTTGCATACGCTGCCCTTTCCGCCACCTTGCTACATTGCGTGAGTTCTTCATCGCACAACAAGCTCTTGGTCCAGCGTGACGGTCGCGGCGGGCTGGAGTTCCACCTCTACAGACCGTTCCTGGTAGTAGACTCTGGCCGACAACGCGGCCTGGCCGGCATTCTGAATCGTCGCTTCGACCAGCATCCCCTCGCTCCACTGGACCCCAACCACGAGGTTGCCCTTCGCCCTGAGTCCCTTCACCTGTCCGCTCTTCCTCCACTTCGTAGGCAGGGCCGGCAAGATCTCGACCTCCCCGACCCGCACGCTCCGCAACAGCAGCTCCGCCACCGCCGCCGTGGCGCCGAAATTGCCGTCCACGACGAGGATGTTCGTCTCGGCCCCGGCGATCCCGGGCTTGGAGAAGGTCAGCAGATTCTCGAACGACAGCTCCGAGATGAGGTGCGTCAGGGGCTTGAGCGCGGCGTCTCCGTCGTCGAGCCGCGCGAAGCCCATCGCGAAGAGCACGGCCGTGAACTCGATGTCTTCCAGGTCGGCGCGGGCGCGGCGCCGTTCGAGCGTGACGCGCACGGCCTCCGCCAGTGCAGGGGTGTGTCGTTTGCTGATCTGACTGCTGCGGATGAGGGCGACGATGTGCGACATGTGCCGGTGGTCGGGTTGGGCCTCCTCGAAGTCTTCGAGCCATTCCTGCAACTGGCCGTGCCTGCCGATTTGGAGGGGCGGGAGCTTTGACATGGCCTTCTTGGCCTTCTGGATGAAATCGTCGTTTGGGACGTCCTCACCGCCCAGTGACGGCGCTACGTCAAGGCAGAAGGCCAGAAGGTCTCTCACGAGTACCACGTCTAGAGTTGGAGACAGACTCAATGAATGCTCCTCACGCCGGCCCTGCTCCTCGACAAAGAAGGTGTTTTCAGGCGACACAGAGGGGCCGGTCACTGTCAATCCCTTTTTTGGGTCAGCCGTGGACATATACTCCAAGAAGAATTCGGCCGCGGCTTTCAAAACGTCCCATGCATACCCCTTCAAGTATGCCTTGTCGAGAGTATACTCCCAGTGCTCTTTCATCTCCAATGCCATCCACAGGCCTCCTGTAACATTGAGCCCCCAACTCGTTTCCCAGCCGGGCGCCGTGAATCCCCAGACATTCGAGAACACATGTGCAACCCACCCTTTTTGGGTGCCGTAGAAGTTCTTCGCAGACCTGTTCCCTGCTGCTGCGAGGGTCTGCATGTATCTCGCAAGTGGCGCATGGCATTCGTCCCCCAATCCACAGGGCTCGAGCGGAAAATAGTTCATTTGCGTGTTGATGTCAAGGTGATAGTCGCAGGACCAGTTCATCGCATTGGCTTCTCGGTCGTTCCAAAGGCCTTGCAGATGAAGCGGTAGGGGAGAGTCTGAGCGAGTACCTGCAATCAGGAGGTAACGGCCATAGTTAAAGTACAACGCGTAAATGGGCAAATCCTCTGAGGATTCTCCCTTTGTGGCCGCAAGGGCTTTCTGGCGTTGGTCTGTAGGAAGTTGTGATGTTGACGAAGGTGGACCGAGCGTAAGCGTCACTCGAGAGTAGAGGCTCTGGTGGTCTTCTATATGGCACCGCTTGAGTTTGTCATATCCAGCCTCGAGAGCAGTCTGGATCTGAGTCCGGGCCAGAGAAATCCAATCCTTGTGGTGCGGGACCAAATAATCTGTATTCAAAGCAGCCAAGATCACCACGGAGGAAGCATTCGCTACAGAAATGGTGTCTTCTGTATGGAGCAGTTGACCATCGGAATGGAGGTGAACCAGACCATACAGCTTGACACCACATGTCCCATCACTGTGCACTGTCTCAAGTGCTTGGGTATGGATTTCCAACTGAGCAGCGCCTGGTTTCTTAGTAGACCAACTTTTGGTCTCTCCTTGAAACCTAATGTTGCAGGAAAGGCGAGTCTCGTTGTTCGTCGAAATCCTCATAGCAATGACTTGATGGGGATGGGAGACAAATGTTTCCCGACTGATCCGCGTTCCAGAGTCGGCCGATGTATACGACGCCCAGCCAATACCCTCGTCCAACCTTAGGCCTCTCTCGAACTTACCCTTCGAGGCAGTGACTTCTCCAGCGAGAGAATACTCGACTTTGAGTCTTCCCACACCCAGATTCGTGCCGAAATCCCCTTTCGGAGGCTGCAACCATTTCTCTGCCAAGGCTTGCACAGCCTGATGGTCTTTTTGTATATAGAGCTCACGCATCTCATTGATGGCAGCCTTACCACCATATTGGCTCTGCGGCTCGTAGGGCTGGCCTGACCAGAAGGTAACCTCGTTTAGTAGGAGTGTGTCCACATGTCCGCTCGAAATAAGACTCGCGCCTATTTTGCCATTCCCAAGAGGTAGTGATTGATGAAACCCTGTGGCCGACGTATGATAATATAGACCATGTGATGGATCCATTGCTGATTGGCAGCGTGAGCAGGTGATACCTTGTCCTGAGTACAATAATGATTCTGATAATGTATCGCCCGACGGTTGAGGAAATCGGCGCAAGTCAAGTATTTCTGGCTTCTTCCGCCAGATGGCCACAACTTCACATAGCTTTCGAAACGCCAGTCGTCTTCAGGCTTTGCCCAGAATACCTTTTCGGGATACGTCGTGACCATAGCAAGCTGCCGAAGCCCGAAACCTTTGAGGATTCCACACACACAGTCCGTCAAGGGTGGCCGATCCGTATACCTACCAGAACTGGAATAGATCATCTCAATGCAGTTTGTGCCAATCAGAAGCCAACATTCGGCAATTCGGTCTGTTCGCCTACAGCCGACAAGGATTCAGGCAGTTAGACATGATCAATGCCGAAACTGATAGCGCGCAACTGGGGGGATAGTTGGACGTATCTGAAGGAAGGATTCGTAATGGTTCGGTCGTGATCCATGCGGACATGGTTATTCGTTACTCCAAAAAGGCTCGGGTTCCCTGCGAGTTGTCAAGCCAACGGATTTGCTCACAAGCAGGGTATCAGATTGACGACTTAAACGATTCATTCTGAGGATTCGAGTGACATGATGGCGAGCGACCAGGGATTATCAAACGGCACCAGCCACAGCTCAGCGAGTCTCGAAGAAACCATCATCCAGTCATATCAAGTCTATGGTGAGTAACGAGTTCGAACATTTCTGAGCTTCGGGCACCCTCAAATACTAAAGGGTTGAATCAGACCTGCGCTTCCCGACAAGCCTCACATCGGCAGGCTCAGATGCCATGAATGGCGCGCCCGACTACAGTGCCGCTTACATCGTATTGAGTACCAATTCGCACCTGGCAGGACACGGCTTCTCGTTCACCATCGGCCGTGGGAATGATCTGGTCTGTCAAGCTGCTCGTGCCACAGCAGAGCGTCTTGTGGGTAAGCGGCTCACTGATTTGACCTCTGACATGGGCAAAACATGGCGCTTCCTCGTCTCTGATTCTCAGCTCCGGTGGGTGGGTCCTGAAAAAGGGGTCATTCACCTGGGTCTAGCTGCCTGTGTCAACGCCTTATGGGATCTCTGGGGGCGAGCGAAGAAGAAGCCCGTCTGGAAGCTCATCGCAGATATGAGGCCGGAGGAGTTTGTGAGGTGCATTGACTTCCGCTATATCGAGGACGCCATCACCCCAAAGGAGGCAATCGCTCTGTTGGAAGCACAGGAGGCGTCAAAACCACAGCGACTTCGCGATGCAGAAGCTAATCGGGCGGTACCTGCATACTCGACCGAGGCGGGATGGTTGGGATATTCGGATGAAAAGATGCGAAAACTGATGAAGGACCTCCTTGCTGCTGGCCATGACAAGTTTAAATTAAAGGTCGGCAGGGACCTTGAGGATGACAAGCGACGATGCCGGATCGCCAGAGAAGTAATGGGGGAGGAAAAGACCTTGATGGTAGACGCGAACCAGGTCTGGGGTGTATCCGAGGCCATTCAGTGGATGCTTCAGCTGGCCGAGTTCAAACCAGCGTACGTGCCATTTGACCGCAGCCTGTCCATTCGTCACTGACCAAGGCTGAATGTACAGGTTTATCGAGGAGCCCACATCGCCAGATGACATTCTTGGGCACGCTGCTGTCCGAAAAGCCCTTAAAGCTCACGGCATAGGGGTCGCGACTGGGGAGATGTGTCATAATCGAGTGATGTTCAAGCAGTTGCTCCAGGCCGAGGCTATCGATGTCTGCCAGATTGATGCCTGTCGTTTGGGAGGCGTAAACGAAGTCCTGGCCGTCCTTCTTATGGCAAAAAAGTAAGAAGTCTTCCAAGACGCCTGGGCCAAGCAGCTGACAAAGATCCCAGGTTTGGAGTCCCGGTTATCCCACACAGTGGCGGCATAGGCTTGAATGAGTATACGCAGCACTTGTCTTTGGTGGATTACCTCTGCGTATCTGGGGAGCGGAGCATGCTCGAGAACATCACCACCTATAACCACGTTCTCACAACGCCATTGCAGACGCGTGATGGCTTCTTTGTGACACCCTTAGAATCCGGCTACAGTGTCGAGTTTCGAGAGACAGCAATTGTGCAGTACAGTTATCCAGATGGCACTTTCTGGCGCTCCCAGGACGGTTTGTCGATTGTCAACAGCGGCCTGGCTTGAGGCTGCATCGAGACGCAGGCCTCAGCCGTACTCTGCATTAGAGTGCTGCGTTGGGGCTGAAGTTTGAAACGCAGGGCTTCAGGCGAATGGAATGGACTGACCAGTACGCGAATGCGCCGCTAGCCATTCATTCATGTTCATAGGTTCAATGTGGTTCACATAGACATGGTCAGATTCCGCAGACACGGATAAATGGTTCGATATATTTAGACTCGATGGCGTCTCTCGTTGATTACCATGACCATGACTTCCTGCACTGGCATTTAAAGGCCACTCTCTCGGATAGATTGGTGATATTGTCTGAGCCAGGGGTAGGTCATCTCTTTCGCCAGCCCGTCCGAGGTTCTGATAATGTCGAAGCACCATGAGATCGCCGACACTGATGCGCTGAGTGAGAAACGAAGCTAGAGGATCATGGGCTTCTGACATATCCGTTCTCAACTGATGGTCCTTGATTGAAGCGGCCAGCTCGAAAAATTCGCAGTAAAAAATAGCGTGCCAATAAATATCACGCAGCTGGCGCAAGAAGATCATACAAAGCTCAAATCGATTCTTATGAACTTGGAGTCTTTCTTCCGATCGTGAAGATCTAATCCCTAGGACATGCACAATGAGAGGCGCCAAGGTGAAGGTAACAGCGATTGTGGGACAGAATCTCACTAGGTCAAGGTTGACGAGGTGAGTGAACAGCTGAGTATTGTCCAAGGCCGCAAATTCAACCTTTTGCTGACAAGTAGTAGTCCAGTCCCCAGCTCCGTTCCACAGAGTAAGTGACTGATACAATGCAATGCGAATGGTATTCAAGCATGCATGTAAAATTGCGCGATACATAGTGGCGACTCCTATATTCCCTGAGACGGCTTGGAGATGGTCTTGTCGTTTGGCTTGAGGCGGCAGAGAGCGCATCCAGCGTTCTAGGGCATCTTCGCAGACCTGGAGTTGATCAGGAGGCGCCGCATCGGTCACCGAGCTTGAATAGCGCAGAGTGACAATGCCTTCAACGATCTGGCAAAGTTTAACAAATTCGATGAATATGGCCTTGATCTCAAGATCTTGCTCGGAATCCCCTTCCTCTCTGACATCGTCGAGCACCAGCATTGACGTGGTACAGTCCAGGCTGTTGATCATGAGAGGACGGCCGGTCCCTAGGCCATTGCAGCGGTCCCGTACGATACATGCCCACCAAATTCGTGCCCACAAAGCCCGATGGGGGACATTGCCAGGATCCCTGTGCAGTCCGCTAACTTGAGCCAGGCTTATAGCTTGGTGGATCCAATGCCACGTGTGCTTCCGTTCAGTGATAGAAGGATAGTATTGACTGATCAACAATAAGGCCTGAATAGTTGCAATCGGGTCTTCATCATAGTCGAGGTCATAGAGTCGGCGAGCCTTAAGGTAATATGCATGGCGTGCTTGTTTTCGGGATGTGAATCCCGCGGCCGAGATGACCTCAGAGGGCACAACTCCAATTGCTATGAAAAGCACAGCTTGGAGGAGCAGGAGACTCAAGTGTGAATTGCGAGGTGCCGACTCAGGACTAGATGCATTTTGAGCCGGGCTTGCGTGATGTGCAGCGTTTGGACTGGTGGTCATTGAAACTTCGATGGATTTAATGGATTGTAAAAACTCGGATTTCTGGACCACAGGGAAGAACGGGTGGAAGATAGTGAAGTAAGCATCAATCAGCGCCGAAAGGACATGTGGCGGAGGAATATCGAAGCAACCGACATTCTTGAGATAGTGGAGTTCATCCTCACTGCATCCTGAGACGGGAGCAAACGATCCTTGGTTTTTGTCCGATGCTAATTGAAGCACAATGTCCTCAAGAGGCCGTGCATCGGAACGTTGAGGCTGAGAAAGGCGCATCAAAAAGGCGTAATGGGGGACCGAATGCAATAATCTGTGTCTGGAGAAGGACGGTGTCCGTCGAGTTGAGCATTGCTCAATTCCCTCTGGAGTTGCAGACAACGAATCGACAGTAGCGTCACTAGGCCTCAAGAGACCAGTCGCAGACGTGCCGATTGCATCGTGATGTGTTTGAACAGAAGTCGAAGATGGGAGAGTAGTGTTTGCTTCAGATAGAGGTCCTACAGCGGACCTTTGTCGCTTCTTCCTGTCAACAGCCAGGCATTCGAAGCCATCCTGATCACAATTCGAGCAGGGTGACCCTTTTGTTGCATAATCGCATCTGACTTTCCGTTTCCGACAAGACAGACAGGCTTTCGCTGCACGTCTGGTTTTGTATCGGGCTGTTGCAGGCATACCATGTTCTCCTGTTGGCGGGACAGCTGCAATGAGATTTGGACATGCGCGGAGGGAGAATGCAGAGGCGGAGAGGCGCGCTCAAATGCCAAGACATGTCACGTGGCTGCAGTGCCTACAGCTTTCCACCCGCTACGAGACCTACCTCCTTGCCGCCCACACCCTTCATTACATCCTGTCTTGGAGGTGAACCCCGACAAATGCTACATACGTAGTGCCGACACCCCTTCTCGATGGCTTCAATCACCCCCCAGGTGACCCTGAACGTCTCTTGATCCTATATCATGGGCAATCGCTCATCACCAATCCGCTGGCTTGCTCAGCCGTCTACGAAGCCACTTTCCGGGTCTAGAGAATGAGCCTGATGCCGCTTCGGCATTTCGGCTAGGAGAAGGTCTCGAACTTGCATGGTTAGAGCGTATTCGGGCTTACGCGCCTGGGGGCCGTCCATCTATCAAATCTACACGGTCCACAGACAATCTGGCCAACAACAAACCTGAGCATCCTACATCGCTAGATGTCACAAGCCATCAACGACATCAGTTCAGACTTGGCTGAGAGTGTCGTCGTCCTGTACACCGACCGATGGAAAGCAGAGCTACCACCTGCAGTCCAAATGAACAGCACAGTCGAACGTCGATAACGATCAACGACGTCGCTATACAGTCGCGGATAAATGGGCGAGAATAGATGTCACGCTCAAAGGATACCCCAATGCCGTGATCTGAGATTTCGAACCACAATGCTGGAGCTAACAATGTAGCGATTCAACTGCTTGGTGCTTCACAGACAATGGCATTCAGTCCTCTAAATGCTGCCATAATGACGAGGGCAGGTCCTTCGGGTCTATGTCAAAAATGTGTGGGAAGATCGTCTTCAGATTTTCGGACCTGAGTGCCGGCCACTGTTCGCGGACTGTCTGCAGCAGCAGGCCGTACCAGATTCGGTATCCGGTCGCTGTCAAGTGGACGCCATCCGTGGCCAATAACCCGGCGAGCGTTCCAGGAGTGGCGAGGCCTTGAGAGGAAGAATCTAATTGATTGCCCTCAACGCGTTCCCTCTGCCCGGGGATAGGCTGTCCTTCGCTCCACCCCGCAGCATCCATGAATGCCTGCCACAGGTCAACAAAAGCGACATTCCTTTGCTTTCCAAATTGTCTGGCGACCTGTGCTGCGGCATCCGAGTACAGTCTCGCCCTCTCGGTATATCGATCCAGTGGCGCTTCAGGCGCGAGCTCGTTGACTGGTGCAGGCCCTACAAGGACCACTGCTTCAACTCCATGTCGCTTGGCTGCTGCCACCATGTACGATAGATTTTCCTTATATCTGTCGATTGGCACGCTTTGTGAATGTGTGTTGTGGCTGGGATCTGCCGCATCGTTTGTACCAAAGAACATCACCAACAACTTGATCACAGCATTGCGAGTTTCTGTGGTATGGGTCACTATCGGCGTTTCTGCCTGCAGAATGGCGTCGATGATGTGGCGTCCATGTTCCGTGTTGTACCCGCCATATCCATGTGTTACGACCTGTAACTTGGACCAGTATTCGTGCTGCAGCGCCGGCGCAAGGTTGAAGCCACCAGCTTGATTGGAACTTTGCTCAGTTTGCGAATCACCAAACAGAACGATCTTTTTGACGACAATAGGTCTCATGGCTGCGGATTAGGGAGTGGTTCACACTGCTGTTAAAATCACAATCTGTCAAGGTAACCGCCCATCCTTACGCCAGAGACTTCAGTCACACAATCTCTGATGTCTTCCCTGACTCCTCTCTACATGTTCGTTCAGCGGCAGAAGGCATGCTTTCAGTGTCTCAGGCGCAGAAAATCGACTCTGCTTGCCGATTAACCGTAATGAGTATCAGCCGCCTACTGGCTCAACCAGTAGGAATACTGTCCTCGGCAATACGGTTACGGCGAAATCCCGCCTGACTTTTGGCGGCTCAGAGAAGCGATGCTACCTTGACTTCTGCCTTCCCCATGGGGCAGGCCAGCAGATGGAGTGGAAATTGTTGCAGATCATGCTGAAAGCGACCAAGTCTTCATGTCCCCCGCACTGTTGGCTGGTATAGCTAAACAAAACTTGGAATATGGGCAATTGGTGTCGGATAACATGGCGGCTTTGATGTACTGTCATTGGTACTGGAGGCAACCGAAGCGGGAGGCTGGCAATGTTGCATTCAAGCCAGAATGCTCATAAGAACGAGATGCCTCTGCTGCAATGTCTTCATCGCCGCCGTCCAAACTTGACAGTATTGGAACAAGATTGTCCTTGTTTGCATTCTTCCTAAGCTCCTGTCTTGGTGCCTTTGCCTCAGTCCCGTTGAGCCTGGTATAACCAGCCCAGTAATCACCATGGCCGCTAGCACCCAGACACAAGATAAGGATGGCACCACGTTCATCGAACATTCAGCCAGCCTGGAACCAGGCCTCACGGTGGAAAAGACCCTTACTGATGCAGAAGTCACTGGCAAGCTCGACAGCCTCAGCACCTCTATGGCCAACCAGGGCACCCACACGGAACATGAGCTTACCTATCTCGAGGCACTGAAGATTTACCGTAAAGGTGCCTTCTGGTCGATCTTCTTTTCACTGTCCATCATCATGCGCGCGTACGACATTGAGATAACAGGAAACTTCTTCGCCCTTCCCTCGTTCCAAAGTCATTTTGGCCACGAAGTACCTGGTCATGGCTATCAGATCCCTGCTAACTGGCAGGTCGCCATGTCTATGGGTTCCCTGGTCGGACAGATAATCGGTGCATATATTGTTGCATGGCCAATGGAGAGGATTGGACGCCGGAAGACATTGGCTATCTATCTTCTGTTGACCTCCGCTCTGGTGTTCATGCAGGTCTTTGCTCCGAACATTGAGGTCTTGACAACAAGCATGTGTAAGTGTTTCATGACGACCATACAATGGAGCAACAGAGACTGACTGCTCATTTCTGCCCTCAATAGACTTGTCGGGCATTATCTGGGGTGGATACTGCGTCCTTGCACCAACTTATGCTTCCGAGTGTCTTCCAATGAAACTCCGAGGGTTCTTAACTGGATACATCAACCTGTGCTATGTGATGGGCCAGTTTATCCAGACAGGAATCACCAGAGGCTTCATCAACAGAGCAGACAAGTGGGCTTACAAAATACCGTACTGTATCCAGTGGGCATGGCCGATTATCATCCTCCCAGGTCTGATTTGGGCCCCAGAAAGCCCGTGGTGGCTCGTGCGTCAGCATAAGATGGAGGAAGCGGAGCGCTCTCTCAAGAGACTGTCGGGAGAGCACGAGAAGGTGCAAGTGACGAACACCCTGGCCATGATGGTGAAAACGGGTAAGTGCTTTCTGTCGTTATACAGGCTTAGCCGCAAGATATTCTTGTTCTTGGTAGCCATGAGACGCCGATGCTAACTCGAGGGACTGTCTAGATCTTTATGAACGCGAGGTCGAAGTCGGCACCACTTACATGGATTGCTGGAAGGGCCCGAATCGCAGGAGGATGGAGATTTGCATCATGCTCTTCGTCATCCAGAACTTCTCAGGCAATCCGGTGGGCTTTGCGACTTATCTCTTTGAGCAAGTTGGATTGAGTGCCAAACACTCCTTTGACATGGGGCTTGGGTGAGTTCTCAGCAAGGAAGACCCCAACTCCTTATTCTTTGTTCAGATAACTAACATGGTCCCACCGCACCATAGACTCAACGGCCTTGGATTTCTCGGGACTCTTGCGTCTGCCTTCCCACTCATCTACTTTGGAAGACGATTCTGTTACATGGCAGGCCTCGCCTATGTCATCGTCATTCTCTTCGTTGTGGCCTTCATGTGTCTTGCGTCGGACTATGCAAGCAACCCATCGTACTCTTGGGCGCAAGCAGCACTCTTATGCACCCTCCAGTTTGTTTGGCAGATGACTCTCGGCCCGCTTACCTACGTTGTGGTGTGCGAAACTCCGTCCACGAAACTCAGATCGAAGACGATAGCTCTGGCAACAGTGATCGATGCAGCAACCGGACTTGTCACTACAGTGATTGGCCCGTACCTCCTTAACCCTGGCGCGGCAAATGCTGGAGCGAAGATTGAGTTTTTGTACGGCGGCATCTCCATCATCTCACTCACATGGTGCTTCTTCCGTCTTCCCGAGACCAAGAATCGGACTTTTGAGGAGTTGGATATCTTGTTCGAGAAACGGGTGCCGGCGCGACAGTTCAAGGGTTACGTTATTGATCGTTCTGACGAGCAATAAGGGAAGAGGTTTAGGTGATCTGTGGATGGAGAATCACACGGACTTTTGCTTGCAACTGCGTTTCATAGCTGATAGGTATCGATACAAAGAACGGCGACGGGAAGATTGTACACCTAAACTGCAGGAATTGAACGTTTGGGATAAATGAACTGCCGTTTCTGCCAAGTATTGAGCGATCGTCACAGTTGGAGGTACGTCTTCGAGATCGCGGTCGCTGTCCGGAGACAGTCCCGGCAGGAGAGCCGTGCGTGGCCGTTGCACAGTATGGATGGTTTGGAGTATGTTTGCCAGCCTGATCTACCGGCGTGGAGAATGCGGGGAAAGGAGGGCAAATGGACTCTTATATAGATACAGCATTCCTTATAGAGGCTGCATTTCTGGCATATGCTGTATGGACCAACCTTGAAGAAAGCCGCACGAACCACACAATAGATAGCATCACGATTCTCTCGGCGCTGGCTGGTCCTTTCATCCTTCTTGAGGTGCTTGCCCGCATCTTGTGACGCCTCAGCGACCCTGCGACGTTCGTGACACCGCGCGCCTTGCTGCCGACTAGCCATGGCAGTGGAGAAGAGAGTCTTCCTCATAGGACCGGGTCTGATCGGCACTGACCTGCTCGAGCTCCTCGTGGAAGCCGGCTATGAAGTCACCACCATGGTCCGCCGCGAGGCACATGCAGCACAGGTCAAAGACCTCGGCGCCCACGTGGTCATGGGCACTTTGGACGACAAAGACACCATCCGCAAACACACGGCCGCGAGTCCCATCGTCATCCACACCGCGACGGCCGACCATCTGCCTTCTGTCGAGGCCGTGCTGGACGGCGTGCGCCAACGTGCCTCGCAAGGCCTGGAATCCATCTTCATGCACACCAGCGGGACGAGCGTGCTGGTCGACAACTCCAAGGGCATGTACAAATCCGACACGATCTACTCGGACGAACGGCCCGAGGAGATCGACAGCGTGCCGGACACGGCGCCGCACCGTGAAATCGACCTCGCCATCCTCGCGGCGCGGAGGGAGCTGGGCACCAAGGCCAAGATCGTCATCGTGCTGCCGTGCCTGGTGTACGGCATCGGCAAGTGCTCCGGACGCGTGTCCATGCAGCTGCCGACCATGGTGCGGTTCGCGCTGAAGCACGGCTGGGCCCCGGTCATCGGCAAGGGCGTCTCGGTGCGGAGCAACATCCACGTCCAGGACCTGGTGCGCGGGTACATGGTCATCCTGGACTGGATGCAGCGCACCAGCGCGGCCGAGGTGCTGTCGAACCCGTACTTTTTCTGCAGCACCGGGCAAGACATGGCGTGGGGGGATGCCGCGGCCGAGATAGGGCGGCTGTTGCACCAGGCGGGCAGGATCAAGGATCCCACGCCGCGACCTGTCCCGCCCGAGCTCTACGGCGACTTGTTCGGCGTGTATAGTCCAACCACCGTCGGGGCGAATTCTAGGAGTCGTGCCGACAGGCTGCGGAAGCTGGGATGGAAGCCCACGGAGAAGGGGGTCTTGGAATCATTGCGCGAGGACGAGGCGCCGGTCCTGCTGAGAGAAACAGGTCCGTTCAATGGGTACACTGGCCTCGCGTCTTCAGGTACACACGTGCTGAAGAGCTTGGAATAGTTTATGTGGCAGTTGTGGAAGACAGTCCGGATGGGAAAAAAGGGCCCTGGCGGCGGAAACAGTGTCTGTTGCAAACGGGCTGGCAGACAGGCAAAGCCAAAAGTCTGTGGGATATAGCAAGGTAGTAATTCTAGAAGTATGGTGTGTAGCAAGGTACCTGGGTAGAAGTCAATGCCAGGGCGTGAAGGGGAATTCGGCATTGCGCTCTTTTCCGCCACTGCGAGAGATTACATATCTTGCTAGTTAATCGTCCTAAGACAGGCTTCACAAATATGCAGAAATCGACGGGACATTCATCTCCTGGGCCATGACTTTGCCATTCCCGTCACTTCATTGTCTCTAACAGAGCATCTGCTACCATGTTGGCACAACTGCTGCAAGAGCTAGACATACGCAGCGTCCTCCACAGCGCGCTCAGAATTATTCTGCTAATCAACTGCGCCATATTCATCATAAGAGGCATCAGGCACATCTACATCACCCGCAGGTCACCAAAGCACTTGCGACGAGTAGGTATCGATGGCCTCAGCAACCTCGCCGACCAGTACGATATCAAGTACGACCATGACGAAGAAGCCGCCGCGAAGAGTCCGATTGTGGTCAAAGCACTCTACATCCATCCCATAAAGTCCTGCGCCCCTATCGAGCTAGAGCGGGCGCAGCTCACAAAGACAGGCTTTGCGTATGACCGATGTTTTGCGCTGGCGGTCGAAGTGAAGAAGGATGAATGGCAGTTTATCAGTCAACGGACCAAACCTCAAATGGCGCGGATCCAGCAGGAGTTGTGGTTACCGGGGCCGAATGGTAAGCGAGGCGATATACTCGTCGAAGCAGGTGGCTGTCTCACCGTGAGCTTCCCTGACCCGGATCCTGCGCATCCTCTCCAGCGCCTGAAAGCCATGTTCGAGACATGGTCATTGTCTGCGCGGCCCGAGGTTCGCTTTACGGTACCTCTACTCCCAACGCCGGACCATATCAATCAAATGAAGATCCAGATGAGGCACTTTACGATCCATAGTCGCCAGGCTACGGGTCTTGATCTGGGCAAGCTTCCCGATGTCGCCGCAGCGATACCCAAGCTGAAGCGCTTCCTCGGCCTCCCCGCGCGTCAGAATCTGACCCTGACGAGGTGCACACCCGACACACTGGTCCGCACAACCAGAAATCTAGCTCCACTGGAGCACATCGGCACTCCCGCCATGCATGGCTACACCGATCAACAGCCTGTCCACATCATCAACTTGTCGTCCGTGCATACGGTGTCAAAGCTTCTTCCACCGGAGAACCAGCCTCTCAGCGCCCTCCGCTTCCGCGCAAACATATATCTGACTGGAGCGCCTGCATTCTCGGAAGAAACGTGGAAGAGGTACCGGATCTTGCCCAAGACTGCGAGCTCTGGAATGCCTACGAAGGTACCAAGCGCCTTGTCGGTGGTGTGCCGGACGTCACGCTGCACCATGCCCAACGTCAATCCAGACACGGGGACCTTTGAACACGACAATTCACGTCCGGATCGAAAGAAAGGAGTTCCGCAGCCCAGTACGACTTTGATCGAACACCGCACAGTCGAAGACGGGAACCCTGCCGCACTGGGGTACCTGGGAATGCATTGCGTGCCTGAGGATTCCAGCCTCAGAGAGGCGCGTCATCACAACGGTGAGCTTTATGTCGAGGTTGGCGACGAGATTGAGGTCCTGGAAACGGGGTCTCATCTTTATGGCTCTACGGGGAATGACTACTAGAGTACCAAGAGCTGAACATTCCATACATGGTATTAAGCACTAGGACCCAGATCACAAGGAGTTTGAGGTAGTGGTTGTAAAGGCAGGGGATCTGTCGGTCTCCCTGACAGCGATCTAAATCATGCGCCCAGGTAAGCGCGAGGAGAGCCAATATCTAGCGGGCCGATAGACCCTCACGGGATGCCGCTTATGGAGTGCTCAGCGAGGTTCAGTTAGAGACTCTATGGCAATCAGATGTTTTAGCGCGAGTACCTACCTACGTGTAATCGAGGCAATGTGAAGACACTGTGGGCTTGTCCCCACCGAGATTTTCCGTCTCTCCGAAGACCGGAGGCGGAGATACTGTGGCCAATCAAGGGTGGGTATACTAACGCAAGGCTGTGCTAGTGCCGCGCTAGCGGCGACAAGGCCTAGATGCGCCAAGACATGAAAATAATCGACCTCGAAGCTCTCGGCCCCTGCTTCCTATGACTCAGTCTCACAACCAGAGTCCCCGTACTTTGGATGCGCCATCATGCCTCTAGTCAACGGGACGGCGAAGGAAGTACGAGTCAGCCTCCTCGGCAAAGAGAGCATCATCATCAACTTTGGGCTATGGCGCAACTATGTCGCCTCGGACCTGCTGTCGAACCTGGAGTCATCGACCTATGTCTTGATCACCGACACGAATCTGGGCTCGCTCTACACCAAGTCTTTTCGAGAAGCCTTTGAGACTGCGTCGCAACAAAAGGGGAAATCGGCACGGTTGTTAATTCATCAGATTCCGCCTGGAGAAAGCTCGAAATCGCGACAAACGAAGGACGACATCGAAGACTGGCTGCTCAGCCAGAGCCCGCCATGTGGTCGAGACACGGTCATCATTGCGCTAGGAGGTGGCGTTGTGGGTGATCTGACTGGCTTTGTAGCCGCCACTTACATGCGCGGCGTGAGATTTGTGCAAGTCCCAACAACATTGCTCGCGATGGTGGATTCTTCAATTGGTGGGAAAACAGCCATCGATACACCCCTCGGGAAGAATCTCGTCGGAGCCATATGGCAGCCTCAAAGGATATACATTGATCTTGACTTTCTCGGGACTCTGCCTCGACGAGAACTGATCAATGGCATGGCCGAGGTCATCAAAACCGCGGCGATCTCGGACGAAGAAGAATTCATCGAGCTGGAACGTCACGCGGAGCGAATAATGGCCGCTGTCAATGCTGATATCAGCCAAGGCGCTGCTAGGTTCAAGGATGTCGAGGCAACTTTGATTAGGATCATCTCTGCCTCGGCAAAGTTCAAGGCGCACGTCGTCACCATCGACGAGAGAGAAACGGGGCTGCGAAATTTGTTGAATTTCGGACACTCTATCGGCCACGCTATTGAGGCTTTTCTGACTCCTCAGGTGCTTCATGGTGAATGCGTTGCGATTGGCATGATCAAGGAGGCCGAGCTCGCCCGATACTTGGGTGTACTGAGTGGAGTTGCAGTCGGCCGTCTGCAAAAGTGTCTGACAACATACGGTTTACCAACTCGACTCGACGATGAAAAAGTGCGCAAGCTGTCCGGGGGTAAAGTCTGTACGGTCGACGGCATGCTCAAGAAGATGGGCGTCGATAAGAAAAACGATGGCGCCAAGAAGAAGGTGGTCCTTCTCTCAGCAATTGGTCGCACCTACGAACAGAAAGCCAGCGTTGTCGCAGACTCCGACCTGCGTGTTGTGCTTTCTCCGAGCGTCGAAGTGGTTCCAGGTATACCAAATGACCTGAATGTAGTCTGCACTCCACCAGGCTCTAAGAGCATTTCCAACAGGGCGCTTGTCCTCGCCGCGTTGGGTCGCGGAACATGCCGGGTCAAGAATTTGCTGACCTCGGCAGACACCGAAGTGATGCTGGAGGCACTGGCTCGGCTTGGAGCTGCTACGTTTTCCTGGGAGGAAGATGGGGAAGTTCTTGTTGTGAATGGAAATGGTGGTCGGCTCCAGGCCACGCAACACGAGCTCTATCTGGGCAATGCTGGAACGGCCGCCAGATTCTTGACGTCTGTCGCGACCTTGACCCGGCAGAGCCATGTGGCATCTACTGTTCTTACCGGCAACGCTCGAATGAAGCAGCGACCCATCGGAGACCTCGTAGATGCGTTGAGAGAAAATGGCGCCGGCATCGAATACATGGAGAACACTGGGAGTCTACCACTGAATATTGCAGCCTCGGCGGGTTTCAGCGGCGGCGAAATCAAATTAGCGGCAAAGGTTTCATCGCAGTATGTCTCGTCACTCCTGATGTGTGCCCCCTATGCAAAGAAACCTGTTACACTCAGGCTCGTCGGCGGAAAGCCTGTTTCACAGCCGTACATTGACATGACTATTGCAATGATGGCCTCTTTCGGCGTTTCAGTGCAAAAGTCGAAAACAGAAGACCACACATATCACATCCCGCAAGGCATATACAAAAATCCGGACGAGTATGTGGTCGAAAGTGACGCAAGCTCTGCCACTTACCCGCTGGCAATTGCCGCGATAACAGGCACAACATGCACGATCCCCAACATTGGCTCGGCATCCCTTCAGGGCGATTCGGCATTCGCTACCGACGTGCTGAGGCCGATGGGATGTGAAGTGAAACAGACGCATTCGTCAACCACAGTGACCGGTCCCCGTGGCGGCAACCTCGCGCCGCTGACAAACATCGATATGGAGCCAATGACGGACGCTTTCTTGACCGCTTCTGTTTTGGCGGCTGTGGCTCAAGGGGGCAAGACCAGTACAACACGCATATATGGCATTGCGAATCAGAGGGTGAAAGAATGCAACCGCATCCAAGCGATGGAGGATGAGTTGGCGAAGTTCGGTGTCACATGCCGACAATTCGACGACGGTATCGAAGTCGATGGCATCAACCGCACCAGGTTAAGACGGCCGCAAGGGGGCGTCTATTGCTACGACGATCATCGAGTCGCCATGAGCTTCAGTGTTCTCGCACTGGCAGCTCCTCAGCCTACTCTCATTCTCGAGAAAGAGTGCACGGGCAAAACTTGGCCGGGGTGGTGGGACACTCTGGCACGGCAATTCAACATCAAGCTTGAGGGTGTTGAGTTACAAGAGAATGGCGACCACGTCAAGGCGAAGAAACTGGATAGGAGCGCAGCCTCGATATTCATCATCGGCATGAGGGGTGCCGGCAAGACCACCTCCGGGCGCTGGGCGGCGAGGTCGCTGGGCAAAAAATTGGTTGATCTGGACACCGAGCTCGAGAGTCGCGAAGGTATGTCGATTCCCGAGATTATCAGAGGACACGGCTGGGACCATTTCCGGAAACGGGAGTTGGAGCTCCTCAAATCTGTCATGAAGGACATGCCCAACGATTACGTCTTCGCTTGTGGTGGCGGCATTGTCGAGACCCAAGAAGCGCGTAATTTGTTGATTGAATGGCACGAGAAGAAAGGCCATGTTCTCTTGGTCGAACGAGACATCAACGAAGTCATGGACTTTCTCCAAATCGACAAAACAAGACCAGCATACGTGGAAGACATGATGGGCGTCTGGCTGCGGCGGAAGCCCTGGTTCGAGCAATGCAGCAATCTCCTCTACTACAGCCAAAGCATTCCCAACGAGCAAATGTCCGAAGCCGCCGAGGATTTCGACCGCTTTTTGCAGATGGTCACCGGCAAAGTCGATGTTCTGTCCAAATTCAAGCAAACGCCAGAGACATTCTTTGTGGCTCTGACCTTCCCAGACTTGCGGCCTCATTTGAAAATCCTCCCTGAAGTTTGCCTTGGATCCGATGCAGTAGAGCTGCGCGTCGACCTGCTCAAAGATCCCAACTCAGACAGCGCCATCCCCTCCGCCGACTATGTGACCTCTCAACTCTCCTTGCTTCGCGCAACCGTCCCTCTCCCCGTTGTCTTCACGATCCGGACGCAATCCCAAGGAGGGAAATTCCCCGACGATGCCTATGCAGAGTATCTCCATCTGTGTACCCTGGCTATTCGTATGGGCAGCGAATTTTTGGACTTGGAAGTGGCATCATTCCCCGAGTCCGTCCTTTCCCCTATTTTCAGCTTCAAGAACAAGTCCAGCACGCGAATCATTGCCTCCCATCACGACCCGCAGGGAACGTTATCATGGTCGAAGCCAGGCTCTTGGATCGCGGTTTACAACAAATGCCTCCAATACGGCGACATTGTGAAACTGATCGGAATCGCCAACAGTTTAGATGATAACTTCTCACTGCGACGATTCAAACAGTGGTCAAAAACCCAACACCCGGACCTGCCGCTAATTGCGATAAACATGGGCCGGACAGGGCAGATATCCCGGATCTTGAACGGATTCATGACCCCCGTCTCTCACCCAGCTCTCCCATTCAAAGCAGCCCCAGGCCAACTCTCATCATGCGAAATACGACAAGGACTGACCCTGATGGGCGAGATTGTGTCCAAGAAATTCTACCTGTTCGGATCGCCGATCAGCGCGAGCAAGTCGCCCGCACTGCACAATACGCTGTACAAGGAGACGGGCTTGCCGCACGTTTACTCGCTGTGTGAGACCACCGACCTGGCGGAGATCAAGGAGAAGATCCGCGCCGAGGACTTTGGGGGAGCGAGCGTGACGATTCCGCTCAAGTTGGACGTCATGCCCTTGCTGGACGCCGTGGATGCGTCGGCCCGCCTGATCGGGGCCGTGAACACCGTCGTCCCCGTCCACAACCCCGTCTCGGGCAAGAACTCGCTGGTCGGATACAACACGGACTTTCTGGGCATGATGGACTGCCTGCGCGCCGCGGGCGCCTCGGCCGCGCTGGGCGAAGGCGAGCAGTCGGGCCTGGTCATCGGCGGCGGCGGCACGGCGCGCGCGGCCATCCACACGCTGCACATGATGGGGTACAAGCCGATCTACCTGATCGGGCGAAATCAGGGCAAGATGGAAGAGCTGGCAAAGACGTTCCCGCCGGCGTACGAACTCGTGTTACTGGACGCCGCCGCCGCCACGTCGACGCTGGAGCAGAAGATGCCGACCGTGCCGGTCGTCGCGATCGCCACCATCCCCGCCGACAGGCCTGTCGACCCGGCCATGGCGGCGTCGCTGCAGCGCATCTTCGCGCGGTCCGCGCAGCTCGCCACCTCGACCGCGCCAAAGGGCCAGGGCACCTCGGCGCCCACGCGCACACTGCTGGAGCTCGCGTACAAGCCCGCCCACACGGCCGTCATGCAGATGGCCGAGCAGGTCGGCGGCTGGACCCCCGTGCAGGGGCTGGAGACCCTGGTCACGCAGGGCCTGTGGCAGTTTGAGTTCTGGACAGGGATCCGGGTGCGAGGCCTCGGCGGGAGGATCAGTCGGGTGAGTTTTTGTCCTTTTCCACGTTTCTCGATTTGCACCGTTACCGTGGCTGATGCTGTTGCTTTCTCCCTCCTCCACTTTCTTAACTTTCTTTCCCCTGCCCATGCCAGCCTTGTTCTTTTGACAGTATACCTTTCTATTTTCTCGATTCAAAACCTCGTTCACACTTCTACCCCACCCACCCCCTTTTCTTCTTCGTCGGGCCAGCGAGCGAGCTATATATCCATCCAGTTATGCCCTATTTCTACCCATCCTTCGTCGATCCAAGGCATCCATTCGCATCGTGCTGACCTGTCGCTGAAATAGGATGTTGTCCTCGGGCCCGCCGCGTAAGGAGAGGAACCGCATTGCTTGCTTGCTTGTGTGCTTGCTTGATTGATCGATCCATCTCTACGAAAAATTATAGAATGGGGGATATGTCTGGTCTGGGCCTGTTGGAGAACAGTGCGAAAACCTGGGAAACCTGGGAAACCTGGGAAAGAAGGTGATTTGGTCAGCCCGTCGTCGAGACTTCTCGTCACTTGCTTGTTCGCCTCTTAGAAGGGAAGAGAAAAGTTCTTACAGACACTTGAAAAAAGGATCAACAAGTCCAGTCGAGTTTTTTCTTTGTGGAACTGTTAAGCAGTTCGATACCGATGCTGCTCGCTACCAATACAGTCGCTCTACCGCTCAGGCTATTTAGTAGTAGTTGCACATGTTTTTGAACCCTTTCCAAGCTCTAAAATCGTACAAGATATATCTCACCCCCCACATACATCTCTACTGCTGTCCCTGTGCCCTCCTCTGTTCTTCCACCTGTCTCTGCAACGCCGCTGCAATGGCCGGGTTACCAGCCCATGCACCAGAGAGGTAATTCGTCTGTCCACCTGCGGCATGAGGCGAGTTGGAGCCATAGGGATTTTGGCCGCCTTGATATTGGCCCGTCTGCTGTTGCTGAAAGGGGAAATTGCTACCAGGAAACAGAGGTGGCGGCGGAGGCACGCCCGGCGGTGCAGCGAAGGAAGGGAAGTTGCTCGGAGGCTGGAAGCCCTGGCCAAAGTTGAACGGGACGTTCGGGAGAGGGGTGATCGGCGAAGGCGTCATTGGAGGGTATGTTATGTTCTGCGGTGTTATGGAAGGCGTCGTTGGGAGGTTGAGATTCGGCAGAGGGGCGGTGGATGGGTTGTAGCCGTTCTGGTGATTGCTGTGAGATGCGTTGTATTGACTGAAAGGAGGCTCGCGAGGCTGATTGAAACCTCCCCGTCCACGCTGGGGCCGGAACCCTCCTCTGTCTCCTCTGCCTCCTCGCCCTCCCCTCCCGTGACCATAACCTCTCCCTCGCCCGCCTGACTCTCCTCCTCTGAATTGCGAGGATTGGGGCGGTGGTGGAAGTGGATGCATCATTCCGCGTTCCCGCGGCTGCTCTCGAGGCGGTTCTCGCTTGGCGACCATTTCGGCTAGGTCACTCGGTCTTTGCAACGGCGTATAGCCGTCATCGCCTGCATCTGGCACTGGGACATCATCATAGTTGATTTCCAAGGGGCCATTGCCGTAAGCTGAGCCATCACTGGGATTGCGGTGACGATGGTCTGCGTGGTGACCTCCTCGACTGCCACCGCGATGCGACCCTCTGGCGAACTTCGAGTTACCACGGCCTCTGCCTGTGTCCAGTGACCTCCCCTGTCTCTTCGCTTTTATCTGGCGCCTGTGCTCGGCCTCGGCTTCGTCATCCGAGAACTCCATCTCGTCCTCACCAACTTCCTCGTCGTGGAAATTCGAGGCGTCGCTTCCCTTGACGCTCTTCAACGGTTGGGTGAAGACAAACGTGGAATGCTCAGGAACGTAGAACACAATGACGCCGGCTTCCGACACACCGGCCTCCTTGATATCATCATCGTTGGTGAACCGAATGGTATACCTGGGTTCCTCGACTCGCCCTATCAAGTCGGCAACCACTCCAACCACCGATCGATCTTTCAGACAAATCAAGGACCCGGGTTCTAACACCTGATATTCGCCCGACGTCTTGGCCTTAACAACGACGGTACTCTCGACCACAAATTCGACGTTGCCCAGTTCTTCAATCTTCATATCTTCGGTGACAGTAATGTCCGGTCTAGGTATGACTTCTTCCGTACGTTCATTGGCCGTCCGGAGTGGGCCTCCCTCTTTTCTATCCCGAGGACCTCCTCCTTCATCGTCCGAACCCGCATCACCTTGCATGAGTATGCGCGCCGTCTCCTCGGGATCCAGCATGGCGTAATCGCCATCAGCATCCTCGTCGCTGTCTTCTTCCGAAGAAGTGTCGTCGGAGGAGTCGGAGTCGGAATCTGAGGAGGACTCATAGGGTGATGAATCGATTTCCCATTCAGCACCCTCCGCACCTGGTTCAGGTGCGCTGGAGCCATCGGGGAGGATTGCGTTTGTTGGGTTGAGATCGAGGACGGTCGGTGTATCGGCAGCATTGCCCACGGTGCGTACCGAGGCATTGGTGTCGGGTGCGACTTGCGCATTGCGGTCGAGGACAACAGTCTCTGCCACGTCCATTGCCTCAATATCGCCCAAAACAGTAGCATCCGGTGCAGGCTCTTGAGTGGTAGTAGCGAGGTCGCTCGGATGTGCCTGCGCATCATGTCCTCTGTCTTCATTCCTGTTATGTTCTCCATCGACCAGCATTCCATCGGCCATTGGCAGGGTGCCATTAGTACTCGTAGGAGGGTCAGATGACGGTCTTGCGGCAGCGGCTTCTGCCTCGACTTGCAGCATCAACGCATCTAGAAGAGAATTTGAGTCAGACTGTTCAGGGGCGGCATGCTCCTCTCTCTTCTTCAGATCGGAAGATGACGTCTCTGGCTCTGGCTCTGCCGTAGAAACGCTCTGCTCGGCAGGGAGCTGCTCAGTGATGGGACCATTTTGCTCGGTGGCGGACGTCGACTGAGGCGGGTCGAGGGCACTCCTATTTTCGTCTGGAGAGCCCGTCCTCTGGCGCTTAGCAGGAGATGTTGGGAAGTCTTCGGCATCCATGCCTCGGTGAAGGAATAGATAGACCTGCGGCGTGAAGTGGTGTGTATGAGAGGACGATTAATCGCGTCCAAAAAAAAAGTTTCTGCAAATGCGGAGAAGGTCGAGAGGGAAAATTGGCGGCGGCCGGTGGCCACCCGGAAGAACAATTCCTGCTGCCTCTCTCACTGGCGCCAAAACTTCTTCTCTTCACAAGTCTTGCGGTGAGTTGTTGAAAGATGAAATCTACAGGCCTTGTGCACCCTCTCCGCTCTTGAAGCGTCATTATCGAGTGCCGCTGAGACCGGCCAAAGCCAATGGCTGATACCACGGTACTCCCATCAGAACGTATTGCTTTATCAACACTCTCTTCACGCGACTCTCTTCCCGACAGAGGTACTGATAGCAATAGTCCACTGTCGACTCGTTCCCTTTCCGAAGACAATGTACCCTTCCTGGCACCGACTGACGCGACGGGAGGCTCAGCGAAACATGCCATATCCCCTGGACTTGCTCGAAGGCTCTATGTTTCCCACTTTCTGTCGACGTGGAATTTCCGCGGATTCGAATTCGGCGCTGTTTTGTTCCTAGCCAACATCTTCCCAAAGACACTGTTGCCTTTGTCTATCTACGCTCTGGTCCGGGCATTGGCCGCTATCGTCTTTGCCCCCTTGATCGGTCGGTATATCGATACAGGTCCACGTCTGCAGGTTGTTCGCAATTCGATTGTCTATCAGCGTAGCGCTGTTGTGCTCTCATGCGGTATCTTTTATGTCATGCTCTGGCAAAGGCCACACCTTGAGACATGGAATCTTTACGCACTCCTCGCTGTGGCTAGTGTCCTAGCCTGCGTTGAAAAGCTCTGTGCAATCATGAACACCGTGTCTGTTGAAAGAGATTGGGTGGTGGTCATTGCGGGTGACAACGAGGCCACTCTTCGCACTCTCAACTCCCAGATGCGTCGCATCGACCTCTTCTGCAAACTTTGCAGCCCTCTGCTCATCGCGTCATTGGAGAGCTACAACACGAAAGTCGCCGTTGCTGTTATGGGCAGTGTCAATGCCATGTCAACAATCGCAGAATATATCTTCATTGCCAGAGTGTACGCGGCGTTCCCGAATCTTGTGCGCGACAATCCACCTCCCACCACGAACGATGAGTGCGGTGATGACCTGGGACAAGCATCTGGGTCCGCCCCACAGGAACCTGTCAGGCTGTCATTGTGGCGAGATTTGAAGATCTATACGTCTCAGGGAGCCTTCTTGCCCTCCGTCTCACTGTCCATCCTGTACTTAACCGTGTTGTCCTTCTCTGGGCAAATGGTGACATATCTTCTGGCCAGTGGTTATACCTCGACAGTGATTGCGGTGATGCGTTTGATATCGACCGGGTGTGAGATGTCGGCCACCTGGGTGGCACCGTTGGCCATGGCTTGGATTGGCCCCATTAGATCCGGCCTTTGGTTCCTCAACCTCCAGATGGCCTGTCTAGCAGTCGCCCTCAGTTTGTTCTGGATGATAGGGTCGCCATTCTGGGCTGCGTCTGGACTTATCGCGGGCACGATCCTTAGCCGCATCGGCCTTTGGGGCTTCGAGCTCTCGGCACAAGTGATCATTCAAGAACAGGTCGAGCCAGAATATCGCGGGTCCTTCTCGACGACCGAGTCCTCCATCCAGAATATCTTCGAACTCTGCGCATATGCCTCGACCATTATATTTCCTCAACCGGCGAGCTTCAAATGGCCTGCTACTATGTCCGTTGCTGCCGTGTACACTGCTGGAGCTCTGTACGCCAGCTTTGTGAGGCGCAGACGTGGTCATTTGGTGCATCTTTCAAAATGCCTGGAAGGCAGAAAGCATTCGACCCTAGAATCGGGAAGACTCTGTCAACGGTGCAGATCAGATATTGGATAGGTCTCTGGATCAATCAGCAAGTGAACAGGTATTCATATCTCTTGTGTTTCAAGTTCCTGGTCGGGATAACCGATCCAAGGACCATCTTCATCGCGACCAAGTAATCCATGCACCTGGCAGCGACGTTTCAGTATGTTCCAGCATTGGCAGCCAATCTTGTCCAGCTATCATTTATTATAATGTTGTGAAGTGCCCTTGGTCCAGCTGGATCCAAAGTATCTTGCAGTTCCAACTCACAACTACAGCGAGCCCAAGGTCGCAATGAAGTAAGACCTTATAGTCCATGCGTGAGCTGAAAGAAACTAATCATCGCCATCTGACAGGTTGGGATGCCTAACGAGCCTGTGGCCTAAGCGTTGCGTATTCAATATAGCCATCTCACCAATCAGTGATCTTGTCGCGCGTCGCCCAACCATACCATTCACCTCCATTACCCTGCGACCGCGTCAATCTCGTATACTCCTGCCCGCCCGGAGATGGTACTTCGCTCCAGCTGACCGACGCCCACATTTCGGTACTTGTTGATTTGATTCTGCGGAGACGGTCTTGGGCATCGCCAGCCCCACATCTTGGCCACAGTGTTCAGCAGTGCAGCAGTGCCTTCACCGGATGGAGATGCTGTGTATTCCTGATAAATGCTCTGATCAGGAACAGCCGTCAGTCCCCCATTCAAGGGCTCTCGAGGTGCACGGGTAACCGCACGGGGCTTCGTCTTCCCGTCAGGGACCTTTGAGACCAGATGGTTGGACCGGGAGCTGCCAGACAGACATCAGATGCATCAAATCATGCAGCCGCAAGAACACGTCCAAGGCCGAGGCATCCCACCTTCCGCAATGGACAAGGCGGTAACCACTTGTATATAAGTCTCGAGGTCCCCGGTCGTCTCACTCATATAATCTTCTCCGGCTTCCCTTGGTCTCTTTGCCACCCTTCTTTCTATATCTCTCCCTCTTCAGCTGAGTTCCAGCACTGTCTATTTGCAAGATGGCGGGCTACGACACTGTCCCCCATAATGCCGAGGTGAAGGTGGACAGATTCACCCTGTCGATCCCCGATCAGGAAATATCAGATTTCAAAGACCTGCTGCGACTTTCCAAGCTAGCCCCGAAAACATACGAAAATATGCACACTGATGATGGCAAGTTTGGTGTCAGTTACTATTGGATGAAGAAGGCAAAAGACTACTGGCTGAACGAATATGACTGGTATGTCCCAGTCTGTTGGGATGAGCTGGCACAATAACCAAGACACTGAGGCCTCTGTACCCAGGCGTGACATTGAAAAGTTCAACAACTCGTTTCCCAATTTCATTGCCCACATCAAGGACGACGACGGGGAGGATTTCCGCATCCATTTCGTGGCTCTCTTCTCCAAGAAGCAGAATGCCGTGCCACTCCTGTATATGCACGGTTGGCCAGGTAGCCATCTCGAGCACCTCGACATCATGGACCTCTATCGCAAGAAATATTCGCCGGAAGATCTGCCTTACCATGTCATTGCTCCCTCGCTGCCAGGGTGGACCCTCAGTTCCGGTCCGCCTCTGAGCAGGGACTTCGACACCGAGGATATCGCGCGCATCATGAACAAACTGATGGTGGGTCTAGGGTTTGGGAGTGGCTATGTCTGTCAAGGCGGCGACATCGGTTCGTTCACGGCCAAGGTCATGGCAGGAACGTATGATGAGTGCAAAGGTGAGCCAGCCAAGCCCCAGTCGAAAACATAAGCAATATTGTGATGTGTCTGACGGTGTGTCTTTCGCAGGTGTCCATTGTGAGTAACTATCTCCCTTGCAGCCGCCACCCGGAGTCTCCCAGACTGAGGGGTTTTGTCCAGACAACTTCGCCGTGTCCAGCGAGCCACCCAAGAACGTGGATGAAAGCCTGATCACCGAGTCCGAGAGACAAGGCATGGAGACACGGATGAAGGCCTTCTACACGACCGGAAACGCCTATGCGCGAGAACACGGCACCCGGCCGGCGACAATCGGGTTTGTGCTCGCCAGCAGCCCGCTCGCCCAGCTAGCATGGTAAGTAATCCCAAACCATGCCATGGACCCAGAGGTGTCCGCGACGCTGGCGGCCTTTCCGAACCAGTGACTAAATAATCGCAACATTGCAATATCGTAGGATCGGCGAGAAATTCATCGAATGGACCGACGAGACGCCGCCCCTCAAAAACATCCTCGACTCCATCACCTTGTACTGGTTCACCGAGTCCTTCCCACGCTGCATCTACTGCTACCGCGAGGTATGAGGACATCCCCCTTGCTGTTCCGCCAGTCTCGGTGTCCAGTGATATGTATAGCTCTATTGTTTCTGACCACCCCGAAACACAGTTCTCCGTCCCGGGGAGCCGCGGCCTTCCGCACGGGAACCCAAAGTACAAGAACGACAAGCCGGTCGCGTACTCGTGGTTCCCCAAGGAGCTGGCGCCGGTGCCGAGGGCGTGGGTGCTCGCGCAGGGCCACAACCTGGTGCTCTTCCGCCAACACGAATCGGTGAGTTTTGGCCAGCTTTGCGTTTTCTCCTTTGCCCTACAAATCCCCGGTGGGCCACATTCATGGGTACACGAGAAGTGCAGTGCACTCCGTCCGTCATGGTTTTGGCTGCATGTATCTGGGTACATGGCAGGATTAACTGACGACCATTCACTACAGGGCGGCCACTTCGCGGCCATGGAGAAGCCCAAGGAAATGCTTGCGGACATGGAGGAGTTCATCCAGAAGATCGGCTGGCCGGTGAAGAAGGAGTGAGGACTGCCTCCCCCCTCCCCCGAGCAACGTTCTGCGCGGCCGAGTCCGGTGTCCTCCTCCCCCTTCCCTTTGCCCTCGAGAGTTGACATGTTCCCCCTTTTCTAGTCCGCGCCCGGGCACAACGGGGAGCGATAGCCGTCTATAATACCGTGAGAGAGGTCATTCAATATCCCTTGTTGCTCGTGTGCCAGACGGGCAGGTCTTAATGACGGGTACTATACGCACGGGAGTGTCTTGCAGGCATTATGTCCGTTGAATAAATGAATGAAGACGCTGTTTTCTTCGACATCAAACCACGAGTCCTTGTTATTCCGAGGTGCGAACAAATATACCCATCTTCCTTCACGATGAGCCAGATACACAAAATATGCGCATAAGCGTCAACGCCATCGTCGTCGTCGTCATCATGGCCCAGTCCAATCCAATCCAGTCCAGTCCGGTTCCTGTGGTATTCAGCACCGACAGAGTCCTCGGCTTTGGCATCCGTTTTGGACTGCGCCACCCCCCGAATTAACAAAAAAGTCCACCACTAGAACTTAGGACAATCTAGTATAGGATGGGTCCTTTGAAACGTCGCCCAGCCGTTCCAAGTCTCTCCCATAGACACGTCCTTCCCGCGCCGCACCTCGTTGGAGAAAATACACTCTCGTGGTATCTCTAGCCCGGGGTCGCTCATCCATTCTCGACGGCTCTCTGCCAGTCATTGCCTCACCAGGCTCAGGCTGGGGCCGAAATTGCGCCAGCTCAGGTCTGGGGTTTAGAAACCGAAATGGACCTTTTCGATTACGAGGTAGGTCAAAATCCATCGCCGAGTCTACCCTGTGGAGATATTATGCAGTGCAGTCCCATTGTCTTCTCGACCCATCTCAGTCCTCCCCGTGGTGCATCTCGCTCAGCTCCTGCGCAGCCGCCAGTTCTTCCGCGGAGGGCATGTTGACGATCATCAGGTAGAGGACATCCTATTGTTGGTAGAAAGGGGCGATCTGTTAGCTCGGGATCGCAAAGACCCCAGATGGCATATTCATGGCAATTTCATGGCTCCAACAACCAAATCAAAAGGGGAGACATGGGACTCACCTTGCTGAGAATCCGCTTGATGGCGCTCTGGCCATTTCCGAGCCCGATGCCCAGGATTGCGCCGGCGAGGGCTTCGAGCCCAACTGGGCCTGATCCGCCGCCGAAGCCTCCCATGCCCATGGCAGGCATATTGGACTGGTTCTCGTAGTAGCCGCCTTGTTGACCGGGCCGTTGTTGATAAGTACCCTGATACTGATACTGCTGCTGCTGCTGCACCCTGTAGTATTGGTCCTGGCCATATCCCATTCGCCCACCAGCAAACCCGCCACCACCCATCATGCCCATCCTGCCGCCGCCACTCCCCAGTCCGCCGAACCCTCCCATGCCCATGCCTCCTCTCCCGCCGAACCCGCCGCCGCTGCCACTAGCGAGTTGTCGCAAGTCTGGGGGATTGAGTCTTCCCCCAGTGAGCAGGGAGATGAGATTGCCGTTGCTTGCCGGGTGGTTGGGGTCAGCGTATCGGGAGGTGAACTTGGGAGTTGGAGCGTTTAACTTGGCCAGGGCACTGTCGGGATTCTTCCCAGCCTGTGCGTTTGGACAGATGAACGTCAGCTCGAAAGCAAGTGCACAATGGGGACAAGCCACGAAATAGAGCCGGGGTTGGAAGGAGGAGCCGGGGGAGAAGTTGTCCCAGGCGAGGCTTATTACTTAAGGAAGACAAGGGAGATCAAAGCAAAGTAAAGTTTAGGGAGAACAAAGGGTTGATGAAGCAGCCATCGTCACTTACATGCTTCGCCTGAGCCCTGCGGTCGAAGTACACATCCGCAAACCCCTTGTAGTGCTTGACCTTGTCCCTCTTGCGCTCTGCCTCGTCGCCCGTCTGCACCGCTAGTTCGTCGAGCTTGGGGAAGACCAGAGCAGCGCACTCGGTGAACTCGACGGTGTTTGGGCCGGACGACGTCTTCATGGCGCGCTTGATCTTGGCGCCGGTGCCGTGCGGCGTCGACACGCGCTCGGCGACGGTCGAGGTGACGTCGACTGAGGTGTGCAGGGTCGGCGTGTCGGGCTGCCAGGTCAGCACGAGGCAGTAGAGGCCGCGGGGCCGGAAGAATTCGTCGTTGATGCGGTCGAGGAAGGTGTTTTGTCTTCCACGCAGAGAGAACGGTCAGCAACGGGGTCACGACTCCTCATCACCGCCTTTTGGAGGGACGAGGAGATGGATATGAACAGTGCAAAGTCTCACCGTTTCCGGCTCTGGATGTCCTTGGCTATATTCACGCTCACCGTGATGGCCAGCTGCACGGCCTGTGAGATTGCAGGCGGCAGGGCCATCGTGGCGAACCCAGCCAAGTTGATGGCGTCGAGCCATGGAGAAGCGAGACTGGCCTGGTTGAAAGTCTCGATAAAGTCGAGGAAGGTCTCTTGGTCTATGCCCTTGATGGCCAGGTCTGGTGCATAGGCGCGGATGAAGCCTCGCTCCCGAGCCTTCGGTCGGCGCTGTGGAAGAATAACGGGAAGCGGAAGTTTCGGGACCTGCTGGGTCTGGGTGACCTGGATATCCTCGTTATTGGGTCCGTGGTCTGTCAGTGTACTGGGTGTCGTCTGTGGCGGTGTCTCTGGCAGTGGATGCCTGCGCATGAATGCATCGGTGATCTTGACAGGGTTGATCTGGTCTCTCTTGGACATGTGCTCTTCTGGGTGCGGAGCGCTGGAGGTATTGGAGTGGACGCTGATGAGCTCGTCTTGAGCCTCATCCAGATCCCAATGTTCTTCGTCGCCTTCTTCGAGACTGCCGTGTCCTGCATTGCCTTCTCGACCGGCCTCTGTGTGGATCTCTTGCACTTTGACATCCGTCAAATGGCCTTTAGCATCCTTTCTCTCCTTGTGATGGTGGACGCCTTCCGATGCGAGGCCAATGCCAGATGCAACGCCCTTTACGGCGTATCGCAGAATCCTGTCAGCCATGCTTGTTGGGAGGGTCTTGGGTGATTCTATTGAGGAGGCTGGCGAGAAGGGGGAACGGTAAGATTGTTTTATAAGACCCAAGGAATCCTGGAAGGTCTGGTCTTTCAAGCAGCAAGAGAAAGGGGGCGAAGAAAAACTTCACCTGGGGGGCCTTGCCATATAATAGTTTGCTTGAGATGCATCATGAGGGCTTCGCGGAATGAACCCAACTGAGCTTTAGTGACATTGTAGTGCCTCTCCTACAGCGAGGATCTGCACGCAGGAAGACACCCCTGTACACAAGTATAGAGAGTAGGAATGGGTCCATGGGCCAATTCATGACGATTGGTAGGAGAGACGGCGCAGGAAACCGCAGCCAACGGTATCCTTGCTTCGGACGACGTACACAAGCCGTATGCTCCTCCCCGTGTCGAGCTTCCATAGCGCGAGCATATCGGCCGGAAATCGGCACACGGCATCGAGGCACTATACCCAGTGGATGGCGCAAGAGATCTGCTCCCAGGTTAGCTGTCGTGTTGTAAACAGAAACGGGGAGGCAGAACACGGGAGAGTTACTTACCCAGAACAACAAATGATAAGCATTTCCGCCTGCAGATAAAGCTGGGGAAGCGGCCATATGGCTAATGAGAGCCCATTAATTAACTAAGCTTCTCGCCTGAGGATCCCGACGTTGGGGCTGGTAAAGCGCTGGGCGATCACCGGGAACGAGAACGAACGAACGAGCGAGAACGACAAAATCCCTGCCAGGGATTGTGTCTGTAGCTGTGCTTCGTCAACCCGCGGTCGACACAAGAACCAAAATCTAACTCTTCCACACTACTGTACATGTTCTGGGCTCATCAATGTCAATGTGCATTCAATTAGCCATGTGCACGGCAATCGCCAGAATCAACAAAGTGGGACAAGCAATAAACCGATAGGTGTACGTCGCTTCTCCACGGACCACTGCTTCGAGCACATGTGACGGCGATTTGGGGTTGCTGGCCGTGGAGATTCGAGTGGATAGACCAAGATAGCTGCTGGGAAGTCTGCAGGAGTTTTCCTGGGACGGCATGACGAGGCCTCTATTGCTGTTTCGATGTGTTCGAGCATCTGTAGACGTCCGCCAAAACCGACCAGGCCCTGTAGCAGTGCACGAAGGATCTCACGGCGCGCCTAACAAAACACGCACTGCTCATATGGAACCAGTGAAGCTTTCACATCCTCCCAGATCTCCGCGCAAGGTGTTTCGCATTCACTGTCCAGCCAGAGAAATCTGGCAAGCATGTCTTTCACAGTCATCCCGGTGTATTCTCTGATGTCGGCTTCCTTGCCTAGCCTTTCGGCGCTCACATGTTGAACCAAGAAGTCGACAAACCAGTCGTAAAGGACTGTGTTTCTTACGGACCAAGCAGTCACCACCGCGGCCCAAAGAAGGAAATCATGATAGGTTGGATCCCGATGGAGATACAGGTCGGCAGTTGCGCACTGCAGACATCGTTTGATCCGACGGGCGTAGGGGATGGTCACATCGATATTGTCGTGCAGATTTGGCAGAAGGACCGTGATCTGAAAGACGAAGGCGCACAGCCGACAGATCTCATAAATTGCAAGTGCTCGATGGCCTGCAAGGATGATGGGATCATCAACATATGCCGAGCTGGATGAAAAGAGCTCTTCCGATACATCAGGCAAAGTCAACAGCTCGTGTTGATTCAGATTCCGGGCGAAGATGATCATCCTGATTGGGGGAGCTTCTCCATCACCCTGCTGATAGCTATCGAAAGCAATAATCAGATCACGCATGGCATGTAGGACGTTCAGCAGTTCGATGGCTGCAGGCAGGTCCATGTCCGCTAAGAAATTGAACCCCGTAACTAAAGCAGGGGATCTTTGAGATGCTGGACTTCCGGGTTGGCTAGTGACCCAGGTGCTGATAACCGGCGAAGATGGCATAAATAACGGAAATGAAGGTTTTGTCTGGAACATGATCGATGTATGGATATCGAAGCTGCATTCGCTGTCAGCGCACGGTTTGTGGGCTCTTCCAGTCGTAGACCTACGAAGCAAGGGCAAATGCAAGCCCCGGAAGTCGGATCGTATGCAACCCGCCTTTCATCTTGACGATTTCGACCACCGCCTTCATGTGCCGCCACTCGTACTCTTGGCTGGAATAGAACTGGCCATCTTGCTGAGCCGACATCGTTCTCTTCTCACGCTTTTCTGCAGCGGTCACTTTCTCTCCGTGGCCGACAATGGCCAATATAGCCATAGCAAAGATGACCTCATCGGTCAATGATGTCGATTGGGATTGGAGGGCTGATCGGAGCGATTTGATGGCTTCGACTTTGCTTGTCAAGCGCAATACCGCACTCTTTGAATTGTCGACCGCCGGAGATTGGTGAAAAGCTTTGTGAGCGGCACCGGCATAGACAAGGGTATGAAAGCACAGGGGAGATCGGATCGCAGTGTCCATGACCGACTTCTTTGCCATGAGTAGAGATCCCGGCTTGTCATCTGCGGCAAAGAGGGACCATTGGTATGAAATGGCTGAGTATGACAATTAGATCCCATTTAACTAGCCAACATCTTGTTGGGGGCAAGCTACGACGACGCAAGGGCTCGAGACAAGAAATGTACCGACCATGATCAAGCATTTCATGAACCATCAGAGGCTGGTCTGGGGTACAATAGGCATTGAATGGGTCGACCCTGCCTGCCCCTAGAACGGTGCTCGGCTCGGGAACCGGCTTTCTCGACCTGACCTGCCCATCGGGGCTTGATCCAAGGAATGCTTCTGGTTCGACCTTTGCAGCAGGCTCCTTCTTGCCGCTGCCTGCAGCGGATCGTTGGCCACGAAGGGCAGACTTTCTGAGGGCCTTTGCCTTGTGGTGGTAGACTCTGGCGGCATGCTGCTGTGGGGACTCCTGAGCAGCCTCGTCAACGTCATGGGAATCTGTCGACGGGTTGTATGGCAGGAAAAGCAGGCGCATTTTGTTGTCGAGCTGAGCTCGGTTGAACCTGCTTTAGATACCAGTCGAGTAGCCCATAGTAGGCTGACAACAGATGACTTTTCAGAAGGGACGAAGCTGCTGGGAACCAAAGGGTAAAGCAGCACTATCACAACCGTGGTCGATAGTGCTCATCCGGGTCCAGACCAGTCGGAAGCAGGTGGGGTAGTCCATTGGCGGGCACTCGAAATCTAGTGAGGCTGGTCGCGCAGATCAGGTTGACCTTGGCCTGGGAACCCGACCGTCATGGCGTCTGGGCGTCTAGGCATCTCGGCAGAATGGTCCTTGAGCCAAGACTGAACACTGATCACTCCTGCCCTGTGCAATTCTTTGATAGAGGCCAGGAGGCATCGCTTCGTGTGACCAAGTGGATGAATTGGTAGCGGATGATAGAACGACATGTTGAATTTTGGCGCAGGTAAATGCCAGGATCTATCAATCTACTTGGCAAGTGTAGGGGAGAAGGTGATCTAGCGCCCTTTCGAGTGGAACGCTTCGTTCTTTGCATCTGCCTTCGAGAACAACCCATTTGAAAAGACTGCATATGATACTGCATAAGAGTCAAAACTATTTATCAAGAAACCCCCGATTCAAGAATCGTTCTCGTTGCTGCTTCTGACGTTTCTGATAATACTATATTTGTGTCAGCGAGAAGAAATTGTCCATCAGTTGTAAAGGACTGTACCTCGTAGACGGTCAACGGTTCATATTGAGGGGGGTTCTCAGGTGTCAGGCAAGCCGAGAGAGGCTAGAAGTATTAATTAACACGTCCCCTGCTTCCATTTTGGACCGACAGGCTCACCTCTACAGTCGCATAGTGATTTGAACTGAAGAAAAAGGGGAGGGAGTAGCGCTCGTGGCCTGTTGTGTTGCTGACGCGGTGGACCGTAGAAACAAACCGGCCATTAGACATCCGCATCAGAAAGTCACCCACATTCACTACAAACGTTCCGGGGATGGGATGCGCCGGAACCCAGTGTGCATTTGCATTCAACACTTCGAGCCCTCCGACGGTATCCTGCCACAAGATGGTGAATGCTGTAGATAGTCAGCTTAATAGTTCTCCGCAGGATCATACTCTTCCTGACTATGATACATACTATCAAAGTCCGTGTGAGCTCCAATGCCAGTTTCGTCCTGGCTCTCCGGCTCTTGAGGGGGGTAGTGAATGATTTTCATGGTAGAATGTGGTGACGAAAACAGACCGTCCAAGGCGGTTTTCTCCAGGCCTAGAGCCAGAGCGAAGGCCTGAACCAGGACTCTGGAGAGCCTGATAAGCCGACTGTGGTACGACACGAGCTGGTCCTTGAAATCTGGCTGATCCGCGGGGAAGTTGTTCTCGACCAAGAGGGCTCTCTGCAACGCTGTCAGTTGGGGGGGAACAGGGTCCAATTCAGGGTCGTAGGTGAGTAAGAAGGATTCTTTGCGATCTGACAGCCTTGTTAGACAGGGCTAGAGGTAAGAATAGCAGAGGACCAACCTCCGCGTGATTTCGTGTCGTCCAAACGGGCACCAAAGATCGGCTCATATCCTTGCAGGTTGGTGTTTTTGTAGATCCACTGGTCCATTTTCTTCTCTGTCGGCTGCCTGAAGTAGTCCTTCATCACTTCAACGGTGTCGTCGATGAGTTCCTGTTCCACACCATGGTTTTTGATGTAAAAAAACCCCACCTCCTCACAAGCCTTTCTGATCTCGTCGGCGACCTTGACTTGATCTGTCAGATTGTCGCTGAAAAGACCGGCGATATCAATGAGAGGGATATCGGTGAATGTGGTTTTGAGCTTGCCATCCTTCAGGACTTCACGGCGATGCCCATACTTCCCGTCGTAGTGAAAGTAGACGTATTCGGGCTCCTGCCCAATGATGGTGTCAACTATTGTCGAAGCCATATCTGCTATGGATAGAAGTCGCAGCGACGGCACTAGGGCCAATGGCCAAGCTTTAAAGACTCAATGCAGGCCAGGTACTGATTGTCAGTAATAATATAATAGCTGGGGGAGTTTCCTTCGGCAGGCGTTTTACGCAGAGACATCCCGCTTTCATGATCGAGAACGCATCGGCATTCCCCATCCGACCGCTCCCGTCTATACTGCTGGCCAACCTCGGGCGGAGCGCTTCATCACGACAGGTTCAGCCACTCGATAGGAAATCAACGGGCTAGTGTCAGCTTTATTATACAACCCCAATCGACAAGTGGATACTGTATCTACCAAACTTTTAAAATGACCGTGTTTCACCCCGACTCCGCCTTATCTCAAGGAAATAGTGGTCATCGGTCTCGGTAACAACGCCCGTCTAAGCTAGTATTTTGCCAAGACAACGTACCTTTCCGCTCCAAGCTCATTAGCTACGATAAGAAGGCGCGTTAAATGCTCGAGAAGAACGGCGAACACAATGGCAAGGAGAACTGAGCCTTATCCTAGCCTAATCATGAGCCGGGAACTGATGGCGCCGTATCGTAGTTATCACGGTAACCAGGAGAGGGGAGCAGAGCGTGGCACGTCTAGATATCAGTAAGTTCTTTCCTTTTAGCTTGGTCGTTAATCTTAACGTTTATCGATATAGACTCCCCCTACAGGCTGCTTTCGGATCAAACACGGTAGACAGGTCGACTTACCCGGTTCGAGTCTATGATGCAGGTCCTCGATTAGCAGGGCAGGACTATAAAAGATCGCTGTGATGCAAGAGGAAACCGCCAAATAACATCTACGGAATTTGTTCATATATTGGTCAAGTCGAGTAGGACACAATCAAAGTGGTCACTATTTTCCACATACTATTCGTTTCAATATTCTTACCTCTACACCCGGCAAGCATGGGTGTGAAAGGCTATCTTCGCTGGCATGGGTCAGTTACTCTACCCCCTGAGGATTGAGCTCTGGCTAATGTTTGATACAGTCCATTCATGCAGAACGCGCTTGCGGCGCTCTGTCTCGGCTTGACTGCTGGCATCTATGTGGCTCTGTCTGGACTCGGTGCAGGAGGCGGTCAGGCAACATCACAGCACATGATAGACATCGCTCAAGCCTCGTGTGATGCCGCCTCGCTTGTCGCTGGGCTGTTCTGTGGTGTTATGCTCAACAAGTTTGGTCCGGCCATCTGCGCATCTGTAAGTTCGAAGGCTCTGGCTGAGTTTTGTGCTTAGCATATTGCCGATCTAACATCTTCCCAGGTCGGGGCCGTCGGGTATGCAGTTTATGTAGGAGGCTTGTGAGTGAATTGTTGCACATGAACCCAAAAGATTCGTGGCTAACGTTACCGTTGCCAGCTGGTATTTTGGCGAACACGGCACCCTCGCTTTTCCCGTCACCGGAGCGACCATTCTCGGAATCACAGCGGTTCTCATCGAGTCAACAGTCAGCTATATCGCGATTGCCTACTCCGAGGAGCGCGAGAAAGGCCTCTATGTCACCGTAAGCGTCCCCTGCTCCGGGAATTTCAACGCAAAACGCAGAGGAATTGACTGATGGATCGAAAGATGATGCAAGTTATCAAGTATGGGTGCAGCTTGGTGGCAGCAACTATCCCCTTGGCGATTGACGCGAGCAATCCCAAAGCGACCTCGGTGCCGACGGCGGTTTATATCACGTTCATCATCCTGATGTCTTCCGCCGTGGTTCTCGGTCTCTTCATCCTTCCAGCCGAGAAGATCAGACGAGACGACGGCACCGGGATCGCCGTCCTCCCGAAACTGACCTTCAAGGACGCGATGTTGGGCGGGTTTCACACCCTGGCCGACAAAAGGCTGCTTCTGCTGTGCCCGGCGCTGATATGCACGGCCATCCATCTCGTTTACTGCGGCATAGCCAACGGTAATCGCCCCGCTCTCTCTCCTGTATTGAGATATTTTGTATTCTGACCGCCTCCCTTTGAACAGCATACCACAACAACAGCCGCGTTCGGGCGTTGAATACCTTCTGCGCCCTGGCCGTGGCCATCCCTTCCAACCTGGTTCTCTCCTGGCTGCTGGACAATCGAAGGTGGAGCCGCAAGACGCGCGCCCTCGCGGGGACCACGTACGTGGGCGTCTTCCTCATCGGCGCCTTCATCGCCGAAGTGGTGCGGACGTGGCACTGGTCCCGCGTGGTGCCGCACACCAAAATGGACTGGACCTCTCCCGACTTCGCCGGGCAGTTCATCCTCTTTATTGTCGGATGGAACGCCGCCGGGATGATCCTCAATCTGGCAACGTGGTATCTGGGCACTTTGTCGAACGACCCGCTGATCTGCTCCCATTACGCCGGTCTCTCCCGTGCCCTCTTAGCGGTGGGACAAGGGTTCGTGTTTGGGATTGACGCTGCCGGCATCCCCTACCGCAACGAAGCGGGCGCGCTGCTGGGAATGTTCAGTATATCTATGTTAGGCATGTACATCTTCGCCTTTACCTGCGTCCAGGAGACTCGTTATTTCAAAGAAGAGCATGTAAGTATCCCCTCTTGAGCAACCCGTCGGCCAGCCCCTTATATATACTGACATCTGTGCGCTCGTATTCTAGGTCATTGTCCCCAGGTATGCCCAGGAGCAGCTGGGACATATTCAAGGCCAGGAAGCACGGGAGGGAGCCAAGCCTGGTGCTGACGGTTCGGATGAGGTTCATACAGAGGTTATTGTCTCGACCACGGGGGAGAAGAATACGGCATAGATGATCCGGAGCAGTATCTCTCCATCGAGTTTGGGGCACCCAGAAGTCAGCAACTGTTTACACCACGGTGGAGGACATCGGACTCCGGTGTCTCGATAAAGACGATACACGACGGTTGAGTGCGGCAGATCCTGGAAATCGATTAGAAGAGAAGGTAGATTGGAATGGAGTGGAGTGGAGTTTCCGGTAGTCGAGTACAGCTATTAGTGTGTTCTCCCTTTCGGCTTTGACATTGAGGGGGCCGTAGCATAACAAGTTGAATCTATGAAGCTAATCAAGTGTCTATGGGATTGATAGTCTCTATTAACTATCTGAAGAGAGAAGGTTATCTAAATCGCCATGACGGAATGCTTGTCTATCTCCATCAAGAATAAAGGAGAGACAATTTGAGACGAGTCCCCTGGTGATCTGACGGATATTCATTTGATGAGTAGTTGTATAGGCTACGAGACATGTATCCATATACATACAATACTCAAGGTCGTGGAGTTCGAGTAAGGCTGGGACACTGCAAGCTTTGAAGAATGTTTTCTTCCATACCTTCGCTTCTCGACAGTGAAATCAACGATTGAAAGGACCGTGGAGCGAAAGGCAAGTAGAGGACTTGATTGACCAAGTTGTCCTAGACAATGAGCGAAGCGATGATATTATTGGACTCTTCTATGTTGCTAATAGTCTATGCATGACTTTACTCTGGTTTATATACAGACCGGTTGACGGCGATCCGTCCGGGGATTCACTGGAGCACCCAATCTTCAGCTTCCCTCATTTGTCGGTACCAATTCTGAACATAGTCCAATTTAACATGGGGGCCGTAGGGGTCAACCTCCCACTGTGGTTGCGGTGCTTGCAGTCCGGTTTCAGCTAGACAGGCCTCCCGGAGTTCCTTCAAGGTCCCACCTCTATTGTAAACCGAGTGAAGCGGTGGTCTCGTTGCTCTTATCTTTTCTCTGAGCTGCGAAGTCTCCTTGTCGTCGACGCTGAAATCATCTGGACGTACAACCACGCCGTAATTGTCTTTGGCTCCAGCAATCGTGACAAGTTTTCGCTGAACCTCCAAGGCAACTAGATCTGCCGGTCGAGTGGTAGGGTCACCCCGCCCTCCACCGCCCCAGGTAATCCATTCGAGCAGGTCGTTCGGCTGGACTTTGATATGGTCACACTTGGAAGGAAGGACTTGCATGGGCGGGTTCTCGGCGTCAAGCGAATATCGGTAGAGGACCTTGCGCGAGCGAGATCCTGGCGAACCCCCTTGAATCCCCCAGGGTTTCGTAAACCATCGGTCGTCGTGGAGACTGAACTCACCGCGCGCCAGAAATCGGTAGAGTGTCCGTTGAGCATTACCTCCACGATAGAAACCAGCTCCGCCGGTGTCCGCCAGTGATTCGTTTGCTTCGATCCGAAGAGGAAAGTACAGCTCGATTATTTCGCAGGGAATATTTCTCATCGCCGGGAATAGGCAATGGCAATCAGGCTGTGTACACGTTAGAACACCCCCAGGCAAGTGAGCGAAGAAAGTATTGGTTTGATTAATGGACTTACCCCATCACCAGCTGGACGAGCAGGGACACCTCCAAAACCAATCTGATACAGGAGGAAGTGTTCTCCTTCGGCATCGAAACCTGAGAAAAAGAAGTGAGGTGAGTCGGAAGTGCCAGCTGCTGCCATATATGAGGGGTTCTTCTGGCCGAGAAGAGCCTGGATGATGTCCATAGAACGTCCGATCATATGAGTGCGGCAGCTCAACGCGGCGGGTCGAACTGGTCGAAGGCAAGAGCCTTCGGGGAAGTTGACCTCGATCAAATCGTGAAAGCCGTCATTGACGACGCAATAGGGGTCAAACACCTGCAAAAAATAGTAACTGTACAGGTCAGTGGTGTCATCGCAGATGGCAAGCTTTGGTTACTAACCCCACAAACATCTTGAACAAAGTCGTTGAGAAGTAGTAGTTGATGGAGTTGTCACTTTGTGGACTTGTTCCGTCCCAGTCGAAGACCAACTTGTTTGAAACCTTTTGCATTTTGCAGGACAACGCAAAGGGCCCCACTCCAAGACCGTTGTCATCGATGAAGTCGGTAAACGTACTGGGCTTGTCGTCGATTTCTGTCTCGATCAGCCTGGCAACAGCTGAGCGGTTTCGTTCGAGCAGGTCATCGCACGCGGCATTGTAGACTCTGCGTCGACCATGTTAGCGACCCGTGCAAGCTTTTTGATATGAGCCACTTACTCCAAGGAGTATCTGTCACAGAGCTCGCACACTCGAGTGGCAGCGGTCCTGCAGGCCGCCACCAGTGCCTTGATATCACTGCTAAACCACTCGGGCAGGCGCGAGTTTCGAGTCAACACGTCGAGCAGGTCCTGGTTGAATGTTCCCTTGGAGTATAGCTTCACAGGTGGGATCTGGAGGCCGTCTTCAAAAATGGTGTTCGCATTGATCGACATACTGCCAGGCACCTTGCCTTGCACGTCACTGTTGTGGTGTCAGCAATAGGCCCTTCGGATCTCAGGGTTTGAGGGATGGTGGAATGACATACGTTAGGTGGCCGAAGTTAGCGGCCCACCCGACCAGCTGATGCCGATAGAATATGGGCAGGAGAATAATAACGTCGTTCAGGTGAGACACCGCTCCAGACACATGGTAGACATCGTTCGTGATGAAAACGTCTCCCTCCTCGATGTGTCCCTTCCAATACTCCAAGAATGATGGAACGAAACTGCCAAACTGGCCAACAAGCATTTTCCCGGCCGCGTTACTGATGACATTGAACTCGTCTTGCTGCTCACGAATAGCAGGTGACATGCTGCAGCGCAGCATAAGGGTATCCATCTCGCGCCTAATGGAAGCCAAGGCAGCCATGACCAGTGTCGGGATGAGAGGCGTCTTCGAAATGAGTACTTTTGCAGTCTCGGGTGTATAGCTTTTCGTGTGAACCTGCGGAGTCAATGAGTCCTCCTGCGGCCATATCAAGATGTTGCCCATCGAGTCGATCTCTCCAAAGAAACCAGGCAGGATGAGCGTATTGGAGTCGGTTTCCGAAATGACACAAGGACCGGGAATTTTCAGCCCTTCCTTTGTCAGGGCAGTACGGTCATAAAGGTATGCCTCAACCTTCTTGCCCTCCACTGTGATGAGCTTTTTGTCTCGTCTTGCAGACTCCAGCGTGGTCGAGTCGTCTGCTGCGCGTTTTCCGCTCGTTCTCGCGATGACCAGGCCTGGGAAAGAGGCATCAACCGTCACAGCCCGCAGCCGCATCAGCTCTAATTCGTATGATGGCATTGAGAAGGTGAACTGCTGTTCGTGGATGATTTCAAATTTCCTTCTTATTGTTGACGCCAGCTCTGCTGTGGTGGCTTCCACTTCAGTTGGGCTGAGATCAACCGTAATCGTCAGAGCTTGACCTTTGTACCGGAGATCTGCCTGGTACGTGGTATCTAGAGGTGTATCGGCTTTGTCCCCCAAAGCCTTGTCGATGACGGAGATACAAGAATCTCGCAGTTTGTAGAGCTCGGCACGCATATCGTCGGCTGTGACGCTTGACAGAAGCTTAATGAAAGGCGATGATAGCTCATGGCTGAGCTTTGTTGTTGCATCTCCTTGCGCGCAGAGGAGCCCTGGAGCATTTGGAATTATCACAGGCCAAGCACCCAGCAGCTTTCCCACAGCGTTGGCATGCAATGGTCCTGCACCCCCAAAAGCAACAAGGGCGAACTCACGAGGATCATAGCCTTGTTCCACTGAGACAAGGCGAAGCGCACCGTACATGGTTTCGTTGACAATGTTGATGATGCCTTCAGCAGCCTCGTCGGCGCTCAATCCCATCTGTCGTGCCAAGTCTTCCACTGCTTGAATGGATGCAGCGACATCGAGCTCAAATGCACCGCCGAGGAGTTTCGGGGGGAGGTATCCCAGGAGAACATTCGCGTCCGTGACCGTCGGTAGTTTGCCACCGTTCCCATAACAAGCAGGGCCAGGCTGGGCCCCTGCGCTTTCTGGACCGACCCGCAAGGTAGACGTCAGCGACACGTAGTCTGCAATCGAGCCACCACCTGCTCCGACGGTTCGAACATCGATAGACGGTGCTCTGACTGTGAGGGACTCGACCAAAGTCTCCCGCCTCAATGCGGGACTCCCATCTCGAATGAGGGCGCAGTCGGTCGAGGTGCCTCCCATGTCGAGCGTTATCAAGTTCTTGTAAGGAGTGTTCTTGGTGATTGTCTGCGTGACGCCAATCACGCCGCCGGCAGGCCCAGACCTGTATCAAATCGTCAGCCTCCACTTGTATCGGGTTCAAGATGGTCACATACATGAGAATATTGACGGGGAACTCTCCGGCTAGATCTGTGCTGGTTAGTTGGCCGTCACTCTTTAGGATCCTGAGAAGTTTTGTATCTTCTGCAAGTTTGTTTTGCAAGTTTCGAAGGTATGTCCTGACCACAGGCTTCATGACAGCGTTGGCCGAGGTTGTCAAAGTCCTTTCATACTCCCCAACTTCAGGAAGGACATCGCTGGAGCAGACAATCTCCACATCGTCACCGAACTCTTCCCTCAGAATTCTGGACACTGCTTTCTCGTTGGCTGGGTTACTGAATGAATTCAATAGACTGACAGAAATCGCCTCCGGCTTCTGTCGCTTGAGCTCCGCAAGAGCCTGGCAGAAAGCCTCGCGATCCACTGGCTTTACGACTTCTCCGCGTATGGATACCCGTTCAGGGCATTGGACAGTCCGCTCAAGTGGTACTATTGGAGGTGGCAGCTTGAAGTTCAGCCAGGCACCCAAGCCGCCTGGTATCTGGGACCGCCGCAGAGCCAGAACGTCTTTGTGACCAGCCGTAACAATGAGCCCAGTCCTGGCCCCTTTCGACTCAATCACTGCGTTGGTAGCTGTACGGATACCTTCAGCAACACATCTTTGGCTCTCTGTTGGAGTATCCACTTACCAACCGTCGTGCCATGGTGAACGCAGTCGAACTGGCCGTCCCACCCATGGGCAAGCTTTAGCTGCTCCCTTACGCTCCGAATCCCATTCTGCACTCCTATGCTTTGATCACTGGGCGTCGATGGGACTTTGGCTCGAAAAGTCTCGCCTGACGCACCAATAACACAGACGTCGGTAAATGTCCCCTGGTTTGCCGTCAGTTCGAACGATTTACTCGATTGGACTCGGGGATGAACTCACTCCTACGTCAACACCTAAGCGGTAGCCTTGCGAAACAGAGATGGACCCCATCGGGAGAACTTCAAGAATGGACAAAGGGAAGGAAGTAACCTTTGGTTGAGGGAACAAAGGAACACTCTGTGCGCGGCAATATATGCTGAAGTCGGTTGATCAGATGCAGCCAGTCTATAGGAGTCAAATGATGGAGCGGAAGCTTGTCCGGCACACAAAGATATACCAAAGTTCTTGAACCGTGGCCTAGTCCTGTTTGACTAGTCGGAACACCACAAAGACAAGGACGTATGAAGGAGAGCCTATCTGCCATGGTCGATATCGTTCCCAGAATCGGGCTCTATGGAGTGAGTCCACACTCTTACGGAACAGCACACCCACCCTGAGTTGCCAGAATGATGCTCTCCGTCACAAACTGTCAAAGATGTCGGGAAGGCCAACTAGACCCTTTATCGCTACGAAAGCGGAGTCCCCTGCTCGAATCTAACTATGATTGATAGCTCTCTGGGCTTAGCCCCTCGCATCTTTCCGACACCAAATTTACAAGCAAGGACCGCGAATTACTCCGCCTGTTCCGTATCCACCTCCGCCAATATCCGTCTTTGTGAAAATGGCTTATCAGGTTCTCCAGCCACGGAGCAAGGATGGAGAGCGACGTGAGTTGGACGTGCTGGGTCGCCCGTGAAAGAGTCCCGCACTATATCGAAAGGAACGGGCGGGTTAGACAGCAACCTCCCCAGGAGGGAAAACAAAAACCACGTTGCTTCTGGCCCGTCACAAAGCTCCCATCCGACAAGCGACCAGGTTGAAGTTGTACAGCTATGTCGATCGTTCGGTCGTCGTCTCGCGATGAGTTAGTGATCCCGGACGCCCTTTTTTGCTTCCCAACTGGGCGAAATGCCTAACTCTCGACAGGTATTCAATCGACCTATCCACGCTTCGCGCCGTGGCCGCAGCCAACAATGTGATACTTCCACCTGGACACGACGAAGAAAGTTACTTGTGGATGTTGAATTCCGTCGATTTCATGTGCAAGCAGGTGCTTGAGCTTCCACCGTACCTGGATCCCAGGCTGATCCCAGTAACCCACAATCGCGAATACTGGCAGCCGACAACAGCGGATAATCCCTTGAATGCGTGGTGTCATCGAGTCAGTATGCTTTTGTTCGTGCAGAGAGCGACGAGGACGGCGGAGGACCATTTCTTACAATGTTTCTCCAGACTCAGATATCGATTAAAACGGACCGAGGGCAACCACTTGTCGGCCGAACTGTCTGCATCAAGGACAATGTGTCCGTTGGCGGTCTTCCCTTGACCCTCGGCACCTCTCCCTCCCTATTCACCGGCGGATCTTACCCCGTGTCGCAGATTGATGCACCTGTTGTCCGCCGCATTTTGGAGGCTGGGGCTACCATCACCGGGACCGCCGTGTGCGAGAATTTTTCACTGGCACCGCAGTCATGTACTTCTGCTTTGGGCCCGGTGGAGAATCCCTGGCTGAGAAGGTACATGTGCGGTGGGAGCACCAGCGGGGGTGCAGCCCTGCTGGGAGTGACCGCCGTCCGGCAATTTCAATCTCGACACGGCATCAAACTCGACGGGGATGACGGACTGGGCGAAGGCGTGGATATGGCGATTGGAGGCGACCAGGGTGGAAGCATCCGCCTGGTAAGTTCACCCCATGCTGAATCGTCTCTCTCTCTCGAGAAGTCCTTTGCTTTCAGCATGGCTTATCGATGGTGTGGGCAAAACAGCCGAGCAGCCTGACAGGAATCTATGGCCTCAAACCCACCCACGGCCTCGTCCCGTACACGGGGATCGCATCTTTACATCCCATGATTGACCATGTGGGACCCATGGCGACGTCGATTTCGGATCTCGCCATCCTCCTCTCCGTGATCGCCGGCTACGACGGCATGGACCCAAGGATGACGCCGGAGAGTCCTCGACGCGAGGACGTGCCGGACTACAAGAAGCAGCTGGACGAGTGGGTGGCCGGGAAGAAAGTCCGAGGGGAATGGCACCTTGGGTCTGCTGCCGCCGGGCTCCGAGTGGGAGTGCTGAAGGAATCTCTGGAGTTCTCCCACATAGACCGACAAGTCAAGTGCATCATTCACGCCGCGGCCGAGCGCTTCTCGCGAGTCGGGGCGTCGGTGAAGGAGGTGTCGGTTCCGCTCCACGTCTTCGGCGGCGCCATCTGGACGGCAGCAACCCGGCCGCAGATGGCCGACTACGGGCTCAAGAGCCAGCTGTCGCCGACTCTGTCGCAGCCGCTTCCCGGCGTCCACCTCAAATCGCCGGGCCAGCAGCACTACGACCTGTTGACCAGGAGCAATCCCAATGTCGTCAACGCGCTCTTCTCGTCCACGTACCTGCAGAGCCTGCCCGACGCAAACCACCACGCCGCAAAGGCGCACCAGCACGTCTGGCAGCTGCGAGCGGCATACGATGCCGCACTGCGAGATTGCGACGTCCTCCTCACCCCGGTCACACACGTTGTGGGCACCAAGCATCGCGACGCCGGGACTGTCGAGGCGATGCTCGAACCAACCATCGGCATGACCTGTAACACGTCCATGTTCAACTGTACCGGCCATCCCGCGCTGGTGGTCCCCGCGGGCAGGGGCCTTGCGCCTGATGGCAAGCTCCCGGTGGGGATGCAGCTTGTGGCGAAGAGATGGGACGAGATCACATTGTTCAAGGCGGCAACGGCGTGGGAGCTTGAGGGATCAGGCTTGGATGTGTGAGAAACCGGCCAAGTGATGACCCGTCTTTGCTGACATGGTCTTCATTTCCAACAGACGTCAATGTGGATTTGGAGGACTGGTCGACGGGCTGGCACTGAAACGGCTGATGGAAAACGGATGGCCATGTTGACACTCTGCGCCCGGTCCCCAATCCCCAATCCCGGCGACCCGGTCACGAGTACTTCTAACTTTACTGTCCTTCTGACATGCGCATCTAAAGTGAATGTTGATACAGCCCAGATCTAGAGGAGTACAAGTAATTACGTATTGAATGTCGTGGCCAGTCTCCTGATGGTGGACCGGCTCCAAGCAAAACTGGAAGGCTCACTGGGTAGGCTTTTCCGTGTGACGGCGACGGAGCTGACGCAGTTCGGCAGCGAGGCCGTCACACAGGTTTCCCTTTTCCAGTCCGAGGCAATCGAGCAGCCAGACGGCGCGCTCGATTTCGTTTTCGAAACAGTGCTCTTTCGACCCCTTGGCGGCCTCCAAGCTGGATATCTCGATCAGCACGAGAGCGGCGGAGAAGAGTCGTTGGATGGTGGTCCAGAATATGGGGAACTTGAACGCCTTGCAGGTGACCTGGATGTTGTCGAACAAGGAAGAGGGGATGGTGCCTTGGTTGTTGATGAACAGCGCCGAGAACGAATCGATCAGCTTTGCCGCTGCCGCCTCGGCCTGGTCCGATGGCACTGCGGTGCCAGATGACGCCCGATAGAGCGAGAGTGTGGCTTCACAGTGGTACAAGGTACCCCAGACCCTCAACTCCTCAACCAGATCCTCGCCGTCGCCCGGATACGTCGGGATATCGGCGATTGTTTTCAGATGCAGCTCCCACGATGCCAGCCACTTGTCCAAGCCTTCTCGACACCGATGAAAGAAGATTATGCTGGCGGAGGACAAAAGCTGGCCGGAGAGCATGCGATCGTGTACCGCGTGGCTTATCAAGGCCAATTTGTACAGAAGATACGTCGTCCACTCGGTGCCGTTGTCGACCGGATAGGAGTTGATGATCTGGAAAGTCTTAGCCGCCCACACAGTCTGGGTATGTTTTGAGACGTTCCCACCTTTGATTCAATACTCAGCTCAGGGAGCTGCATTGGCCGTCCATACGCGATCGACAGGTCACTGGACGCTTGTTAGTGGTCATTATAAACTGGCCGAGACACAACACAGACCATTCGAGACGGAAAATCGTGCAGTATAGGACCCAATCGACCTGGTGTGGAGTCACCATCTCTTGGAAATCCCAACTAAGGTCGAGACATGTCCGCGAAGCGTGGCCCAGTATCCGCCAGGCATTGCCCGCCAAGGGGTCAAGGACCAGATACAGACAGAGCATGACCGAGATCTGAAGACCACATATGCTGGGCTGTTGGATGACCTTGCGCAGCTCCGAGTAGTCAGCCATTGCTGATTGAAAAAAGGCAGTGGATTTCAAGGCCAGGCGCGAGTCTGTCTTGCTCAGCACCCGCGTCGCGAGTGCCAGCATGAGGTAAAAACGGATGTATTCTACTTGCGCGACGGCCGTTGCGCTGGTTTCGGTGAGGCGGATATTTTCAAGGGTAGACTGGACTCTGGCTCTCCTCAGAATGGGGAAAAGCTGTTCGACACTCTGATAGTACACTTCTATTAGTCGATCCGTGGTTGGTCTGTCCGGAATGCCGGGGATGAAGATCAGGGGCTCCTCGTAAAGCCAGGTCTGTGACCAGTTCTGCAACGGAATAGTAGTGAGATCGGAATCCTGGAGATGAATGGTGTTGATGATGGACATCAGGTGAGCAAATGCGCTCAACGGCCCCAGAAACAATGTATTCGTGGTCCCGCCTGAACTTCCAGGGTGAAAGATCACCACGCACGGTTCTGAATTGGGGTTGGAGGGTTTCTGCGACGTTGATGCCGCGGGTTCACCATCAGATACGGGAGATTTCTGTCCAGGATCAGTGTCCATTTCCGCCATCAGTTGGTCGAATCTGTGTTTCAGCATATGGATGCGCCGACCAGCCACGTCCTGCCCCAAGACAGGATCAAAGAACATGCATTCCTTGCCCATCTTGAGACAGTAGGCGCACAGGGGCGTTTGACGGTCACATTTGATTCTCCTCTGTCGGCAATTGACACACGAAGGAAGGCGATTCAACGCGTCCGTCACGTAACGAATTTCAGCTTCCGAGGGCCGTACCGGTTGAGAATGAACTCGACTTCCAAGCTGAAGCTCGGAGAAAGTTCGCGACCTGCCGACCTCCCATCCCGCGGACTCGTGCTGTGACGTGCCGGACCGGGCTGTTGTCGCGGTGACATCTTCAGGAGTCGCAGAACAGGCGTGAAGATTTTGTCGTAAACCCAGATTCAGACGGGGGTTGGATCCGTGAATACTCGGCATGACACTCGGGGATTTGAAAATGCCTCCAGCCAGGGCGGGACTTTTCCTTGCAAAGACCAGGTCCCACAATGTTCGTCCAACATCAAAATGGGATTTGTAAGAGATCCCGGGGAAGGAAAGGTCGATATCGAACACACGCCTCCTCAGGTCTTCGAGACAGTCGCCGCACTGCTTCGCCGCGGGCCAGCGTTCGCCGAGAAAGGAAAAGGCGTCGGATAGGTGCTCCAGAACTGCCAAAGTGTCGGCCAGGTCGTCGCTCTCCTCTCGTTCAAATACATCCGGAGACGAGATGACATTGTATAGAAGAATGATTCCTGCTTCAAAGCAGTTGTGGACGCCGTGCCATATAGACTTGGGCTGTTCCGGCTGCATTGAACTCGAGTACCACGCTGCAAGATGTCCAGCAGTGGTAATGCAATGTCTGATCGCTGCAAGCGATGGTTTGGGATTGACCGGACACGGTCGATGCAGGAGAAATAGTGTGTACCACAAGCTAGGATCATGTTCAATAGACTGTGCCAGGGGGCTGCCGGGACATACTTCATTTCTGCAGGCCCATATCTTGGCTTCCATGCCAGCGACCCAGTCCTCGTACCGGGCAGCACCAAAACCCTGTGTGCAGAATTGGGTCATTGTGATTTCGGATTGGATTCTCTGATATTTCACCGAGGCAAGGAAACGCCCCGTCGGCGTCTGCGGAGAGTCTTCTGGGTTCAAGCAGAGCTCCGGGAGTGGTACTTCTGTTGATGGGAGGGAGACATCAATGTGTGCATCCTTGATCGCAAAGGGGCGGCGGACGGAAGTATTGACGGATCTCTCCGTTGCGTAGACCTGAGAACAAATGTATCAACAATCACCAGCGATGGGTTTAGGTTCCTCTTACAAGCCAAAACAGCCTCCGACGAAAGTCAGCATAGCGCTCATCACACAACAAGGATAGGCGTGGTTCCTTATGCAGCCCTGCTGAGACCGTAACCCTCATGGCGTCTGATACCAGGTGTACCATATTTCCAGTGTGCGGAAGCAAAAACCCCAGCTGGGTGAGTAGGAGGATACACTGGAGTGACTGGATATTGGTGCCAGACAAGCATTCAGAGAATTGAAGAGCCTCTGTGTAGAGTGATTCAGCAAGAGCTGCTGGCCGGCGGGTATCTGGAGCCTTTGACGTTAAGGTGGTGATGGCGAACACCATAAGCAGGATGAAGATGCTGGAGGAATTCTGGGGTCCAGAGAAGTCCACACAGCTGTATGTCTGATGAAAGATGTTTCGCAAATCTTCCTCGAGAAAGATCGGTTGCAGGGGCAAGACCTTCTTGAGGTACACGTCGAGAAGCATCTCGGCGACCGCGACCGGGATAGCATCGAGCCCCGTGCCTGTCGTGCTAAACGTTGACCTGACCGCACGACTCCTCACGAGATGCGAGCAAGGGCTCGGGAGATCTGATTCCTTGATCAAGATATCCTCAAACAGCAGTGATCCCTGATCTCGCAGGGCTTTGTTGCTAATAGGACTGAGAAATCTCGTCGTCGCTCGCAGGACATGGGCGCGTGTTGTCAGCACGGCATCGACAGCGCTGTAGGTTTCGAGCTCAGACGTGATACTGTGACAATCACCTGGAGATTGGCTGAGTGTGGAACTACTCTGTTCATTTCGAGAGCGTCCCAGATGAGTTTCCAAGCGGAAAATGGTCTGTTCGAGGAATGATACAAGGCTGACGGGCATCAGAAGGTCAGCATCGTCACTGCTACCGAAAAAGCGCAGAGTTCATTTCTTACCTACGAGGAACCTCTGCCTCTGAGCTTCGATCTGCACTGAAGCACTGAGCTCCAGCCTCTTGACAGGCACCGCAAGTTGGGTATCTGGCATCACATTTTTTCTTTCTCTTGTAGCATCGTGCACATGAAAATGGCTGCCTCCTCCTCGTGGTGGCAATCTTACTGTTCTCCATTTGCTATGAAACGTTCACAATGCACCATGCAGCTCAATTATGGGACCGATATGTTGTGGCACAATCTCAGGCGTATTTGCAAGCCTGTGGTGACAGACAGTCCAAACTATCAGGGAGAAACCTCTCGTCGGAATAAAGCGTCCTCCAGAACTTTATTATCAAATCCATCAGTAAAGTTGAAGCGCGGCACAGCGATAAGAGAATAAAAGGGGGGTTAAGCACAGGCAGCTGTGCCTTTTCGGGCGAATACAAGTGCCCAGCAGCTCCAATAGCTTGTTTCGATAGATAGCTTTGGCAGAAGCCAATCTTACGTACAACCAAAATGGATGAAAGCCTAGACAGATACTCGACACAATATAACACCATATTTTCTATATTTCCAGATTAGGATGATCGTCATCAACGGGTATGCGTATTCTAATTCGCGAGATTCGCTACCGACCGAGAGGCAGGAGGGCATCACCCACTGGACGTAAGAAACCACACAAGCACGTCCAGCTGGCGGACGTTTCCGACAGCCAAATGCGTTCTCGTGCCGTGCCCGCGGAGAGTGTCGGACTTACAAAAGGGCGCAAGCAGGAGCGAGAGGCGGCCTTGCTGCGATATTGGGGCCATACGGCACTCAGACCGAACGTTAGAAAAGTGCCTTACCCAGTTATCTCGATGAGCCAACCTTACAATGGTGAATAAACAACCCGGCGTGGCAGTGCAAAGCCGGACAGACTAGCAAGCCTTTGTTGTCGTCAATGGTCATTTTCTCTCTTGTTGCCGGACCAGTGCCTCTACGAAACTCGCGATTTCGCAACCCTATCGGCAAAGCAACATGCTGGGCAAGGAGAGCATCTGCATACCGGAGGCGCGAATTCAAGAGATCGACACACCAAGCTCGCCTCGTCAGTCCATTCTGAACGGCCAACCCTCAATTCACCAGGACTGTGCACTCGACAGAACTGCGAGCGTGATCCCAAAACCACCATTTATAGATCGAGGCATTACGACATGGATGCAGGCGGTCGCTGCATTCCTCGTCGTCTTCAGTACTCAAGGATATTTCAATTCTTTTGGTGTCTATCAATCATATTACAGCATTCAATTTAAAAGCCTTGCAGCGTCGACCATCTCCTGGATCGGGTCTATCCAGGTCTGGCTTGTCTTCTTCTTGGGAGCATTTTCTGGACGGGCCGTGGATACAGGCTACTTCCGACCAGTCTTCTTAGCGGGGATGGCTTTGCAGATTGGCGGTATCATGCTGACCAGCTTCGCCCGGCAGTTTTGGCAAATACTGCTCACTCATGGAATCCTCACTGGTTTTGGCAGTGGCCTGATGTTCGGGCCTACCTTGACCGTTCTCTCGACATATTTCTCGGCAAAACGTTCGATAGCATTCGGCATAGCTACGTGCGGTGGTGCATTGGGCGGAGTTGTTTTTCCAGTGATCGTCCAAACATTGATCCCTCGAATCGGATTACCCTGGACTGTGCGGGTGGCAGGTATCACAATGCTGTGCTGCTTGGGGACGGCGCTGGCGCTACTACGACCCCTCGTTGGACGGCATAATGCATCTCGACACTTTTCTTTGCACGCTTTAAGAGATCTCCGGTGGCTCTTTTTCATATGGTCTGCATTTTTCTGTTTCTGGGCATTGTATTTCGGCTACTACCACGTCAGTCCAACCCTACAGCCCCTTTCGAAATTCAATCGTTGACTTTGAGATATCAGATATCATTGTATGCTCGGGAGGAGCTGAAACTCTCCTTTCAGCAGAGCGCGGTAATGACTGCAATATTGAACGCAACTGGAATCCCAGTGAGAATATTGGTGGCATATCTTGCCGACCGCTTTTTTGGGGCGCTCGGGATATTCGCTCCTTGCCTGTGCGCGGCATCTATAGTCCTTTATTCTTGGACAAGTATCGGTGATAGCGCTTCACACATCTACGCTATTACGGTGGCCTTCGGCATGGCAGCCGGAGGCATTCAGACTCTCTTTCTTGCAGCAGCATCATCTTTCGTCCACGATCCTAGCACCGCTGGTGTCCGACTAGGCATCGTGAACACTACGATTTCCTTCGCTGCGCTAACAGGCCCACCACTCGGAGGAGCACTCATTGACCTTGCGGGGGGAAACTATATAGCAGGCGAAATGTGGGCGGCTTCGTCGATGATATTTAGCTTTTGCATATGCCTGCTCGCGATATTCAAAAAGTCTAGCTGATCGATAGTGTGGTCGAATCTGCACTATTATATCGCTGCATTTCAGTACTATATCTTAATATATAGTGTCGGCTTATGTTGCACGAACAACACTTGAGCGAGATCATAAGTTGGTCTGTCTATCCGTGCTTAGTCGTCTTGGAAGTTGCCATCAGGCTGGCCGCGGCTATACCATGGCGGAGCCGACGTCAACGCCGTGAACACGAGTTGAACTCTATGGCTGCCAACGCCCATCATAATTTGAAGTATGAATACATACTCTGATAACCTACACCATCAACAAGACGGATCACGGTGGTCATAGCTCACGACCATGTTCGTAGACCCAGGTCAACTCGAGGAGGCGGTAAAGGTGCTTCGCGAAGCATGATCTCAGCGATGAACAATCCCGCGTCCACTTTCAGAGAGTAAGGTCAGCTGGACACGGTAATAGCACTACTGGAGGCTGCTATAGCAAATAAATACATAGAGATGAAATACCCCTTCAAGTAGGTATGTGAGGGTGGTTTCAAGAAATCTTGCTGCTTAGTGAGGAACCGGTGCGGGCGGGCGCGAAACGGAGGTGCGCCGAGGCTGAGTGCAGGGCGGCATCGCGTTCGTCCGAATCCAGGGTCTTGGCATATCTGTCTCTATTACTCTCCTGACCTCTACTTTTTCTTAGAACCCAGAGCAATTCGGACGCCAACCACAGGAAGATGGACCCGACCTTAGAGGACTTTAAGAGACGAAAAGAACCTATCAGATCTCCCAGAGGGTAAGAATGTAATCGCCCTGCTTCGATCTCCCACTGACGCTCCTAAGAGCTAGAGGTCAGCAAACTCCTCGACCTGCTCCGACCAAGTTCTTCCTGCCTCTGAATATCGCCTTTTATGTTTGCTTCGCTTCGCATCTCCTAGCGGCATTGTATGCCCCGATCCAGGACTGCGATGAGACCTTCAACTATTGGGAACCACTGCATTACTTAAACCATGGTTACGGGCTTCAGACATGGGAGTACTCTCCAGAATTCAGCATTCGGAGCTGGGCATATATCGGTCTACACGCCCTCCCCGCAAAGATCGCCGGCTTTTTTGGCGGGTCGAAGACGTTCGAATTCTATGCCCTGCGTATCGTGTTGGCATTTATCTGCGCGGCGACTGAGGTCCGTCTTTATTCAGCCACAAGTCGGACCATCAATCCAAGGATCGGCGTCATCTACCTCATGATTGTTGCTTTCTCCCCCGGGTTTTTCTACGCCTCTTCTGCATTTTTGCCATCTAGCTTTGCCATGTACACGTCTGCCTTAGGTCTGACATGTTTTATGGATTGGCACGGAGGTTCTAAAATAGCCGCAGGCATCATGTGGTTTGGAATCGGTGCTCTGCTCGGATGGCCGTTCTCAGGCGCTTTGATTATTCCATTCGTCGTCGAAGAATGGCTCATGGCGGTGGTAGGGCAAGCAGATCTTTTTGAGACTTTCAGACGGTTCCTGGACGGTGGCGTACGGTGCTTGGTAGTTCTGGCTCTTCAGATCAGCATCGACACATTCTTTTACCACAAGATCGCGGTGGTGCCTTGGCGTATCGTCGCCTACAATGTCTTCAGCGGCAAGGATCGTGGTCCTGACATATTTGGGACGGAACCATGGGATTACTACCTGAGGAATCTGCTCCTGAACTTCAACATGTGGTTTATCCTTGCAGCAATTTCAGGACCGCTCGTCCTGTTCCAGTCGGTTATCCTGCGCCAATATCCCACCAAACAAACACTTCTCAGGACACTTACCTTCCTCTCTCCGTTCTATTTGTGGCTGGTCATTTTCACCATTCAACCCCACAAGGAGGAAAGGTTCATGTTTCCTGCTTACCCTTTCCTCGCGTTGAATGCCGCTATCGCATTCCACTCCCTGTTGGCATGGATCGGATCCACGGATTCGTTCATTTTTGGGAAAATCCCGACAAAGCTCAAACTAGCCGCCATTTTGCCGATTGTGCTCCTCGCCATCAACACCGGGCTGCTGCGTATCGTGGGTACAATGACCGCGTATAGGGCCCCGTTGCGGATCTACGACAGTCTCAACGCGTCAAACCTGACGCAGGAAGACAATACCGTCTGCTTCGGCAAGGATTGGTATCGCTTTCCATCCTCGCATTTTCTCCCCGACGGTATCCATGCGAAATTTATCAAGAGTGAATTCGACGGTCTCTTACCTGGAGACTTTCACGAGGGCAAGACTGGGTTTGGGTTCTTTCCGGGAACGTGGTTGATACCGCCTGGAATGAACGATCGAAACGAAGAAGATCCTGCAAAATATATCGATGTCCAGCATTGCACGTTCTTAGTTGACTCCTACATGCCCGGCATGCAGGCTACCGAGCACGAACCACTGTATATTCTGGACGAAGAGCATTGGGAGAGGATGGCGTGCGCACCGTTCTTGGACGCTTCGCGAACTGGAACACTTGCTAGGACGATCTGGATTCCCGAATTACCATTCATTCCTCCCAGATATCGGCGGCATTGGGGTGAACACTGCCTGCTGCGCCGAAGGAAGGCATGAGAGGGAGGAATTATCCAGGGGCCGCGCATTTCTCGAAATAACCTAGACATGGGCGGTGCCCGGATATTTACCTGCAACGATCCAGTTCAGGGAGACCCACGGCCATGTCCGCCACGCTGGGAGTCAAGTCAGGAGATCGCGGTGGGCTGCCGCATTCCACACTCTGTCCCTGGGGTCAAGACGCGCCATTCCCAAAAGGGTATATTTGTCCAGTATCGAGGAGGCGAGGTGATTGGACGACACCAACCACAGGCCATTGACATCAGAGGTCAATGATAAGAATCCGAGTGGGCGGCAAGGTGCCCATGCGATAACAGCACCGCTCGTTTGGATGTTTGGCGCGCTCTGGGGGGCAGGGAACGCTTCTGGCCTCGGCGGATCAGCACGTCGAATCCAGACATTGATTCCATTTCTAAAAGTTCATATACCTGCCGGGGGCGTTTTTGATTTCGTTTTCGGGGTTGAAGTCTGCCCGTTTGCTTTGCTGGTTCTACAGGGCCATCTCTCCTGCTACAGCCACCATGGACTCGGAATCCCTCAGGCAGAAGCTCTCGGACCTCATTGCCCGGTCACAGCCGTACATAGAGCAAGCGAGTGCCCATATACAGCCATACGTTGAACAAGCCAACGACCATTTTCAGAAATCCAAACACCATTGCTCCTCGATTCTCAAATCGGCACAATCCGACCTGCAGTCATTGTCACAAAAGCCCCATTTCAAGGAAGTCCTCTATGGCCTGACGCTATTTGTGTTCCTCGCCTTTGCTCTCAGCCGTTACATCTCATCGCGCCGCTCTCGCTACCTGACCGGTGCCTCTCGCCCATCAACCCCGCCGACACCACAGCTCGAAAAGGCCACTTACAGCAAGGGCGCCAACGCCGCTCAAGCCCGCAAACCCGGAACATGGATCCCGTCCGACTTCCAACGCCCTAAGCCACCGGCGTACGAAAACTGGTCCATCGAGCACACGAAGCCTCTGCCGTACCGCCCCTTCCGCTACGGGCCCAAGTACTTTGTCACGATGGGTCTCCGCAACGTGAAGTGGGACGACTGGATCGAGCTGGACAACCACTTCCCGCGGTACCACGCGGACAAGACGCGCCGGATCCTGGAGCGCGGGCACAAATGCTGCAAGACGGCGCCCGAGGCGCTGCCGGCGGCGCTCGAACTGCTGGAAGAACTCCGCTCGTACCTGCCGGACCGGTACCCGACGCTGTACCAGCGCACGGAGAAGGGGATCAAGAACCTGTGGTCGGGCGAGGAGCTGGACACGACGTCGCGGCCGCTGCCGGAGGACCCGATGCAGACGGCGGCGCGGCTGGTGCAGGACGACCTGGCGATCATGATCGAGGGCGCGGACGGGCAGTACTACCTGCTGGCGGGGGCGATCCTGCTGCCGGGCTTCTGGCGGCTGGAGGACAAGTACGGGATGCCGCTGTCGGAGATCCACACGAGCGGCGACGTGCCGCAGTTCAAGGAGAAGCTGGAGAAGGGCATGATGAACTTCTTCCGCCGGCTCAAGCCCGAGGAGCTGGTCGCGCGCAACAACTACTTCCTGCAGGTCGACGACGACCTGGCCTGGTCGTACTCGATCGGCAGCGAGGACAACCCGCACATCAGCTGGAACACGGCCGAGAAGAACCGCGCCGTCGAGCACCACTTCTTCCGCTCCGAGCGCCAGACCCTGCGCCGCCTGCCCCGCTCCGGCGGCGTCGTCTTCACCATCCGCACCTACTTCCACCCCGTCACCGACATCGCCGACGAGGACTACGTGCCCGGCCGCCTGGCCAGCGCCGTCCGCAGCTGGGGCGACGACGTCTCCCGCTACAAGGGCAAGGAAAAGTACGAGGCCGTCCTGCTCGAGTACCTCGACAAGAAGCACCAGGAACAGCTGGACCGCGGCCTAAAAGTGGACGAGGAGGACGAGAGGAGGAGTTATCCTTGGTGATGGATGAGCCGACACCAATAAGCCTGCCTTTTTACATAGCACGCAATTTCTTAGCGGTATATATCGGTCCATCTTCAAGAGTGGCTTCTGATGGCCTCTTACCAAAAAAAAGGATAACTATGCCAAGTTGAATGCTGTCAGAAATATTGCAAGTAATCCGCTCTCTGTGAAACTTGTTGGTGAATTTCATGTTCACAGGGCCTTTCCAAAGTCATGATCTCACGTCGATGCCAGCTTTGGGGAGCATGGCTCAAACACACACTGGGCCACCAGTTCATTCCTCGAATTTCTGGGAAGCACGTCGCGATATACGCCATATTCCTGTATCGCTACCTCTCACTCAGATCAAACTCCTCCTGCCCACTCCTGCTTGTCCCTCGTCGAGTTCTTCCTTCAGCCTCCTCCGTTCCCGGGCTTCTTTGACCATGTTCTCGTCCCGCTCTTTGATCCAGGCGCACTCATCTCGAAACTCGCAAATGCGACACTTCCAGGCATCCATGACTCCCACGCCACGCGGCTCCCGCTCGCCCTTCCAGAAAGCTAAAGATGAGTAGAGGGAAGAGGTGAGGAACGCGGGGTTGAAGAGGATGGATTTGCTTCCTAGGATGTGCGATTGAGCTTCTGCGCTGCCGTGGTGCTTGTAATTTGTGGAAATGTAACGTGCTGTGAGGATAGGGGAGAGTCGTGTTGGTTGAGACGGCGGCGTAGCAAGGGCTGAGAGGGAGGAAGGTGGTGGAACACTAGCATCTTGATTTCGATCAAAAGAGTTGGTAATAGGCGGAGCAGGCGCAGAAGTCGAACTCGAAGGGATGATGAACGTCATTCGATACTGCTCCATCATGAAATCCCACAAACTAGCCAAGGTGTTGTGCTGAAGAAGAATATCCATGGAGTCCTGCGTCGATGGCGGCAGTTCCTGCCTGACATCGTCACTCTGTTGTGATAATTCAAAGACTTCTTGGTTCAACCCCCCAATTTGCGCAATAAACGCGTCAGAGAATGTCTCGTGGATGTCAAACTTATACCTCTCCGCCAGCTGGGAGAGGGGGAATTGTCCCTGTGCCATATTTTCCAGCATGTGATGGTAGAGGTGCAGTTGGACTAGGGTCGGTCGAATGGCTGACCCTGTAGGTAGAGTGGGAGTGCCTCGTGTCTTCACGTCGATGATGTAGATTCTCCTCTCGTCGTCTTGCTCTGACTCCCTTGTCCTGCGCGCAGTAGACCTGCTACCGGTCTCTCTGCCGACATCGTTGCCGTCCCTCAGAGCCTCCGACAGCGACTGGCCCTGATGTCGTGTCTCGTTCGTCACAAGGTAGTCCCGAATACTGGCCTGATATTCTGGTGGCGGAGGCTCAACATCCTCCTTTTCCAGCAGACTTCGACTCATGTCCTCGAGCTTGGGGTCAGGGCATTCATAGCTCAACTCGTCAATGACTCCGTTGACGAGCTCCCCGCCGACTGATCCCCAGATCTCCAACTCCCTCGTTTTTCCCTTCTCTCTGAGCGTCTTTAACCCTTGAATGATGTTCCATATTCGAAGTCCCCAACTGTCTTCCCTCTTGGTGACCTCCACAGGGACGGTGACGTGTATCTCATCTTCCAATGCCTGGTGGACAGCACTGCCTTGTTTCATTGCTGGTGTCCGCCTTTTCCGGCCGTGTTTGGTCAAGACATAGTAATACTGTAGCTCGCACCATGCGGGAGAGATCAGGTCGGTGACGGAGAGGGCTTTCATGGGGGGTTTACGGAACCGTTCCAGGGGAGAGCGAGTGTCTGACTTGGAGGGTTGCTGTTGCAGCTGAGCATCTTCTTTGGCTTGCGTAGGTCGTGGAGATGCCTCCTTTTTCGTCCTTACATCCTCTTCATGGGCAGAAGATGGTCTCTGTGATGCTGGGCGCTGGTTAGCCTGTCAGCGACCAAAGAAATGGGAGTGGTTTGCGCAGGACTTACGATTTTGGTCGCATACGTTCTCGACCAGGAAGCCCTCAACAGACCGAGTCTCGAGGTTCCATTGACGTGTTGCCTCGAGACCAAGCACTTTAGGCAGGCGAATGCCTCGAGGTGCTTCATAGTCTTCAATATCTGTTACGACCAGGGGCGCACGTTTCTGTTCCTGCCTCGATTTGCCCACGGCTTCGAGGAGGAGTTGGTCGATTATTTCGAGCGCTTCAGGATCTTCCCCAAAGTCGCTGTACTCGTCTGTGTCTTCATGGTTCGGCGAGCGCGTCGTGCTCTCCGTGTCAGCCAGGTCGAATTGCATAAAGACATTGTGCTGTTGGGTCGACATTGTCGGTTGTTGAAAGTGGCCTGCTAGTGGGTTTGTAGCCGTCATGATGCATTGACCGGCTGTGACGACTCGCACAACGTGAAGGCAAAACCAGAACAATTGCTCCATCCATCTTCTCGTCTAATTGTGACAGATATATGCCTCGACATTCTGCTTGCTTGTTTCAATTCTTGCCGGCTGACTCGCGTTGGAGGGCACTTCTGCCTGCTCGCAGGCGCGCTTTCGGGTTGCTCCTGACGCGTCGTGGGGTCTAGACAACACGACCAAAGGGTGGAGGAGATCCAATCGATGGGACGTTGCCATGTTTCTGTTTTCTGTTCTATAATCTAACCTGCCAGTGCTGCCTGTATGCCCTCTATTATGGGACACAGTCTATCAAAGGCTTGTCAAGCATCCTTTGGCCCTCGAATACACCCATTCACCCAGCCATAGATCTGCCCGCGACGGAGCGGTATTCGTGAAACAGGGTAGCCAACTCTCCCCTAGATGCAGCAGATCTCCTCTTTCCAATCAATTGCTCTCTTAAAGTCGCTGCAGAGTCATTTTAAACATAGACTTGTGCGTCTAGGCCATCCTTGAAGCAGCCTTACTTCGCCACCATGCTTTCCTTTAGCACTGGCCTGCTCAGAGTATCAATCTGCGCCTCAATCTTCTCTTCTTTGCGATTGAGGAAGCTCAGATAGCATTGCCACGCGACGGCAAAGATCCCCGAAAACATGAACCGGTATTGAGGCGGAACAAAGGCAAATGAGAAGGCAGTCACGGCAGGCCACAATTTCAGAGAATTAAGCATGCTGACTGGGACCGCAGCCTGAATGCGCATGATGATGCCCGTCGCATGCTCGCCAGTCAGGAGGGCTTGCATGCCGAAGAAGTATGTGTTGAAGACAGGAGTAAAGACAATTTGGTTTACGGCAACCTTTGTCGCGATCGAGGTGAATTTCGACGGGTAATTGAAGCTCTGACCTAGGAACAGGAACCTGGACGTCTCTGATATTAGCTGTTGTCTCGTGTGTTCCATCTCCTTGCATGCTATGCCGGCATTCTTCTGACAGAGAAGAGGACCATGTGTTCGTCCATCAGAATGGGATTTCGTACCACTTGTAACCCGGTATCGCTGCAAGGGCTCCAATTGTCAACATCCTCAGCGTTCGCCATGGATTGTACAATTCCCCTCCTATGTCCTGTGCCAGAATATCACCGCAAAGGTAGGTCGTCAAGGTCGTGCATAGTTGCACGGTGTAGGGCCGCTTCAACTGGGTGCGATGGAACCACTGAAAGAATGTAGACACTGGTCCCAGGCGATGATACCACAGCTGTATGGGGATATCGACAGGATCAACGGGCTTCGCAGTCTCGCCGACGGGCACTTCATGGAGGGAGTGTGGAGGGAGTTTGCTTTGCGACGTTGGCGGCGGACTTGTTGAGTCTTTCACAGGACTTGAGCTGGTCGAGCTTCGCTGCGCATGGTGTTTGAGTCGGGCTCGTGAACCGGGCACTCGTGCCCGGAACCACGGCGATCTGGCACTGAAATTGAGCGCTGCCCGATGCAAAGGGTGCATTATTGACGGAAGGCCATGATGAAGAGAATTGTCAGCAACCTCAACAAGAAGTATCTCCCATACACATCTGCAAGATGGTTCCTATATCGGCGGACAGAATTTGCCGTAGTTGCATTCGGGTCCACTGATTGCGTGCCCCGATGGCGCCGCGGCAGACCCCCGATGCATGCCATTATAGGCGCCCATTGCCCTGGATCGTCCTCCTACCACCCGAACAGACACTCTGGAAACTCAGTCTGCGATGAACACCTACACCTGTCGCGACAAAACAGAAACAATAAAATACTTGCTACTGGGATGGAATTGATGAATCACAAGCTGATGTTTTCATGTGTTAACCTGAATCGCATTCAGATTCTATCTGGTTGATGCAGCGCATTCTGCTGTGTCCATGTCATAGTCGTGATGACTGGTATGATGCTGCGTGATGTACAAGCACGAGCAGAAGCAGAAGACGCCAGAAGTCCCCATAACCACCCGTGATCAATGTTGTGAAAACCAATACAAGCCCCTATGAATTCATTCCGTTTCGCCTTGTGTCAACTCATGAAACCCCCCCATACTCAAATCATGACCATGATCAACGCTCCCAACCTGCCAGGTGACTGTTGATTGAGGTGTTGCAAGTTTCAGCCTATCGTCTAGGATCGCTCACCACGGAGGCGACGAGCAAGCTGGATGTCCTTGGACTGGATGGTGACACGCTTGGCGTGGATGGCGCACAGGTTGGTGTCCTCAAAGAGAGAGACGAGGTAGGCCTCAACGGACTCTTGAAGAGCACCGATGGCAGATGACTGGAAGCGCAGGTCGGACTTGAAGTCTTGAGCGATTTCACGGACAAGACGTTGGAAGGGAAGTTTGCTGGTCAAGGTATTAGCTGATGTTTTTTGGGGCTGCTGTACTTGCAGGGTTGTTTGTAACATACCGGATGAGCAACTCAGTGGACTTCTGGTAGCGACGGATCTCACGGAGAGCGACGGTACCAGGCTTATATCTGTGAGGCTTCTTGACACCACCAGTGCTGGGTGCAGACTTGCGAGCGGCCTTGGAGGCGAGCTGCTTTCTTGGGGCCTTGCCACCTATGAGACGAGTCAGCGATGATGTTGTGAGGCGACAATGAGGTGAACAAGGCTCTTACCAGTGGACTTGCGAGCAGTTTGCTTGGTACGAGCCATGGCGATGGATTGTTAGATGGAAGATTGATGGATTGTTGATGAATTGGAAGATTGGCTGAAAACTGGAGATGATGAGTGAGGCTGGATGGGGAAGAAAAGCTAAGTGGACAAAGTGGGTGGGAGCGAGGTATTTGTAGGGAGGAAGGGGTGAAAGGCAGACGCTTGGCGTGATCTGATGTGCGGCTGCGGGATGATTTCACCAACGCGACCAAATGACTCAAGGCAGCGGCAGTGAAAACAAAGTGATCAGATCAGGGCTGCCAAAACCCCCATGATTCTGCTGGCCATTTTGCTGGTGATTCAGAACTGCGCCAAAATTGGCTTCTGATCCCGCCGCTTGGCGTACCACATCAAGATCTGGACCGCTGCCCTGCAACACTGCACACCCCCGCCATCACGCCCAACACCTGATCATAATTGATGTGTTTTGGATAAACTTGATCGCTACGTGATACAGTGCAATCTATCTGAAAGATCAATTGATTCATGCTGTTGTGGTGGAGAGATCAGTCAATCAGTGTCGCAGCAGAGGCGCCGTGGGCGGGTGAGGGCAGTTCTCGGATCTGAATTCTGATTGGCTGTGATCCGAGCTGCGCCGGGTTGATCTCAAGGGTGCGCAACAGGCACTGCCGGGGTGCATAAGTCTCACCCCCACCCGCGCCTTTTCCAACCAAGTCTTTCTCTCCCCATCCATCCATTCAGTTACCACAACTTCAAAGCCATCTTCTCATACTACCACACTCTTCCAATCTCTTCAACCAACTTCATCCCTTCATCAATATGACTGGACGCGGCAAAGGCGGCAAGGGTCTCGGCAAGGGCGGTGCCAAACGCCACCGAAAGATTCTTCGTGACAACATCCAAGGTATCACCAAGCCCGCCATTCGACGTCTCGCTCGTCGTGGTGGTGTCAAGCGTATCTCGGCCATGATCTACGAAGAGACCCGTGGTGTCCTCAAGACCTTCCTGGAAGGTGTCATCCGTGACGCTGTCACATACACTGAACAGTGAGTGTTGTCCACGAAGCATTTGATTCCTGCCTCATGCTAACAATCTCTCCAGCGCCAAACGAAAGACTGTCACCTCGCTGGATGTTGTCTACGCTCTCAAGAGACAAGGCCGCACTCTCTACGGTTCGACTCACTCACTCTCTGGTCTCGGACAAATGCTAACAGTCTCTAGGCTTCGGTGGTTAAGCGCTTCATCAATCATACTCCTACTTGTTACGACACTGCCTTGGGTTTCTCGTGTCTGTCATGGTTCATGACGCGCCACCCAATCCTTTTTTGCTTTGAGTTTCGGAGTGGTTGGGCATTCAAATGGGTTTTGATCAATGGGGTTGTGTAAGGGTCATGGTTATGATGGGATGGCAAATCAATCAGTGGTGCCTTCAGTGCAATGATGTATCATACAGGCACAATATGAGCAGCCTGCTTCGGCGTTCGACAGATGGGCTGAGCCATGACATAAGCATCAGCACCCAGACATGAAATAAACACTTCAAAGCATTGTGTTCCAGTAACTCTTTTTTGGTCTTCTGTCTCTTTCCCTTGTCTCGCGGCGTTCATCCTGGCTGTTGCCAGCTGCTCGGCGGTCTCTGATTGCGCGGGCCTGGGGCCTGGGGCTTAGCTGTTCCAGGCAGCATCCTCTGTTCTTCAACCTGTCCGTCCTTGTTCCATGTGCACCCTTGGAGTGCAACCAGTCCTTCAGAGAAACTATCGTGGCATGTCCATGTGAGTCATTGCCCAGTGGCCACGACATCCAAAACACCAACCATATTTTACGCGTCATCGTGACGGAAACATATCGCGGTCCGGAGATCGATGGTGCTAGAGGAGCGCGCAATCCCGACGGACCGACTAGATGAAGCTGAAGGGTGTCGCCTTTCTTGGAGTTCTTGACTCACGTTCCCTGGTAATTGATAAAGATTGTGTCCGTTGCCTCCATGGCTCATCCCATGAACGAAGCGCTGGTTCTAGCGGAGGAGAACCAACACATATGTGCGGCGTCTGCTGCGAGGATACTTGCACCGAGGGCACTCCTTGTTCCGGGGATCCAGACCCGTGCTCCGGAGGATGCAGGCGCACTTGGGTCTCCTCCATCTAGGCATTGGGCTCCTTTGTCGACGAGACTCGGTAGTCGGCCCATCGATCCGAGGATGTTGGGGAGACTGGGTTTTGGCGGTGTATATGGGTAATCCTCTGCAAATAGATGCATTTGGGGCGCGGCGAAAGTATCTTCTTGGAGTCTGTATATGCTCGCTCGCTCAAGTTTCGCTGTTCCGGCTACATGATTCTCGTCTTTGCCCGGAGGCTTGCTGCGATGACGCCCGTGCTGTAGTGCTCGTAGGATTCCATACAGCTGCTGGGTTGTGGCGGGGTGGTTAGCTTTGGTGACGGGGCACTCTGTACGAGTCACTCGGGCCTTTCACCCTTGCATGTCGCGGCTTTACTACAGCATCTCGAAAAAGGAAGCACGATTACGAAGTATGGAGGCTTGTAGGTGAGAGGGCGGGGACAGGAGTAAAGGTGTTGGGTGTCTGTGGGTAGTGCTGGTTGTCGGCTCTGTTGGTGTGCATGGTCTGAATATATTTACGAGCCGAATGTAGAAAATTAATTCCTGCAAAGCCGGACCACCGTGAACCTCCACGCCTACACATTTTCGCCGACTCTAACCACACTTAAATTATCCCAGGTCCAAGGACAATGCTATCTAATACACCATGAAGATCGAAACGAGGGAAATGAGCAACCTCGATGCATCCTCTGTGAGCGATTCTATCAACCATGCCCAGCCGTCCGACATCTCGCCGAGGCCGTCCCCATCGACCATCTTCATCGCTCTCTTACTACGACGAGACAAATCAATCGAATCTGGGCTGTCAAAGTTGCCTCCTCCAGTAGTGTGCCGGCTGTGTTCCATGTCGAAATGAGACAAGGGCATCGGTAATGCCTCGTAGATAGACTGACCGTGGATGTTAATGCTGTACACATGGTCAGCCTCGCAGCGAAGCCGCCCGTGAGAGCCACGCAGACAATCACATCATCCCTTCCATTGGTAATTCAGGCGATAAACATTCCGCCTGACTCAGATTTCTCCGCGTCCTATCACCTGCACAGGTCGTTTCGAGGGCCGCATCGGCATGTTGGTTGCAAGGCAGCGGGCAAGGCTGAGCCTCTTCGAACCGCATCTCACTAGCTTACGATGTCGATTAGGTCTCGTGGAGGTGCAGAGACTCGCTCGTAGCATGGGTTGAGTAGATTTACAAGATGCGAAAAGCCCGATTGGAACTATCTGTCCGACGACTTTTCTCAATGGCAACGGCGGAGTGTGGCCTGCACCCTGTAAAATGCTGATTACTGCCACGCCGACCAGCTTGGAGATCAATCGGGACCGTAGTACACCTCTGAAAACTCAGCCGGAGTCATCGGCATTAGATTGGAGAATGCTGCAGGTGTGCCACTCAAAGGAGGCATCAACAGTGCGCAAGGGCTGCGCAGAAAGGAAATCCAGAGCGAAGTCGAATACGAGCCTGCAGCGACCATTTAGGCCGAAACTACGATGCCCTGTGAGCGAGACGAAGCAAAATCAGTAGTTACCCGACGAGTAGGTATGGAACCCCCTACGATGACTCGAGGCAATTCGACAACTTATCCCAAGAGACGTGATGCGGTCCTTTCAGAAGTGACGGCGGGGTCGCTTCTCAGCATCACCCACCACCAAAGCGACTTTTGACATACCGTCTATCCTGTCGCTGCTTTGCAAAACTCCATCAACTAGCTTCTCATGCTAAGCCTCCGATATGGCACAATCATGGCCCGCGAAACGGAACCCGACAGTTAAGTATGGATGGGGCCAATTCTAAGAAATATCACACCATCAGCCCCAGCCTCACAACATACCAGCTGACAATACCATGCGAGTTGCTGTCAAACCCAGAATTCAATCAATGATGCAGGCCAGAAAAACAGCGACACCGTCTCGAGGCACCAAGGATGTTTGCTGCCCCAGACACCGCGAGTCGCAATGCGGAACGTGTTCAGCTAGGTTCTTGGGAGCCTCGTTTCCGTTTTCCAACTCGGGGAGGCTGACACAGACGTGTGTTGTCTATGCATGACTCGGTATCCGTAGATCCCAGCTGAGCCATACTGGCGAATAGATAGCTGCGCCGGAAACGGCGACTCTCACCTCCATTCTTCGACGACAAACCTGGACACCCGCAGAACCATGCGAGCTGCCGCAGCCAGCCCGACAACTGCATGCATGAATTGGCCCGGACGAAGACTTTTGGGAAGGTGCGCCGCATTTTTCAGCTTACACAGACCGAAATGGTTTCGAAGACGACTCACTGCAATGTGCCGACGACAAATAAACGTGCAAAGTGCAAACTTGGGAATGCCATGCGGCCAGATATTCCACATTGACAATGTTTTGTCAAAGCAAGAAAGGCTGACGGATGTACTTTCCCAAAGCGGCATGCCTTGCCCAACTCCATCGGAAGGGCGGAATTAGACGTCCACGCCAAACCAACAGGCTGTACGAGGATTTTGCACACTTATCCACAACACCGGAGATCGTTCAGGTCGGCCATTGGTATTGCGGGGGAGTCCGCCACATGGGTCAGAAGTGCAGCGGAGGGCCAAGTTGCGCCACATTCCCGCAGGACATTCAGCTGTGTTGTCCTCCGGGAAAGGAACTTGCCAGGTTAGCAGCCAAGCTAGCAGCCAAGAATCTCCGCCGGCAGAAGTACGCATCAAGGAACTGGTGGCTACCGAGTCAGGTTATGCGGGTGACGGTGATGGCGCGTCCCCATATCTCAGCCATTGTCTTCAGACGTGGCAACACTGTGGCGGTGCGGCTCTGCCGTCGATCACACCTCCACGGACGGACAAACAGAGCTGATTCAAAGGACACCGGAGCAATGCTATTCGCTCGTCTCGAGGATCACCAGCCACATCCATGCTTTCCCCATTTCCGCAGTAGATCAATTCCCGAAGAGGCTGCGAATCCCGGGTACCTGAACCGACATTTGGCTTTTACATTATCAAATGGGGGTCGACGGAGGCACCGACAAGTGACACAGAGTCCAGACTGGGATTGCACAAGAACGGCAATTGCAGCTTTGATATTGTGGCTTGGCCAAAGAACAGATTACACGAAGGGATAAAGAAGCTTTCGAGAGAAATTCAACGGCATTCAGCCAACCATGGGTAGCACCGGGTGACCCCCGCCCTCTAAGGGGAAAAATCGGTGGCATGGGCCTGCCAGATGCAGGCTAGGGCGCTCCAAGTCTTGGGCGAGCCCAGCCTGAAGAGCCTGAAGTGCACCTATTGGCCTTGTCCCGATGCCAACCGACACTGGGCCCAGCCACCAATCAGGCTGCTTAGCTCAGCCAACAGAGTTTTCACTGCAGCTGCAGGATCGGCTTCTGGACCGCTGGGCCGCAGGGACCGCGACAGGCTTTGATCCAGTCTGACCCCATTCCTAGGGTTCCAGCCTTACCAGCGCTCCAGCCTAAAGCAATGCAACGGCACCTCGGCACGTTCCTGCATTTAGACGAGAAAAATCGAAGTTCTAGAAGGAAACCCAACGTGGAGCCCATTCAGCCGGAAAGCCCCGCCCAGAATGCCGCGACTTGTGCTGCGAGTGTCTTATCACAGCCCTCTGTTTCACCGTGCTGGGTGCTGGGTGCTGGGTGCTGGGTGCCGAGTGCGCCGTTCGATACGAGGTGCAATTGCCGATCCTAGCTGAATACTGCAAAGACACGACACATCAGAGAACCCGAGAAACCTGACTCGGGCACCTTCGAGAGGAGAAGAAACTTCTCCAGTCGGAAGAGAGTGCTACCCTCGTACGGGCTCTCTCGAATACATGCGAGCTGGTCGGGTCATTTCAATTAGCCTGATAGCATGTGCATTCAGCAGGCCTCGTTGTGCTGAGCAGGGGACGTATCCAGGCAGTCGGGTTCCAGATTGGTGGCCTCGGTCATGGCCCAGGAAGCGGTTATTTGGAAGCAAGATATGGTTATTCAGAGAGTTTTGCGGGTCCCTGCTAACGTAAGTATATCGCGCGAACTGCCTCTACTTGGTCCTAGGGTTTATTGAGCACACGCATAGTGGCAGCGACGGAAGAATGACTAAGATTATCGGTGGTGTGAGAAAAGCGACTTCCCAGCACCGCACCGGCGACCGGCGGGCATCGCAATAACTTAGGATCCGAGGAGATTGGGGAGGGCTTGGGAAAGGGCTGGTGTTTGTACGAGGAAACGGCCGACTCGGGCTTACAGCAGCAAGACCAGAAAACAGAGCAGCCTGGAAGATTCTCGGGATCGCTCGGGCTGTCGTCAGCGGTCGCCGACCATTGGCCAGATTGCACCAAGATCCAAGCACAGCCACAGCAAATCCCTCATCGATTGGCCCGGCTGACACCATCGACCGAGTGCGAGCGGCCGATCATGACCGCCCTCTCACGTACGGATAGCAAGGAAGCGCCTCGCGAGCACTAACTGTTCGCAGTAACTATTGCAGACTCTTCGAGGCCTGGATGCAAACACAGAGTTCATCCGACACCTGTAAATGGCTCTCTGTGCGAGGTATGAAGATCCAGGCAGGGTGCAAGATGCGAGCCGCGAGGCTCAGTTGCGAGACGGGGGGGCAGAGCAACAACCCACAGTCTTACGATCTCGAACAACGGGAAAAGGCTGCGTGACCTGTAGACCTGTAGACCTGTAACCTACCTGCCTGAAGCGGCAAGCGGCTTATGCCCAAAATTGTCAATAGCAGCGCCAGGCCAGGCCAGGCCAGGCATCTGATGCTTTTTGGAGGGGAGGGAGAGTCAGGCGTGAGCAGGGTGCAAGCACCCGAAAGTCACCCTTCCGGTGCTCGTTCCTTTTGGGGGGGGGGGGTGGTGCAGGTGTGTTGAGGGAGAAGCCCCCGGAACAAAAATTGCATGTCACTCGTACAAGGGCTTTACCCGTAAATTACGCCTAACGGAAAGCACCACCAATCGCCTACAACGATTTACCGAGCCAGGCCTTGGAAGACCTCTTGCTGCTTAAAACCCCCCTACTTAGTACTCAAGCCCGGGCCCACCCCCAGCAGGGTCGTGCAAGTTGCTCAAGTGCTCATCCTAGTCTTGCGTTAAACTCTCGCGGTGACCGCAAGCCGGCAATCCCTGTCATCATCGACGTCACCTTCCATACCCCCCCCCTCAAACAAGAAGAATCACCATACACGACGCAGCGCAACCCTTACATTTTTCCCTGCAGTTTCCGCTTCCCTTCGTCTCTTCCGGCCGACGTCGCTTTTTCTCAACAATACCACAGACGTAACCTTAGCAGCACAAGGCCTGCTCCTTTTTTTCACAATTGCCCTATTCGCATGCCGCTACGAACCTGGACCACCAAATCTTATTTCCCCGTTCCCGAAAGAAACCAAAAGCCATATTTGATCATTGCTATTCCGCTCACATCACCGATACCTCCGTTCCATCTTCCCCTTCCATCCTGTTCGACATTGCTCTGTCGTCAGCCCCTTGGACCTCCCTCCAGTGGCCGGATACTCAAATATCCTGCCTGCATATAGATTTGCCACCTCGGCCTCCTAGACCTTTTCCTATTCCTCCTTCCCGCAAAGTCCACGTACCTTGACGCCGAATTCTACCCAGATTCGATACCCACCTATACATTACCAATCTCTGAACAATTCTCGCACCCCGCGGACTATACAACTGATCCAAGATCCTCGAGTTGAGACCTCGCTTCTCATCTTCGCCTCCTACACATCACGCAAACGACCCAAGCAACAACGACGACCTTGATGCCCTCAACGACGTCGCTATCACAGAGTCCAACGATCCGCATCCAGAAATCGAGTCCCACCCCCGTCCCTTCATCACAACCGCCCATGCTGGCTCAGAGCGCCCTAGTGGGTGGATGGAACGACGGGTATAACACCCCGGGGGGTTATCTGAGCGCGCTGCCAAAGAATTTCCAAGACCAACGATACCATAAGAGAGATTCGTCGGGGTCCTCTGTAACCTCGCTGGGCCCGCCTTCGCCGCTCACCCAGAACAATATATACCCACATATTGTCGCCACATCTGACTCGAGTTTTCCACCTTCCTACGACTTCGACTACACTCAAACTCCACACACTGCCAAGTCTGATTCTGCCATGATGTACCCCACCAACTTTGCTGCCGTTGATATGAGGAGGATACACTCAACAGGCGCCGACGAGCGTGCGTCATATGCTCTATCAGCGCCGCAGTCAGTCTCGACCATGAGTCACAACTCTCCCGCGACGCCGCATACTACTTATGAGCCCGAGTACGACGAGAAAAATGTCTATGGTGAGGAAAACTCTGACGACGACGAGATGTTCGATTACTTACAGTTCGAACCAGGTTACACCAATGCTTACCAGCAGTCGTTGCAAGATGTCTTCCCTGACCAGCATTTTGCCGCCAACCCCATGAGCGCGTACTCTCAGGCGCAACCGAACATGCAGCAGAGGATGGCCGTCAACGCTCACAGGCAGAACATGATGGCCGACAGGCTCCAGGCGGCACAACAAGACCACCTGAGAACAGAATCCCCGACATCGAATCCTCGCGAGAAGTCGCCATTCAGGCAAAACTCGCCGTACAGCATGCCGGCGCCGACCCAACGCCCTCAGCCAACGCTGCAAAAGCAACGCACCTCGATCTCGCCCAAAGAGTTGATGCTGGACGAGCACGACGTCGATGACCACTCGACGCCACTGTTCGCGCCCGACCAGTCACAATCCATGTTCGCAACCCGTAGAACCCCGTCGAATCTTTCGACCTTCTACACCGCGGCCACCGAACCCTCGATACAAATTCCCCAGCAATACCCCTTCGTCAGCCAGTCATCGAGGCAGGTAGGGCAGGCAGGCATGCACGACATCAGTCCCGAATTCCCAGCCCACATGATCTCGATGGAGTCGACTGCAGACGAATCGTCGGAGCCTTCCAGCCAGCAGTCCATGCAAAGGCCTAGGCCACAGTCGCAAGCTGCTGCGCCTCAACAGCAGCCACAACTCCAGCAGCGGCCGATCGACACATCATCTGACTCCGGCACCTACTCGTGTACGTATCACGGTTGTCACCTGAGATTCGACACGCCGGCCAAACTTCAGAAACACAAGAGGGAAGGTCACAGGCAGACTTCACCGTCGTCATCCGGAGCAGCAAACTTGGCCTTGCGCAACTCGCAAGCTGGGCCGCACCGATGCGACCGAATCAACCCTAGCACGGGCAAGCCTTGCAACTCGATCTTTTCTCGGCCGTACGACCTTACGCGACACGAGGACACTATTCACAACGCCCGGAAGCAGAAGGTCCGTTGCCATTTGTGCACGGAGGAGAAGACCTTTTCACGTAACGATGCGCTGACACGGCACATGCGCGTGGTTCACCCCGACGTTGACTGGGTTGGCAAGCAGAAGCGCAAGAACCAGAAGTGAGAGTGAAGCGACCGGAACATTCACGAAGATGGTGCGACTGAGTCAGCCACCAACAACGCTGGTGAACTAGCCCGCCGCAGGGCCTGGAACTCCGACGAGGGCGGAACAACATGGCGCCCGATGAATGCAGGATTTTGTCCGGGGTCCTAAAAAAGATCTACGCCTGGGGCCAACCGACGACAGACTCATACAACAACTCCTTTCTGCAGTGTATGACTAGCGCCACGAGATTCGCCCCGCGAGCTGTGTGTTTGCTTCTGGTTTGAGGTGGACAGAACAGCGAAGCGAGGGATTTTTCGGGGCGAGAAATTTTTCCTTCGAGGTGTTGGCTTGGCTTAGCTCAGCAATGACGTATGACGAAATGGGGTGGTTCCTTTTGGGCACTAGCGGGGTTACTGAAAGCCGGCAGGCCTTTCCGGATACAGCATGGCGTCAGGCTCGGGGCTCGGTTGGGCTGGAATCATGATGACGACAAGGCGAGGCTTCGCGACGCGAGGCTGGCTATGAACGAATTTGGGTTGGATCTACGCATGTTTGAAGAAGAAGCATTTGGAGATGATTTGTTACAAAATTGCGGCTTTTTTCTGTTGGTGATTTTCTTTCTTTCGTTGTTCTGCGTACAAGAAGGAAAATTGGGCGGCGGCTGCCCTGCGTGCAAAAGGGGGAAAAAGAAAAAGACCAAAAAGTGTTGGACCAGGCGACATACTGCACTTGCACTGCATTGACCTTTTCATATCGATAGACTGTACAACAGATTTGTTCATATGGTCACCATGGTGTCTGTCTATATGGGGTCACGGATCAAACAGGAGGAAAGTATGTTCCTGGCGCTCTGCTTTGAGATGCACTGCTCGCATACATGCCCTTACGGTGTGATGCCCTTTTTTGTACATGAACTTGAGATTGTGGATATATTATATATATGCAATCGGTTTTCCTTATTCTCGATTCCTCTGCATGCTTTTCGCATCTCTTCTAGTAGTACTAGCCTGATGTCAAGACCAAGTCGCTCTCTTCAATGCCACGCAAGTAAAAAGTGCTACCCGGCACGGTGTTACAGGTTTAGTCCGATACCTTTCTCTTGCACACGGACGAACACCGCGTTCTCTAGCATCCGCGTAGCATAGGATGGGCATTCCCGGCTATGCGTCTATTGCTGAGCTTCCACGGTAGCAGCACTACTACTATTATCCCGCATGATCTTTGGGCTTGGTATACATTTGCGTCCTGGGGGAATTTAACATCAGTGCCGTAACTACCAATAGAATCAAATTTAACAGTGTAGACGTTTTCCAAAGTGCCCTTCTCAGAAGCCTCGAGGGGCCGCCCGCCATCCAATCTCGACCCGTTCCTGGGGGTGTGCGTGCCTACGTAGCTACCTGAGACTTAGCAAGTCATGTCACCTTTCTTCTCTTCCTGGAAACTGGGAATTTTTGCTTCAAGATGGACTGACGGGTTGTGCTGTATCCTCACCACTTTACTTTCCCCCCTTCGTCCTCCCCCAGTCTCTCGCCTACCACCTTCCGGTTCCTTCGCATCTCGAGACGACGAACAGACCACCGGCAGCCAGCGATGGTCAGTCAAGCTTGATCAGTCCACGCATGATACGGGAGAAACATCCAAGCCCCGTCACACAGACAACACGGCTCGTAGGGCGTGCGTGCAGCACAAGGCGAGTAGCTAATTACTAGGTGGTGGAGGGGCTTTTCTCCTTCCTCCGGAGCACCGCTTCAAGACCGCCGCTGAGCTCCCAAAGGTTCCGTGACCGCCATGGGATGTTTTTTCCGGGGCCTTCTCGTTCGCTTAGGCCCGAGCAATTCCAATCTTGATCAACAGCTCCCCCTGGAAAGCTACGCATCTGGTGATAGTCCGCACAGAAGTTCGGGCGTCCTTAACTTAAGGGCCTGAGCAGCGGTCGTCTCGGCACTGTGCGAAGGCTCGTAGTATCTATCCTCTCAACCGGACAGGCCACTGGCGGGCATGCTGCCCGGCTGCTAGTTTCTGAATTGGGTCTTTCGTCTCTGATAAGATTTCAACACCTGATGAACTGAGTTCCATGAGGGAGGGGCACGCGTGAGTGCTTTCGATCGGGTTGATCGATCCCATGACGGGGCGAAAGCCAGTCCCCCCGGTTCGAGGGTCTGTTTCCTGGAAACCATCAGTGCCTGCAGTACTGCTTGTGCTTGCAAGTATCAAGACAATAACGAACAGTGACCATTATCGGCGGGTGCACATCAGCAGCGTCAGAGGTACTTTTGCGGTAATATGTAAGTTGTTGTGGTTTAGTTGTTGCCTGATGTGGTGGCCTGATACCACGGCATTATCGATAGACAAAGTGCTTGCTTGGATAGGCTCGATCCGGCCTCCTGGCCCGCAAACAATATCCGCCGAACCAAGTCCTTGGACCAGGGCGTTTGAGAGGCAGCTGATAATCACAGATGGGCTTGTTCCAGGCCTCGTGAGTTTAACATACGGTAATGCTCGTTCAAAGCTCAACTGCTGGTACGCTTATAGCAGCGACCGTGCCGTGAGTTTACCGGGTCGAGGAAAGCATTCTCCCTAGACTGACTCGTGTTGCAACAAAGCGCATGCATGTCATGCCATACCAGCCGTGTCCATGCCAGCCCAAGTACCGCGTGGCCGTGTCGATAATGATGGAGCATGCTACGGGGAACGAGCAGCATCTCCCAGCCGTTAGCTAATGAACGGCAAAGAACAAACGGGCATCGGTAGTGTGGATCGGGGAGCCACCCGCAAGTCGGATTCGAGCCTTTTCTTTGGCTCGGCGCACAGAACCGAACGGTCTAGACAAGGACGCACACGAGACATGTCAGAAAGCGACGATTCGAGAGAACAACCGCAGCGTGCGAGACGCATCTCGGAAACCTTGACCTCGACCTGCAGTTTTGACCTCCCGACAAAGGACCTTGAAGGTTGGAGTTTCAGCGAGCATGTATGTTCGAACTGTTACGCGGCAGAACAAAGATTGCAATTGCCGATGAGCTGGGGCTATCAGACTCTAGGTCGCTAGGTTCCCCCCTCCAACAAAGGACCTGGAGGGGCGCGTCGCGACATGGCCGAGGAGGATGGTCAATATTGAGCGGCATTCTGTCTGATCTGGATCGACTCGAGGCTGCGATCTCGCTCCCACTCATCCAAAGATCTCCGAGTCGTGGCTATCACATCCGCAAGGTGGATTTGTCGGGTATTGCCAGAGTGCCGTGGATTTCGTTCGCCCTTCAGATCCCCCACCACTCCTCCCACAAGTATTACCAGGCCAGGTTCTTGGTACTAGCTGCAGCATCCGAGGCAGCTCAAGGTTCATTACCCGATGGCGAGTCAATGATTGCCATGGATGGATGGCATTCAGAGTTCACCATCCCAGCATTGACCACTGCTAGTTCTAGCGTCAGCACGGGTCACCGCGTCGGGATTTTGCGGGGACTAACCAACGTCCCGCTAGTCCGCTTCGGCGTGCTGGATATCACTGATGTTTGTCGGGCTTACTCAGTGGAAAGCATCTGTCGAATGCGGCACGAAAATCCAAACGACACCCGGGGTCTACACGAAACGAAGAAAGTTGAAGCCCGTGCCAGCAGGCCGCCTGGTCACACCTGAAGCCTCGGCACCTCGGGTTTGAGGAGCCCTGTGGACGAATAGCCGTTGTAGTAGCCGCAGAACACGAAGCGCAGCAGCAGCCGACCATACTACTAAGTTATACTAAGTCAGTCCTGGAATTGGGCTTAGCGTTTTTAACCTAGGAAGGCTACCAAATGTGTGGCAATATAGCCAGCCAGCCACCAAAGCCTTACGCAAGCCCTGTCGATCGTCGCTGCTCGCGTGGTATCGAATCTTTGGGCCAGCGGTACCGCGTCCCTCTGCGCATCCGCACCCGCGCCCGCGCCCCTGTTTCCCGACTAGGCATCTGCACAGCTTGCACTCGTATCCAGTCCACTAGGAGGACTGCGCTCGTTTGTCGAGAGAACTTGCGATCTGTTACTGCTGCCTGTTTGCCGTATATGGTCCAAAGTTGCGTGTCAAGCGCAACAGTAGTGAAGCCTGCCGGCAAGCCGATTTGATCACATTACAAACCTGATCTCAGAGGCGTTTCCCGTTTGCCGGATTGATTCAATAATCAATCAGCCTGGCCCAGACGCAACCGCTTCGGTCCCCGTGCTCGTGACGAACTTGGTACTGAGGAATTGCCTAAAGAAGAGTTTGGTCATCATATATTGTTCAAAAGTATATTATTTGTTTAGTAGTAGTTAGTTGGTAGTGTACCTCGTCCCTACCCACATCCATAGATAGTAGTACTGAGAGTACTAACTACTAGTACGAGCGAGGGGTACTACTCAGTAACGCCAGCAGCAGCAGTAGGAGGAAGTGGCATTGACCCAAACAGGTACCTAACTGAGAGAAATATACATAATCTCACTGAGCCAAGCTTCAAGTTCAAGTTGCCTACCACCCACCCCCGGCGGCCGGAAGATGGCTATCAGATGGATGGATGGATGGTCATGACCGGTCCGGTAGATCTACAATTGGACTACTACATAGTAGTACTATGCAGTTACTTACTCACTACCAGTAGTTCTAACTTGTAGTCAGGCAGGTTTGGGTTGTGAGTGCACTGAAAGAGCGAAGAGATGATAGAAAGAGACACACACCCCACAGTGTGTGCACAACCTGAGGCTCATCACAGCCGCCCACTGTGGCAGATCGGAGGACCACGCCAACTTCTCCTGCAGAATCATCATTACCAAGGGCGGTGTGCACATGCTATGTATGTATGTATGGTATGTATCGTACTCGTATCCAGATCCGGTTACGGTAGTAGTAGGAGTTTGCTTATGGGAACTACTACCATGTATAGTGTCAACGACGACGAAGGCAAAACAGTAGTAGACTTTTACCAAGGAGGATTGATTGCTCTTGGTACAGAGAGAGTCCAGTGCGGTAGCAGGTCACCGTGAGATCACATGCCTGGAGTGCTGCTGGCTGGTTGGCTGATTGGCAGGGTGCTGCGCAGCAGGAGCCGGTGGCGACTTGCAAGGGGCTGATTGATTACCCTTTTGGGCGAATTTCGTGACTCGTTTCAACCTCTCCGAATAGTTCACAATTGTTACTCGTCGTCAAGATCCAAGGAATCACACCCCTGTAGACATACATGTAACTTCCGAAGCGATGAGGTGAGGCCACTCACAGATAAGTACATAGTATGTGTCATCAACCCACCGGCTCCAAATCGGATTCCAACCTGGCAGCTCCAAGTCGACCTCGGACTGGATCCAGACCACTGCAGGTTGGAACCACGCTCCGACTACCATCGCCCCTCCCCGTTCAAGCAAGTGACAGATTGATCCAACCCAATCTGCACTCCAATCTCGTCTGGGTTGAGATGAGTCTGCAGAGCGGTTGAGTCGGCTTTGCTGGATTCTACTACGTACTGGTACTAGTAGATTCGATCAGGGAGCATTCTGGAATGTATGGTCGGAGCTGGGCTAAATAACCACGAGCAGTCGATGCTAGAATGGTCCCAGGTTGGGGGTGATGCAGCGAAGCCTGCCCTGGCCCAATACCAGCTACTACTACATAACCAGAAGCTGTCAACCAAATGCGGGAACTCATATTAATACACAGTAATTGTTCGTTAGGTTTTCTACTGAAACCATGCACTTGAGCGCGTCATACTACTACTAAGTATACTCTTTTCGGATCCAGATCAAACGCCAACGCCGCCCGTAGGATTGGTCCAACCCCTTGAGTACAATTACAACCCCTAGCGTGCCGGGGACTCAGTCTATTGAGACTGTTCGGTGTGGCTCCACGTGCTCGACATGCACAGGACGTGATTCCAGCTTGGCCATCCAATCCGGCATTTGATCATTTGGCTGACTGTGGGCGGACGAGGGCGTTCTGAAAGAGTCGACGTCGGCCAGGGCATTGGACAGCGTCCTCGTGCTCGATTGCACGAGATTGACCAGTTTTCCCAGCACGGCAAACTCCATCTTCAGTTTCACAGAGTAGATAAAACTCTTAAAGGCCCTCTCCATGGTTCTGAGACCTTTGTATTCCAGAGATAGCAGGGCGATATCCATGAGGATGATGATGGCGTTGATTATAAACAGTTCCCACATGACCCGCCTCGTGCCCTCCTTCGACACAAAGTTCAGTAGCTGCACGGTTTTCCACAGGTAGATGCCCGAGATGATGAATTCTTGGATGCAAAAGGCCGTCATCTGTATCTTTTCCATGTAAAAGAGGGCGCGGTCGAAGGCCGGCTGCTCGCCACCGTATGCTTGTCCGTATTGGAAGACCGTGGTGAGAGTGTGGAAGATTAGGGCGTCGGTGATGATCATCCATTTGATCCCTTTCAGAATCCGGTCATTCTGCAGTATGAGGCCGAGTCGCGAGTACAGGACGAAAGATTGGCCAGTGATCATCATGACCCAGCCGATTGTGCTGAACATCATCGTTGCCCAGAACACTAGGATCCGGAAATACTCGAGCAGAAACCCGAGGCAGTAGGGGATGATGCCGACGGAGGCGACGATGAGCGAGACGAAGTAGAGGCCGTGCCATTCCCGGAAGGTGGTGAGGATGGTCAGGAGGAGTTCGACGCAGTTGTACAGCGATATGGTCATGCAGGTGACGACGATGATGGCCTCGGCGGTCCATTCGTCGTGGAAATCTTGCGAGGCCTCGGTCGGAGGTGCTGACATCTTTAGCTAGAGTTTACACTTCGCAGTTGGTTTGTGAGAGACATCGATCATGAGGTGTGGCGTTGGTGGGAAGAAAGCGTGAGCGTAAGTTCAATTTCGCCGTGCTGAGACATGGCGCGATGGCAGCGGCCAAGGTGAAACTGTTGATGGTATGTATGATTCGAAATTGAGCGGATAATGCAGACGACGGATGGACGTTGCACGCTGTGTTTGACTGAGATGCTGTCTGTACGCCGTCTGTTGTAAGACTGTGTGTGCATCGAAGAGGCATCAATCAGGACGGTGGAGAAACTGGAAATTCAAGCTTAATGATCCCATCGTCCCCCCGCAAAGTGCAAAGTCCACGGTGTGGCGATCCACCAGTGAGGTATTGTGGGCAGAGGGCGCCCGGGGGCTGCCGCCTGCTCTTACCCGTTGAGCCTACTCAGGTAACCACTCGCCGGGCATCGATGGTGCGCAGAGTTTGTGGGTGTCGGTGGGTGCCTGTGGGTGCACCAACTGGGCGGCCTTGGTGGAGTTGTACCTTGCTTAAGCGGAGTGGTGCTATTACTAAGGAATGACTACTGGTAGGTATCCAGTACCTAGGGACTGCTTGCTCTCTCCTGCCTCAGTTTACAAAGATCATCAAGACACGAGCAGCTCTGGATTTGCAGAACCTCCTTGTTCCCGCTGCATCACACAAGTAACATCTCTCCTAGGTCCTCTGGAGGCTGCACGCTCACTCACACTGGGTATCAAAGTGCCTCTCGATATCATCAGCTCCATGTTTCCTGGCGTACTGACTCGCTTGCTAGATCCGATTGAACCTGCGCCCTATCCGCTCACTCATTGAATTGAATTGAGTCGACGACTGGCAAGTTCTCAGGGAGAGAACCTCTTGACTTCTTCCCAATACCTGGACAAATGACCCTCCAGGACGCGCACCTTGGGATGTTGAGGGGGAGAGGACGGGCATCAACCAGGAACACTACCGGTACCGAACAACTATAGAAGCAAGCAATGGCAAGATTGCTCCTGGAGAACAAAGAGAAGAGTCGACATCTCGAGAGCAAGACTGAGAATAGATGGCGAGTCGACGGTCAACGGGTGAGCAGAACCACGTCGGTTCTGCACAGGGCCAGCAATTCTTTTCAGCTCCATCACAGTTCTCGCATGCGTGTCAATGACTCGTTGTCATCTGCAGGCTTCGCAGATATATTCAGCAGCTGCTGCAAGTCTGCATCATCCACGTCAATTCATCCCTCAACTGCAGACTTGCTGATTGATTCTCCGTACATACCCTCTGGCTGGTAAACCAAACCCTTTCCCGTCGAAACAGAGACGTCCATCTCAGAACGAAACTCTCCTCGTCTTCGCGACACTCCATTGAATATCTACAACGCCAACCTCCGTGTGGGCTGCCCGGGGCAGATCTGCGCGGGATTGGTCCGGGCTGGTTGGATTCGAGTGGGATAGCTTCTTCGGGAATACTTTCAGGCACCTGACAGCCCCAACACGAGGATCATTATGCAGCAATGCAAAACAATCACCCACCTAACAACTGTCCAACGACCGACGACCCTGTGCCTCTTGCATGCTCCTGCGCTAATCGTCCATTCTGCACCTTACTCTGCCAAGGTTGGATTCAGATTGTCGACGGTAAATCGATGGAAACGGGGTATTGCTTGCGGGGACGGCATTTGTTCATATGGCCCCGTGGCATGTGCACGAGGACATGACAAAGTCCTGATGACAACAGGTACCCCGGTGTCCAACTTGAGAGGGCCTCACGACGAAATCATGCATGTCGTCACTCCAGACACCGCGGACCGACATCAGCACTGGCCCAAGGCAGAATCAGGGGATAATGTTAGCTGCGACCAGCTACCCTATTCGGCGACAGTGACCTCGACTGCCGAAGATGCTGCAAGTGTGATAGGCGTCATGGGCGTAGGTCAATGGGATCACAGCTCCCACTTGTCATTCTCGGATATGGCCTCGACCAGCTCTGTCCAATGTGGAAATAAATTGTATCGTCACCCAGCAGATTCACACACGGCTGAACCATGTTGCGACCGTCAAGGTGAGCTGTTGTCTGCTGATAACTTGTCCTACGCAGCATTTCGTGTATGCAATCATCACGTTCGTATCCCGGAGATTGATGAAATCCGATCGGAAGCTCGCGGCCTGCAGTTCACATGGTCGACTCAACAGATTCCTGGATATTCGATACGGCGGCTATGTGGTCGATACACGCATGCATGGAGGAGGGACAGCTGTACGGACACATCAGCGCACGTCGGGAGATGCCTGCGACGCACGAGAATCTGTTTCAGTGCTTAGGAGGAAGACACAACACGGGTTGCGAACTCGGGACTATCAAAAAAAAAAACCAAGCATTTGGCGAATGGCCGGGAATCTTCGGCTAGGCTGGATGCACCATGGCTCAACGGGGCATCGTGCCTTGGCCCAGCTTCCCTCCTGCGACATCGCTTGATCTCACGGGCTTCGTTCTATGTGAATGCGTTGTTGCAGGGCTGTACCTCGCACGGCTTCTGTCCTAGCACCGAAGTTGCCAGTGTCTTGTCCGTGATGACTCCGTTCTTGCCGGACGGATATCAATCGGACGAGCGTGTCCGAAGATCTAGTGTTCTCAAACGCGCCCACGCCCTGTGAATTTGCTTAGCTCAGCGTATCCGTCGCCCTGGCGGCTCTGAGGCTGTTGTCTTAGCCCGGATCGTTCGGAGCAAAGGCCGGCCGACAGCGTCTTGTTGGCGGTCGAGTGAGCAGTTATTGCATATTTCCAGCAAACGTTTTGCTGCGACTAAACCGCTGACGGCTACGTATACAACAGAATGCACGGGACAGCAGATCTAGACCCGAGCCTCGCCTTTTCCCTGCGAGACAATTATCGTGCACTAACTACAATAGTATAGTTAGGATCACCGCTGGCCGACGTCTGCCAGGTAGCATGCCTTGTAAGGCGGTGCGGGAGCTCTCGGTCTCGGGCTTTTGCAAGAGAACAAGTCACCGACGGCGTCTTGTCCGCCGCTGGTCGCAAACTGAACACTTCCTAAATCGGGGGACTGAGATATATCTGGCGTCAGATCTTGTTGGTCACAAAGCGGCGGGTTGTCCTTGCGTAATCGTCCAGGGAGTCGATGCTGCTTTAGCATCTTCGAAAATTACACCCATGTATCAGATCCATACCGGCAGAACCATGCGGCAGAGAACCCCAGCAGGCTGGCGTCCTGTCCTGTTGTGGCAGCCTCGCGCGAGCGAGCTGGGGACGCGACGATTCCGCGGCGGAAAGGAAACTTGTGTAAGAAAGAACCTCCGATGGCGCTGAGCCCATAACAGCATATATCCAACCAAATGCAACTTAAGGATATCCCAGACTGGGAGCAAAGGGATGTCACCGGGATTGTCTCGGTCATTGGGTTCGGTTCCGTTTTCGAAGAAAAAATTGGTTGCGTTGGTATCGCGGAAATATGGAATCCCGTCCTCCTATTCTTTATCGTCTCAGCTCGGTACCGACACCCATGGACCAGTGACCAAATAGCGACATATATCGCGGGACAATTTGCTTCCGTGAGACGGAGAATGGCAGGCATCGTCTGTATCGGAAGGTATGAGATCCACGACGTGGGATCTCATACCCAAGTGGAAAGAGAGAAGGAAAAAGGTGCTTATGCCAGCCAAGAATTCCAAATCCCAGTCCTCGACAGCAAGCAGGGAGAGGTCAAGCCCAACATCCGAGGGACATGCCGTGAGGCTTGAGGCTTGAGGCTGTAGGATTATAATGGCAGCCTGACACCTGCCCGAAAAGGGATGAAGTCGTCACCCCTCCGAGGCTGGAACGTGGCCATTCTATTCCCAATATGTGAATGTACGAGATCTCGCTGATTGGCCCCAGGTCTGACAAGGGGGGACGTTCGTCCTTGTGCGAAAGGGATACTCCGTACATCTCACGCAGTGGTGGTCGAGAGCGAGATAGACCCCCTCCGACCCCAGTAGCGAACGGGACTGGCGAGGATATTTTGCAGGGTCTCTGCATTGCAACTCAATCGAAGGACTGGGGCCGACTTGGGTGACGCCTTGTGGACGGCAACAACAACTCATGGGCTTCCCCTTGGCAGATCTGCTCCTTTGCGGCCCGAAAACCTCCCCCCATCACAACTGCCGATGTCATGGAGATGAGGTGAGTGCGTGTCTTCTCGACGGGGTGAGGCGCATTAGCTACGCTTGGACCCTGAATCTATATCGGGTCTCTTGGCATACGTCAGCGCCGCTGTCGTGGCTTTTGGGTGGCTGTCAACTATTCGGCCATTTGATGTCAATGATCAGCTCGAAGTCCGCCCAAAGATCATGGCATGGCACCTCTGCTCCGCTTTCCCAGGCCCTGGCACTGGCCAATGTTGTGAATGACTCTGGTGAACATAGTTGGACGACTCTGAGCCTGTAGATGGAGCATCCAGGGGTTGTGATCGTCAATTGACCCTGTAATGGCAACCACCAATGAACCCGAAAGGCTTGAACTTGGATCACGGTCTAAGATCCCTTGCCCTTTTAAAGGAACCATCCATCGTTAGAGAGCCATTCCGTCTTTTCCACGGGGGCCTTGATTAGTGTGGCGCAGCAGGCGTATGGCGCACGGAACCGTACAAACCAGAGCCAAGTCGAAATATGACCTGCCATACACGCCATACACAGCCAGGAGAGAGAAGGCTGTGAAGGCTGTGAAGGGCAATGACAATATCCCCGGCCTGATGTCTTCAACAACAGCATGGCCCATTTCTCCCCCACCCACGTTCACCTTTCCTAACCCTGCTCACGCTGCAGCGAGGAACTTCTGCTCCTCCTTGTAGACCTCGTGGGACTGCGCCCACAGCAGCTTGGCGGGCCGGTCGCACACGTCCGCCCACCACAGGAACGGGGCCATGCGCGCGAGCATGGCGTCCGCGTCGCCGAGCGATTCCCCGTAGTGCTCGGCCAGCTTCTCGATGTACCAGCCGCGGTGCCGGGTGAAGGACGCGGCGATCCCGCCGAGGGTCAGGACCCACGAGAAAACCCCCGACGGCGGCCCGTACTCCTCGATGTCCAGGACCGGACGCGCCCTCAGGCACCGGCGCAGCTCGCCGGCCAGCCGCGGCTTGATCCCCGTGGCGGGACTCAGCGGGAACAGGACCATGTCGCTGAAGATGTTGGCGGCGAGGCGGGTCATGCTGGCGAGCGTGTCCTCCCCGCCCCGATCGTCGGTCGGGGAGGGTTTCAGCCAGAGCAGCTTGTTCTGGACGGCGTTGCGTTGCAGGACGATGTCAGACAGTTGCGGCGGGTGGTCGCCTCGGCGGACGTGGTGGTCGAGAGCGACGACCAGGTCGCACATCAGCTGCAGAATGTTGCGGAGGTCTTTGTCCAGCTTGAACGGGTCGAAGCCTGCGCCGAGCTGGGAAAGCAGACGTTGGGCGTCGGCGTCGAGAACGTGAAGGCCGGCATCGACGAGACTCGTCACCGGCGCGGGCCAGATTTGCGCCGGCCTTGTGCCCAGGATGGATGAGAAGTAGATGTCGGATCTGGACGTTAGTGATTGTCAACCCGGGGGGCCGTATGACCGACGAGACTTGATAGGACGTACAGCAGAAGCGTGTCGCGGACACCATACGTGTCCACCGCGCCTAGGCCACCCTTCAACGACACGAGGTGGGCCACGGCCCTGACGTGTGCTTCGACGACGTTCAGCAGACTGAAGAGGTGCAGGCTCTGGGTCTTCGCCAGGGGAGAACACGGGTGGGGTTGCGGTGGAATCTGTGGTCGGCGCGTGCCGTTGACGGCGAGGATGATCACCGCGAGAATCAGCCCGTCCGAAGGCGGTCCGTTCAGGGCCTCGATCTCGGTCCGGGCGCAGTTCAGGGCCTCGCTTTGGTGGATGGACGGCGCGCGCACCGCCAGCTGCGACATGTCGTCCTCTTTCTGGCCCCGGAGGCACAGCAGCTGCTTTGTGGTGGCGAAGATGAAGGTGTGCAGGACGAGAGGGGACGCCATGACCAGCTGCATCCACGCGGCCCGGAACGGTATCACGATCTTTTCGAGGTCGGTGGGAAGGCACTGCGGCCAGGTGAAACTCAACGCTGTCCCAAGGGCGTGGTCGTGAGTAGCCATGTTGGAGGGCCACGGATGGCTTCGGACGTTGTACTTACCGTGATCCATGGCTTCATGCGCGTAGTGAGGGATCGCATAGTTCGCAAAGGGATCCGTCTTCGCGGCGCTCAGAACCGAACATGGATTCGGCGGTTGACTCGTGTCTTCGTCGCTGTCGCCGCTCTGTGTGTCCACCACATCCTTCGATGTGGAGGGATGCCTCTTTCGTGACGAAGGGATCGCTCGCCATCGATGCTGGAGCCTGCGTAGGGCCGACGTTTCCTCATTGCTGCCTCGCGGGTTAGGTCAAGGAAGAGTATCGTGGTATTGATGCTTCTCTGTACCTTTGCCTCATGGCACCTGCTGAGCGGAAGCTCTGGCTCCCTCACGGTCCGTCATCCGCAGCGATGGTTCGACCCCGAGGCCTGCGCAACATGAGTGAAGTCGAATGAATGCAGAGTGGCTTTGGGTCGAATGCGCCCGCTCGACAGGTAGTCATCATCTCGAGCTGGATAATGTGGCCTGGCAGGGTGGTCTTGTGCCATATGCTTGTCGCGCAGCTTTGTCAGGCGAACGCACTGGCGGCTCGCTAACGGAGCCCCAAGCCTTCGAGTCGAGCGCAGTTGTCTGGTATTGGGGGGGTCTCATCGCTCATTTGCTTGGGGGCAAGGGCGTGTCCTCGTATCACCTTCGCAGACGAGTCCCCAGTATATCGAATCATATCTTCAAGCGGTGCATGACTAGGAAACAAGCAGATGCGGGCTTACGCTCTCAAGCCTGTATGGCACCCCACGGCCGGGGAAGAGAACAATGACTAACAACACACCTCCAACTTGGTTGGTTGGTCCCTCCGCGTCAAGACGGCACGCAGTGGCAGCATCTTGAATGGCGAGTTCTTCTGGGTTGAGCGTTTGGCCCCCATCGAGAATCGACAGAATGGTGCAGGGCTGCAGGGGAGGCTTATGCCCCGATGCGAACCACTTCTTTGTCATGGATGCCTCAGCGATGCGCGCGGGCGACGGAGAAGCGTGAACAGCCGTCCGACACTCGTCCCCGTCTTGACCCTTTGCCCTTTGGCGTAATGCCCCAATCCGTCTGGCTCGAAATCACACTTTCTACTTCCCATGCGGGAATGTCACGGTTGCTTTGCCTGCGCCATCAAACATCCCAGACTGGAAACAACGGATGCTCGAACACGTCGTCGGCGCCAAAGAGACCTGTTTTCTCTGCAGCTGTTGCGTCGTGGTAGTCAACCATCTCTCCCTCACGGCTACAACGAGCAGGTGAGAAGTCGCAATACAGGCGTGCAACATGATGACTCCGGAAATTTAGCCTTCCTTTCGTCGTCGGTGAGTCCCCTAGGCGGCTTCCCATGGCGTGTCTCCTTTCGCCCCGGCCCCCATCGACTGGAATAAATGTGGATGGGAAAAAAAACCAACACAAAACACGCGGGCGCAGGAAAGCCACGCAAAGTTCCGCCCCCGGGAGCAAACCAGCACGCAGTTCATGCCCCTACCCGACCTGGACCACGTCTGCACGTCTCCGTCATGTATGTCGTCGGGGACTTGCAGGCCGCAGTGTCAGCAGGATAAGGTCCGTCGCCTCTCGATGGAACATGGCAAGTGACACTGGCAGCGGGAGCGGGAGCGGAGAGGGCCGGGGAAGGAGGAGTGGGAAAAGGACATTGGAGCGGGAAGATACATGACCTGAGCGCACAGAGCTTGACCAACGCCGGATCAAAGCTCAACGTCGCACAAGGGAAGGGAGAAGGTAGATAAGACGTCACGGAGGGATCTACGATACTACGGCGTTGGGGGGAAGCTGCGCAACGGGCGGCGCGAAGCTGATGGATCTGCAGAGTCGCACCGCGGTCAATGGAACAGCAGGATCATATACTCAATGGTATATTCTGTTTATCAAACACCTGGACAGATCCCTGCCTTTGCCTCCCAGAGGGGAGCAGAGGCGTCCACATCTACTTGCATCTCGAGGGTAAATACTAGACACCTTCGCCCTGAATGTCAACGTGAACCACTCTCCGCTCCCAACCAGAAGTCAAAGTACAAAAGAATCTGCCCAACGTCATCCCAGATCCTAGACACACAGAAGGATTGAATGTTGCCAAATGGCATCGGAAGAGCGGTCGGGGATATCAGTCCAGTAGATCCAGTTGTTGACATGTTTCGACATCGTGACCCAAATTGTCCCAACATTTCCCCTTCTCTTGATTTGCAGAACCTCTCGCATTCCAACAAACAGGCAGCATGCATACGCACAACCATATGTGAGAACCCAACTCTTCTATAAAAAGAATCCCCCGACGCCCACCCCCCTCCACCCACCGCAACCTAACCATCGGGCCGTCTTCTTTTTAAGAGAAAGTTGTTGTCAACGTAGCAGATGCTCCCATGCCACCGCACCCACCGCTAGGCGAGCCATCATAAGTACCATAGTTGGCACCAGGTTGAGACCCGTTTTCGCAGTTGAGGAGCTCGTAGCCGGTCATGCAGACATCCCCAGAGGAGCAGACGAAGACACAGGTGTCCATGTCAGTCGTGCAGGATGGTCCGACGATGCTCATGGAGTGCCCGTTCATGTTGACCTCGCGCGAAACGTCGACGACGCCCCACTCACCGAAGGTGAATTCACCCCAGGTGTTGCTGGCTTGTCCGTTCACCATCTGGGTATCGCTGTAGATAGCAGTCCAAGCGCCGGAAGCACCATCGGCGAAGGACACCCAGGTAGATTGATTCGAGGGAAGCGAGGCGGTGATGGTTGGCTGAACGGCATTGATCCAGGAGCCTGCAACACCCCAGATGACGAGAATCAGATCCTCGCCCGAGTCGTTGACGAACTCATTCTGGTAAGGGCCATCCTGTCCAAACCAGGCCTGTCCGTTGGAGGTGTACGAGTTGGCACCAAGCGATGCCACACCCAGGGAGGTGAGTTTCGCAGCATCGGCATCGGTCAGAGCGGCCTCACGTTTCCTACAGTTGACAAGTGTCAGTCCATATACGGATCTGTGTTACCAATGGGTCCCCTTACTCTACATGGTCGTGCCTGCGTTTGGCATGGTTGTGCAGATGTGAGTGAACCCCAGAGACAGTGGCAGCATATGCTTGGCCAATTGCGAGGGTGGCCAGCACCAAGGAGTGGAATGTGCAGCGCATTGTGTCTTTTTTGTCTGGTTCTGTAGCGGCTTGACTCTGCTTGGGCTTCTTGAGGTCCGGTCAAGAAGAGATGTCGTTGTTTATGTGTGTGAAAAGGAGTGGTAATCGCTGGGATTCTGTCGATCTCAGATCGAGAGGCTGGTAAAGGAGTGTTGTAGAAAGGGAAAGAGAGCGACGAAGCGAACGAAGCTTTCGCGTGAAAGAGTGAACGCGAGCTGTCTGCTGGCAGGGCTGGGGAGAACGAGCGGACGACGTCCAGAAGAGACGTCTGAGGCAATATAATCAATCAAGCCAACACGCACTCTGGGCGGAAAAATAGGAAGGAGAGCACAAGAGGAGAACAGACAAGGAAGAGACATGCAAGCAGAATGGGATGCAACAACAGAGGAGCCACCGCAGGGGGGCTAGGGAGATGGAGACCCAGCACGAGAACAGCTTTCCCAGCAACCAGCCAATTGGCATGGCTGATCCCCTGGCGATAGCCCACGGCTGTGGCGCCCCAGGCCCCAGATCACCCCTGTCAGTTGCCCGGTGGGCCTCATAGGTGTCGCCCTTTAGGCTTTGAGTCCGCCTTCGTGAAACGCCCTAGCTTCACACTGACTCTGCCAATTTCCAGGTGCTGGGCGAATCCTGGCTTTTGTTGCTCTCGGGTACCTGGCGCCAGCGCAGAGCTTATCCTCTCGCCTACGTCAGCCGGCGCAGTCGATCGGACTCCAACCTGGGCTTTCATTTCGGGTCCTCGACAAAAAGAAGGGGCTTGAGCGCCAGAAACAGGACCTGATCTTCACATCTGAGTTCGACCGCGAGGCTGTCTGGCAACAAACACGTCCAAGATTCCTGGGAATGCGCAAAGCGCGACGACAACCAAACAATGTGTGAGGCCGTTCCAGGCTTGAGGCTGGTCGGTTCAGATTCTGGGCGGCAAGGTCGAGGCGGCGCTTTCTCCCTGCCCAGAAACAAAAGTGGCTCCTCAAGAATGCCAATGCGGTCCAGGACCACAGGCCCAGATGGTAAAAGGCTTGGTGGGCTGGCACCAACTGGCACCTTTGCCATCCGATACTGCACACATCCTTGTGTATGTGTGTCATGCCATGTGCAGCGGGAATCCCAACAATCTGGCACATCGATACTCGGATTCGGCCAATTCGTTGACAGGAGCAGGGATTTGTTTACCAACAACGGGAATAAAGAAACCTGTTTCCATGCGCAGATCGTGTTCAGAGACCTTGGGTCGGATGGCCTCAGAACGTCACTGGCTGAAATCTCTGCCCAGTGTTTGCTCTATCATGTGGAACTCCGGAATAGATTCTATTGCAGGACTCGAGTGACCTGGATAAGGCAAGTAAGTATTAGCTTTGCGACCGACAAAGCGATGTCCGCACGGTCGTGACGATTTGGTACCAATCACTGGCATCTCTGCCTCGACACGGCTCACATGGAATCAATGGAAGCGCCGTTTCGAGAGTTTGTCATGATAAGCATGGTTCCATACCGAGGAAAGGGCGAGAATTGTTTAATTCTGTTTGCTAAGACGAATGAACTTTTCGGTGCATTTACCTCAGAGAGTTAAAGGCTTCGTATGGATATGCAAGTCTGGTGTGGGTGGATTGGTGCCAGACTCGAGCAATGGACTGTCAGTTTTCCAACCGACTGCTGGGCATTCGTCAATGCATGTCGGACTGTTACTGGAGCAGGGGGTCCCAGAACACCCGTTAGGCGAATGCAGGAACGAACTTGGCTGTCTCTGCGATAGGTATTCCCAGTTTGACTTTCTCCAGTCCCCGGCAAGCCCAGTGCTGTCAGGTACAGACAGATTTTTACTGGGCGTGCGTTATGGAGTGGGTACATGGCAATGCGTATTCTTCATCACGGTGCTGTCAGCTTTGATAAACTCTGCTGTGAAGGATACCGCTGGCGCATCGACCGGGGCAGCCTTGATAAGAGAAAGGATTGTTCTTTGCCAGTCGCAACACCCATGTGGGTTCCTAGGTTTGCGTTTTCTTCGTTCCTGGGCCGTTTTTCCTGGTCTCTTTTGGTTTCTCCGGGTTATACAGCCAGCAGCCAAGTGGACAGGAACGTTATCCATTTCGGGGTATACTGGTGTACACAGCGCGGTTGAGATTCCTCGCTCTCCGCAGATAGACAGACATCTCTGACTACACCATAGGTGTCTGACGTAGTTGTTGCTTTTCAGCGGTTGTTTAGACAGTCAACTGCGTCTGGCGGACATTCGTTTGCTTTCGCTGGGTAGGGCAATCTGGAGGTACTTGTTTAGTATGCACACATATGATGTGGATCCATGAAACTCGTGGCCCAACTGCGCTATTGCACATGTGTCGATTGGGTGCGCCAGCAGGGCAGCGAGTCAGGACGCTGACCCTTCTCGCACCGCTTCGTCGAAGAGCTCGATGCTGGTCAACCTTTTCTTACTTTATCAGCACAGCGAATCAGCACCGAATCCGTGAGGGATAATTGTGCCAATGTGCGGGAAGTGCCCTGACCAGGTTGGCTGGTCTCAATTGTACGCAGAGGAAACTTTTGAGAATTTTTCTTTTGCTTTTCTCAATTGGATATCTCGACATTGGAGAAATTTTTGCATCTTTCAGGTGGATACCGCAGAGAGACTAAGCACTGAGGGTGTGCTGCTTGACGGGATGCGATGGTGAGGACGGTAGAAGGAGTCGAGAGAGAATGTCTTTGTGGACGAGTCTGCTCACACCAAGGGTGCGAAATGCGACCACATCAACGATTGCGGGATCGGCTGTGGTTCGCTCGTCGTATCATGGCGGCTTCTTGGGCTGGGCTGTTGAGTAAGAGATTCCCTTACCGGCAGACTGTGTCCAAGGCGAGTGACCTTTCTCGTGATGATGGCGCAGTTTGTTGACAGAGGGGGAACTCACCGTGCAGCTTTGCGACGCCGAATATCCAAGGACGGGCGTGCTTGCTGTAGAGAGATTCCATCTCACATGCGTCTAACAGCAACGATGAGCATCGATGTTGCTGTGCAGCCAGCTTTTGTTGGCAGTGACTGGCTTGAAGACATGTAAACGCACGCTCTACATCTGCACTCGACGTGGTACTTAGGTACCTAGTCCGCAGGCACGCTAATGCAGCTTCGCGCAACAACGTCTCTCCGTTCCGCCTTCGTTTGCGTCGAAATCTCCAACTGCCGAGCTTCGACTTCGCTTCCCCCCCTTTTGTGGCTCGAACGATCCAGCGCTTGTTCGCGAAATTGACCTGGGACGGACTCGAAACGATTGCTCAAAGCGAGCCGCGTCATAATCTCGCTCATAATTTCGCTCAACTTTTCTGTCAACTAACGATATGCCCACATGATCCGTCACTTGGCTACTAGCACCGAGGTAGATGGCAAACATCCTTTCCTCAGCCGACGTTGTCTAGATAATTATCGAAATTGTTCTCTCCATAATAAATGCCACGCTTCCTTCATAAACCGGGCCCAAGCCATTGTCTGGACCGGCGTCCAAGTAGTCGTAAATCGTGACCTTTCCTGCCGCCTCTCGATAGGCGAGCTCTCTGCAATATCTCGGTCAAGATCGTGATTGCTCGCTTTTCGACGAACGACAATCATCCTTCCCCTCCCACGAGCCTTGGGTCGCTCTGTGTCCAAGAATGGTGAGCACAGATAGCCTGCTCGTTCCCCCAGTAAATTTGAGACACGGGCGTGCGAGTGCGTTTGGGAACATAATGGCGTCCGATTGGCTCCTGCTAAATGGGTTGAAAGCTTCGTTGCTGGGAATAGGAGCGGTGCGATTTGGTCCTTCCATTGGCAATCGCAGTCCTCCGCCTACTCTGCACACTTCCCTCAAGCCGCTGCACATATTCCCATAGCCCACTATCCAGCAGAAAGGCTGAGGCGACATGTAGATCGAAAAGTAAGCCTTAGTTGGTTTGCCAATGTCACCGATGATCATCGAATGTATTGACTCAAGCTTCGGTCGATGATAACGAAGAGAAGCTGTAATCAGCACGACACCCGTCGCGCATCCCAAGATTGATAAATCATTTGTCGCCTAGAACTCGAGGGGCCGCTCGAGGAACTGCGACAGAAGAGGAGAACATCGCAGTAGCGGTCCTCTGGGACTGGTCACGCGGGGGACCTTGATTTCCGCGATAGATCGCTTGGACTGCTCTGCGAAGCCGAACTTGGTGTCTCACTCAATCCACCACTGAGGAGACGCGCCAACCTTTCCAACCTGAGTCGTTGGATAGCGTCGTAGTAGAAGAACTTCTCTTGAAAGTTTCTCAGCACATCCATGGTGTCAAAATCTGGATTTGTCTCCTGAAAGCGTCGAATATGCTCAACAAATCCGATCTCAAAAAGCTGCTCGACGAACCATCTTTCTTCGTCGCTGCCAACCATAGAACACATGGCACCGATGGTAAGTACCCATGTCTTGAGCTGCCCTAGCCCTTCCCATTGGCCATGAGGTTCGTCGACTGACCAGAAAATGGTGCGCAGTTTTGGCGCTATTAGGCCTCCTAATCGCTTCAACCCGAGTATCACCATGGACGTCAATATCCACATTAACAACCCGACACGGACAGCGTCAAGGCTGGATCCTGGGTATTCCAGGGCCAGGAGCCGGTATCTAACAGCTGCGTGACGCCACTGTAGCCATCTCGCGGCATGTTTTGACGACTCTGGTGCTCCAAGGGGTGCATGATGTAAGACCCATGAGCATTCCGCCGTCTCCTGTATGATCTGAACCAGTTCCTCCGGGAAATATCCATGTAGACATAGTCGCTGCAGGGCTGGTGCAGAGCGGCTCAAGTCCTGTTGGGGAGCAAGCTGAAGCTCAGGCGGCGTGACAGCCCAGTATGGACCGGGATCGTATTCGCATGGCAAACTGCAGGGCTCCAGAAGAACGGCGGACATGTGCCCGTCCCCAATGATGAAGAGTTCTTTCAAAGCTGGGTCCGGGACATAGTGTAGGCCACCCCAAGAATCGAATAGCGCTTTGGCTGCTTGCATATGTATCTTTGCTGCTTGATAGTTTTGTCGGTAGGCATCCGCGGCATATAGGTGGAAGACGATTAAGAGCAATTGCTGTTTTGGAGCAGAACTGAAGCGCCGCCGCACTGCCTTCAGGGCGTTGCCCATATACTTGTCCGTTCCCTGACCAGGGACCAGGTCCACGTTCTCAATTCTAGCGGCCATGCAGGCTAGCATTGCATTCATTTCAACTTCACTTTGCATGGCCCTTCGAACGACCTCCACGGCGGTAGTTTGGTAGGTGTATGAACCTTCTCGGGAAGCCCAGCTTTCAGCATGCCATACGCTCGGATGAAAGTTTTCGCAGAAATAGCGACAGAGCTTCGCGACGTGTGGGTCGAGTTTGACGACCGATTGGCCAAAGGGGTCGAGAGAGGTCGAAGTAATCTGACTGATATCCTGAGGGGATGCCAGAGCGCGGGGAGAATTCAACAACACAACTGCTTTCTCCTCGACAGTCTTGTTCGCCGGCGACTTCGGTGTCTTTGGCTTGGAAGCGTTTTTGCCAGCCGGGGGTTTTGATTCGGGAATTTCCTCAATCTTGTGCTCGGCGAACTTGGCGCGCGGAGACAGTCGAGCAGGTAGCCATGTCTGGATGCCGCGGTCTTCTAGCACGGGCTCACTTTTGATGGATGGGAGGGATGGCGACGAGTCAGCGAGGACAGGATCCGTCGAAGAAGCAGCAGCACTTTCTCGAGCAGCATTCTTCCTTGCCCTAGCCCCAGCGCGGCTGGCGCTGGTGGCAGAACGCCGATGTCGACGACCGCGCTGGACATGAGAGTTGATGGAGGTCTGTTCAGCGGCACTGCTGCGGGTCAGCGAGGCGCTGGCAGCGTCCTTATTGACGAATAAGAACTGAGGTGGCATCTTTCCAGGTCACGAATGGAGTCTTTGTGGATCTTCATGGTCAACAACGCCTTCCATCATCGGCTCCCGAGGTCATGGCGAATGTAGCAAACCATTGTCGATGTCGCGTCTTTTCTTTCTGCCCCTTCGCCGGGAGGTCGAGAAGCTGTCTCTGTCTCTGTAAGTGTCGGTAGTGGTATGATGGGCCAAACGGAAAGACGAAGCGAGGCTGGTGGGCACAATCGGTGAATAATCCGGGGTAGGCGAAAGCTGTGTCAGGAGAGGGGAACTCAAGAAACGGGCAGAGAGGATGTGGCTTTTAGCCTCGGGCCTAGACCACGGCCCGCATCATAGATGAGTGGCGCCATTCCTGATCGAGCCCACGCTAAGCGAGATTGGATCAAGCGTCGGACAACGCCATGTTCCAAACGTGATTGCGTTATCTCCGTGCCACCAAAGCTTTCCATGTGGTTTCTGGCACTATCTTACGAGACCAGGCCGAGTAGGAAGAGATATTCTCAGTATCTTGCCTTCGATCCCGCTCATTTTCTCATTCGCTAGAAGAATACATTCAGCAACAAAGCCTCCACCACGTAAACAACATCATTAGGCAAATCAAATCCTCGAACCCCCGTTGGAAAAAGACCCAAGTCGTCTGCATCAAGCCTCGGTTTCCCTGTTGGTGACTTTCTCATAGAACTCCAGGGTCATCGCCGCAAGGAAGCACGGGATCTGCTTCTTCTCCTTCACCCAGAAATTGATCAGATCTCTGATCTCCGCAGCAAAGGGACTGTCGGGCCCGCCGCTTATCTTCATGGTACCGTTGTCTCCGTCGAAAATGATATAGTGGTCGTCATCCTCGTCCTCGCTCTCGTCTCCCAGATCATGAGGCCGTCCATAATACATGCTCGAAACTTTGGCCTTTCCGTTGGGAAGAAAGTTGACTTTGTATCCCAGGACGCTCGCAATAACATCCCGGAATTCCGCGGCCTTTTGCGTCCAGATCTCTCGCTGTCGCCTCATCCGCTTTTCCTTCTCGGCCACAACCATTTCCATATCTTTGAGATCCAATTTGAGCGCATCAACCGAGCTGACAGGGACCATTTTCACGCCTTCAAGATCGCCACCCCTCAGCTGTGCGAGAAGCGCCTTGTTTTCTTCCTTGAGCGTTCGTAACGTCGACAACTTTATCGCCTCGGCTTTAGCAGTAGGATTGTCTCGGAGCTCTAGGACTCGTGTTTTAGAGCTCTCCCGTAAGGCTTTGAGTTGTGCTTTTGTCGCTTGAAGATCCGTGGCCAGCATTTGGGACTGTTGAGCGGTCTTCTGCAACGCAATTTGGAGGTTCTTGTTCTTTCTCAATAATGCACCTAGCTGTGAGTTACCTCCTTCCCCGTCCGCCTCCTGTGAATCTGCAGGTCGCTTTGTTCCCCGAGGCTCGTCCAGAACAGGGGCGGTGGCTGCAGGCACCACTTCAAGTTTTGATAGATCGGAGTGGAGTGTGTGCACTTCAGCCTTGTATTGATCGACCAGGTTTTCCAAGTTCTTAATCTGTTCAGACCGTTGTGCATCGAAGTTCTGGTTGTCCATCAAGACAGTCTCCTCGGTGTCGAAAGTCTTCAATTGAGCTCGAAGATATTCGACCTCTTTGACGGCGAGGACCCGTTGTCGCTCTAGTCTCTTGTAAGCTTTATTGTCCTGGCCCGCGTCCGCCGGCGCAGTCTTTGTAGATTTCAAATTCTCGACCTCGCTGCTCAAGGCTGCCTTGTCTCTTTCCAGCGCTCTGATGATCTCGTCCTTTTCTGAGAGGTCGCTTTCGACTGTGCCCAGCCTGTCTACCATCGAAGCATACTCGATTCTTTGCTGGATAAGAGCTTTCACAACGGCCTCGGGAGAGTCGAATTCGCTCTCTTGCCCATCGCGCTGCAGAAGGCTCGTCCATGTTCTCTTTTCATCCTCGAGTATCTCTCTTTGTATCTGAGCCTCTCCTAATTGTCTCTGCACGTCCTTGAGCACTTGAAGCTCGATTTCTAGACCGTGTTTCTGTTCTTCGACGACTTCGACACTGCGGTGAGCATCGCGCAGTCGCCGTAGCTCAGCCAGTTGTTCTCTATTGGTTGCCTCGAGTTTTCGAATGTGAGTCAATTGTTCAGAGAGCTGGTTCTGCAGGACCTGGATCGCTTCGCTGTCCCCAGAATGCGACTTTAATGTGGCCACTTCGGTTTCAAGGCCCTCGATTTTCGCATCTCGTTCGGACAGGCGCGCCTGCGATGACTCGAACTGCTGGCCCAGTTCTTCCAACTGTTGTCTGACACCATCCACGGTCTCTTGGAGGGCAGCACGTTTTGCCTCAACGTCATTGAGTTGGTACTTGTATTGCCTCTCTTGATCAGCGAGACGCGCCTGCGCGTCTGTAGCATCTTCCTTTAGAGAAGCAGTTTGGTCTTGTAAATCCCGCAGTTGTCGTTCAAGCGCGGCTTTCTCATTGATTTTTTGGTCCTGCAGTTCGCGCAATTCCTTCACCAGGGCCTCTTGTCTCTGCGTCGCCTTTTGAGCGGCGCCTTCGGCAGTTTGGTACCTTTTGAAGTCGGCATCTGCTCTGAGCTGTTGTTCACGCAGCTCTTTTTCATGCTGCAGCGCCAGAAGACCTCGCTCTTGTTGCAAATTTTTGAGCTCGTACTCTAGGGCGTTAATCTTCGCACGGAGATTTTCATCTTGGGTCGGATCGGCTCGAGAAACAGAGGGCTGGCGGAGTCTGGACTGTCTGAAGGGCTGCGGAGGATTGTCGACTGCGCCTCCAGCGATGAAGTCGTATGATGGTTGGGTGCTTGTGAGTCGATTTTGCCCGGCTGCGGAGGTTGGTCGAGGCAGCGCTGATTGCCCGCCCGAGATGCTTTTGCGACCAGAGAGAGAGGTTCTTGAGGTCGACAAGCGCATGCGCTTGGACGCGGGCGAGCTCATGTTGCGCAGCGCTTGCACGGTAAGAAGAGGGCTACTAATCACTAGATGAGGATGATCGAAGGAAGAGGAGTTGGTTGTTTACACTCGCTGTTTTCGGCCTGGAAGTTCGACCAACCAAACCCCCGAAGATACGCCGATGACACCCTCGAGCCTCAACCTCCATTCACACTCGTTTCACCCTCCATTCACTTTACACAACTGCATTGAGATCATCGTATCATGTTAGGTACCTCGCTTGCTACCAGGTAGGTATGAACAGCCTCCTTGCCCGCATAGACCGCATTGAGTCCTCCAATAGCTTACTAGCACCTCCCTGTTATCAATTCGGCCTCGATGTCTCTCTGAGTACTCTCAGTCGGTTATGCCGTTCCGTTTATCACATCGATCGCAATGCTCGGTAGTGCTGAAGCAATCTTCGGATTGGCTCAGGAAGCATTCAAGACAAATACCCGGGATATCTCTGGCAAACTCATTGACACACTTTTGCAAGTCTGCAGCGAAGTCGCGCTCACAATAAAGACAAGCACATCTCTTTCTGATCAGCTCCTTCCAGGTTTCGCTCGTGTCGAGTTCTCGAGCGATGCGTTGCACTGTAAGTGCCATCCACCGCACTGTCTGAGAACGTGAAAACTCCGTATAGGGTGCAAGCTCGTGAGACATCAACTGCGCCATCAAGTACAGGTATTTCTCGGACTCCCGGATGGTCATGTCGGAATTGGGTTGACACTTTGGTCCAATGCATTGATGTATTTTCTCCAGGAATTTCGCCTTATACTGCATCTGACTTTTTTCGATGAGACCTAGAAATATCAGAGAGATCCATGAGAACAAAGGAGAAATCAATTCCAAACCTTTGACTTCGCAGCTGTTTTCGAGGTCACTCGCACCCTCGAAACTCCGGAATAAAGTGTCCGATGAATAGATCATAACCCTTGTCAATTTCCAGAACAACTCATCAAGCCGGAATGCAGTCGCCACATATAACAGTGCTATCCGGTGGTACTTATGCACTGGAACATTTTCCTTGTTTACAGTCTCCGGCAACAGAAAGTACGCCGAATAACTTGCGTGCAATGCTTCACTGGCACTCGCGAGCTTCATCATCACCCACGGCTTCAACGTTGGAATGCATAGTCGCATTTTTGCAACTGTTACCAACTTGACCAGATCCTTAAAATTGAGGTGATCGAGATTCTCGATCTTGTGGTGGAATATTTTGAGGAGAGTCAAGATGATTCTTGGGTCATCCTCTGGCAGGCGAATGACCTTGGTTCTTCCTTCGACGAACGACGATGACAGCATGCGCGAAAACACCTCGGAGGCGAGGCTGACGACTGCCCCAGAAACCTTGATGTCAAGAGCATGCTTGCCGCTGCCGACTTTGAAGAGGACATCCCCGTCGGCAACGACTTCGACCAGTTCGGCGGTACGAGCTTCTTCCGCATTTTTGTCCGAGTCCATCGCGTCGGCTTTTCGCTTGTTCCCTGTGCTAGAATGGCCCAGGTTTGGTGTGTTGAGCATTCTACCAGCCATAGCTGATTTCGATGATATACGGAACTCCGTGAGATGGACCTGAGACGGCTGATGAGTGAGAAGAGGCTGACGGTTTGGTAAATGGTGGTTGTGGGTAGAGATAGGAGGCAGGGTTGGGTAAGGTGGTTGAACAAGCAGTGATAAAAGAGTGAGGTCAAAGAAATAAACAGCATTCACTCTACCTCTTATTTGGCTGGCACTTGTTGTCCAGGGCGCCCTCTGATACAACGATGTTCCTCTACACTTGACAGCAACGGTGAGGAAGAGCCTGTTCATGTCCCACCCACCTGACCGGGACACATCGGCATGTCGACGTTTCCAGTGCCTTCCTGAATCTCATACCTGCCAACTCTCTCCCCTGGCGTGGGACTCGTTCGCCTCCGACCTGCTCCCGCTTTACCCTTGCATCATAGGGATTACGGTCGAAGACTGATGGATTTGAAAGGGATCTCGTTACAAGGACCAAGAGAAACTTCCACGGTGAGATCCTTTTAGCACTCTCAGACCCCGAAGGACAAGTCACTCCTACCCACTCCTGCTATCCTCGACCTTCATTCGAATTCCTCGCGACGGAGTCAAAGCGTACTGGGATACGGAGCTGGCCAGTATGGCCGTTCATACTCTAAATACTCTAAGAGGCACTCGAGAGACTACCGACAAGGAGCCTTTCAACTCCTTCACTGGACCCATGAGAAATCACACATGTAAATTGTGGTAGGACGAAGCGAAATGGTACAAAGCTCAGGGCAGATGAAACATGAAACTCGCTCCCTCGTTTCCTTCATCGACACACCTCCCGCAAGTGCTGCTGGGGCATTCCAAAATCCCGGCATCTAACGTTTTGCATCATCATCAGCGACAAGAACGCTCGCCTTCACCCACGCACCCTAGACGGCGACAACTGCGACGGCCCCTGCTCCGAGCAACACTCCCATCAACCCGACGGCGCCGGTAGGTCTGGAGGCAGCGCCGCCGGTGTAGGTGGCCACGACCGACATCGCATCGGGAGTCCAGGCGGAGCTCGCTGGCGTGCCTGAGACCGAGGCGGCGTTGACCGCGTAGCTGGTCGACGCCGCGGCGACTGGGGTGTTTGCCGGCGTGAATGCTGGGGGGTAGCCGCCTGGGGTGTACGCGGCGGGGGAGGCACCTGGAACGTAACCAGCCGGAGAAGCGCCGCCGGTAGAGGCTGGAACTGGAGGAGGAGCGGCCCCTGGAGTATACGCCGCAGGCGCACCACCGGGAACATACGGCGGCGAAGAACCCGCGGCACCTCCGTACGTCACCGCCGTGGCAGCGACTGTAGCAGAGTGGCCGGCACCGGGCGGGTGTCCCTCACCGTGCTCGTGCCCTGCAGGTCCGTAGGTGGTGTATGGCTGGAGCGGCGCCGTCGGGGTGACTTTCCAGGGACACGACGCGGTCAGGCTCGTGCCCTGGCATGTCGCGCAAGGGTAGATGACCGCGGGCTCCGCCGTGGGCTTCGATGGGCAATGAGTCTGGGATGCATGTCAGTGCGCTGCACGTAGCGTTCGTTCGTCATGGGAGGGGGGTCCTGACCGTTGTCGCCGTGATGAAGTCCGTCACGGTGATTCCCTGGGCCTCGAAGGCGCACACGTAGCATGGCATCGACGGGATGGGCGTGTTGTAGATGGGCTTCTGGTACGTCGAGAGCACGCTGGTGGTGGTGTACGTGACTGTGAAAACAGGATCAGTATTTCTAGACGCATTCAAGACCTTGCGACGCGGAGTGGCATACCTGTGCTGGTCGGGTCAATGGTGCTGCACTGCTCGACCTCGGTCACAGACACGATGACCTCGATGCCAATGCACTGCGATTTGGGGACCGAAGGCGTAATGTACGGAGGGGCGGTCCAGGCTCTTCTTGAGGTCGTGGCCGTCACCGGGCTGGCTGTGGTCCTGGTCTTCGAGCTGACAATGGAGGAGCCAGTCGACCAGGTCGTCGTGTTCGTGTAGGTCTTGGATATGGTGGTGGACAGGACAGACGTTGTAAAGGTTGTCGTTGTGCTCGAGGACGTCGAGGTCTAATACAAAAGGTCAACCAACGAACATTGGCCCGGGGGTCATTGTCCCTTTTTTTCCCATACCGTGGTAGAAGTGGTCGAACTGCTGGTGGTGTTGGCGGAGCCACAAGTGCCGTCTCCGTTGGCAATGCCGCTCTCACACTTGCAGCTCTTGGAACAGCCGTCGCCGTCCACGGTGTTGCCGTCGTCGCACTCTTCACCCAGCGAGGGATCGAACTTCCCATCACCGCAGCCGGCCGGGGTTGCACCGCGGCTTAGAATGTACGGCAGACCGGAGTGGCCGTCACCATAGCTCTGGGTGCCGGTCGTGATGACCCCGTCTGCGATTGCCAGCGCCTGGAAGCCATTCTGCCCGACCGAAGGGTACGAGGAGAAGGCCTCGTGGGTGCTGTAGGACCAATTCGACAGATCGGCGTCGGTCAGGGTGTCGATCGCGGGCGACGAGGCCACGATATGGATCTCGTTGTACCCTCCCGCGCCATTGTTGTCCTGGCCAAAGACCTTGAAGTCGCCGAAATAGGACAGCGCCGGCACGGGGGTGTCGACGGCGGCGGTGTTGTAGTACTGTGAGAGGGACAGGTAGAATCCGGTCTGGGAGGAGCCGGTGGAAGAGACCCCGGCGGCGGCAAACTTGATGCTGTTGTCAATGAGCACAGACGCACCGGCGACGCCTTGGGAATCGTGGTTGGACTGATCGGCGCCTGCATCGTGTCAGCGGTATCCCGTGCTTCGAGACCCATATTCCCTCACCGTGGATGATGACGTTTCCGGTGACAGCAGGCCCCCAGGTGGTGTTTGTGTCTGCCAGGACCTGGATCAGACTCACGTCACTGCTCCCGAACGGATCGCCGATGATGATGGCTTTGAAGGCCGCGAAGTCAGATGTCTTCATCGCGCGCCATTCTGTCTCGGTGACCACCTTGGTGGTGAACCCCAGGCCAACGGCATGCTCTTCCTCGTCCCCCACCAGCTCGTCCAGGAAGAGGAGATCTTCAGCGACAACGGAACCGACGAGCGCGAAGCCCGCGGCGATGGCAGAGAAGCGCATGACGGCGGGAAGGAAAAAGGCAAAGAAATTGACAATACCCTCTGAAGTCCGGAACGAGTGGCTGCAGTTGGAGGAAACGAACGACTGGGACGAAAAGAGTGGAAAGAAGGTGTCGACCGACGACACCAGACGGTGGAGGGTTGGTGACGGCTCGCCCTTTTATTGAGAGGACATCTGATCCACGGGACTTCTGGAGCAGAGGCTGCTCTGCCTCGTTCCCAGGAGTGACATGGTGATTGGCAAATCACAATCGAGGCTGCTCAAATCCAGAAAGCCACGGAGAGCTGGAAATAGGAGACAGCAATCAGATGGGCGAGACAATAATACCACAACTTGCAGGCTCCCGAGTATCGAGCCTCGTATAGACACTTGACAGAGACGGCCATGGCTGATGGCTGACAGACAAACACGAAGGCCAGGCGCCGGGAAGACTGAAAACTTTGAAGATGTTGTACCACCAACCAGCCGGATTGGAGATGGTGGCGTCTCGTCCAGACCGATTCCCAGCCTCACAGCCTTGTTTGACAGCCTTTGGTCGGTAAGACACCAATCTCCCCTGCAGTCCGTTATACGGGTTTCGGCCCCGTGCCTGAGCCGCCATAGGCGTCAAAACACTGGCAAACAAGGCGCAGCTCTGGGTTCGATCAAGGGCGACGACGAGGAAATTTGACACCCTGCTCAACCCTCTGGAGGATGAGGGTGAAGCCGCCCTGTATGCACCCCCGACTCCTGCCAAGGGAATGGCGCAGGAGGTAGAGTAAGCCACAGGGGGTGAACAGCAGTCTTCTGCCACCACGGGTTCCAGTTGCTCAGTCGATTCTGCGGTGTTGATAGTAGACAGCGGGGAGTGGAGCAGTAGGATGCGACTCTTGAGAGCTCTGGCTCCAACCCTTCTGCTATACTGCACTCGTAACTTGACTGGTGCGCCCCTCGTTTCCACAGCCTCGCCCAGGGGTTTCAGCCTTGCGCTTGAATGGTTGCGAATCCCCGCTGTGAAATGTCCGCAAACTCGCCCGGGGGCATCCCAGCAGAGAAAGCCGTGGCAGGAGTATAGCTCACCTAACCAAGGGTTCAAAATCAGCTGCCCAATACACCGAACCTGCGACAAATTCCGGATCGAGGCTCCATGCCTGAGAGGCCCCGGAGGTCGATTTCCCCCCCCCCCCCCCGGAATCCCGGGAATCGCCCTATTTTCCGTCCTCGCTGGGCCACAGGCGGATCCATATGCAACTCCAGCAAGACTTCTATGCCACCACCTCCCTTAGCAGTGGGGAAAACTGCAAATACCGTCCTAGAGTGCTCGGAATGTATGACCTACATTGATGCCTACGCTTAGGTGTTTTATGACAAAACCCCCCTCCACCTCGTCTGAGCTTTCCTTTCCCTTTTTGTGTTTCTTATCATGAAAGCGCGCGAGTAGCCTTCCACGGCATGGTCCATCTAGGTCCGCATTCATACCCATATTTGCACCACAATGCCTCAACCCCTGGTGATTGTGATCGGCGCCGGCGTCGTCGGTCTCTCGGCCGCCCACCGAATCCTCACGAACGATTGCTCCGTGCGCGTTGCGGTCGTGGCAGCAGAGCTGCCCAGCGACCCTCCGGCGCTGAACACGCCAGACTATGCGTCCATGTGGGCTGGGGCTCACCACCGGCCCGTGCCCGGTGCCACGGCCCAGTTGAAGCTGGAGACGGCCCTCGCACGGGAGACGGCGGCGGTGATGAGGCGACTTGCTCACGAGGTCGCCGAGTGTGGCGTGGAGGTCACCCCGGCGATCGAATATCTCGAACGCCCGACAGCGGCGGAAACGAGTCTGCAAATCGGCGCGCCGTACGCGTGGGAGGGTGATGGCTTCCGGGTCACACCGCGCGACATGCTGCCGCGTGGTGTCGCGTGGGGATGCGAGTACCAGACCTACTGCGTCAACCCACGGATCTATTGTCGTTGGCTGCTCAGCCGCATCCAGCGCATGGGCGCACGGGTGGTCCGACATTCTCTGGACAGCGTCAGAGATGCGTTTGAACTGCCCCATCACGTGGGTCTAAGCAACCCCTCGATTGTGGTCAACTGTTCGGGGAGGGGCATCGATGCTGATCCCAAGGTCGGCATCGTCCGTGGTCAGACAGTCTTGGTGCGGCAACAGCACGACAAGACGGTCACCCGCCAATGCGCCGATGGAAGCTGGGCGTTCCTCATCCCCCGGCCTGCCGCAGGCGGGACCGTTGTGGGCGGCACAAAGGAACCGGACGACTGGGAAGCAGGCGCAAGGATGGAGACGCAAGCGAGACTGTTGGAGACCGCGGCAAGACTGTTCCCTGACTTCGTGTCCGATCCCGGCACGTTTGAAGTGATCGGCGTGAATGTCGGGAGGCGGCCATGGCGAGAAGGGGGCACGAGAATAGAGACCGAGGGTGTCGGTGCCGGACGGTATATTGTGCATGGCTACGGTGCAGGGGGAAGAGGTTATGAGTTGAGTTGGGGAGTCGCTGCGAGAATTGCAGCCATGGTCAAGGATTGCACGCAGCAGTTGAAAGCTTCGCTGTAATGACTTGTACTATGTAGGAGGAGATTCTTATAGGAATCCATCAGAACGAAATGAGCATCGCTCGACTTCCCTACGAGAGAGGCCCCAGCTAAAACCGATAGACTGTGCGACATCTTACTAACAAAAATTGTGCTTAACACTTGATACTAAGCCGTCTTGCGTTAAGAAACCAACAAATTCCATGTGCAAGGGTGTCGGACTACCTGGAGCAAATGGTTCGATTGCAGTATGGAGAGCATCCCGGGAAACACGCCGTCAAGACATATATACGCAAAATCCGAACAAGGTCAAACTATCTTCTCGATGATGCGACCCCAGAAGGTTGTGGCCGGGACGGTCGGCTCGATCTCTCCCTCTTGGAGACGACCAGACCACAGGTCGATCTCGGAAGCACGTACAAACTGCATTTCCATTGGTTAGCATTAGCAATGCTGGCCGCAGAAACGACTCGCAGAAACGACATGTGGACAGACAAATAGGCACTGACCTTTGTACGATGGACCAGCTTCCACACAATAATCGGCACAATGAAAATCGGGATCCCAATGTAGGCGGAGAAGAAGTTCGAGGTGTTCCAGTTTCCCTTCAGGAACACGGGGAAGCCAGCAATCAGCACGATGACGGTGGAGCCAATGAAGCCGATCCAGGCGGCATATGGCTGGAATGGTGACTTCCAGGGCAGCGAGTCTCGGCTGACGCCCTGGGCTTTCATAGCCGCATAAAAGCGGATGTAGCAGAAGGAGAGTGTCGCCCAGGCCAACAACCCAGCCACGGTGCTGAGAGCCTGTAACCATGCCCAGGCCTGCGATGGACCGCCCTTGCCGAGGCCTATTGATGCCATGTTAGTTAACCATAAACCAGGCCCTTTCTGCATGCCACACGCGAGCACAATACTTACTCAGATACGCCAGTGGCCCAAATAGCCATACGGTACAGACAGCGATATATGGCACGCCCTTCTGGGTGACCCGTCCGAAGAACTGTGGCAGGGTGCGATCGGTCGTCATGGCCACGAGCATGCGCGAACTGACCCAGCAGTACGAGTTGCCTGCGGACCAAGCGGAAACAAGGATGCAGGCATTCACGATAGACGGCAGAGCGGTGATCCCGGCTTCCTTGATAGCAATAACCCATGGCGAGCTGTTCGCGTTTCCCTGCCCAGAAACAAGGCCCGGATTTCGTGGATCAACGATCATGCCAATGAGCAGGGCGCCAAATATGTAAAAGAAGCCGATGCGGTAGGCCACACGGCGGGCGGCTCTGGGGATTGCGCGATGCGGGTCTGCCGATTCGCCTGCTGCAATGACGACGATCTCGACACCGATGAAGCTGAAAGACGCGTTGACGAATGAGGACAAAAACCCGAAAAAGTGCCCAGCGGCACCGTGGATGCCATTGTAGTTCGTCCAGGGGCCAGGGTCGTGCCAGTAACGGAAGCCGATGGTTTGGTGCTTCGGTCCGCCTCCACAGGTAATGACAAGGGACACGAAGATGAGGCCGATGAAGCAGAGAACCTTGACGGCCCCTCCAATAACCTCGACGTCGCCATAAAAGCGGACGCTCATCAGGTTGAAGGCCAGGATCAAGGCTAACCCAACGCTGATGACCACCGCAGGTGAAATGTCGCTCCAGTAGCTCACAACAATAGCAGCTGCAGCAGTCTCGGAGGCAATGGAGATACAGTAGCAGTATGTGTATGAGATGGCGAGCGAGAAACCGACAGCCGGATCGATGAAGCGGGTGGCCCAGTGAGGGAACGATCCAGCAACGGGCAGTAGGGTCGCCAGTTCGCAGATGCTTTGCATCATCCCCCACATCACCGTCCCGACGATGCAGTAGGCCAGGAGCAATCCCGCTGGGCCGGCTTTGGCGTAGGCGGCGCCAGTACCGACAAAGAGACCAACGCCGATGCCGCTGGCAAATCCAATCATGGTGACCTGGTAGTTCCGCAAGCGGCGTTGTGTGGCACCACGGCCACCGACGTTGAGCTCTAGCATCTCATCTTTGATGTGGACAGCAGACTCTTCAATTGATACTTGTTGGATAAGGTCTCCTCGAGGAGACTTGGGAGGATCGTCCTTGATCGAATCTGCCTTCTCCATTATCTTTGCGGTGAGTGTGCCTGGGGGTTGGCGACAGCGGGAATGGTGAACCGCGAGAATCATAAAGGGGAGATTTTGGGAACAGTCAAAGCGGAGAACCGTGAGTGTGGGTGGTGCAACCAAGATATAGATATCCCGGGGATTCAACCATGGTCCCGATCTGCATGTCTGCTGGCACCAAAAGGGTGGTATCAGTTTATGACCGATTGTTATCTCGCAGCTCTCACTGAACCAAACTTCTAGGTGCCGCTACCGAATACAGGTGCTGGAGCTCTGGAACACTGGCTGGATCCGACCATATGAGCGGAGATCACACGGTTTCCATGTTTTCCGTTGTTTGGGCAGCTCAATCGGGGACATCCGCTTACCAATGACCAGACTTATCTTGTTCCTGTTCTCGATAGGATCATACAGCCTATCGCACCCATCTTGATATGCGGGGATGGATGGCTTGCTGCCAGAGGAGCTGATCCAGTGGCTGTCTCTAGGCTCTACCTCACTCAGAGCACAGCTGTTTTTCTCAGAGAGGAAAGTGGGAATATGGCACTGTAGAGTCGTTATCTAGGCCTGGTCTTCCTGTAGAGATGGAATGGCCTCTGGCGCTGGGTGGTTTGTCCGTGAATTCGTCGAGTCGCTAGACCAGATCGTCCTACAAACCATCATCATCAGATTCGTAGCTTTCTATCCCTAGTCGCAGGAACATGTTCCTCCTGAGCATCAAGAGCTTGTGATCGTGGCACAGGAGAAAACGGTTCAGAAGCTTTGTGGAAAGAACAAGGCACACCCGGAGCGGATGGGACCTCGCGCCAGAGGAGTCGGCGAGTTGTCGGTCGAGAGCGACCTGGACTGTGACATCTCGGAAGCCGAGCCGGAGAACAACAAACCAATTCGATATCCGATCACGTGGAAGGCTTTGCGAGCCATTTCCGTCCTTCCAATCCCTGTTCAGGGATCGTGGACGACGACTCAATGCAATCGCGCACGAAGTGAGGAGACTATGACCCGGTTGCCTCTCTATATGTTTGGCAGCTCATTCCCCAACCTACCGCCTTGGTTCTTCCACCTCCCGGTCTGCATCTCTGGGCGCATCTTCTGCATACTTTCTGTATCCATGGTCCGGGATTGCAAAAGGGGTTAGAGGTTGCGTACGTTATCGCTGTCAGCTTGTTCCAGGAAACGGTCCAGCATGTATTTCTCATCACAGACAATTCTCCAGCGGAAACCATCTCAGATGAATGCTGTGTTCAGGCTGGTCGGAACCAGTCCAGCTCATCGGGCGTCACATGGGGAAAGAAGTCGTCAATCGGCATGTGCTCGAATTCCTGAAACCGTGGCGAGAACGCGTTGAAGGACATGGGAAGATTTTCCGCCGATTCCGGCCACTCCCCTTGGTCTTCCTCCTCCACCAGTGGATGCGTGAAATGCGTGGTGATGCCGATGCTCGCGTCTCCGAGACCACCGCCTTGAGAGATCAGCTGTGGACTCGTGGACGCATCCTGTGTGACAAGCAACAGCTGCGGATCAAGAAGCTCCCAGAGCATCAAGGGCGGGAAGGTTACTATGGTGCTTCCGTCTGTAGTTTCGGGCGCCCGTTTTGCAATGGATTGCATATTGCGCAAGATCTCGAGCTGTCACACCTTTGTTAGCCATCCGGTGCAGAGGTTCGGATACAAATACGATCTCAGGCGCCATTGCGTGAACCACCGAAAAGCGGAACTACTTGACGTACCTTTTGCGCGATGTGCGGCCATTCGCCCGCCATACGACTGAGGTATTCGTCGCCCTTCGCCAGATCCTGTTTGGCTTTCTGGGCGACCTTTTGGTCCTTCGCAAACTGAAAGAATAAAGGAATTGTGGCGGTGGCTGCGACCAGGTGTCCGATCAGCGGGTCATGCTGCTCCAGGTCTTCGCAGATGTGAATGAGGCGAAACACCCAGCCGGCATGGAAAAGAGCCTGGTCCACCGTCTGTTGTAGGAACAAGCGCGATTGCGGGACGCCTTGGTTGCTGCGCATGGCAACTATGTGGAGGAATGGATGGTTTAGAATTGCCGGGGCTGCGTGAGAGATGATCTCCATGGCTGCCCAGGGCCGCCAGTAGCCGTCCTGCTCGGCAATTTCAGAGTGCGATCGTCTTGACAGCGATACGTTTCTGAGGAGGTGTTGCTGCGGCAGCTTGGCCTCGCATTCGTGCATTTTCATAATCAGTCTTGCGTACGTCGATTGAGACGACCACGGCGTTTCTACCTTTCCTGCACGTACTTCGTGCAAGTAAACTGCGACGTCTCCCCAGAGGGAAATCTTGTCAAGCCAGTACGCATTGATGCCGAGGTCCTTGATGGTTTCTTCGGAGCTAAAATATGGAGGCTGGCTTTCGTTTCTGGTCGTAGGATGGGGCGTTGGCAGGGGTGCACTTGGAGGGTAGTTGAGGGTTGCCACGCTGATCGAGGGCAGCCTCGATATGCACGCGGGAAACGTCTTTTCAAGTATGAAGATGCTCCAGAAGCACTTTAACGCAGCATCTTGTTGGTCACCTTCGTCTGAGCCTGGGTCCGGGGCACTTTGCCGTAGACTTGCAAGCCGAGAGGTGGTTCCGATGGTCATCCACGCTCGAGTGAGTTTGTGTGCTTAAAGTGCAACGTTAGTTCAACCGCCAGGCGGAGAATCAACAAGACAATCACCTTTGATATCCTTAAAGGCCAGTAGACACAGTGACTGTAGTACGTCCACCCTCGAATTACCGCCAGCAGCTAACTTCATAACCGTGTCTGCGGCCGAACGCGAGTACAACTTGATTGCCTCCGAGCTTTTACCTTTGTAAAAGTCATGGTTCGAAAAGGACACTGTAAGTGCCAAGAAACTCCAGCGAAGATATTGAGGCGAGTTGTCAATGATGGTCCGCAAGTCCTCGGGGCTCAACAGAGGTAGCGGTTGGAGATGTATTTTCTTGCGGTATATGTCAACGAGATAGTCCAGCACCTGTGGAGGAGGCTCTGGTCTGGCAGAAGAGGTCAAAACTGGTCAGGAATTCGGAGTACACATGGATCGAGAAACAGAATTCCAGCACTACCTCGTAGACTCGAATGAAAAAGAGACCGCGGCCTCTGATGGACGTGCGGTCACATTCGAGGTTGACCGGTGAGGTTGGGAAACCCCGTCACCAAGATGTTCAGCGTCGTGTGAGGAATCGCCCCTGGAATTCTTCAAGGATCTTGATAGCAGGACACATTAACCCTCGTGGGCGCGATGGGTGGGTATAGATATGGAGATGACGCACTGCAGTATGTCGAAGATATCACTGACTTGGGCTTCAAGTCTCCGGAAACGCTCTTGCGGGGCACTGGGAGGCCATCAAGGCAGGTTGGCAGGTTGCTTTTGCGTAGGATTGAGAGAGGAACCAGGCTCACGCTTTCGTTACTCTGCCCGAGTTGGCGTCTGCTCGTGGCTGCTCTCTCGGCAGATACAGGCATTCTTGATTGAGTCGACGACAGAACGAGCAGGTCGGTCTCTCGGCGGTACACTTGATTTTCTTGCGCCTGCACAAAGCGGTAAGCATCCCTTCGCGGCCTGACGGTCGTCCAGGGCACACAGACCGGCAGGGTTCGCACGCCTGGCGACTCCGCGGTTCGCCAGACGAGCCCACACGGTGCATTTTTGGACGGAGCACTTCTGGCGGTGCCCGGAATGGAATTGTTCGGAAGGCGGCGAGGTCGAAATGTGGAATGCAGGGTTGTCCGTGAAATGAGGACGGCAAGGCGGAGAAGATAGAGAGGGCGGGGGGGCCGTGAGAAGAGGGACGGAATCCGGGTTCATATGGGCCACTGTGTAACGATGAGCAAATCAACGGGTCGCCGAACCAACGCCGCCACCACGTTCCTTATCTCGCTACTATAGCGGTCTAGATGCCTCTCCTTCAACCTCGAGGGGTGCGATCTCGATGCTCGACATTAGCATAATTACGCCGCCCACCGGCCGATGCCTCCATCGTCATGACGGTCACTTCCACTAAATGGCTAGCCGTGGTAGAGGTCTCGATGGACACTAGACACCCCATGGTGCGAAAGGAATGGCAGTGGCCAAGTGTTACGACCCAAGAATGATAGTCATGTCCACGACCTCTACAGCTTGGCCCGCTCATGCGAGTCCAATTCTCGTCTTTCAGGACCGCCACGGCTCCCGTCACCTAGAAATGTATCTTTTCGACCCTCGTACTCCGTTCTGAACCGCCACTTCGTCGCCAACGCCGGCGGCAGACGTTTCTTCAAGGCGAGACACATATACTCCCCGAGCACTGGCAGGAACTTGAATGCGCTGGACGGACGTGAGTTAGTCGATCTCAAATGCACCTGGTTCGGGCGTGTAGACTTACTGGCCACTGCCACCACCGCCAACAAATAGGTTCTTGTAGTCAGGGTCGAAGTCCATGACGAAGTCGCCCGTGGGAGTGTCGGTGTACCAGCACATGGCCACCCGCTCGAACGGCCGATCGGCGAGCTCTGGCAGCGTTTCTCGAAGACCTTGCCGGAGACGCTGCTCGCCGTCGGGCGGAGCGAAGTTGTGACGCTGTCTCGGCGGAACAAGAGGTGGCGAAGACTTGGTGTTACACATGACGGCGCGCTCTGATTCACTGGGCGTCCGCGTGTACCCCCATCCGTGCACCGCCATCTTGAGCATTTTGGTGTCCCTGTGCGGAGGAAAATTGAACCAGCCTGTCGAGAAGTTGGCGTAAATGGGGAGGGTTTTGTATTTCTCCATCTCTGACTCGGTCAGTCGGACATAGCCCAACACTTGCGCCGTCGACAGCGTCGAATTGTACATGGGCACCAGCCCCGAGCTCCAGGCGCCCGTGGCAAGAACAAAATGATCCCCTTCGACCGTCGTGTTGGCCAGTGTCCGAACACTCCGAATACAAGAACGAGCGTCGGTGTTGAACCCGACGACCGTTCCCGCTCGACCAGAAATGAAGGAGATGCCCAGCTCGAGGCAGTCATCCCGGAGTTGCATGACGGCTTTGTTGGCATCTGCCCAGCCGGCCTGGACGTTGTGATAGCCGAAAAACCCAGGAGAGGCGAGAGGCCCGCTCAAGATTGGGTAACAGTGTTTCGCGTCGGCGGCATTGTCGAGCTTCGCCCAAGGAAGTCCTTTTCGAGACAGAGCCGCCGTGGTCCTGCTGATCCAGGAGTCATGCGACGGTGTCCCGCTGCCGACGAGAATGTAAGGAGCAGGGTAAAAGATGCCCTTGTACCGCGGCAACTGCCAGCGTTGATACGCTTCGTAGGCGAGGCTTAAGTAGTCCTCGTCGGCGTAGTCAAAACGAACAACGCGCGAGATGTCGGAACTAGACGCATCAGGCGTCTGCCCAAAGTCAGTACTAGGCCAATGGGACAAGGCAGTGGAATTTACCGGAGGCAGATGCCTGTCGAGGACGAGGATGTTTTGATATCCTTCTTGTGCCAGCTTGTGCGCCGTGGACAGGCCGAAAATGCCCGCTCCGACGATGACTATTCGGTCCTCCTTATGCATTGTCATCTCAAGACCAACACCGACGATGGTGTTCCAGGGAGAAGATAACAATGCCCTGCACGGTGAAATCTGGTGCGTCGTAGAAATAATGGATTTAAAGGCGTCTAATGCAGGTATGGCCTCGACTTCTCCGTCCGGAATCGGACTGTGTTTCCAGAATTCCGGGCATGTGGTCCGGGATAGACACGCCACGCTAGAAGTATTGATCATGGTAAGACTGGAACTATGTGGATTGAGCCTCGCTGGGCGTCTCATGCAAAGGTGATTTTCATCTGTTCAGGTTTGCGGATACGACTTAGAAGTGCAACTGCATTCACGGATAGGTCTTGCTATTACCCAAGCCTGCCGGCGTAGAAAATACAAGAGTCCGACAAAGGTATCAGAAGCCCCCCACTGAAATGATATGAGTGTCTCCGGCAGAGCGACAGTTCCAATACAACCGACTTCCAGAGCTCAAGCCTTCTCCATCCTCCTAACCACATCATCGACGGCTCGAGCGAAGTACTTGACATTACCGGTATTGAGACCGGCCATACTGATTCTCCCGGTTTCTGCCATATAGACGTGCCATTTCACCCGCAGCTCGAGCACTTGCTGTCTGCTGAGCCCCGTATAGGTAAACATCCCGATTTGGTTGGTGATGAAATCCCACTGCCCCGGGGTTCGTAGGAGCTTCAACTCCTGCTGCAGCGCCTGTCTCATTTCGATGATCCGGCCAGACATGGTTTGGAGGTCTCTCTCCCATTCCGAGAAGAGTCGCTCGTCGTTCAGTATCGTCGAAGCTATTTTGGCACCGTAGATCGGTGGACTGGAAATTTCGGATCGTTGCAAGATACTCAGCTGCGATGCAACCCGCTTCGCCGTTTCTTGTGCCTGCGGTCCCGGAGCAGCCACAAAGTGGAGTGCCCCAACCCGTTGGCCATAGAGCCCCATGTTTTTGGCAAACGATTGAGCAACCAGCAGTTCGAAGCCTTGCTCGACGAAATGGCGAATGACAAAACTGTCCCGTGTAAGGTCCCCAGTAGCGAAGCCCTGGTAGGCGCAGTCGAAGAATGGAAACAGGCCGTTTGTCTGCATAAGCTTCGCAATTTGCCTCCATTGGTCTTCTGTCGGGTCGACACCGGTCGGATTATGCGCACAGGCATGAAGAAGGACTATACTGCCCCTGGGAGCGGACTTGATGCGAGACATCATCCCTTCGAAATCAAGAAGTCTCGTCCTCTCGCTGAAGTAGGGGTACCAGTGGACGCTTAGACGGACGTTTTCGAACACTTGGTTGTGAATAGGCCACGAGGGAGTCGATACGTAGATCGTCGGTGTCGAGCAAGGGAAAAAACTTTGAGAGGAAGAGACCACCGAAGTGGACCGCCCCAGTGCCTGAAATTGCCTGAAATGTACATGCCTCTCGTTGTTAGATATTGGGAGGCCCGGGGGGTCTGGAAAGGGTACACCAACTCGGTTTTCCACAATGGCCGGTGAATCAGATCCCAAGATGAGCCTTCGTGATGCAGAATTGAAGTCGGGAAGCCCTGCAATCGGGAGATATTCATGATCTACCTTGTCATCATTGTGGTAGAAATGCTCAGCCTATGGCTCTCCGATGGTCAGCAAGAATTTACAGAATGGTGAATGGTACATGATTTCGCACTTTCTTGACAACAGGAAGTGTCCACGGTCGTCCACTATCATCCCTATAAGCTCCGACGCCCAGGTCGACCTTCTTCTCTGACTCGTCGGCGTCATACGCACTGACTAGAGAATAGAGAGGGTCGTTCGGCGCCTGTGGGACGGATTCGGGTCTGAAGAAAGGTTCGACGAGGGAAGCTGCGGACATTATCATTGCGAAGACGATCTCTTGCGCCCTTTTCTCTCTGCGGACGGATGATGTGGGACAGCAGGAAATATATACCTCGATAAGGTGAAAAAGAAACCAGTGCCGATTTGTCCTGCAGGCACCGCCGACGTAGAAACTGTGTGCCCTTTTGGACCTGTGCAGAGATGGGTTTCCAATAGACGGAGAGAAACATGCATCTTCATGTTCTTCCACCCAAAGTTGTCAATCGCTGTTAAATTCCAGCCAATCGTATTCTCCATCGACACGGAGGGCTGGACGGATTCCGAACCCACCGACCAATCACCCCATTATGCGGCAGCCGAACAGAATGCATGGCTCCCCTGATAACACCGGGAACTGCTAATGTATATTGCATCTTCGAGAGACGTCTTGATCCAAGTATCCAATATGCAGCCCAGGTGGTCTTCCGGTCCCTCTGCCATCGCACTGACATCGCTATGTCGAGTACACAACCACGCCGGCCTCTCCTCCCTGGTGTCAATGTTCCCCTCATTGCCCTCTTCGATGCTTCAAGCGAAGATCTCGATGTTGAATCCATACGAAAGCACGCTGCGAGAATTGGTCGAGCCGGCGTCACCTCGGTGACCGTCCAAGGAAGCAACGGTGAAGCGGTGCATCTGACACGCGAGGAACGCAGCCTCGTCATCTCAACAGTGCGCAAGGCATTGGACGAAAGCGGTGCCACTCATCTCCCAATCGTTGTCGGTTGCGGTGCCCAGTCTGTCCGCGAGACCGTCCTCTTCTGTCAAGATGCCCTTGCGGCAGGTGGCGACTATGCTCTGGTGCTGCCACCAAGTTACTACAAAACATCTTATACTCCCGAAGCATTGTCCCGCTACTTCCTGGACGTGGCCGATGTCAGTCCTCTACCGATCGTGATCTACAATTACCCGCCAGTTGTAGGTGGCGTCGACCTCAGTAGCGACGCCACCACGACTCTCGCCAAACACCCCAACATTGTCGGGTGCAAGCTGACCTGCGGAAACACTGGCAAGCTGAATCGAATCGCGCATGCTGTTGAGGCCGCGACAGCAACCGAGGCGAATAGCGGCTGGATGTGTATGGGAGGAAGTGCGGATTTCATTTTACAAACCTTGGTCGCCGGCGGCAGTGGGGTAGTGGTTGGCTTGGGAAATCTTGTTCCCAAATTGTGCGTGAAGGTGTTTGACCTGTATAAAGCTGGAAAGCTGGAAGAGGCACAGAAGCTTCAGGCCATTCTGGCTAGGGCAGATCTCGTCGTTGGGGAGGGCGGCGTGGCGGGCACCAAGAGCGGGCTGCAGACCTGGTTCGGCTATGGCGGGATTCCCAGAAGACCATTGCCTCAGCTGAACCCGGATACGGCGACAAAATTCAACAGTCTCCTTGAAGAAGCTGTAGCTTTGGAAAAGGGAATGTAGACGGGAAGCAAGGGGTGGCGAGTTGACCCTTTTGGAGCGGACGAGCAGGGTAGTCTAGCAGAGGCAGAGGCAGCTGGTGTCCCAAATATCATCGCCGGACTGGAGAACATAATGCTACTTCGTCCCTGGTCACACTGGAAATTGTTATTCAGACAGATGTGAAGTCCGTGTCTTAGGGGTTCGTGGCTGTAGATAAGGATGACGAGGCTTTAAAAAAGGGAGTATAGATGACCGCGTGTTGGTGCCGCGTTGGCCTGATAGGAGAGCGTGTCTTGATCGTAGCCGCGTACCTGGACGCTTTTCAGGGGGAATACCTTCAGGTGAGATAGTCCTTGCTATGTGCAGAGGCTTTGAATTCGTCCTGCACGACCGGCTAGGCTTTTCTCGGGCTCCCAAAACAAGCACTATCTCCTGGTATTCATATTGCCAGGCGATGGGAGGCGTATTCCACGGTCCATGTCCCAGCTGAGGTTCCGCGTGACTCGTTCCAGCTGTCGTCGCACCCAGGAACTGAGCTCATCTGCGCCCATCCACATGTCAGCCATGCATCTTCCACCTCCCTGTGTTCACCTTGGGGTTTTCAGGAGAATATCCAAAAACACCACGATCCAGCGATCACCCCCATGCTCTGTCCAACAGCCAACGCGTCTCCCCGGATTTTCGCAATGACTCCTTCACCGCATGCACCTCAAGGGTTTGATCTCAAAGGGCCAACCTTGAGCTCAAGAGGTATTCACCCATCAATGTTTCTCGTGATTGCGAGTGTTGTGAAAGAATTTCTCCCTGCGGCCTGTGTAGCAGACAAGACAGACCCCTGGAGCTGTCTTCATATGTCGTTCTACAACCTGAAACAGGTCGTCCGCAATATTTCTCCGACAGAAGTCACATCTCATAAGAAGGCCCCTTCTGCACCCCGAGTACATCAATATCTGGTCCCAGGGACTCAGCGCCCATTGTCGGTCGAGATCCCGAACCGCATTCATCGCCTGAGAGATTGACTTCTGACATGTTCCAGCTTGTCCGGGTTTGATACCTTTCTTGGCCAAGTAGAACATGACTGTGCTGTATTTCGCAAACGAGCAGCCTCGCTTCTGTAAGGACGACGGACAGAATGCGCCTGTATCGAAGCCTTTGCCAACACACTTGAAGACATCGTCAAGGAAGCCATGTAGTCGCTGCGTGCGGACTTTCTCAAGCTCTTCTGAAAGGAGGAAGTCAGGAGTAGGCCTCAAACATCAAAGGCCTGTGACACATACCTTCGAGGTCTCGGCCGCTCGCGAACAGAGCCGTATCGGTAAATGAGGGCATCCTTCGTTCAGGACTGCGCAGGCGGCATGAGCCCCATGATAACACGGCATGCTTGGTCGCGAACCAGAACAAATCAGCGAATCTGAAAACCGCGGCGACTCCTATGCACTGTCCGATATTGAGCAGAGGAAAGTCCTTGAGCACGATCCGACTACTGTGCACTGCATTCCGGTCGCGGTCCTTGTCCATGAAGGCTTCCAACACGCGAGCCAGCCTTGCAGCGATCCACGGTCTCAGCGCATTTGCAGAGTCGTGCATCTGCCAGTTCCGCAAGCTTACAGAGCCTCGTGGTGTCGCAGTGATCGAGGTTCTCAGCCTTGTGATGGACAATGTTGCAAAAGTCCAGGATGACCTCTGGGTCGTCTTCTGCGAGGACGACTTCTTTGGTCCTCGCCTCGAGGTATGATGACGAGAGCATTCGAGAAAAAACATCTGATGCGAGACTGATGACTGTCCCTGAGACTCGTATGTCCACGGCATCCGCGCCTCGACCGACCTTGAGTAGGACATCTCCATCTGGTACGACTTCGACAAGCTTTCTGCCGCGCTCTGAAGACTCTGCAGCGGCTTGCGGACTCTGGCTGCGTTCGAGGGCGTCGCTCATGGTTGGGTCGGGACTGTGACACAGGAGGAGTCGTTCTGTCGAGTTCTTGTGTGCTCTCTCTGATGAACTCAAGGGCGCAATGCTGTCGGCGGCTGTTAGGGTGAACGATGAAGAGGTTCTTATAGAAGAAGAGAAGCCTTGACAGGCTGTTTCCACATGGAACCTACTAGCATGTGAAAAAGAGGCAGGTTCGCACCAACGAGCAAAGACTGAGGTTCGTGTGAGGTATCCCCATTAGGAGTCCGGACTGAATCCGAATTAGGTATACAACAAGATGGAGTGACCGAGCGCTGAGGTGTAGGTCAAAACGTTATCACAACAGGATAGGCGAGCATGGCGGCGTACCAGGGATGTGTCAAGTTGTTCCTGAGAAAGGGCCAGGAGCTCATACATCAGGATTTGGCCCGGATGCTCGAATACGCCTTCCGAATGGTCTCGGCTTCCCTTAAACCGTGGCTCGAATCGTGCAGAGCTTTATGTCCATAGGTAGCATTCATTGCCGTTCGAAGATGCAGCTGCCAGTTCATGCCAACATACAAGCGGAGCTGCAATAGACTAGCTGGCCTGGTAACTGGTGGAACGACCGTCTCCGAGTAGACATTGCCATTGTACCAAATACAGGGCAGCCTCTACTGGCATGTTGCCTGTCTTGTCTCCCCAACATTGTTAGTCCTTTATCCAACTTCACGCGTGTCGGCGACACCTACCGTCGTGCCGAAGCAACTTGTATCCTTGCGTCATCTTTCCAGACAGATACAGAGGACCATATATGCCCATGCTCGTTAATGGCCCGCACGCAAACCTTCTCCATGGTCTTTGTGCAAATGTGAGTCGAGAAAGCATAGATCATAGGTGCGGGCGGGTCCACGTATCTGATTGTCTTCATTGTCATTGGCGGCATCATGGCATAGCATCTCTCAGTCCCCTGCCATTGGTAATCTCGAGGAGTCCAAGTATCTGCTTTGCCGGTCGGTTTGCTGATTCTAGCGCGCATAACGGTTGGACTGTGGGAGAGAACACGAGCGAGGCGTATTATCGGTGCCTTGGATAGGGGGGTCCATTCAAAGCGCTCTCGATGGAAGACGACGACAACATCGTTGCATTGACTCTGAAGTTGGACACCCTTGCATCGAAGATGTGGAAGTTAGTCGCAAATACGCCCCTGTGAACCTTGAAAGAACCTCCGCGTCAGACACGATCACAACTCATCCGGAATTTAACTCTTTTGCGGCCCAGCCCCTATTTGGTCAGCACTGCCCCCTCAATTGATGTGATCTTGTGAAGAGCCTGGACGCATCGGTCTGTGGACAGGGGAGCGACAGAGGTAGGCAGACACAAGGAGAAATGGGCAAACATTGTATGGATCGAAAAGGATACGTCCGGGTTTGCGCGGCTCCTCTATCAAGAAGTCAAGAAGATGCGGCCATGTGGATTGAAGAGAAACGTAACGAAAGAAAACGAACGTGGGAAATTTTGTTCGAGAAGACAAAAAGAGAACGACACCAACTTAACCTCGACTCCTGCTAGGACCATTCTTGTTTTCCCTCTGGTGCGACATCCTTGCCCAACGCCTTGTGCCCGTCATTTCCTTGGGAAGATCACCACCACATTTACATCAGTAAGTTGCGACATCTCCAAGATCGCATTTCTGGCCTTGAGTATCAAGCCTCGACTTTCAAGCCTCGAGTCTCGCCCTCTTGTCGCCACCATGTTCTTCCACTGCTCCATAACCTGTGCCTTCATAGCCAGTGTCAACCTTGTCGTATCCACTCTCGAAGTTGCGTTCTGTCAGCTTCTGGCCATCCACATTAAAGCTCTCGGCCTCTCCCATGTCGGCATTAAACATATCCTCTTTCTCCCGCATTACTCCTTTGCCCTTGGTGTCCACGCCCCTGCTCACCACATTGTACGCTCTTCTTCTCTTGTACCGTCTCCAGCACAGGCATCCGCCAGTCAAGAGGGCGAGGAGGACGACGGCGCCAACGACAGCAATTACAATGATGTATTTTGTGGCAAGATGGTGGCTGCTTTGTTGTTGTGCCGGAAGAGAAGGCGTGCTGTCAGAACTCAGGCCGGCGTTGCTCAGTTTTTCGGCGGCGTGGGTAATCTTTTCCGGGTAGCGAGTAGTTGTGGTGGTGGACAGGCCGAGGACTGAATTGACGGCCTCATTGCCGACTCCTGCTTGAGCCAACTTGCCCAGAGCGTGAGTGACCTTGGCGCTGTTCGGGACTGAGGTCGTTGTCGCGGTGTGTCCACTCGCCAGGTTAGGTACTGCGCTTTTCGCGTCTCGGATGCCCAAGAGCAGGCGGTCGGGAATGAAGTCCATGGTTCAGTATTACTTCGAAGAAAGGGAATGGCCAAGTGTAGGCTTTCAAGGTGAAATAACTGCCAGGTTAATCAACGAAAGAGTGACTCGGTTCGAAAGTAAAAAGGTGGAAAGGAAAGAGGACTTGACAGCGAAACCCAGGGCGCCGACACTTCGCAAAGGGAGTTTCCAAAGGATCGTCGCGAGGGCAGCGAAGAGCCAGTATTTCAGAGAGACATGTGGCGGCCCAGGCATAGAGACCAAGGCCACTGCCAGGCACGGGGGGAGGTGAGCATAAGCACTTGTGCCAAAAGCTTCGGCACCTCAGACACGGCTTTATTGGGCGACAGGGTCTTGTAAGCAGAATGTGCCTGATATAGTAGCAGATCCAGATTGCGCAGGATGTGGCAGACGCTGGATTGGGCAATTTCTGGACCTCAGCCCCTAGTGCATGTCAGCTTTGGCATTCAGCTCGAACCGCCCCAGAGCCAGCCAGGTCACCAAGCTTTGCACAAGCCTCAATGCTTGGCTGGGCTTGACCTTGTCTGGCAAACGGGTGCACTTTACCCTCAACGGGGAGTCCTGGTTGATCTGGGCAGTGAGCATATGTAGTACGAGCAGGGTTGAAGCCTTGACGTTGGCTCCTGATTGGAAGGAGGGAGACGAAGCTGAAGGAATACGGCGTCCGAGATTAAAGCCTCATGCTAGAATGGCTCTGAATCAGTACGCCGATATCACGTGGGTATCCTGACTCGCGCAGTTGAACCCCCGAGATCTTGTCGCCATTATTGTTCTGCGCCTGCGATTGTGCCAGCCGGCAACAAGGCGGTATTGACGGTAGCTCATCTGCGGCACTCGGACAAGATGGCTCGTGGCGCTGGGAAGCGAGCCAACAAACCGGCTGCCAGCGCGACTGCCCACACAAAACCACCTGCGAGTACTGTCACCGGGCCTCCCACCCCGTTTCAATACGCCCCAACTTCGCTCAGACCCTTCCTATCGACCCTTCCTACGGACCACATATACCTGGTTCACCTAGACCACACACCGCCGAGTCTCAAGAAACGTGTATTCGCCGTCCCCGTCCTCCTTAATCTGCTCATCACGATCGGACTCTGCATTCGCCTCTACTATGCCGTACCAATCTACCTCGAACAAATCATTACCATATTCGGATATGACACTGCATATAAAATTGACACTGCGACTGCGGGAGTGGGAGAACTTATGAATGCTGTCACGTCACGGACTGCCTTGCTCATGCTCGACTATGCAATCTTTGGCTTGCTTGGAAGCTGGCCCAAGGAATTTGTCTTTGGCAGCAGACTGTTGAGGTTCGTGGGCCCGTGGGAATGGAGGAGAACCATAGGCTTCAGGAGTACCGAAATCATTGTTCGCAGAGGCAGAAAATGGGACACACCGTTGCTTGTTGGGGACACCCCAGAGGAGGTAAAGACGTGGAATTTGGACGAAGAATTGACCATCAAAGTCAAAGTCGACCCAGCCATGCGGACTGCGACTCTTGCGAAGACTGGCTATCTACTCCTTGACAAGGATTGGGATCTCGACTTCAAAGCAATGCTGGACGCACATAGGCTGGTGGAGAAAGGTGCGATCCAACTGAAGGACCTCGAAAATCTAGCTCTGGTATTTTATGAGAAGCAATGGCTTGTCTGGAAAGTCCATGAAGCCCCAGACATTACGGCCAATGGACAGCAGCAGGACAGCACTGTGGAAAGATTCAGACGCATTCTTACAGATCTTGGTGCTGAAAGCGTCTTCTTCCGTTGGATTGAGATCGTCCAGTTTGAAACCTCGCAACCTGGAGGGTTTACGCAAGGACGGCAGGCTGAAGCGATCCGCGAACTGAGGGCTCGCTTGGAGAAGAAAGGGGTGGATTACGCCAGATTTTGGGAGGACATAGGTGGTCAGGCTGGCCTTCCTGGTTTTGATGTGCGAAATCAATGATGATCAACGATAACGGCCGACATTGAACCGCCCCACTGGTGTCTCACGGTTTCTTCCACTGCTGTTAATGCCATATGCTGGAGCACGTGCCTATCCCACTTGACGAGGCTGTTGCGCAGCCTTATCTCCTGCATCCTTACCCCGCATTCAATTGAGTCCGACAGAGAAAAGTTTCAATGCCCGATTTCCTCTCAGCACGCAACAACGCGCTCTCACCTCTCCATCGTCTTCAAATATGTCCTCGCCTAGCATCTATCTCGCCGTGATCGGCGTCGGCGGTGTCGGCACCTGTTTTCTGTCTCAGGTCTCTTCGTTACCTGCTCGTTTGCGCCCCACCCTGATTTTCCTTTCCCGTTCCTCGAAGCAACTCTACGATACGTCCTACACCCCTGTTTCGCCCTCCGACTTGCAAGCCTCGACCTCAAAACTCCTCTCCATTCCTGACGAACTCATCAAATATCTCTCGTCCGCGCCTGGAAAGGTCATACTCGTCGACAACACCTCCTCTCAAGATGTCGCAAACGCATACCCATCGTTTCTACGCAAAGGGATCAGTGTCGTGACGCCGAACAAGAAGGCCTTTTCCAGCAGTCTACAGCTCTGGAACGATATATTCTCCGCAGTCGATCAGGCAAATGGACAAGCTATGGTCTACCACGAATCCAGTGTGGGTGCCGGCCTTCCCGTGATATCTACATTGAAAGACCTGGTCGCGACGGGCGATCAAGTCACACGCATTGAAGGCGTGTTTTCAGGAACCATGTCATTCCTGTTCAACTCCTTTGCTCCCGTCGATGGATCCGGCAAAGGGAAATGGTCGGAGATTGTGAAGCAGGCGAAAGAGGCAGGGTACACTGAACCCGATCCGAGGGACGACCTGAACGGGATGGACGTCGCGAGGAAACTCACCATTCTCGCTCGTCTGGCAGGGTTGAAGGTGCAAGGACCAGATTCCTTCCCCGTTCAGAGTCTCATCCCGAAAGAACTTGAGTCCGCGAGTTCCAGCGACGAGTTCATGGCTCGCCTACCTGAATTTGACGAGCAGATGGAGTCGTACAAGTCCCAGGCGGCCGCTCAGAACAAGGTTGTGAGATACGTCGGGTCGGTGGATGTTGGCAAGAGTGAGGTCAAGGTCGGATTGGAAATGGTAGAGAAGGGATCACCGATTGCCGGCTTGAAGGGCAGTGATAACTTGATTTGCTTTTATACCAAACGGTACGGTGCGAACCCGCTGGTCATACAGGGAGCGGGCGCAGGCGGCGAAGTCACCGCGATGGGTGTCACAGCAGACCTGATCAAGGTGGTCGAGCGCTTGGGATAGATAAATAGACACAAAACCGATCGATCCGAAGGTGAAGAGCCATGAGGATATCAAAAGCCTTTCTTCTGCAGATCCTCATATCCCATCTTACTTCCCACACTGGAATCTCTGTTCCATACCACTGAATACTCCTAAATCCCTAATCCCTCGTTCTTAAAACTTGGTTGGCTTCATACTGTCATCCGGCAAATCAAGAACAGAGGTTTATACATGATTTTGATATAGCCTCTCAGGAAGAATTCCAGTCTTACGAACCCTATTTCCAGTAGTGTTCTTGCCTCGTTGCAAGCTTTCGAAGAAGAAAGGCGGTTTCTTCCAAAGAGGTAGAGATACAAGCTCATTCAATCAAGCATTCATTCGTTCGATCGATCCATCAATCACGTATTGACATGAACATCGTAAGATCCAATCGCCATATATACCAGGGTACTGTACGCCCATTTCAACCTCTGTTATCTCTCTCCTCTTGGGATCAGCTTCTGAGATACCTCTTGACTGCCTCCCCCCACACGACGCCTCTCTTGTAAAAGTGCATTGCGGGCACACTCCCCTCCTTCAACCCATCGATCGCCTGTGCGAGTTCCTCTCCCTTTCCCTCCTCCTTCACCTCGGCAATCGGATACAGATATGTCTTGAAGGCGAACACCAGCGCCTTACTCTTTGGTAACCTGTGGAGCGTCTGCCTCTCGCATCTCAAGAACGTCTTGTCCACGTCAACGTCCTCGAGTTCCTCAACCTCGTCCCCTTCGTGGGCGTGGTTAGTTCCGGGCCCGGCCGCATACAGGTCCGTGTTCGTGGTGATGGCCCAGTTTACGCGGCGGACGTATTTGCCCACTTCGAGCCGGGAGAAGAATCGGTCCATCGATGCCTCTAGTTTTTGAGGGTAGCCAGGCACAGGGCCGTGGATTTTGGCGAGTCGATGCCCGAGTTTCTCGGCGGGGTCGAAACCGCTGGGGCAGCAGCAGACGTAGGCCTCGAGGATATACTTTGCATCGCCTTCCGGGCTCTCGTCGTTCGTTTCTTTCTTGTCGGTACTTGGGTCCCCTTCTTCGGGAAAGAGGAAGAGGAAGTCTTCGTCCAGGGTTCGGCCCAGGGTCTCCAACAACATTTTCGTCGACGTCCGAGGCGAGGGTTTCGCGGGAAATAGAGCCTTGGTCACCAGATTCTCCAGCATAAACGTCTTGCCCTCCTCGTAATCGGTCTCGTGTAGTTTAAACATCTGAGGGAAGCGCAGGGGCAGGTAGGTGCCGAGAAGGAATTGGTAGAGCTCGACGACAGCGGGGCGAATGCGGTAATCGTCATTCACGGCAACAACGTGCTCACCGTGCTCGGCCATCACTTTCCGGCGATAGGCAACGCGGTCTGCGTAGTTCCTGTCCATCACTAGTAACTCCGAAGGTGGGAGGTTCTCAAGTGCTGATTCGTCAGATTCGGCTCGTGTAGAGTCAGCCTCTTCTTGTAGGAACAAGAGAAGAGATTTTACTGGAGAGGACAGAGGAGCGTCAAGGCAGGATCGGCCGTGAACTCACCCATAGTCAAATGGTACTTGGACTTGAAGGGTCGGAAACGGAGAGGTTCCGTGTTTTCCCAGTCAAAGTCTGGTTGCTCCTCCACGGGAGGGAACTCGGGGGCTTTGAGATAGCGATTCTCGAAACCGATCTTCTTCGCGGCTTTCTAGGGAGATATCAGCGATATCCGCGACGTGAAGTGATCGGGCAAAGCGCGGATTGCTGTAGACGTAGCGACAAGGCTCACAAAACTCACATTCTTGACTCTCACTTGGTTTATGGCCAAGATAAGGAAGACAGCCAGGAGAATGACATTGGCATAGTTGCCCAGCGTGAACAACGAGGCGGCTTTGAAATCCTCCCAGCTCCGCCAGTGCCACACGAAGGATGGCCTCTCGATGTTTTGAAAGCTGCTCATTGTGGGCTGGGATGTCCGTCCCTCCTGATTGTCGCTGAGTTGGGCTTGTGCTGGTGACTTCCAGCTGACCTTCTGATGCCTTGTGACCTGGAACCAAAGATGAGAGAGTCACTTGTCAGCGCCGGGCACATATAAACTGTTCGAGACCTTCACATGTGCCTCCGGCCTTCTGAACACGAAAATCGCAAAAGATCAGCTACTCAGTAGTCTATATCCGCCTTGCTACCTCCCTAGACGCCCAACGACATACTCTATATAGGAGTACTCCGTCCAGTCACAGTAACTGAAACGGGACAAATCTTCCGATCCCCGATGGAAAGACAAACCGACACGACGAAGGAGATTTGCTGACTAAGAATTCCATCCATTCACACGACTTGCTGCCTCTCAGACGCGGTGTGGATTAACGGTTCCGCCTAATGCTATCTCCGACTCCCTCTCTCCCAGATAGATCTGCCTGGACTTCTAGAAGTTGCAGTGGAGGTGGTGAAGGGGGAGACGATGGCACTACAAGTCTACATTTCCCATACCGGCGGCGTGCTCACCTTCAATGACCCTGTTGCCCGTGTCGACAATCTGCGGTCATGGATCGAAGCCAATACGGCCATTCCAGCCTCTCGCCAGATCTTGATGACGGCTCGCGGCAAGATTGTCAAGAATCTCAGTAACGAGCAAGAGGTCTTTGTCTATGACAAACAGTTCCTGTCCCCCGACTCCAAGCCTCCCTCCCGAGACGATGTCCAACTCAAACCCCTCTCCGAACCCCCTTCATATCTCACCGACGAGACCAGCCTCAAAGCATGGCACGAGCTGTTCAACTCTAGACGGACCTGGGCGCTTGAGGCATTCGATGTTGCCAGAACAGGGGTGGAGAACATTGAAATTTGTGCAGAGGAGGCATCTGTCATTGCTAGGTCCATGAAGGTCGCCCTGGACAACCTGCGGAACCACGTTACGACACTGCAGCAGAGGTTCGACGAGACAAATCAATGGGCTCAGGGCTACATACAAGAACATCGAGAGGTCCTCAAGGACTGGCAGGCGAGTGTAGATACCCTTGCAGAGCTGCCCGTTCGCGAAGACGTCGTCAGGGTCTTGCGGCGCCCGGCGGAGCCTGATGGCAAGGACCCTGCAGCACCTGTCGGCACGCTTTTCGATTTGGTCGACCGAGATGGCCTGCAGACTGCTGCTGAGAGGGTCGAACAAAGCTCAGCCGACTTTGAAAGGAGGCTGCGTGAACTGCAGTCGGGCATGGAGACCTTGAAGCAGGATACGAATCAGGCCCAGGCTCGCTCGACGCAAGTACCAGACTTCGACACCAATGCCCTGATGGACGAGGCTGAGACACTGGCGAAGCGGATCACCTCGGACTATGAAGATGTCGTACAGATGCAAGACAACCAAAAATCCGTGGTTGCAGCGTCAAGGAAGGCTGCGGTGCACACTCGTGAATTGTTGCCTGCCATGCATGGTGTCGTGGAAGAAATTATCCAGGCTTCCTTGAGTTCGTCCGAAACTCGAAATACTGCGTCTAATGACTGGTATTCGACCCTGCAAATCATTTCTGGTATCCAGTCTCGCCTAGCGGAACTACAGTCAGGTATCACGAACCTGGACTTTCACGACAACGACAACTTCGCCGCCCTCAATCGAGTTTTCCAGCTACCCCTTGTCTATGGTGCTACACTGGTGGAAGCAACCCGAAGATCCGAGTGGACTGAGCGGATGCGGGCAGAGGTTGACGTTCTCCATGAGGATCTTTCCCTGCAGACCGAGGAGGAGCAAAGAAGACGAAAGAAATGGACGGCTTCGCACGGCGAGTTCCTGAACGAGGATATGAACGCCAAAGATGCACTCATCGACCTAAAAGCAACCGCGCCGCGAAATTCCTGGCCATTTGTAAGCAGAGACGAAATCTTCGCCTGGGTTGACGACCTGAGGGCACTCGGTATCAATGACGCAGTGCAGTCAGTCATGCAGCGAATGAAAGATTTAGATGCCCCGACCCGGAAGCAGAAAACGAAACCTTTCAAGAACGGGAGTATTCACGATCTTAGCCAGAGTGCTGCTCTCCGTAGCGGAGACGAAGTCCGAGGTCTACAAGACGAGAAAGCCAGACTTGAGGAGAAGCTTCGCGCATCGGATAGTCGAGTGCGCAAGCTGGAAGATCTCCTCCACCGTCAAAGCCAGCTCAGTCGGCCTCCTAGTGGGATCTTCCAGCCCGGCAGCGCTGCGGACTTTGAACGACAGCAGACACCTTCACCAAGTGTGCTACAAAGACACAGCGACCTGTCGCGCAGGTCATCAGTCTCGCTCAGAAGACTGTCCAACAATCAGGATGAGAAGTCCTTGGTGCAGAAGATTGTCGCATTAGAAGGTCAGATTCAAAAGTTGCAAGAGGAGGCTCACGCAGAACGGCGGTCAAGTACTGAGAGTAGAGACAAGATGCAGGAAGCGGAATTGGTCAAGCGAGATCTGATGGCCAATTTCGAAGCGCAGAAGCAAGAATTCGAGGAGGAGCGACAATTGCTGGACGACGAAGTACATCGCCTAAAGGTCAAACTGGAAGAGGCCGAAGAGGAGCTTGATCGTCTCAACGACTCGAGGGACCATTTACGCTCCGAACAAGATCAAACGACACTCAATTTGCGGAATGAATTGGAACAACTCAAGAAGACCTCAGCGGAAGATCTCGCGCTATCGGACCGCAGGGCCGAGTCAGCACGAAAGGAAGCAGCCGCGCACCGCGAACGAGCAGCAACGCTCGATCGTCAACTCCATCAACTGAAGGAAGAACGAGCAGCTGCACAATCTCAAAATATGACCCTTGCGAACCAACTGCGCTCAATGGAGGATCAACAGCAAGAATACATCTCCATCCTGCAAGGGGCGCACTCAAATCTATCACCGGCAGGTTCTCCTCCAGATGATCTTCGCCGCCTCGTCAACGCGCTAGAGATTCTCTCTGAAGGTGCCGCTATCCATGCCCGAGGTCTTGACGATTCTCTCCAGCTTGCTACCGCAGAGAATAAATCGCTTGAGGAGAAATTGGCGAATGCGGAAAGTGAGATCAAAACTCTAACAGAGAAACTTTCCACGATGGAAACGCGGGCGAATGAATTGAGGGAAGACATCGAACAGGAACGCAGCAAGATCTCCGTCCTCAAGTCTGAACTTGCGGGTGAACGGGCAGAGATGCATTCCTTGCGTGAGAAATTCGCGGCTGGAGAGACCGGCTCCGATGCCCTCCGTCAACAGCTCAAGTCTGAGGAAACCAAGGTTGCGGAATTAATGGACCGCAAAGCCGAAGACGAGGGTGTCATTCAACGCCTGAGGCACGAAATCGAAGATCTCAATCGGGAGGCTGTCAATGCGGCGGACAAACAAGAGAAATTGCGCAAGCACTTTGACAAGAGAGGCGAAAGGGCAAAACAGCTTTCGGAGAAGTTATTTCATCATCACGATCGAATCATTCGCATGCTCGAACAGTTTGGCTACTATGTCTCGCGGCAGGACGACACGCTGGTAATTCAACGCGCAAGTAAAGTCAACGCGAGCGCCGTGCTCAGCGGCAACGAAGGGTCTGGACCAGGCACTTCCATGAAGCGGACCATCTCCGGATCCACGCCCGCGCAACACTACTCCGACCCCTCAGACCTCGACACCCTGTATTGGACGTCCGACAACGATCTCACCTCCGAGTCGACGAAGTACTCCGGCTTCCTCTCCGCCCTGTCGAGGCTCGACATGGACAGCACGATCGACCTGATCACGAAGCGCTACAAGGACGTGGAAACGCTGGCGAAGAAATACCAAAAAGACTCGCGCGCGTACAGAGAACGGACCCACCGCTCGCAAGCCGAAGCGCACGATAAGATCGCATACAGGAGCTTCAAGGAAGGGGATCTGGCCTTGTTCCTGCCCACGAGGAATCAAGCGACCAGACCCTGGGCGGCGTTCAATGTCGGCGCACCGCACTACTTTTTGAGAGAGCAGGATGCACATAAACTACAGTCGAGAGACTGGTTGCTCGCCCGAATTACCAAGGTCGAGGAGAGAGTGGTAGACCTGAGTAGGAGCATGCGTGGCAACACCTCGTCTTCGACTGTGGGCGCGGCAAGTATGGTCATGGATGATGGCGGGTCGACACGGAGCGTTGACGACGAGAATCCCTTCGAGTTATCGGACGGGTTGAGATGGTATATGATTGATGCGCAGGAGGAGAAATTGGGCGCGCCTGGCACACCCTCAGTCGGAAAGTCAACCGTGACAGCGAGCAATGTCGAGGTCAAGGGACACATGGGATTGGGCCGGAAGGAGCATAAGTCAAGCATGGGTATGGGCGCTGGTGGCAGCAGTGCCACGACGACCATGGTCACCAAGACCCTCACCAAAAGCCTGGACAGTCGGCGGTCGAGCTCGGGGAGCAAAAAGAGCGTGGACCTCAAGGGCAAGCTTCTCGACCGCAGCAGCGTTAAGGACGGGATGCCTTCGTCGAAGCTTGCACCGCTGGCGCCTATCTCGAGCGACACGGACGTTGAGCAAAGACGTGCACCTCCACACGACGCGAGCGGCAGAATTGTGGCCATCCCGGACGACGACGCCCACGCGGATGCAGACGCGGAAAATGAAAACGACGAGGCTGAAGCGCAGGATCTTGCGGGTTCGACTACGGCCCAAGCGGCGGGTCGGGGCCAGGGACAAGCTGGGACAGCCAGCGTCCCCAGCATCGTGCGCCGTCCCACCGAGGCGAGCCAGACGGACCGGGAGGATGCGCAGGTCTTTGAAGTGGTGAGGCGAGATCTTCTTCTCGGCCCATAAACAAGAGGAAACAAGTGCACCGACTGATGAGAAAAACAGAGTGGTGACCCTGCTACGTCTGAGCTTGCGGGCTCGGCCGCGACGGGAAGAAATCCTCAAACGTCTTCACGTGGCTACGCTGCCTTGAGAGCGACGCAGACTGAATCGCCTCTGACGGCGCAACGGCTGAATAGGAGACCAGCCCCGGCTTCGAGAAGCACATCACAATCACCCTATAAACCAAAGAACCAGAGCGTAACGACGCCGGCGGCAAGTCCAGCGAAGAATCCCGCCGGTGGCGCGGGAGCGGAGGCTGTGTCGACTCCGTCACCGTCAATGAGGCCGAGGGAGAGACCTTGGGACAAGTTGTTCAGCATGGAGTTCCGGTCATAGTCATACGGCACGTCTACGGCGATGTCTGTGGTAGATTTCCCCGTGCGGGAACTTTAAAGCTGTGGCGACGGGCTGGTGCAGGTTGCTGGCATTTGGGAATGATTTCCATGTCCCTACAGCAGCGCCGCCCTTTTGAATCGTAAAAATGGAGAAATTGATACCCCCCAAAGTCGATCAAAAGTTGTATTTGACGCGTATGTGGGAGGGTTGCTCGTGTTGCTCGTGTATTCGAGGGTTGGTTGAATATGTAGAGCCTCTTCAGCCTCGACTGAGAGGCTGCCTCGTTACAGCATACGAGAATAGAGCAGTGCTTGCGGTGGAGTTTGGAGCATCGGGACGCAAGACGCGCCAACCACTCGTACTCGTAGATGTTCGCAGCCGAGGCTCATCATGTGCGACCACGTGACTATCACATGAGCCCCGTTCGGGTATCGGTTGTTTGTTTTACCATGGTGCACGTGATGTCCAGGCTTCCGGGCCCTGGCTACAAACATGTTTTCCACGAACCCGATCAAGCCTGTGTAATCACGAGTAGGGATCTTTTGCTGAGAGAATTGTTCGGGCCGGATGTATTCTAGCCATGCAGTAGCTTTTCACGAGTTTATCCTTGTGTTGGGGGCCTTGCTGGGCTTGGGGGTGCATTAAACTCCGCGGCAAGAGTTAGGACCGGGCCTGATCAATAATCTCCTCGTCAGCGTCAAGTTGCCAACAATGTGAGGACCGATGCGTGGAGGGAGCTGCGCCAAGATAATGCGAGTAATTCAGGACCTTTGCCAGAGTGTTCAGATCTCCTTGGACTGCATCATCGGGTACAGACACACCCAGGAGTTTGTTTGGGTCCTCTGATCATCATAGCCCATTCCATCTCTTCACTTCGACCGCGAGAAACTCTCCCAGGGAAGCTAATGTCCGGAAAGGCAAGGACGGCTAGTATGGTGGATACGAACGGAATTGAAACCCATCTGCTGAGGAATGCAGGAAGGGGGGCGCACTCCCAAGCATTTTGGTGGCAGGTGAGGAGAGGGGGGAGATGAGTGCCACGAGGACAAAGGGAATCAAAACAGCTGATGCTTCCAAGCGGCAAGAGTTGTTGCCTGAAAGTGGAATTGTTATGATTCGAGCTTGGCTAGGTGAAAGATGGTTTCAGCTGCGGAATGGAGAAGGTACGGGCCAGTGGTGTGAATGGCACGGAAGCAGGACCACTGATGGATAGCGCAGTCAAATGATTATCGAGTAGTTGCAATGAGCGTGCGTGAAGTGGGTTCCGTAGGGTAGGAAATGTGGGAGGCAGGGAAACCGATTGATGGAAGTGGGTAGGTTTTATTGCGGGCCTGAGAGAGGGCGCAGGTAGCTGTTGCAGGTACTCGGTAGTGCTGAGCAACAAGGAGAGCGAGAGAGCTAGCGGAGGAGAGTGACAGGAGAGCGAGGGAAGAGTGAGTTGAGTTAAGTGGAGAGCGGGCAAGAAGGTAGAGAGGCACGAGCTGAGAAACGACTCGTACTACGGCGTACTGAGAGACTGACACCACAGGAGGGGAATGAGCAAAGGCGCAGAGTGACGAGATCACAGGGTAACAGGGTCAAATCAAGTTCAATGATTCCCTCAGCTGGGAACTCTGAAGAGGTGAGAGGGGGGGAATTTGGAGAGATCTGAGTGGACGGGAGGGGAAGGAGCAAGAAGCGAGAGAGGCAGAAGAGATCAAAGGTGAAGAGATCAGAGGGCGAGAGGTGAGAGGGAGAGGGAGAGCGAGAGAGGGGAGAGTCAGAACGGAGCTCGTAGTGGTAGTAGTTGCGCCGGTAGCAGTGATGATGGGGAGAAGGGAAAAGGGAGAAGAGGAGAGGGGGGGGGATGGGTGGTGGTTGCGTGGTGCAAGTGGTGCAAGTGGTGCAAGCAGGGCAGCGGCAGGTCCAGGATCAACACAGGCTCCCTCAAGGAGGTCAAGGAGGTCAAGGAGTCGGGGAGTCTGGCCCTGCCGCTCTTCTGACCCTTTCCTCTCTCCTCAGTCTCTCACTACTGCTGCTCAGCCTCCCAACCCTCCCACCTCCCACCTCCCATACATTTTCCTCCTACTACCACTCTCCCTCATACTGTACTGTGTGTGCACACTGTGAGCGCGCTGCACTGCGTTACTACTACCACCAAATCACCCTCATACTGTAAGTACTCACTTTCTTCTCTTGACTATTTTTCCCACCTCACCTTCCACACCACCCACTCTCTTCTTCCATAGCTTGCGCGCAAAACTGCGATGCAAAATGCTCGTCTCATCATCCTGCTGCCCTGTTTGCTCCCTTTTGCGACCTCGTCGTCGCCGTCTCCAGCACACTGCGCCTACCAGGTCTTGACCACCACCACCCACGGCTCTCCAGCCCTCTGCCCACTTCATTGACGCGTCTTCGTTGCGTCGGTGAGTTCAAGCGCACTCCAATTGCCCATTACCACTTCCAGAACACGCGTTTGAGGCGCGAATGCACTCTCTCAAAACAATCCCAAATTGCCTGCGCGCGGCGTCCCGGCTTGCACTTACAGCACCCACCTTTGTTTCTCCCTCACCTTGAGTCCTGTTTTGATTCTCTACCTGGTTGCTATTTAGCGCTTCTGGTCGCGCGCTTCCCTTGCGGTTCATAAATCAAATCACCTATCCCTTCATTCCCATCTGGTGTACCCTGTGCATCTCCCTCTGCGCTGGACCAAGGCTAAACAACGCACCGTGCAGACAACCACTGTCAAACCGAACTCATCCAAAGCCACCAAAGTCTTCCACCGTCAACATGCCCAAGGCAACAGGAAAAGCCACCAAGACTAAGGGCCGTGGTGCCGAGAAGAAGAAGAAGGGTTAGTGGACACTCCTCCTGATGGTGTGACCTTTACTGATGTGATGCGCAGACCCAAATGCTCCCAAGCGCGGTCTCTCTGCCTACATGTTCTTCGCCAACGAGCAGCGCGAGAATGTCCGTGAGGAGAACCCTGGCATCAGCTTTGGTACGCCTGCTCCCTTTCTCCTCGACCGATGACCAGATGAGCTTACAAAGACCACAGGCCAGGTCGGCAAAGTGCTCGGTGATAAGTGGAAGGCCCTGAGCGACAAACAGCGCGAGCCGTACGAGAAGAAGGCCGCTGCCGACAAGAAGCGATATGAGGACGAAAAGGCGAAATACAACGTGAGTGTCCAATCCCCGCTCCAATGGAACTGGGATATGCTCTAACAGCCCAACAGGCCGGCGAGGACGACGACGATGAGGACTAAACGGTCTCGCGCCATGCACGCTTGACCTTGCGGTCTTTCGCGACAGCGTTCCAAGTCCAGTCGTATTTCTCTTTTTCTGTCTTCATGTTTTCACTAGCAATGATCGGCTGGGAGGCAGGGGTTATGGGAGTCAGTTATGGACATGGTCGGTATGCTTCAGAAAACGCAGCTTACGGCTGGAATCATTGAGCTTCAGAGGTCAAGTCATGTCGTCGTGAGGTGTGGCGCATCATCACATCATCATCGTCACGATCACGAACGGGAAAGCTGAGCTGCAAACATTGCATGCATACCTAAGCATACTATGATCCTTGCTGTATACTAGCTTTTTATGCAATGCAATGTCTGGCAAAAGATCCAATTGATGACTTCTTGCGCGGATTTCCACTCGAGTATTCTGTCTAGGCGGATTGCTCCATGTTGACAGCCCCAACAAGCGTAGACCCGTGTGCTCCAGTCTGTCGTGAACAGATTCGGCCAGCTTCAAAGCTCCATCACCTCGCATTGTGCCAGGAGGAGCACGAGCACCGAGCGTAGATGATCCTTCTGGGGGTCCGTCGCGTTTCAGCCCCCGTTTCCCTACCGCGCTCTTTGGGCTTGGCCACAGGCAGCAACAAGGCGCAGGTTACACACTCCGACCTTATAAAAGGCCAGATGGGTGCTTCCTTTTCTATCTTCTCAGCGTGCACTTCGATCTGAACCGGATTTGGAGCCTTCATGCGGACCCTTGTTGCATCTTCCATCCGAGCCTCGTGTACAGTGTCGCTGTCCCGACACTCGGAACAGAGGTTTGACGCGTCTCCCGACGCAGGACTTGCAATTTGTCACCCGGGTGTTTTCCAGCAATAATACGGAATTGATGCTGACAGACAGCACAAGCTACTCACGAACTTCAGGTAGGATGCATCTGTTCTTCAACAACTAAGTAGAACCACGTCGACCCGCATAAAAGCCCTCGCTTCGCTGCTACGACTGCTGCCCCAGAGCAAAGGGCTCAGAGAAAGTTGTTTGGACGCCCTAGCTTAGGCAGCAAAAACAATGCCTGCAGCATGATGCAGGCGATCTGGCCACCTCTCTCGAGAAACAGACACCGCCAGACTGCTCGAATATCGTCCCTGCCTTTCGCCCACGGGTCGAGAAAGATGGTAAAATTTGCCTCGCCGGGGGGCCAAGGTCATTTAAACCTGGTACGAAGCATGACAGTGGACAGCGGTGGACAGCAGTGGACAGCCTAAGAGCTTGTGTTGCGACAGTTCATGCGCATCCCGGACGGTGACAAATCGGCGTCGTGTCTAGGTATGCATCGGTCCCTTCATCCTTCGGCTTCGCCTGCTGTCCGCTTGACACGTCAACGGCTTGCATGAGGTTTGCCTCCGCGCGAATTACGAGATTCTCAGTACCAGTCCGCTCTTATCCTGAGCCCGCATCTCAATTTCAGCACAAAAGGGAGCCTCTCCACTACAGCTCGAGCCGATCTGGATTCCTTTTCATCTCTCAATTTGATCCCAAGGCGCATCCCGGTCTATCATGCATGGATCTACTCCTACGAGAGGAGGCTGGGAGAGCCCAGGACATTGCAGAGATTCTCAGCACGATCCGGAGCAGCGATCAGGATCATGAGCAGGACATTACCTTGGCGATCACGGGGCTGAACGGCTTGAGCTGGGCTCTGCGGGAGCTCAACAATCAGATCGACGCGGTCAACGGAAAGGTCACCTCAACCTTTGCCGGCGACCTGAAACTCCTTCAGCATAGCGTCGCCTTCACCCTCCAAGACGTATGGACTATCCTTGGCAAGCTACCTCGCGCCCCGGTCGAAGCAGACTACCAGGATGCCTGGAAAGAAGTCGCCCGATACTGCATGAACATGGGAAAGCAGACCCTCCACACACGACTAGAGACATATAAACTCTTCACCTATTCACTATGCAAAGTCCTCTCAAGGTACAGTAACACCTGGAGCCCTGAGGAGGCTGTCGCTTAAGGGCTTTTTTTGGTTAGGCAAGCCTTCAACCGCCGACACCTCGAGGATCTGCGCCTCGAGATTTTTGACCTCCAGACCCTACAACGCGAAGACAGACGATTGATCCCAGCCTCGGAGACGTTTCCGACTCTTTCTCTGGTGCCAGTCCAGCAAGGTCACTCGCTCCTGTCGCTGCGGTCACGAATGGCACTGACGAGTCGCAGTGATCAGACCCCTCCCGTCTCATGAACGAGTAAGACCAGAGCCTCAACGACCCATGTCGCCGGCGACCTCCCAAGATAGTTACGAGACATTCCAGCACCAAGCGGCTCCCAGTCCGCCACCATTATCTCCAGTTTCTCCCGCTTCACCCGTTACCACGTTTTCCACTCTAAGTCAAACATCAAGTGTCGACTCGGACACGAACCACTGGGCCACCAAGATTTTCAGCAATTTGCCCAGTACTCCCCTGGAAGTGGACCCAAACCCGTAAGGAAGGCTCCTTCATCACTACTCAAGACACTCACTCACTCTGCTCCTGATCAGATCTTGCTGTTTCGGCGATGTGGATGCGCGATACCGCAGACGACCGGATCCAGAGTATGAGAGGATCCTCCAATTGTAAGGTTGGTGAATTGTGGGCAAGATCCATGATTGACTGTGACCAGAAAATTCCCCGGCGGACTGAGGACGAAATTCTACTGGCGTGCTCGCGACTACCGCACCAAACTCGTCTGTGAATGGTATGACAATCGAAAGAACCCTCGACTGTCTTGCTTCCCCCTTAGCGAATTGCACATCCGGCGGTCTGGGTCATCGTTGTACCTTTGCTGTCCCACAGTTCGCGGTGCGAGCACTTGCTGGACCAGCCTCAACTTCACTTCGTACGAATGTCAGTTCTCAAGGGTGTCCCTCCTCCGGATGTCGCTGACCTTCTCAGGGCTTGTCATCTTCCATTGTACCTTTCTATCTCTGCGTTCTCATGACAGCACATCGCATTTCCGCAACATCGACCATGATCTGGACGGCGAGGTCCTCCATTTTGCTGGGTGAGTTACTGAAATGCTCTGCCGGTGATCACGGGCTGATTTAATCAGGGCAATCCGTGACGGCGGGTACCGCCATGTCCTCCGATTGTACCGTGATAAGAGGACGGACGCCATGCGCCTCGAAGCATCTGTCCTCGACAAAGAAATGAAGGAGTATGTCGATGCTGTCACTTCAAGATGCAAGAGCTGAGTCTTCTAGCAGCACGCCCATCTGGACGGCTTTTATCACACACAAAATCACCTCACCTACCTGGTTTCGGTGGCCTAAGAACAGCTCCACGGTTTATCTTGCTGAACTTCAACGCCACGTCTTTTCTTCCGAATACGCACCCCACGTCCGCGCAAACGGCGAGCATCTTCTAGACTTCGAGGTTTTCACTGGTAGGTCGTCCCGAGAACGCGCTCCGCACCCAATGGTGGCTCACTGGCTTCGTACAGATGCCGAAGACTTTGTTAAGACGCTCAAAGACTTGCGTGATGACGTTCGCAAACCGAAGCCGACCAAAAACGTACGACTCCCTGCTGCATGACCTAACGACCCTAATGACTAATGACACTGACGATGAAATGGGCGGCCGTCTTGTTTGGGCTTTTCGACCGTGCGGCAAAATGGAGGCCTAGTGCCCTTGGATACCCGATTCCCCTACCTTTCTTGCCATGTCTTCTCTGCTCAGCTTGTTGTTTTCCAAGTTCTGCTTGATCACCTTGCTTTGCTCATAGCGGAAAAGAGACTAACTGGTCGAGGGACGCCCACAATGCTTGTTTTTTCTGTTTATCTGTTTGGTGGTTTGGACGGTTTCTCATTCCTAGCGAAAAGTCGACCCGCCGATGCTTGTGATCCTCCTAAGCCCAACCTCGTACATTCATAGAGCAGTATGTGGCTCTCGATTCACTTCCAGAATCCTATTTTTTATATATATGTTGAATGATGTTCTGTGGTCTCTAAGCCAAGGTTAGGTACTCCCTATGCATCGGCGTAGATGCCGAGCAAGACGCCTGTCCGGCCAGATTCCGCGAATTGTTTAGCCGACGAGATTCCTTTCTGCAAGGACGATTGGAGAAGATGTGTCTCTCCACCTTGATCCTTGCCCTTTTGTCCTTTATCCGATTCATCTTCGCGTCATTTGCGTACATCGGACATTAGCCTTCGCACCAGATTTATCTCCAAATCCTCCCTGTTATTAGCCAGTATCAGGGACCTGGAGAAAGCATGGCTCCTCTCTCTTCGTTGCTCGGTGCCGTGCGCAGGTTTGAAGTTGCGGCTGCTCCATCATGTCGCAGCCAGAAGTGCGTCCCTCGGGGACCAAAGAAGCCGTGAGCGTTGAGGCACCACCGGCGACAGTCTCCCAAGATGGCGATCCGAGATCGCAGAGGACAATCCCACAGAAGGTGTACGATTGCCTTATATACGTGCCGCCGAGGTGTCGCTATGACCCCGAGAAGCCATTCCAGTTCTCTATGGCGTTGAACGTGCTCTTTGGTAGGAGAGAATCCTAACCTCGGACAAAAGAACATGAATTGACAACCTGTGCCTCCTAAGCTTTCGCCGGTTGCTTCACCGTGGCAAACCTCTACTACACTCATCCGATCCTCAATCTCCTCGCGGACGACTTCCACGTTACCGACGAACAATCTTCCTACATACCCACTTTGGCACAGGCTGGATATGCCGCCGGACTGCTGTTCTTGTGCCCATTGGGAGACCTGGTCAAGAGGAGGCCTTTTGTGCTTTGGCTAGTTTGGTTTACTGCAACGTTATGGTACGCCGAGGAAGCCTCTTTTGGAGTGCTGCACGTTTATACTGATGTGCATTACAGGATAGGCCTCTGCGTGACTAAATCCTTTGCTGCTTTCGGGGTCATCACCTTTATTACAAGTGTGACGACTGTGACACCGCAGCTGATGCTACCACTGGTCGGCGACATGGCTCCTCCTCATCGGCGGTCAACGTCTCTCTCCATTGTTGTATCAGGAATGCTTCTGGGCATGCTGATCGCTCGTCTCTTGTCCGGGGTCGTTGCTAAATTCATCGGCTGGCGCTATATATACTGGATCTCATTCGGGTTGCAATACTTCATCCTGGTCTTGTTGTATCTCTTCATGCCAGATTATCCTTCAACGAACCCGGGCGAAAATATCTGGAAGAAGTACCCAATGTTGTTGTGGGATATTGTGAAACTCGTGGTCAAGTATCCTGTATTAGTCCAAGCATGTCTTGTTGGGATGTTCACCGCGACAACCTTCACCAGTTTCTGGACAACCCTCACTTTCCTCCTGGCCGGTTCCCCGTACCATTACAGTTCCCTGGTCATCGGTCTTTTTGCCTTGATCGGAATCGGCAGCATGACTTGGGGTCCCATCTTCGCCAGGACAGTCATGGAGAAACATCAACCCCTGTTTTCAGTTATCATTGGCGAAGTTATCTGTCTGATGGGCGTGGTTGTGGGGACATATACCGGCAAATTTACGGTCGCTGGTCCCGTCATTCAGGCCGTTGGGATCGATATCGGTCTGCAGACCAGCCAGATCGCCAACCGGACCGCCATCTATAAAGTCGCGCCCAAAGCGAGGAACCGGGTCAATACAGCTTATATGGTCAGCGTTTTCGTGGGGCAGCTGATCGGTACCGCTGTTGGGAATTCGCTCTATGCGGATGGCGGTTGGATTTCCTCAGGGTCGGCAAGCGTCGGCTTTGTTTCTGCAGCGTTGGTCGTGTGCTTCTTGCGCGGTCCGCATGAGCAAGGATGGATAGGATGGCGAGGTGGATATGATATGCGCAAAGGAGTGCCGGAGAAACCCCCAAGCAACCCCAATGACACGGAGGCCGTCCAGGTCCAGGAATCGCCTCAGCCTTTCAGCGAGGGGAACGCAAAAGTCGGTCAAGCAGAGAAGGAAATCGAAGTGCAGGTCCACCATGAGAATCGCGGAAACGACCACAGTTCGCGTTCCTCGCAACGTACCCTCAGTGAGGAGATCCAGCCTTACAGGGAGAAAAATTAGGGTGGCCAGGGCGCAGATCCTTGGGCGGCATGGCGTTGAGCCTGTGCATCGCAAAGTGACTTTGCCTACAGAATGGTAGAGACACAAAAGGGCCATGGGGAATCGCATCTTGAGAAGCCATGCGCTTGGCCCCTAGGTCCTGCCAGTGGTCAAAGGTTCAAGCTGCGCTTCAACAGACTGACTTTGGACAATCGCTCATTCGAATGGCAAGTTGCGACTGGAAGAGGCCGTTGTTATTCTCAGCACACAACGTGTTGCCTCATGCCGGTTGTATACTTACAGCGGCATTCGTGTGGACCGGCAATTTATCAGAAAGCAGTCGTGCTTTGATCCCCTTTGACCGCAGACATGCAGCAACCATCCATGGCCGGTCCTGGTAAGTCGGTGGAATTTTCCAAACACCAATGGCACTATCACCCTGATGTGAAGACAATAGGCCGGTTCCACGGAACTCCATGTCGGAGCCGAAGTCAGCACGAGTCTGGACTACCTCTATCATGTTTTCAGGGATATATAGCGGCTTTATTCTCGAACACCAGGAAAAGGTGCAGGCCGGCAGCATCATCACTGCAAGTAGGAGTCCCGCTCCAAGAGGTTTGTGAGCGGCCCATGAAATTCTAGAAATGAGAGGATGGATACCCCTTTTCTTCCTCCCTGATGTTGTTCCCGGTCCCGTGCACATTCCGACCAAGGCTCGCGATGGAATTTGTCCCAAGCGTCCACCAAAACGCCTTCATTATGGTCTTGACCTTCCATTTCGCGCGTCCATTGAAGCGCATCCGTCTGCTCGCTGTTGCCGATCATGGCTGTCCATTCCTTTACCCCCCGAAATCGGGCTTGTTATAGATTTCTTGTGTGTTGCGTGTATTTCCACTATGCTTTTGCCCTTACTAGCTCGGTCTATCAGTTGGATTCGGAGTATTCGGGGACCAATTTCTTTCAAGGATGGGATTTCTACACGGTGAGGAGCTTGACTGTACGCGGTGTCTCCGACGAATCTGACGGCGAACAGGGTGGCGACCCAACGGGAGGATTTGTAACGTGGGTGATATCGAAAGACGCAATCGAGGGTGATGCCTAAGAGTGCAACAGATATTACAGCCAGGGCTCTGCTCAACTCATGGGCATGATCAACGCCAGCGACAGCTCGCCGATTTACATTGGCTCTGACTACAACACGGTGATCGGATCCACGCAGGCCGCAGGCAGACCCAGCGTCCGAATTTCCACCCAGAGATCATGGACCCATGGATTGTTTATCGGGGATTTCAACCACGCCCCAGGAGGAGTTTGTGGGAGTTGGCCAGCATGTACGGGGTTTGGAGGGAAGGGAAGAGATCGTGCGCTGATCAATCACAGTCTGGACACTCGGGCCCAACTGGCCTTACAATGGCGAAATCGATATCATGGAGGGAGCAAACCTGGTCAATTACAACGCTGCGACGTTACATACGTGTGTTGGCAACTTGTGCCTGTGAAGGGACATCGCTGATGGATGACAGAAACCCGAACTGCACGATTGCTGGGGACAGCAGAACCATGACGGGTCAACTGTCGAACAACAATTGCGCATACTACGTGAGCGGCGCGGCCATTCTCTGGTGGAAGATACTGACTTCACTATAGCCTGGCTACAACGTCGGCTGCGGGATACGCGACACTCGATCGTCCAGCTACGGGACAGGCTTCAACGCAATTGGAGGCGGTGTCTATGCGATGCAATGGACATCTGACTACATCAGCGTCTGGTTTTTCCCGAGGGGCTCAATCCCCAGCGACATCACCAACAATACTCCCAATCCTTCGTCTTGGGGGCTGCCGGCCGCCAATATGCAAGGCTCTTGTGTCTTCGACCAGCATTTCCAAGCCCACAAGATCATCTTGAACAATGCATTCTGCGGAGAATATGCGGGAGCAACGAGTGTGTGGAACTCGACGACCAACTCGTGCGCCACAAACACCGGGTATTCCACTTGCAATGCATATGTGGCGGCTCAGCCTGCCGCTTTCCAACAGTCGTATGTATTGCAGAGCCTCCATTGACCCTACCTCTGGCACTGACCCGTCAATAGCTATTGGAGCATCAATTCGATCCGGGTGTATCAACTGGTGGACCCTAATGCCAATGCAAGCGCCACTGGCACTGGATATATTGCAAGCAATCAGCCCACTCCATCAAGCACATCAACGACCTCATCCTCGACTCCAGTACCTACCACGAGTCTGTGCCCGACGTACAACTTCACCGTCGTTCAATCTGGCGTTTTCAAGTACGAAGTTGAGTGTGGAGTCAACATCGGCGGGTCTGATATTGGAAGACCGTATCCCAGCTATCCGGTCAACTCGTTTGAAGACTGTGTGGCTGGATGTAGCTACTGGAATACCTTCAACAGCACCAACATCTGCGGCGGCGTGACATACCAGGTCAGCACCAAAGCATGCTACTGGAAACGAAACGTCGGGAGCACTCCTGCGGATCCCAACTTCAACAGCGCCCGGCTCATCTACTATGCCTATCCACAGGTGACCGACGATCCTCGAAAACAGACATCCACCAGCAGCAGCACGTCGTATGTTGCGACCTCGGTCACGCCTCAGTACTACGTCGCTCCGGGAGCCACTACGTCGACATCGTTCTCCCTGATCTCGGAGACGCCGACGTCGAGCTTCACGGACGGTGTTCCCCTGGGTGGCACGACGACCGACGACGGTTCTTCCACTACGTCTGCTGTTTCGACGACGGTGGCAACTACAGGAGGCAGCTCTCTCAGCACGGCGACGGCGACGGCGACGACCGGCGTATCTTCGTCGGCTACTTCTTCAAGCTCTAGGTCCTCGACCGGGTCTCCCGGGAGTACAACCTCAGCCTCGTCGACTGTTTCATCGACCTCGAGCCTGTCGACCGCGCCGACCACGAATCCGCCCCTTTCCTCTTCGTCTTCTGCGGCAGCATCATCATCATCGACAAGAACGACCGCAGCGACCTCAACCAGCGGGCAGCTGTCCCTTCCGAGCTCAACCCTGTCAGACTCATCGTCCGTATCGCCGAGTCAATCCACGATCGTCAGCACTTCAACTCCAATTGCAACCTCAGCCTTGTTCTCGTCGTCGACGGTTATCCATTCATCCTCTGCTGCGACCTCATCTCCAGCGTCCAGCGCACCTACTGTCACGACGCAGGCTCAGTCGCGGACTCCCTCTTCGACGACCACCACGACCGTGTTCAACCCCAGTCCAGCATCTACGAACGCCAGTCCTGTTAGCACGAGCACGAGCACGAGCACGAGCAGCCCAACTGTCTCTTCCTCTGTGCAAACCTCGCCTCCTCCGCCTCCATCGTCTGTTTCTTCATCAATCTCGCCGCCCCCACCGTCAACGGCCTCTTCGGGGCCTCCCACATCATCACCAATGACCAGCCCGTCGACGACAACCAGCAGCTTCGTCGTGTCGGAACCCACATCATCTTCCCCGCCATCCTCGCCTCCCTCGACGTCCAACTCTCCCTCTACGGTCTTCTCTTCCACACCGACTTCCCAGACCGTGATCACCAGCAGCACTTCTTCCTCCCTCAGCTTCCTACCCTTTTCCACCACTGCTCCAGTCTCGACGCCAGGGTCAACGACCACCACTCCGAACACTCTGCCTGGCCCAACCCAGGTGTCCTCCTTTACATTTGCAGGCTGCCTGGGACCGCGGCCGGACACTGCGTTTGCCAATAGCTTCACCCTGGTGGAAGACTCTCCGCTCATGTCCATTGAGAGATGTGTCGCGGACTGCTCTTTGGACATATACGCTGGCCTCTATGATACGTGAGTTTTTTTGTATCCCCCTTGTTCGCCCCAGCGAATGGCGCAGCGATGTCTCACCGCTTCCAGCTCGTTTGGATTCCTTTGCCCCTGGATTGCAGAATGCTAACACCCCTTCTCTGTTTTCCAGACAATGCTACTGTTCCTCATACGCGCTCCCTCTCGACACCTCGTCTTCCGACGACTTTGTCCAATATCCTGATTCGGCGTGCAATACCACGTGTCCCGGCAACCCTGCGCAGAGGTGCGGTGGCATTGCTCTTCTTCCTCCTCCTCCTCCTCCCCCCCGGCGCGCTAGGAGACAACTCGCCGATGCGAACGGCGACATTATCCTCCTGACGATGTACAACAACACGGGCGTTGACGCGGGCACCTCGTCTTCGACTTCTTTGTCGGTGGGGACGACATCAGCAGCGACAACGGTGGTCTCGTCGGTGACAGCCTCTAGCAGCGAAAGCACGAGCACGAGTGTGAGCGTGAGCGTGAGCGCGAACATTTCCGCAACAACGCCACCGTCCTCGACAACAGCCACCACAACCTCGCCCCTCTCGTTCTCAGTCTCTGATTCGGGGATTCTCATCTCAACGACCCCGTCCTCCTCGCAGACTCCAACACCAACACTGTCCCCGACCACAATCTCCACGACCTACACCACCATCTGCGCCGCCCACCCGATCTCCTGCCCCACGCGCACGGAGACGTGTCTCGCGACCACCATCACGGTCCTGCACTGCGGGTGCACGGACGTGCCGCCGCCCGCGGTGCCCATGACCACGACGGTGGTTGCCGCGTGCGCCACGCCGGTACCCACCTCTCCCGCAATGATGGGAGGAGAGGAAGATACCGAGAGCGGCGGCGGCACAGAGGAGGGAATGACGACCCTCACCGTGCCGTGTGCGCAGTCCATCTCGGCCCTCGAGGCCGCTGTCTCTGCGTGGTCTTCTTCCGCATACGCATACGCGTATGCAGAGGCAACGGCGACGGCCACAGCGACGGCCAACGGTAACGCGCACGGCTACATCCCGTACAGCTTCCCCATCTCGTTCCCCATGGCCACTACAACAACTCCGGCCGCCGACACGGTGACCAAAAGCCTCGTCCTCGCGACCGCCAAGTTCAACTTCTCGGTCCCCCTGCGCAACGCGACGAGCTCCCCCAGCTCCAGCTCCACCAATACTAGCGGTTTTACAGGCATTTCGAACGGGATCACAGGTGGTGGTGACGTTAAGAACGTCACTGTTTTGCCCGTCCCCGTCCCCGTCCCGGTTTCTGGGCCTGCGATGGCGTCGATGTCGACGTCGACGGCGCCGGCACCGGTGGGAGGTGCGGCGGCGATGGGCGCGGGAGTAAGGTCGGCTGTATCTTCGTTGTCGGGATTGATGGTGGGTTGTATCACGGGGGTGGCTCTTTGGAGTTGGGCATTGGGCTAAGGAATGGGTTAAGGAATGGATGGGCGGCGGTGTCGGTGTCGGTATGGGTGTTGGTTGTCATGCACATCGCCGTCGTTGTTCTTGCAATGCGCTACGTCTGTGGCTGGTTTGAGCTGAGCTGAGTTGAGTTGAGTTGAGCTGAATCAAGCTGATGGGCGGTAGGTGTTGGTTAGTTGCGGGTGATGTTCTGACTCTTACGCAATCTTGAATCCCGAGTTCAATCTGCATTTCACGCGCAGGCAGGCCAGATTGGGATCCTCTGTATCTCTGATTACTCGTACGGGCATTCTGGACCGGGCACTTCTTCTCTCCGCAACATGTCCATTCCCCGAAGAAACCGCTGTGTCGAAGCTAACCATGCAGGGAGTAACGAGAATGAGAAGGAGAAGGAGAATGTCGGCTGTACTCGTAGGTATAGATACCCAAGATACCCAGTGACTACCTAGGTACGGACGACAAGGTACCGCCACATTACCGTGCGTCTGGCAAACATCGAGTCTGATTATACAGCAGCCTACCTAGGTACCTAGCACACCCGGGTATGTATCCTAAACCCAAGATGGGCCAAAAGCACGCGAGATCACCAAAAGACATGCTCACCATGATTGCCGTAACCGTCCGTCTCGCATGGTCTTTTCTTTGGGAGGGACATTCACACGCACCGCTATCCTTCACTAGTCGTTAATCGTGTCACATATCTCATAAGGCAGAGCTGTGAATCCTCTCCGCTGGGGGTTCCAGGTCCGAGAGGTTGATTTCCTGTCCTTCCGCCTCGTCAAGTCCTTCGGCAATGTCATTCAATTCCTGACACCAGCCCAAAGCAACCAGTACAGTCCGGTCCAGTTCCATCCAATCCAATCCATTTCAATCCGGCACAGTCCATTCCACTCCTGTGCCAACCAATTCGGTACACCTTGACCTCATACAGGCCGAAAAGACGTGTCCAATCCCCAGCCCCCATCCATAGGATCGTTTGCCGCCAAAATCAGGAACCGTGAGAGGCCAACCTTTCACCTGCAACCCTCCTTCTCAGCTGATCAAGCAATAGGAGACGAAGCATCTCCACGACCATCCCAAGAATCCATCATTGAACTCCCTCTCCTTCCCCATCAAGAGAGCCGCCAGTCCCCGAGGTTATCACCTGCCAAATTCGATGTACATCCACTCCGTGAACACGCGCCTGTGGGCACATGCAACCTTGCCTCTCTCGATCCAAGGCTCAGCGGCTGCTGAATTTCCTGCTATGTTGCCCGCCACAGCAGTCGAACTCGACGAAACATTCTCCGACCATATCGTCTCTCTCATGTGGTCTCGCACGGCAAAAGACTCGAATGTCTCTTGTCGAATCCGGAAGATCATGACGGCGAGGTTCAAATTTCTTCTCCCATTCCCCAAATTTGAGCTCGAGTTGTCTTGGCCCCGAGGTTTTTGAGCCAAAGATGGTTTTCCAAGCCTTGATCAGAAAGCTGCATATGGCCTTGTGTGTAGATGGAGGCTGGAGCGTGAAAGGGTATACGGACCCACCAGCGTGTCTTACACAATCAATTGTCAAAGCGGAGGCACCTTCAAATTGAGAGTTGTCGCTGCATCCCGTGGGAAGGCAGACATCATCCAACGGAATGGTCGGATCATCGTACGCGGAACCAAGGACTTCTTGTGTCACTCGACCTTGCCGTATCAGCCGGGCTCGCCAGCGAAACCATTGGAGACCGGGATCGATGTAGATCTGGATCTTGTCGAGACTGAATCTGCGGAGCTCGTCCAAAATACCCTGGTAGTCTTGGATTTGGAGTTGGGGTGAGGCTCTGGTGAGATCAAATGTAAACGTCCTCAGGCCGGGGCATGACTGTCGGATGGACTGAATTTCCTCCACCGACAGAGATTCTCTGAGGATACCAATAGGGAGGTCTGTGTCTTCGTGAAGCTGGAGGTCCTGGAGGGTGGCTCCGTGTCGATCCAGGATTGTGGACAAAGGCACTTTCCCCCTCCACGACCAGAGACTCAAAATCTGCAAAGGCGGGCATGTGGCGATATAATTGTTCGCCGCTGCTAAAAATTCGTCCGAAAGATCCCCGGCACGAAGGTTGATGCTGAAACTCTTTAAATTCGTCAATAATTGCGGAGCGCGTTCAAAAAAAGACCTATCGACGCGGCGGCTTCTGCTACACTTCAAGCCCTCCAAGCACCCAAGGTTGACGTACTGCGACCAGTATGCCAAGTCATGATCAGACATCTCCCATCCGTCCAAGGTCAGGTGACGCAGTGACGAACTCTGCTTCCTCGGTTGATCTGGTGGAAACCAGAAGATCTCGAGATGGCGTCGGCGGATGTTGACTATGGGACTTTCCAAGTCCATGGGAGGGTAACAGAGTATAGAGGCGAATCTCAGGTTCGGTGCTGATCTCACGATCATGTGGAAGAGCAGCATGTCTTCGGTACACGTGTTGTGGGCCGTACTCATCGAAAACGAGTTCAGGCAAGTCGCTGCCGCCAGGACCTTTTCTGACGCCAGGGGTCTATCTGCATTAGTGAGCCTCCTGGCACGAAAGATGTCCATTTTCGCATTTGGCTGATGGGTCTGCAAGGTCTCGACGAGGACTTCTGTTGGCAGGTAGCCCACTTTCCAGACCAAGGTCTTCAAGTTGCTGGCATTGCGGAGTACGGTCTCCAGTCGGTTAAATGACTTGCAATGTTCCGGGGCAGTGGGTGAATCATCGTGGCCGGGGCTGAATAGTAGCGTGGGAAGATCGCCACTGCAGACTGTGAGCTGTCGCAAGCCTTGGAGGAGCTCGGGCGTCTCCCATTCTTCTTGGTTCCGCCCGGAGTTGTCGACCCAGGCTTGGAGCCCGGCATCCCAGCGAACGGTGATGTGACGGTAGCGGACCAGTTTAGCCACATAGTTGAGATATTTGCAGGTCTGGGCCACCGCTGCTGTGGTACGAGGGGATTCGGAATCAACATACTCGAGGACATTCGCAAGGACTTCAGCCTCGAGGCTGAGGAGGTTGGAAGAGGCCATTCCTGCCTGTCTTGTAAGTGTCAGAGATGGATGGTCGCAGGCATGGAAACTGAGAGGTGAGGTGACGGTAAAGGGAGAAAGGCAGGTTGCAACAGACACCTGAACGAGGTCGTGGTCGAGCTGGCAGCGCTGAAGGTGAAGCGGCGAGGCAGCGAGGCAGCTGCTTTGAGGTTGAGGTGAAGTACAACACGCGGGGTCGCTGTATGCATCCTGATTCGTCTGACGCGCCCCAACGCGACTCAGGCACCAGCTCACGTGCCACGTTTAATATCAGCCTCGCCCAGTGTTGTTTATGCTGGGCTCAAGGACAGGCACGAACAGGTAACCTCTGAGAGGGGTAGGCAGTTGAACATGTCTCATGTCTGTCTAGCTTCTATGCCTGTATCCGAATCATCAACGGCTGCTCTAATCATGCCTGTGCATCAATCCGTCCTGACAATGCTTCCAAAATTCCCGTATGCTTCTAACCTCGCCATGTGCCATCTCAAGCCCTGAACTCCTCGCTGTCGTCAATTGTCTATGCTACCCCGTCCTCACCACTCTATCCAACCCGATTTCTATCGCTCGAGGTTCTAGCCGCTATTCCAGTGTCTAAACGTCTTCGTCAATGATAGCTTCGTCCAATTCCAAAAGCATCGATTCTTCAAGCAAACTGGAACTCGCAACGTAGCTGAAACCCCCAAATGGATCAGACTTGCTCAGTGTCCGGCTGTGTCTTCGCGTGAGGGTGTCGATGGCTCGGTCGGTGAATTCTTTGGCAAAGTTCTCGGCCAATTCCGGATTGGTGACTAGGGGCTGGATGGGTGGTTCGAGTTCCTTGGCTTCCAACTTCTTCCAGTCGATTTTCCTGAAGAAACGGTGTTTCTTGATGATGTTGATGTCGTTCGGACCCACTCCAAGTCGCTTCTTAGGCTCCTTGCGCAACAGTCGAGTGAGAAGGTCTTTCGCATCTGGCGACAGGAAATAAGGTAGGCTCAGCTTTTGATACATGATGTTCTGCTGGATTTTGGTCCAACTGCCTCCTCCGAAAGGTGGTTTGCCCGTCATGAGATCGCAGGCCATCGCACCCAATGACCACCAGTCGCACGCTTTACCATACCCTGGACCCCAGTCAGACTCGTCGCTGCCTCTGATGATCTCGGGGGCCATGTATTCGATAGTCCCCACACCCAGGCTGTTGCATCGACTCCCCCCGGGTGTGCTCGGATCCTGAACGGCAACCTTGCTCAGACCGAAATCGGTCAAGAGCAAATGGCCCTCTGCGTTCAGCAAACAGTTCTCCGGTTTGAGATCACGGTAGATGACGCCGACCGTGTTATGAAGGTAGTCTAAAGCCAAAACAATCTCCGCAATGTAGAATGCAGCCACTTCTTCCGAGAAGAACTTTTCCAATTCCAAGTGACGAAACAGCTCACCGCCCGAGGCATATTCAAGAATCAGGTATAACTTCTCGTGATCCTGGAAGGCGTAGTAGAGATTGACAATGAAGGGATGACGATTGACCAGTTCAAGAATGCTTCGCTCGGACATGGTCGATTCGATCCGCTTCTTGTGGACCTTGAGAAATGCTTTGGTGAGTTGTTTCTGAGCGAACAAGCGGCCCGTGGCATTCTGTCGCACGAGCAGCACCGTCCCAAAAGCCCCATCCCCGAGGCAGCGGATGGGAGTGAAGTCCGCGGCGGTCATCTTGCGGACAATCATCGAAGTCGCACGCTGATCCGCGTCCATGGTTGCCGTGGAAGCCACCGAAGCGACTTCGGTTTCTGCCAGCGACTGACTGACGAAGTCTTGATCAATCTGCACGTGGTAGCTGACCATGTCTTCGTGCGGCTCCTCTCCTTGGGTGTCGGACGCTGCGCTGGCGGCGCTGCTGTTGGCCTCGGAATCCATGGTATTGCGAACGCGCGAGTTGGAGCGGCTCTGACTGCGAGAATTGAGAGCATCAAGCTGAGCTTTCAAGCTGCTGATACCGGGCGACTGAGGTCTGAGACCGGGGCTGGCACCGGCCAACATAGGCAAACGAGGGATAGGTGACAGTACCCGTGGGCTGTTGCGTGACACATCCGAATCTTCGGCTCCCGAGTCGACCGGAGTGAAGCCTCTGACAGTACTCAATGCCTGGGCCGCCTGGGCCGCTTTTGCCTTGTTTTTCTTCTTCTTCCTCTTGGCCGCAGTGGTCGACAAGATGACACTGCCCTTGACTTCCTGTCTCCCTCGCTCACTCTCCGGTTCGGCAAGAGCCCCGTCCTCGCGCGTACTGATGGGCAAGGTTTTTTGAGGTGTGACAGGAGGGCTCTTGTTTCGAAAAGGGATGATTTCGGGATCGCCTGTGTCCGCGTTGTTGTTTCCCAGCGCGATGGAATTCAGGGCATCCTCCAAATTGGCCGATACGTCTACAGGCGGTCGCATACCGCTTGAGGTTTCTTGAACTTTGTCCATGACGGCTTGAGTAGTTGAGATACTCATATTGACGGGTCTTCTGATGATGCGCCCAGGTTAAAAAAAAAGGTGTAGATGAACGCAATGCTCGAGGCCGAGGCGGCTGTAGTATTACCGTCCGCCCTTATTCAGGACGGACCTTGCGCCAGTAGCCGAACCAGATTATGGCCAGTCTTGCAAGATGCGGATGAAGATGACGTTGGAATCACATGGGAAAGTGCAACACGTCCGCGAGCGGCAGGAGTGAAGTCTGAAATTGTGGCTGAGGTAGTGACGGCGCTGCGACCCATTGAAGGTGACGGGATTCGACTCTGACTGGGAAAGACTAGGTGACAAACACAAAAGAGATTCGCAAGGAAATGACTGAGGAAGAGGTGAAGTGAAGGACGAAAGAATGGGTTGTGGACGAGGTCAGCAAAAGCCACCGAGCGCAACCTGCGCCTGGGAAATTCTGGAGGTGGCAGAGGCGCCCAGTGCGTTGTCAGCCAACGAAAGCGGGAGCATCACCACCAAAAGACCAATCAAGCCATGGCTAATCACGCCCTGGCAATTTTTTCATCGCAAGCAGCTCTGGGCAACTTAGATCTGCCCCAGATAGAGCCCGGGCTTCTCCAGAGGCTGGACCGCTTCTCTTGTCTCCGGATTCCGCGGAGTTCTGTTACGAGAATCATCTCTGGGGAAAGGATCATTGTTGTTCCGCCCTGCGCTCGCAGTCATACCATCCTTCACTGAAGTCTTCAAAGGCACACCATCAGCTCGCCACAATCAGGTACTTGCTTGGCTTCCACATATAATATCCCGCTTGTTAGACCAGACCAGACTTCGTCTTTCTCTTTCCCTCTCAGCATGGCAATATCCACCATGGACAAAGTGATTCTCAAGAACATGAGGTTCGACATCCCCGTCGGCCTGGACGCCTGGCGTCGATTCCGCAAACCCCAACCCGTCTCAATCACCATAGAAGCCCAGCCAACGTCCACCCTCGAGCCGGCTGCTTCCAAGGACGACGTCAACCTCTCCCTGGACTATGGCAAGCTGTACAAGAAAATCTTAGCGGCCTTCAAGGACGCCGATCCCGAGGCCTTCCCCACCATCTATTCCCTGATCGCTCTGCTTTCCAACATGGTACCGAACTGTGGTCTACTCACTCTCGACATTTCCCTGCCCAAGGCTTTACTGCAGGCCAGGGGTGGCGTGCTCTACCAATACCAAGTCGACAAGTCAGAGCTAGAAATCGACACATCTAGCCTCAGTGTGACAGTCAAACAGATTGCCTGCAACTGCATCATTGGAGTCAACCCTCAAGAGCGCATCTACAAGCAGACGGTATTCGTCGACATCAGCGTGCCTCTCGTGGACCCTGCTTTGGGAGTCGGTGCTTTGGAAGAACACTACACTGCTGCTCTGCATGACATGGTTCAAACAGTGTGTGAACGAGTCGCGGGTTCAGCATACCACACGATCGAATCCCTAGCCACTGCCGTGGCTCAGATTGTGACACTGAACTATGGACACACGGTTGCCAAAGTCCGCATTGAAAAGCCCAGCGCCATTGCGCCCATTGAAGCCGCCGCAGTCGAAATCACCCGCAGCAAAACATTCTTCGAAAACAAGGACTTCTGGAAGGTCAAGCTCCCGTAATACCCGGGAACGTCTTCGTCAATCAGTCGTTAGGTCGATTATGCTTACCCGAGGAGGACGAGTTGGTGGCAGAGATGGGTCTATCTGAGTATTCGGGCCTGACTCGCACTCGACTTCTTTCCAGGTACCGGGGAGGCTCGACCGGGGAATTGCATGGACGTGGGTGGCCGCAGACGACTTTGGCGACAGCCCGGGCGTCAGCTTGGGCAGAACTTCAACGGGATGGATTTCGTCTTCGGCCAATGCCACTTTGGCTGGCGGTGCTTTAACCCGTACATATGGCTTAAAGAAACTTGCGATCCGCCGTTGAGGTTGGATGAGGCTCCCATCCGCTGTCGCACTTTCGGTGAGGATTCGGCACTTATTTGCTCTTTTTTTGGGAGTGCGCCGTGTGACATTACTGAGTGCATTGTCCGGATCCAAGGCATTCTGCCTTTCTTGCTCGCCCGCTGCTGAGTTGGAGTCTCTCCAGACTGGCGAAGAGATGGCGAGCGTCGTTTCCTTGACCGCATTGCCGGATAGGTTCTCTCCTGGTGTCACAGTCGCCAGAATCTTCGGCTTTGACTGTGTGTTGTGTTTCGAAATCAAAGGCGGCACCGCAGCTGGGGGCATAGGTTGAATCGTGTTTCCATGAAGTTGGGCTGGCTCATGCTCAATCCGCCGTCCCGGTTCCGCTGAGCTTGAAGTTGAGGGCCTCGAATGGTTGTTGACATGTGTCTCGTCGCTGAGGATAAACGGGTCATCCGCACTATTGGTACTGGTTGTGACAAGGTCAAATGATGCAGTGTCGCTTGCTGACATCGTGTTCCTCGGAGGTTGACTGTGCTTGGCGGTCTTGAAGAAGTCCAGCATCGTGGGAGGAGGCCCTTCGTCTAGCTGGCTTGAGCTGAGTTTGGGAGACTTGGGTCGTCGCGGCGCACTGATGTTGGCCTTTGGACGAGGACGAGGCGATGTGATGGGCTTTCTGATATCTAGCTCCGACTCGGTGAACTCATTTGCAGGGACAACGTAGCTCAAAAGAGCCCCCTGCTGCATACCTCCAGCCACTTTCGGCTTTCTCGCTTCTTTCTGCTTGGGACATTTCCGTGTCGCAAATTTTTTGGGATCATTCTCCATCTCGAATTGAATCTGTTTCCATCGTTCGACGTGCTCTCGAGCTCCCATTTCGACAATCGCCTGGGCAATCCACATTTTCTCTGGCGCATCGGGTAGCCAAGGAGGAGATTTGCGCTTCTTGGATGGGCTCAAAGGAGCATTCTCTCGTGCATTTTCCGTTTCGCTCTCACCACCTTCATGTTCGTCCTCGGCAAGGAGTTGCAGATACTCTGGGCTGTCCTCTTCCGCATCGAGATCCAGACCGACTATCTCGCCTGGAATCGCTGTGACCCTGAGTTCTGGGATCCCATCACTCACAAAATGCTGCCTGCGTTCGGTGATTTGATCGGCAGATGTGACATACGATGTTGCTGCGCCTCGTAGTAGCCGGTTCGCAAGGAGAGCTGGGGCTGTGACTCGCACAAACTTCCAAGCACCGGGCTTGTACCACCATTCGAACATTTCAGCTGCATAGTCGCGAAGAGCCTGGATATCAATCTCTCCATCCCAAGCCTTGACCCATTTCCTTTCCAACTTTTCAAGCTCGCCCGGTGGTGTGACGGCCGGATTCATATAATATCCCAGTATTTTCCTGTCTGGAAAGCTGTCGGGGATCCGAATCGATTTCCTCTTCATCTTGAAATAGCCGCTCTCGTTGGTCTCCAGCTCGAATTGTAGTCGTTCCCTCCACTCGTTGATCCCATCTTCGTCTCTGTTCCTCACTAATTCCAAAAGGTCGCTCCCAAAGCCCGCCCTCGCGATCTCGCATGCCAGCATACATCCAACACCAGCAATGCCGTCCTCATCATAATCACCACCGCTCAAGAGTGCGACCAAAATCATTCCCTCCGGATCTAGGCCACTCATCTCCTTTACTCGCGGCAAATCCAAAACGTTCACATGGGTGGGCGTCTTGTTCCCTTTCTTCCCATTCCCCTCCTTCGACCAATCCCTTAGTGTGAGGCCAGAACCAAACATGATGGCATCAACATCCTGTGTCATAACTGCATCCACAACCCCTTTTCGCTGAAGCATCGCACACTCGGCCTCGGCCTCCCCAGGCGCCACATGCGTTGGAAACCGAAACAGGGAAATCAAAGCCTTTGACATCTCGCTTTCGACGCATGCCCCATGCCACTTCGACACAGTACGTCCCCTTTTCGTGAGTGGTTTATTCCTCCCATCATACACGAACACAGGCTGGATAGGCAAAGCCAGCAACCTCACAAGACGGTAAAAGAGTGTGCGGAGGGCTGGATTCTTCCCCCCTTGCCCGCCGTACTGGGTCTGAAAATTCCAGATCGCTGCATCAATGGCGATTCGGAGGGGGCGGGATTGTTTCTGCAGATGCTCGACGGCGAGGCGGGAGAGGGCAATTCGTTCGCCTTTGCCGATTTCTTTCAAAAGGCTAACGCGGACAACAGAGATTGGAGTCAGTATAGTATTTGGCTCGGGATGATCGAATCTTCTTTGCTCTCCACTGGATTTCCCACGGGACCATTGGGAAGCACTTGTTACAGGCTTTGGGGCCTAATCACCATAGGCCGTGTGGAAGTCTTGGTTAACTTACCCAGGAATCCCCATCTTGCTCCACCCTGAGTTCTCTTCACATCTGAACTGCGCTTTGGCGTAGCTTGATGGCCTACCTCCCCCTCTCCCAACTCGTTGATGCGTTGCAGCATCGAAGCTGGTAAAAAGGGTCGTGGTTCCTTCCGAATAGAGTTGTTTGTTGACATTCGTGCCCCGGTAAAACTTCGGACAGGGCACGAAGGCAAGTGTGAGCTGAGAGATATTTGTTCTAAAGATGTAGGAGGCTCTTTCGAGGCCTACAAAACGTTATAGCCATGGCAATTGCGACAGGGGAATCTGTTTCTGAGCACACTATGGTCTAACGCTGATCAATAAATGCTCGTAGGAAGAACGAGAGAGGGTGCTGGCCTGGAAGTGCCTTCCAGTGATCTGGACGGGGTAACGCTGGCTGCCGTCACATTTTATGAGATTTTCGATAAATGTGGTTTGAGCTGGCCTCTATCACCGTATAAATTGTCCTTAAGGATGTGGAGGGAAAGTCATACATAGTGCGAGGAGTATCGAGTATGAATTCGCAGACGAGATGATGACTAAGCCAAATATCGCGTTTCTGATTGGTCAAGCACCACCGCGTCCCTGGAGATTTGTAGGCGAGACCAACTTTGCGACCTACTTTCTTTGCAAAAAGCTCCGCCCAACAATCCAGCACTCGCAAGGGAGGTGGAGGCGACGACAGGCAAAGAGACCGAGCAATGGCATCCACCGTCGCCTCCGCCATCCGCCCAAGTCTGCGCGAAGCGTCCTCACGCCATCAATCCGGCAGCCCTCATACGCCTACCGGCCGTTTTGTCTCCTCCGCCCAATCTTCCCCGGGCTCGTACTCTTTTCGCGCCGAAGAGGATCCTATCATTATCGAACTAGACCCTCGTGGCCTCAGGGCCGGCTTTCAGGGCGAAAGTGGCCCCCAGTGTTTCATACCCTTCACCTCCCAGAGTTCCAGACGAGTGGGAGACTATCGCTCGTTTCTGCCAGGGTTCAGAAGACGCAGGCAAGATCTGGCATCGAAGAGTAAAGAGTATGAGCTGTGGAGAAATGATTTGAGAGATGTCGACTTGGGTCTGCTGGAAGATAAGCTGGAACGGGCAGTCCGAGAAGCGTACAACAAATATCTGTTGGTGGATGCGGGCACGGCACGCTTGGTGCTGGTCTTGCCTTCGTTAGTACCTCATCCAGTATTGTCGACAGCGTTGACTCTGCTATTCGAGCGCTGGAAGTATTCTACGATCACTCTGTTACCCGCACCAACCATGTGCGTCGTTGGGGCGGGTTTGCGATCGGGTCTCGTTGTGGAGGTGGGTTGGGAAGAGACGGTGATCACGGCAATCTACGAGTATCGCGAAATACATGTCTGCCGGAGTGTTCGCGCCATGAAGGCTTTGACCATGAAGATTGGAGCACTGTTAGAGGATGTCAGAAAGGAACAGGACGAGTCAATCCGTGATTCTCTCGTGCTGGATTTTGACTTCGTCGAGGAGTTTGTGGATCGTGCTGGTGCCTGTCATGCATTATTTCCAATTGCGAAAGATGATCTTTCAGAAAGGGCAAAGGCATTGAATCTTGAGGACCAAGGACATACCGATGTCTCCGGCGGTGACACGGCAAGCATGGTGATCGACTGGCCAACGCATACGACGTCTCGCCCCATCACAGTCTCCAGACAGGCATTGCATGAAGCATCTCTCGACACCCTAGTTACACCAAAGACCGAAGAACACCGGGACGATCATGAACAATCCATTAGTCAACTTCTGTACACAACCCTTCTTGCCTTGTCATCGGATGTTCGCGGTATTTGTATGTCAAGGATCATCTTCTTAGGCAGGGGTTCAGCTATGGCGGGTTTGTCACAACAGGCCCTAGACACGACCAATGCCATCATCTGCGAGCACGGATGGACGCCTGTCCGAGGGAAGCATACGAAGGTCAAGCGGACCGGCCTTGCAGAGCTTGCTCAAGCGAGAGCGGTTCCCCCTGATGCTCGACATGACATCAACCCTCCGGGAGCTGATGACTTTGTCGAGGCACGGCTCTTCAAGCAGAAATCAAGGGATGCGCACCAACGTGTTGCTCCCGTCCTGCAGCAGGTCGAATCTCTTGGACCTTGGACTGGTGCGAGCCTTGTTGCCAGTTTGAAGGCGAAATCCTTTGTCGAAATCGAGAGGGAGAGATTCCTCTCTCACGGACTGGCTGGGGCACATCGTGATCTAGATCCTGGTGCTCTTCAACAACAGCGCAGCACAGCAACGAAAGGCAGCGAGAGAACGAGTTGGACATTGGCTGGATGGGGTTGAACCAAGTATCTGGTGCACCATTGACCATCAGCGCCCTCGTTCCTCTCTTTCCTGGCACGGACGTGGTTGGGCGTTGCGGACGAATGTTGTTGTCATCGTTTCACTGCTTTATCGTCGGGGCGATGTATCTTTTCTGCCCGCCATCCAGACGATAGTGAAATGAGTAGACAAAACATTCCTTCATCTGCCTAACGCCGTGTACTACCTTCTTTGTATCGGGATGCCAACAAACAATCCTAGCTTCGCCTTCTCTTATGGGTCCCTGTTCCTCCCCTGCAGTGTTTTCGATAGTGTCACCACCACAGTACACAGAGGCTCCTTCCCGACTCTTCTCGAATCGTTGTCGGACAGGACAGACAATCTTCCCTCTGAAATTGTGGCCACCGGTGTCCCAAGGCCAAATATTGCTACCAATCACCTTCTGTGAGTGATGTTGCCTTTAATGCCCTGGTCGAGAACAGCCCGACTTGTGAGGTCTCTCTGGCCTCCGATGGCAGATGGCACTGATACGCCCTCCTGGAGCATGACCTTGTGCTTTGTAGGAAGGGTGTTGTCTCGTGCACGTGCTCTGAGATAGAAGGGCGTCCGCCGACACGCACCCCATCAGCACCAATGATGGCGACGTCCGCCGCCCTCCCAGGCCTTGTGCTTGAAACTGACAGACTCAACGAGGACGTCACCGCCATCATCTCTGACTTGTTCTGTTGCGGCAAGCGCTGATCTTAAGCAGACCTCCAGATGAATCCGAGTGGAACGCCATTCACCCAAGATTTCCTGTCCAAAACAGATTCAAAACAAAAAATCAACAGCGACTCATCCCACAACCACACCACGCCCGCTCTCAAATCACACATCCAAACATGTCTTCTTCCACCGAGAATCTGCACAGCGGCGACGGCGAGGGGGAGCAGCACCACTCCAGCAACAGCCTGAGCAGCATCAAGTCGGTGTTCTCGTCGCTGAAGCGTGCCGCCACCAACGACAGCAAGAACAGCGACGCGTCGAGCGACTCCAAGTACGACCCGCTCACCGTCCAGCCGGACGCGCTGCCCGACAACCGCAGCGACATCGAGGGCCTGCTCAACCGCCAGCTCAGCGCGCTCGACCACCTGCGCCGCACCGTAGTGGCCCGCAACCAGGAGATCAAGGACTACTGCTCCCGCGCGGCGTACTACTACAACCTGCGCCCGCGCGTGGCCCCGTCGTTCCTGCGCCAGCTCGACATCGAGATCCACGTGCTCCGCCAGCAGCGCAATGGGTTCCAGGCCCTCGTGGACATGCGGCACAACGAGATCGTGCGCATGGCCGAACACCGCAAGAAGCTGGACGCCGCGCAGGGCCTGGACTGCACCGTCTATGACATGTACCTCAATTTCCGCCGCGTGTCCGAGTGGGAACAGCTTTTCTCGATTTGACGGCGGTTTCAACACGACAGTGAGAGACAAGCGACAAGTGGTCAAGAATATGAGCAGCGCACTGTGGGAGACAATGTCGAATTCACCACAAGAAAACAATCACATGGAATATTATTGGTCAGCCTTTCTTTTCCCGAGTCAGCAGGCACCGAGACGATATGGGCGGGCTGTGAGAAAGGTTCTGAATCACAACTTCACGACTGACATCAATAACACGTGGCGAGGGAGATGAACTGGCTTTGGGATAGTGCTCGCACAAGGATATGTCAAGTCCCTGGATACGGAATGGAATGGAACGGGCTGAAACGAACAGACATACAGACCGTGTATTGTTGATGACTGACTGGACTGAGATTGGGATATCGGGATTCGACTTCAAATCACGGGGATGTGCATATTGGCGTGTGCACTGCGCTCGAAGGGGCATTACACAGCTTAACTGAGTTCCAGAGATAGCGCGCATGCTACGTATCACGGGTCGAATAACATTCGAATGAATGGTTGAGCGATTGATTGATTGATTTGGCTTCCTTTTTGTGCTGATGATTTCCTGCATGTCATCTTTTCTGGGAGACCCTGCGGCCAGAGGTTGAGACTCCGATCATGCCCACTTGCTATATACAGGCATGGTGGCCACGGCGGAGAGAACACTCGACCTATAGAAGCAGGATGTCCCTCGCCTCGCCATTTTCCTCCACTCATACATGTACCTACATCCCGCCTCCGTCGCTCTTCCATCCCAGCCACAGTCCCCTTCCCGCGTCCGCGCCCGAAGTGCAGAGCACCACTTACGTATGTGCCCTATGTACCCTAGGTATAAAGGTAGGTGTCTAGACGTCGACGAGACCCAAGCCGCGGCACTTTGCGCGGAAATCGTCCATGCCGACGTACGCGCCGCAGACGCGGCGCTTGCCCTCGAAGCCCAGGCGGCCGTGCAGGACGCGCCAGTTGTCGAAGATGACGGGCTCGCCGGGCCGCAGCATCACGGTGACGAGGAACTCGGGGCTCTCGAGGATGCGGCTCCACTCGCGCGCCGCGGCGTACCACGCCTTCAGGGCCGTGTGGTTCGGGAACGGCGGCGCCGACGCCGACGTGGGCGGCACCCGGTCCAGGTTGTTCCATCGGATCTGGACCAGCGAGGTCGGGGTCGGGCCTTGGTGCAGGCCCGGCGGCGCCGAGTGCACGAGCACGGGATATCCCTGGGGCGAGGCGGCCGTGTTGTAGAATTCGCCTGCCGGCGAGCCCAGTGCGGCCGACGTGACTGGGTAGGTGCTGAGCGCGCGGTAGTGCTGGGGGAAGGTCTGGTATAGGTGCGCGGCGGCCGCGAAGCCGTCGACGAAGGTCGATTCGCCGCCCTTGTCGGCGGGGGTCAGGCAGTGGAAGAGCTGCAGCCCCGCCGGGTCGGTGAAGTAGGTCGTGTCGGTGTGTGGTGGGAGATAGTCGTCCGTGTACGCGGTGTCGATTGGGTTGGGTTCCGAGGTAAAGTCCCAGAAGCCGCCGTAGTGCGTAGGTCGGATGTGCGAGATGCGTTCGACGAGGGACTGCGTTGCGCTTGGGGTGGGTGGAGTGGAAGGGATGAAGCACAGGCCGTAGGTGTGGATTGATTCGAGAAATTGTGTGAGGCCCACCGTGGACGAGTCGTCCATGATTGACGGGTAGGGGACTCTGGGCAGTGATGTGGACGAAGGAGGGACATGTGTCCATTTCCTCTTGGGGGGCGCTGAAGCAGCAGCCTTGTTGGTGGCTTGTATAAAAGGGGGATGAGTCTGGAGCCATTCCCACGGGTACACGCTCCTGTGTCTCCCTTTCCCGCCCGGAGCAGATATGGCGTCTGCACTTGCAGATCCTGATGTCGCCGTCGCCGTCTCTAGCCAGGTGACTTCCAATCCCTCCGGTGTGGACTGCACACTTGAGACCTTGATCTCCGGGTCAATGGCAAAAGTGTCAATTAGCCGCTGATGCGTGCTGGGATGCTGACATTCCGGGCAGGGACAGTGGTCTCGCAGCCAGAAGGACGGATAGCGCAGTGCGACGCCCGTGTTGAAGTCAACGATGAGTTCTTGGTTTGTCATGTCGTTGACGAGGACGCGTGGGAGGGCGGCGCTGCTTGACATTGGCGCCGATGTGCTTTGATGTCGGCGGCACAACGAGGCTGTGGGGACTTGACACGGTCGGCTTGTGTTTTGCCAGGGTGAATTCTTCACCGATGCACATATTGTTGCTCTCGAACATGCTCCCGCCGCTGTCGTGAGATGCCTCAAGCCATGCCTGGCGCGTCCATTCCGTTGAAACGGAGTCCTGGGGACATTGTGGAGAGTTGTGGAAATCCGGGCCTTCATCATATATCGGTCCCTGAGGCTCCCCTATCTTGCGATCTGGAACAACGTCCTAGGTAGATAGATGGGCAACGAGGATCTCTCTTCAGTCTCTGGATCTATTCAGATGCAGATGGCACAGAGCAGTGACCCGTCACGAACAGAGAGATGGAGAGTTGATGTTGGTTACGGCAAAACTGCCTCTTCTGGCCAAAGTCTGGGCGTCTGGGCAGCCGCACGAGGCTCTCATTATTATGTAAATGCTTCTCGTACTTGGTCGCCACTCGTGGCACCAACAACGAACTCACCTCTCATGATTCTTTTCATCCTCGAGGAAAACGATGAACGCCGTCATGGAAGACGCTGCGACAGACGGCCATGGAACAGATATCGCTGTGTCATGACAACTCTACGATGACCAAGCTGAGCCACCCCGGAGGCTTGTCTCGAAGCGTCGACCTCTCTACGAGTAGATGGACAGGCTCGAAGCAATCAGCGTCCATGGAGCTGATCTGAGACGCTAGAGGCTCGTGTCTCTTGAGCCCTAAACACTCCTGGATCATGACCCATCGCGGTAAATTGCCAGGCTCGCCTGTAACGTGCTTATCTTTTGCTAGGCCCAAGGGTGGAAAAACAGCTCCCTTATCAACCAAATTCTATTGGTGAGTGACGAGCCTTTTTCATCTTGCATCATCGCTGAAAGATCGGCTTGCCATATACATGTTTCTTAAAAGAGCATAACATGTGTGTGAATCCGCACCTTTTGCTTTTCATTCAACCCGTGCCCTGTCTGAGCTACAATGGAGCATGAAAAAGTCGCCAACGACCATCCGGGGGTTGCCAGAGGGTCGGTAGCACCCGATGCAAGGCGCCGCTCAAGTCTCGTCGACGTACGAGATGATGATCTCATCAACGTCTCTGGCCATAAACAAGAGCTCGACCGGCTGTTCAGCTCCTTCAGCGTCGTGTCGACAGCCATCACCACCGGCAATGTCTGGATCGCCCTGGCCGGGACCATCGCGGTGGCGATTTTCAACGGCGGCCCCACCGGCATCATCTACGAATTCATCGTCGTCTCCTTCTTCTACTGGTTCATCGCAGCCAGCGTGGCCGAGCTCGCATCTGCCATTCCTTCTTCTGCCGGAGTCTATCATTGGGCCACCGTCACCGCTGGTCCTCGCTATGGTCGGATATGTGGATACCTGGCGGGATGGTGGAATTTCTTTGCCTGGATCTTCGCCACGGCGGTGACCTTGCAGATCACGGCAGCCATCATCATCACCATGGCCCAGCTCAACGCGTCCAACTACGAGTACCAGCGATGGCAGGTCTTTGTGGTTTTCCTGTTCTGTGCCTGGCTTTTCGCGGCGGTGGTACTGTTCTTCAACAAGGCCATCCCCCTGCTCGAACAGATTGGAGGCTTCTTCATCATTGCTGGGTTTTTGATCACGGTGATTGTCTCGGCGGTTATGCCGCATGTGCAGCACAGAGAATATGCGACTTCTCATCAAGTGTGGGATTCGTTCACCAATTTGACAGGGTACAGTAGCTCAGGGTTTGCATTTCTGCTGGGAATGCTGAACGGCGCGTTTGCTGTGGGCGTGCCCGACCTTACGAGCCATCTGGCGGAAGAGATGCAAAAGTAAGTACCGATCACATTGCGATCAGAGAGTTCCTCCACTGACGAAAGTTCAAAAGTCCAAGCAGGAATATTCCGATGGCAGTGTAAGACCGCACCATCTCTCTCCATACGACTCTCCGTTTTCACCTGTAACTAAACCGATTCTAGGCTCTGGCAATACATCGTCGGCTTCCTGACTGGGCTGCTGTTTCTAATCGCAGTTCTCTATGGCCTGACCGATCTCGACAGCCTGTTCGACACGGGATACGTCTTCCCGCTGGGCGAAATCTACCGACAAGGCACAGGGACCAGCGCGGGGGCCATTGGACTTCTCTTCCTTGTCCTCGCGCCTACCACAATTGCGTGCATGGGATGTTATTTGACGGCCTCCAGAGTAAGTCGCGCCAATCATATCGCGATCTCCTCTCTTTAGAGGCGGTCCAATCTCACAGCGACCTAGATATTCTGGACCCTGGCCCGTGATCGCGCCACGCCTTTCGCGAGCTTCTTCTCTAAGGTCTCGCCGCGCCTGAAAGTCCCTGCGAACTCGATTGTTCTGTGTGCGGTCATTTGCACGATTCTGGGATGGTAGGTACCTTTACGGAGAAAAGAAGCCTTCTTTCCCCCCTCTTTCGCCGCGTCAATCGCGAGACTTCCCTTGGCTAACACCTTCCAGTATCTACGTAGGCAATCTGACGGCCTTTAATGCTTTCACCAGCTCTTACATCGTCCGTAAGTATCGCACCGACCGGCCTCCTTCTCGGGAGCTTTATGGGTCATCGCAAAAGCCCGTTTCTGACCTCTTAGCAGTCTCCATGGCTTCATACCTCTCGGCGATACTGCCGAATCTGCTGTCCAGGCGAACCAAGGTCGTCCCAGGCCGGTTCTGGATGCCCGGCGCGGTCGGACTCGCGGTCAACGCGGTGTCGTGCCTGTTCATGATGGCGTTTATTGTCATTTTCTGCTTTCCGGTGCGTTTTCCCCCTGCTCCCCTGTTGGGTGTTTGATGATGGAGATAAGGATGCTTACCGCGCGGAATGCAGTTCGCCATGCCCGTCGACGCTGAGACGATGAGTAAGTTGCCTTTTGGTTCTCCCTCTCCGAAAAGAAGGTGGTGTGCTGATCTTGGCATAGACTACACGTGCGTCATTTTCGGAGGACTGACCCTCATCATGGGCACTTTCTACCTGCTTCTGAGAGGCAAATATGACGGGCCCCAAGTGATCATGCTCGGCAGAAGCGTGGAGATGACGGCGCAGGAATACAGAAACTCCATCGCCGCGTGAAGGCGGGCACGGCACAACAAGGACGCTATCAGGTCAATCTACCCTGACGTTACAAAGCCATTTCATGTCCCAGAGCCCAGAGTTCTCAGAGTTCAACCCAGTCTGTACATTCTTTTCCGCATGATCGAAGTCTGCGCCATTTCGCAGCCAATGTCCAAAAGAGGCATAATTTGGATTGACGATTCCTTTGTTCTTCCGACCAAGATAATGGTTTTATTGTTGCAACCCCAATCACTGAGTACTTTCTTCGTTGTTTCAGAGGCGGGTGTTTCTTTGTCGGAGCCAAAGATGGGTGTCCTTTGTTTCTATATTTGGCCGAGCAGCGATATCGATAAAGTCTCATGTTGTATCTTTTTGCACATATACCTTTGATCAGATTTGTACAGATATTCTCCATTCAGTTCTCACGTCCCTTCTTGCTACTGGTTTCATTAGCTGTTTGCCTTTTTCTTATTCGACTATTTTGCTATACATGAGCGCTCCTAGACAATCTTCGCCGTTATCGGCGGGTCTGGAAGCATCCTGTCCAATCCTTCAATCATTGCGCGATACATCCGATATCAAGGCACAAGGCGCGGCGTCGGACAGAGTGTCGCGGATGGACACCATTCAAGAAGAATCCACGGAGCCGGAAGATGACTTCTGTCTGCCATGCTTGCATGCGCCTTTGGCCGCCGTTGAGGCGACTTCAGAAGACAGCACCGGCCGCATTGATCAGGTCGAAGCAATTCCCGAATATGTTTTGAAGATCCGAGAAGCTATAAGGCTGCAGGGTCAGCGGCTGCAAGAGACACAACTGGAGAGCGAACAACCAGAGAGGCGTGAGAGTGAAAATGAGAAGCTGGACTTCCACATCAAAGTTGGCGGCAACAGGAGGCGGACGTCGTTGCTCTCAGGCGCAAGGGAGCGTGGAAGGAATGTGGTATCCGACATCAAGTCCCGGACCAGGAGGCTGTCGACCGTTCTGCCGGGGGGAACAAAGCGTGATGCTCCAGTGGTTGAGGTGGCATCGGAGGAGCAGAAGCGCAGGTCGTCTCTCCCAGGCGTGGAAAGAACAGAGCGGGTCTCTGCCCTCACATCTCAACGAAGGAGAATATCCGCCATCTTTTCTCCCATGCTGACGAAGTTGCCCGAACAAGTCAGAGAAAAGCCGAAAATCAAGAGCAAAAACGGTACACCGAAGTACAGTTCTGTGGGAGGTGAATGCACAAGAACCAAACATGCCACCATTGTGGAGGAAGTGCATGCCGGCGATGGCGATGGCGATGACACTGACGACGGCAGCGACAACGACAGCGAGGTTGTGGGCCTCCTCTCGCTCAAACCGTCAGCCTCATCTCGACCGGAAAGTTTCGATGCGTCCCATTTCTACACGCCAATGGTTCCGTCTGGCTCAGGCGGAGATTATGAATACCGCCTTCATAGGTCAAGGTTCAAGCATACTTTTGATTTTTCAAAGAAGCTGGCGTCGAAGAGTGTCAGGGAGGTCAGATACAACGTCGGGAATGTTCTGAACGCACGAAGGAGGGGCGGTGGATGGTCGAAACTCAAGAATTGATTATCAACAGATGCCGGCCGAGACAGGTCAACTAAGCAAGATGAACACCGAACCCCTAATGCTTATCTGGCCTTGCTTGTTAGAATCCATTGGATCTCATGAAAGTGTTTCGTAGCGGTGTAGGTAGTATCGTATCGCGACAACTTCGGTGCGTTATGACGGAGCATGCTGAGGGGGTGGTAGTTATTGTTAGTTTGCATGTTCAGTAGAAGAAGGCTCAACAGGTATACATTGCAAACTCTGTGCCACCTTGCAGGCTGACCAAGCGCGTGCCGCTGTGTGTTCCTCATGGTGATTCGCTTGTGTTATCCAATGTTCATGCCCGCCTTTCGGGAATCTCAATTCATATCCGATCTCTTTGAGCTTGACTGGGGGACTCTGTGGCCACTGGCATGCGCCTCTTTGGAGCGGCACACATCCCACGTCACCGATATCCCGAAGCACTCTAAGAGGCACGGATCGTGAGTTGGTGTGTATGGTCGCACCCTGCTAAACGGGCTAGGCATTTTCCCGAAATGTGTCGTGGCTGAACTGAACCCTGTGCCCGCCCATAGCATTTACCTAATCGGCGTTGCTAATGAAACGCTGCGGCTGGAAAGGATAGACGAGGAAAATACGAGGAAACGAGGGAGGGGAGTGATTCGTCCGCTAGTCCCCGAGACGGCTCGAGGAGGTGTTGTTCGCTCTTCTCTCGTGTCGTAGCGATAGGGATTCTCAGCAGAGCTGCCACAAACGGTCTGCTCATCCAACAGGGGCCCTTTGCTGTCGGGCTTCCGCTTGTAAAGAGAAGTTCAGCATCGTCAAGGAGAGCTTTTGTAAGGGTTGGTTTGGGCTCGTGGTGGGCAGTACGAACTGGGTTTGTGCTCGTTCTTGGCAGCAGCTCGGTGCGGAAGCCTCTTTTGAAAAGGCCTCATCCTCCTCGCCGTCTCGCTGTTTCTTCCCACCTCGTCGACCCAATGATGAGATCGATCCCCGGTCAAGCCATCCGTGGCCATCCTCAGCGGATCACAGCTCCTCCGATGCAAGGGCCCTTCCAGCATGCGATCAGAATCCCTCGATGCTCCAGCACAATCCCCAGCACATATTAATCAAATCGTCTTTGTCATCAGCCAGCTTGCGTGACATGGATGGCCTCAAGATATGTTGCCTTGCACGGGCTACGAAGAGACGACGATGGACAAAGACAAAGACAACAAAGACGACGATGGGAAGGTTTCGAAGCCATATGATGGTCCATTTCTATTCATCAACAAGACTTCGGAGACCCTGGGTCGGAGTCGAGACGAGAGTTTCACTATATCCTCGCATGTGTCTAAAACACATCGCAAATGGTTGAAAGACGAGAGGCTCAGGCGGTTGCATGCATCTAGCAGCAAGGCTGTGGCCGCTCAACGATCGATTCTGCCAGCAGCATCCTCGCGAATCCCAGGGGTCAGTCCCGATAATGACGCGTCAGTAGAGGACCATCCTGGACCTGCACGGGCAGTCGCCGACCCCAGTCAATCTCAAGACGGCGGGAGTGCCTCGCGAGTCACTGGGCGCCGTTCAGTGGGTGAAAGCGTGCCTGGCGACGAGCATAGTCAGCCTGTTTACCCATTTGAGGACAGCCAAGAAAATATTGACCAACAACGAACGGCAGCATCTTGGGTACGGAACAGGCGTGCTTGGGCGATCAACAAGCCCTCTTTGGCGCTCTGGAAGGGTAGTTCTGACCCCTTTTCGGCCGCTGCGGTGCCTCTGGCTGCCTCGGACCATGAGATCATTCGGCTAGCTCAGCGATTTTTCGTGTTCGTGGCTTGGCCAGACAAGACGAGCGCAGTGTGGAGGGCTCCAATAGCCGACACCTCCAGTTCAAACATTCATCTTGACGAGACTATTGCAGACGAAGCTGAAGTTCATGCTATCCTTGCCGCTGGCTATGCCGTAAATGGAGAGCTCTCGGGGCAGGATTCCGAGAGGTCCTTGACCCGGCAGCTGTTGCATAAAACCAAAGCTGTCGCACTTCTTCGAGATAGGCTCGCGAAACATGGCTTCTCACCGAGCGTCACCACATTGATCCGCCTCCTCATTTCTCTTGATTTTCACGCCTCCGATAATGAATCAGCCCTGGTACATCTGCGTGGCCTCTGGGCTATGGCGTCGACAACCCCTGGAGTTTTGGTAGACGCCCAGGAGCTCCTCCTGATCAGCGATGCGTGGATCTCCATATCACTGTTGAAGAGACCTGAAATATCACCACAGCGTTACGACCCCGGGCCACGTTCGCAGCATGCGTTTGACCAAGTTCTACGAGAATTGGAACGTAAGCACGGCATTGCTGTGACAGACGGAGCAGAGAGCTCAACCCCGGAGGCTGCATTTGATGAAAGCATGTGGAAACTGTTGGAGGGCGCCCACGAGATTGTCAATACAAAGAGGATAGTGGGCGAGATCACCGACACCAGATTGCACGAGGAGGTTGTCCATTGGATAAACAGACGGAGCAGTGCTGTAAGTGGCTATTGCACCACCGGATATGTGAACGCGACCGAACTCGCAGGGTCACCAAAGCTGGATGACACCAACAAAGTCAAGCAGACCTTGATGGCTGCGGCGTGTCTGTCCGCGATGATGCTCATGAACTTCAAGTTCTTGGACTTGCCGCACAACTACAATTTCAGCCGGACATGCCAGAAGATCGAACAAGTCCTCCGCAGCGTGTCGCAGGCGTTGGCGCGCGAGCCTCAACCGGCGCAGGACAGCGACTACCTGTGGCTTTTGTTCCTGGCCGCGATGGGCAACGACATTTTCACCGCGAGGGGCGACATCCCCTATTCTCCGTGGCCGGCCACCGAGTTTCACCGTGTCGGCGAGCGTCTCAACATCGCCATCGAGGCACAGCAGCAGCAGCCAGCTGCAACTGCAACTGCAACCGCCATTCTACGCCGGTATCCGTGGTACGCGGAAATGGACGTTTTCATCCTCGAGCTGCTTTGTCAGAAGCAGCCACGCGCACAGATCATCTCGTGGTCCAGGTGGCGCGATATCCTCAATATTGCTTGACCCAGACCTAGCAGGAGGAGCTGGAGCACGAAGGGATAAAGAGGGGCTGGAGGAAGAGAAGATGTGGCCTGTGTCATCTAGCGTCTAGCCGTTGCGGCCATAGCAAAGGGCCAAGGAGAGGCCGTTACGCCGGGGTGTGGTAGAAGGCGTCGGTTCGCGTCCTGATTAGCTTGGGTTGACCTTCACTGGACATGAGGGTTTTCAGGGATTTCTGCAAATAGCATAGCGTAGCACAGTTGAGGATGGAAGCAGGGGCGAGGACACTGTCGAGACGGGCCTATTTATCTAGGAATATATCTGTCTGTCCGTCTGTCCAACGAAGTGATCACGAAACACACCGTTCAGCTAGATACCTAGGTAGCTAGGTAGGTAGCTAGGTACTACCTCCAAGAACAGGTTGATGTTGAGAATGTTGATTGACAATGCCGAATCCTCTATGGCTCACGCGTGATATTCCACCATATACATGGGATCGTATAGATAGTCCTTTCAAACCAGGCAATCATTCAATCATTCGAGTTTGGAGCCATTTCATCCATCTATTTATGTACTTCTTCCTCTCTACCTTTCCGTTCCAGCTTCAAAGGCTTAGAGCTCAAGTTGGGCGATTGAGCAGGGGTTTCAGGGCCCTTCGTCCCTCCCTCCCCTATCGTGTCTAAATCCCCCAGAGAAGAATCTACAATTTATCTTCAAGGTAAAACGTGCTCATGCGATACTGGCTCTCGCCATCGTACTGCGCCAACTCCTCGAGCGCCTGCTTCCCTTCGCGCTCAATCGTCTCCTTGATCTCGGGCGTGCGTGGCGTGATGCGGCATTCGAACGGCTCGGGGCGCATGTTCAGGCCGTTTCTGCGGTTGGGAAAAATAAAAATTGTTAGCACATACACACAACTGAAAACGGGGTAAACAACGCCAATGCACAACTTACGTATATGCAAAGATGTCCACGGGAATTTCGTTCCCGTTCTTGTCTAGGGCTTTCTGGATGTTGAAGCCCCAGAGCAGTCTGGCCACCGTCAGGAATGTGCCCTGTTCAGCCAGGCCCTGGCCGCTGCAGACACGCCGACCCCAGCCGAAAGTCATGTAGCCCTTCTCGTTCGGGAAGGGCCGGTGAAGCGGGTGATCCTCGAAGAAGCGTTCGGGGCAGAAGCGGTCGGGCTCTGGGAACTCGTTCTCGTTGCGGTGGATCGCCCACACATTACCCTGCACCCAGGTGTTCTTAGGGATGTACCAATCCTGCACCCGCCGAGCTGTCAGTCAGAGGTCTGTTTGATGGGCAGGTCTCCAATTTTCAATGTGAGTAATCTTTACCTTGTAATAGTCATCTTGGATCGGAGCATGTGGTTGACCTCCAATGATTGCGACCGATCGCCATCTGAAAACTTCCTTCACAAACGCACGGATATAAGGCAGGTCGTCGTCCAAGTTCGGACTTCGGTACGAGCCAACCACACGATCAAGCTCCTCCCACGCCTTAGGCAGAACTTCGGGAAAGGCGCAACAGGCAAGGACGAACGTGATGAGAGTGGAACTTGAGGTGTCGCTACCGGCGCCGAAGAGATTCCCGTTGAGCGAAGCAATTTCCATAGTGGACAGATTATACTTGGGCGCCTCATCGAAGATCTTCTTGGCGTAACATGTATCGCCATTGCTCTTGCGCACGGCTTCTTCAGCAAGGGCATAGTAGAATGAGCGACCACGTCCCTTTCCAGCCCCGAGCCCGCACTTCCAGGGTGCCATCCAGTTGGGGAAGCGAGAAAGCCCTATGGTCGTAGTCAGAATTTGGGGGTTTTTTTTTCCTCAAGCCTACTCAGCGAAAGTGTAACGTACATGGGAATGTCTCCATCAACATAGGAAAAGTCTTTCCAGGCACGTTTAATTCGGCGGCTCTTTGCATGACAGCAATAACTTCGGTGATGATGGGATCCTCCTTACTCTTGATGCGGCGATTGAACCCGATAATGCTCACAACGGAGGCGGCATACCGCTCGAAATGCATCACATAGTCGGCGGGGTCTCGGACCAAATCCAGCGCCACAACTTTGCTCTCGTTGTTCTGAAAGCCGCTATAGCTGCGAACGTGCTGCAGGCCAACACCCATATGGGTCAATTTCCGGTGTAAGCGCCACCGCTCACCGTAGAACATAGAGACGATATTCGACTGGCCCATGGACAGCTCCCCGAAGACGACCATTCGAGGTCGAGATGAATAGATGCCCGCTCGCTTGTCCAGCATCTCGGAGGCCGACCATGCATCGCAGATCCACACTGTAGGGTTCCGGCCGATCCAGTATGTGATGACAGGAGTTTTGTACTGCTTGGCGAGAGCCTCGAAGTAAATCCACGGCTTGTTATCTGGTAGTTGGAATGTGTTGCCTACAATTGGCAGTGGAAACGGACCAGGAGGCTGTTTCGGGGAAACTGTTAGCGGAAACCAGTGCTGGTTAAATTCTGGGTGTTCTGGACTCGAAGAGAGCGTTCCAGAATGCCATTGTTCTTCTTACCATCTTCCTCCGCAGAAGGAGCATCCGGGCATAGTCGGCGACGAGGGCCAACAGGCCGAAAAGAGCCAGACCAATGGCTATTTGGCTGGCACTAGGGGCCGCATGTTGGAGGTGAAGCATTACACCCATGATGGATTAATAGCTCAGGGAAATTGTATGGAAGGCTCAGACCACCTCTTGTTGAAACCGAAGTCAAGGCGACTGTGGAGGGGAGCTGGGTTATATTGCGACCTCTGGAGGGATTTGTACGAGGAAAGCTTGAGTTTCTCGAAGATGCACATCCTTGATAGTCCATGGTCCATAATCCATATCGGCATGCCGCCATGTATTGTCTCAGTTCTCGGCATTTGTGCGAGAGCAGCTCCTCATTCGGCGTGCGTCCCACTGGGTGCGAGAGGGTTGGGCTTTGGTGGTTTTAGGAGAATGGACTGGTTCGAGTTGTGTGCTTGCTGGACGTGGGGCTTTTTCCCGCCTTTGGGGAACTTGGTGACCTTGAGAGGCTCGTAGGGCACGTGCTGGCCCCATCTTCTGGGTGGCGCACTTGATGTTGGCGCAGTTTGTGCGGTGGAGGGAGAGAAGGGGATGGAGGAGCAGGAGTGAGGAGGAGGGGAAACTGATGGTCTGGCCGGCCTGCGGTGGCACCGCGGACACCTTTTGTACCATTAGTAAGCGAAATGAGGGGAAGCGACGACTTCAGCCTGATTCCCCCACGATATCGAATTCACTACCTTCGTAGCAGCAGCACACCGTCACACATTCTCCTTGTTCTCTAGTGTTAGGATGTACATGGATGTATAAGCTGCTGGTATGCTCCGTGTAAAGACATCATTCTCGTCGACAGAGCAAGAACTCGGCCTAATGCTCATTTCCTGTCCCACACATGCACCTACGATGGAGCCACGCTTCCGGCTCAGCCTTTGGCTCGGAAAACGGCCGATCACCTGAGATGGACTCCTACGGTGCAAGTACCTAGGCATCAAGGTATTTAGTGTCCTTGCACAAAGCATGGACCTATCAGTACTGCCCCACCGGAACCAGAAGCCCAGAGCCATGATGTCTAACTATTATACATCCTCAAATTCGGAGAGTAGGAGACGTGTTTTGTTGTTAGAGTATTGCTAACAAAATACTGGGATAAGAGCAATGTACCAACATATCTGACCGAGTGACCCGTTTGGCTCTTCTGAAAAGAAAACAAGCATCAACTGATCAACCCCATGTCTAGGAATACTACCACCAGCACTGCCCCACCCCTTGTTCTGATTGTGTGCTTTTTCACTATCTGATCTGAGATCCCAGATCCAGGTTGTCTTGCGATCTCGCATACTCGGATGGTACTCTGAACGATCCACCTGAACAAACAGTTAAGTACCGAGAAGACCCCCAGCCTAGATTCCTCTCCAGGTGTCAACCGGCCATGGTCACTCACACATTATGGTCGTCGCCTCCTTTTTATCCGAACCTCTGGACCTTTTCGAGGCTGTTCGTTCGGATCGGCATCGTGCTGCAGCACAGTGACGGCCAAGTCGCCTAGGGACTTACATGGAGCTCTTGCGCTCTTCGGTGGTTGCTGCGGCGAACTCGGATGGTGTCTCGCCCTTGGCCTTGCGCTCTCGCTTCGCATACAGCGCTCTCTGGGACGGCGGCAGAGAGTGGTCGGGCTCAAGTGGATCAATGTCGTACTTCAGGTTGGGATGGCCTTCCGCGTTCACTCTGTACCGAACACGAACACCAAATCAGTTTCCGTTGAGGTTAGATTCGAGCAAAATAAGGCGACAGAAAGCTTCGGTCTTGTCCACGCGACCCGAGGTTGGGCAAGCCACAGGCATTAAAGGACGACTCACTTCACCTGATTGCTGATACGCCTTTGACCGATTTCCTTGGCCACCTTCATGGACTCGTGGTCAAGGTTCGCCTCTGTCGTGTTGTGGTGCGTTGCCGCATAGGTTTCGCGATCCTCGATCGACATGCTCCTCTCCTTGGTTTTGTTCTGGAAATGATACATAGTGTTGGGTTGCGACGATTCTAGTGATGTTACTAATGGTTCAAGAGAGGAATATAACAAGAAATATTGAGTTTGAGGGTTTATACGAGGGTTTCGATCAGAGGTAAGAGCATCCAATGTATCAAGGGCTTAGGCCTTGTTCGTGATTTTGAAGCGCTGTGACACTGTACAATGACTCGGGCCAGGGATTGCATCATCCCCTGATCGCACGCACCCGAACTTGCTTGATGTCGTAGGGATGGGGGAGTTCTCTGGTTCACTGGCGTGTCCCCATTGATTATGATGCAATGGTGAGCTCGGTTGGCATATTGGTACAAGAACATCGCCGTTTCGAATTATCAGTTAGAAGATGGCATCCAAAAGGGGGAAGCTTTTTACTTCGACCTGGTGTTGGCTGTTTTCCGGGACGGTTACATGGCGTGGTGAAGATAACAGACCCGGGGCGGTGTTATGATCAATACCGTGTGTGTGCGCAGGTTGTCAAACGGACTCATGGACTCGGTGGCTCTATGGGCATCTGTAGGCGCTTATCAGCGTGGTGAGGATTGAGAGGTGCTCGATACGGGCGACCGAGTGCGCTGGGTCAGTTAGCAATTTGCGCACAGCAGCAACGGAGCAAAGCGCAGCCTCATGTGATTCATCCTTGGAGAAGAGGTAACTCGAGTCCATGAAATAGAATAAGCCTCGTGTATCCTGTAATCTGATCATTTGACAACAGAGCGGAGAGAAGATGAGATTGTGTACAAGGTACAAGAAGGTGGCAGGCATTCTGTGCCTGCGCCGTATGTACATGTGGTAGTTGCAGTTGGCTGTCTAGTTGCCCCACCGCAGGCTGCGCAGTGAGACCACAACCTCCATCAACCTTACCAAACTCAACTTCGGTTGTTGATCGCGTCCCCCTAAACCTGCCTCCCTTTGCCCAGAGGGAGGCCTAAGCAGGTAAGATGTGCTATCCATCGGTCACCCGAGTCCAAACCTATCTCTCGTTCCCTCATTGTAGAGCGAGATCATCACCGAATTGGCTGACTCGAGCTTTGTCACAGGCGAAGCGACAGATCCCCCGCCTCTTTGGTCAATTCCCATACGTCCGCCCTGAGATGATGGTCATCCGCGAGCACTGATGGCGGTGCTTCCCCGTCAAACTCATACAGGACTATCCCAGCTGGCAATGCGCCTGGTTCCCCGAACTCCAACAGCCCCTCCACGACGCGGTATCTGATCGAGCCTCGGAAACCTGGGAGCGTCGCGTACTTGTCATCCAGAGCCTTCCAAATGGATTCGTCTGCAGTCCTCGTCTGGACACTGAGCAGGTACTTCGGTCGACTGGTGCCTCCGGTGTGGTCATCAGTCTTGCCCACCGTTTCGTAACTCCGCAGTGCTCCATTCCAGCAGCTGAATGCACTGCCAATCGAGCCGTCTGGCTCGGGAGGCAACAACTTGGAATGTCTGGGCATGTCATCGAATTGCTTGCTGGTCAGCCAAGCTAGATCGCTCAACTTTACCAAGGCGAGGTTGGGCCATAGTGTCTCGACAATGCACTTCTCCGATGCCGATGGCGTGGCGCGCTCTGCGAATTTGGGGTCAACGTATGGGTCGGCGGTCTGATCAATGTTTTTGTATCGAAGAAAAAGGCCACCGTTCCCGGGACAAGCCAGGACGTCGACTATGTGCTCCTCGTACCACGCGTCAAGCAGCGAGGAGGGCAGGTCCTTTCTCAGGATGCTCGTGGTCACCCATAGCAATCCTGGAACCGGACCTGTCGATGTGGCCGAGGTCGAGGTTGAATCTACAGGAGAGGGAGTTGAGGACATTTCTCTCATCTTGTTCCGGGCAAGGATCTGCTGATTCGAAAATAGTCACAGATGTCACAACGGAATGGGTTCTCCGCTTTGAAGGAGAGATGGCAGCTTCTTTAATGCGCTGGAGGATTTGTCACTATCCATTGTGCCGAACCCGAGAGGTATTCCGTGTAAGTCCCTCACTCGTTCGACCCATGGCCCATCATCTGGCGGCTCCGGGGATGTGTCACGGCTCACCCGTCTGTACCACTGAGAGGCTCCTGCGATATAAGCTTCTCGCTAATACCTGGACATGCTGCGCCGGGATTTCACGTGCATTGCCAGCACATCGATGCATCGTTGGCTGGCCGTCTATACCCCTCTCCGGCACAAGACCTAGCGGACCAAGCGTGCAGTAGCTTCAGAGAATTAGTGAAGTTGCATTTCAAGTGGGTTAGATACTTTATCCCACGGGCGAAGAAGTTCTGCACACGGGACATAGGCCCAGTCTTGACGGCATGTTGGCAGTGTGCGAATGCTCCACCAGGGTCCCAAGACGGCGGTTGACCTCTTCAACGAAACAACCACCATGTCCTCGGGTCATGATGCCAACCTTGATGTCTGAGGGTTATTCGCCCTATTGAAGGCTTGTGATAACAAAAACAACGATGCTCTTATCAGCTCAAGCGAAAGGAGGGTTGAGGAGAATTCGTGAACCGTGATCTCGATTCTAAGCGAAGTCAATCCAAACCCAGTATTTCATCCACCTGAACCCTTCCTCGAACCTCCCAAGGTACCTAGACTCGCTTTCCCCCTCTTCTTCCCCCCGTGCCCCTTGCCCTTGCTCTTGAGCTTGACGTTGCGCCGCCAATTCCTCTCTGATGCGGTCGATATTCCTCCCCAACATGACCGCCCCGACCTCGATAGCCCGGATCTTGTACTTTGTGGATTCTTGACGGACGACCTCGTCCCACATCTTCTTCCAGCTTTCCTCATTGTGCCTGTACCGCGAGCCCCCGCCCAGGCGTCGGGGGAACTCGCCGGGGTGCTCGTTGCCCACCTGGCACCCGCAGATCAGCACCCGGCCGTTCGTGGTGGTCATCAGCTGCAAGCATCGGCACGCCATGGTGACCTGCTGGTCCCAGTCGAAGAGGTGAAAGACGGACGTGGAGTGCAAGATGCCAACGCGCCCGTCGCACTTCCTGCTCAGCTCGCTCTCGGGGGAGAAGTCGAACACGTCGGCCGGGGCGACGAAGTGCTGGGCGCGCGGCAGCCGGTCCTCGTCCCGGAACAGCTCGTAGCCAACCTCGATGAACTCCGGGCGCAGGTCCGCGCCGTAGATGCGGCTGGCGTCGCCGCCGTCGAAGATTAGCTTGCGGATATCCTGCCCCAGGCAGCAGCCTAGGTCGAGGAAGATCCAGTCCCTGTTGCCATCTTTGTCGGCCGTCTTCTCCCCTTCAGCTGCTTTGTCCTTGGACAGCATCGGCACGATGTGGCTCTGGTACAGCGGGTGGCTGGACAGGTCGAGCTCGAGGAACCGCCACCGGCCCAGGCACGGGTACGGGTGCGACTTGAAGGCCCGGTCGCGCACCGTCTTGATGTGCTCCTTCTGCGCCGCCGCCGGGATCCCCGCGTACTCGGCCAGCAGCGTCGCGATCTGGGTCGGCACCTGCTCCAGCTCCGGCTTGTAGACTTGGTACTGGTACGCCGACCTCGCTCCGGTTGCGGTTGCGGTTGCAGTCGCGGCTGTGGGGGGATTGTCAGACATTTCGTCCCCGAGATAATCGCCCGATCAGCCTATGGTGTGGGTGAGCACAGGTGCGAAGGAGCCTCTACGTTGGTTGTGTGTAGGCCTCTATGCAATAGGCATTCAACTGCAGAATTTGGGATTGGTTCCCAAGGTTGAAAGGGTGGTCGATTCAGTGAGCGGGTGCAGGGCGGTATACTTATAGGTATTAGGTAGATGGGTAGGTCGGTACACGGCACAGAGGACTGCTCTTCCACACACACACACACACCCCGACTAGACCAGGGCAGAAAATGTCTCAAAAGTCAAGTCCAGGAATAATGATTGCGTATGGATCTTCTGATTGATATATGGACATTCAAGATCAATTGCACACCTTGCACCGGCCCAGGCAGCACACTGCTCTACGACGAACGTGGGAAGGTCAGTGTTAGAAAACACGTAGGGAAACGGACTTTCCGGGCCTTGCTGCCTGCGTTGCTCTGGCCGTTCCCGCAAGCTCTCCCTCCGTTATTGGCGCTCGGGGGCACCTCTGACAACCAGCCACAGCGACCGGCCCTCCATATCGGGCATGTGCCGCGAGGTGGTGGCCCGTATTGGGCTTAGGTGCTCCGGTACTTGGGGGAGACTTCGTGTTGGAGCAACCCGCCCGCTTCGTTCGGCGCCGTAGAGAGGCTCTTGAAGACTGGGGGCATCGCGGCGATTCGCAGTTTGGGTATCTACAGAAAGAGGTGGTGGTGATGACGACGACGACGGGATAGTTAAACGTGGGCAGATAGATGCCTGGTATTATCTTCGTTCTAATCGCCCTAATCGCCGAGGTGGGAGCTGTCCCTGCATATGCACCTCGTATCTCTCTGTCCTTGCCTCAAGCGGATACGCCGAAAGACCGAGCAAGCGCCGCGCCAGTTTCTGTCACCATCATTTGACATTGGACATTGACAATGACACTGAAAGGTGATATAGACATGGCACGTGCAGATGCAGGCATGGACATCGAGAGCGGATCGATGAAAAGAAAAGAAGATCAGTCCAGTATCCACCTCTGCTTCTTGACCCGCTCCTTCTCCTTTCCGCCCCCTGCACTCGCCTTCGTCCATGTGATGTCTATGTCCAACGACCTCTCCTGCCCTTGCTTCTTCAGGTACGTCACCTCGCCGGCGATGCTGTCTCCGGGGCCGAACTGGCCGACGGGGTCCTTGATCAAGAAGACCCCCTGCTGCCAATGCGTCGCCTCGGAATGCGGGCCGGTCGAGAACGTCACCACCCCGGTCTTCTTCTTGGCTTCGGCGGCCGTCATCCCGGCAGGGATACCCTGGGAGCGCGATGTGTTGAAGAAGATGTCGAACCAAATAACGAAGCCCTCCAGAGTCTTGACTCCGTCGTTCTGCCACGTCGTGCTGAAGGGGTTGGTGAAGGTCAAGTCGTCCACTTTGGTCCGGTGCAGGTCCAGTTCGAGGAACGCGACGCTCGCCCCCGCCAGTTCCTTCTCGTCGACTACCCGGATCAGGGCTTCCTCGTGCGCCTTCTCCAGCATCGCCGTCATGTCGAAGCCGTACACGTCGCGCCAGAAGTCAATGTGTGAGGCCTTCAGGTCCGAGTCTGCGAGTGGAGCGATGCGCAGTGTCGCGTGTGAAGGGACCATCAAGCCATCCTCCGCAAGATACTTGTCTCGCGCATAGATCACCGAGTCGAGCATGGACTCATACAGAAGGCAGTAGCCCATCCACTCACTCACGATAACGTCTACCTTCGGGACGGGTAAGGTAACCTCCTCAATCTTCCCCCTGACGCACTTCACAACCTCCTGCAGGCCGTTGCTGAACACATTCTCCCGAGCCTTGTCGATGATGCCTGAGTTGTCTACCGCAATGACGAGTCTGGCGCCGGCTTTCGCACAGAACATGGACAATATGCCCGTACCGCAGCCAACATCCAACACGACTTTATCTTTGAAGAGATGTTTGTGATCGTAGATGAAGTCACGGTACGCATCGGTGCGGATGCGGTCCTTGATCATGGATTCGTGGATCGCGTTGTACGAGTAGGACTGGAAATAGTCCTTGTCAAATTGCTCAGCACGGCTATTGCCTCGGTCTCCGGCCTGCGGTGCTGCACCCTGAGCAGTGGCATTCGACTCTTGTGAAGGTTGTGACTGCTCAAAGCGATCTAGCATGGCGTTCTGCACTTGCTCTCGATAAGCAGAAAATTGGCTCTGCAGAGTTGCGAGTTGTTCTCGGAGTTGTTCGACTTCGGAGAGCGGAGCTGGGTTGACGTCTTCTTCGAAAACATCGTCCAGACTGTACAACAGCGCATCGTCCTCGAGGACCGGCTTGAGATACTTTTCGTCATCGAACACCGTCTTCGAAGAGACATCGGGCTGCGAATTGCCAGCCGTGACCTCCGATCGGATGTAGTTGACGAGCCGGACCAATCCCAGGTAGTCAAGAGCTAATCAGAGCGTGGCGTCAGCACAATCCTGCTCTGCGTGAATCTTCAATATTCACCGAATTCTTGCCTTAGTTTCCAGATATCCAAGCCGTGCGTGTCTCGGCAATGAGCCAGCATGCTCTGCGCGTCGGGAAACGTGCTCTCGTCGAGCAAGGAGACGATAGTCACAGGCTCCTCATCTCGCTCGATGTCTTCCCAGCCCTCATCGTTGGTAGTATCGAGAGGATCCGACAGGGATGAAGTGTCACTTGCGCCGTCCACGTCAGGCTCGGTCGAGGCGGCCATCGCTGTTCAACGACGAGAGTCTCAGGATTGCAGCACTACCCTGGTTTGGGCCAGGAGTCTCGGCTGTCTTAATGAGAGACGATTTCACACGTCAGATGTTGGCTCAACTAAATTTGAGGAAACGGAGAAGATGGGCGGATGGGCGAATGAAATTTCAAATGACGCCAAGCGGGGGAAGACGTTTGTGTGTCATTTAAAATCGCAACTGGCTTCTTCACTCTGATATCAACCAACTTTGCCTTCATGGTCTTTTGCATCCGAACTCCACTGAACTTGTCTAGGTATTTCGCAGCGGCTGCTCCCCGCCATCTCTAAGACTTGGTACTTCGGATCCAGTTTTCCACTTCCGCCTTGAAGTCGGGCTCGTAGAGCCACTGCAAGTCAAATTCCTTCTGCACTACCTCATCCGCTAGACCAGCAGGGCGCGTGCCCTTGGGCATCCTCCTCAGGTCGATCTGCTTATTCAGCTCCAAGATCTTGTTGACCCGGTCTTGACGGAAACCCTGCCAGAATGTCAACGCATCCTCGAAATTGACACCGCCCGTCTTCGCTGCGGCCAGGAGAAGTGAGAACATGTACACGTCCTCGAATGCCTGGTTGATGCCTTGCCCGGCACTGGGTGGGATGGCATGGGCGGCGTCTCCTAGGATTACGACCCGGCGCTTCTGCGAAGCCCACCTGTCCAAGTGCGGGATGACATAGAAGGGCCAGACGTTGATTTTGTCATGCGGAATCTTGGAGGTGGCAGTGACCGCGACCTCACCAAAGGCTTCGGCGTCTTCTTGCAGGAACTTGACCAGGCCTTCTTTGTCTGCAAGGAACTTGTCCCACCCTTCTCGGTCCAGCTCGTCAATTCGCTTCTGTTTTCCGAAAAACATTTCCGACGCGTCGGGTTTCTGAGGCGCGATGACGAACGCACCTTTGCCCTCAGCGGTGATGGTAAGAGGCTGGTCAATCTTGCCGTAGGGGTAGGTGACTTGGCCCGCCGGGACAGCAGAGGTGATGCCTGCCATCCCGATGAACTTTGGCTCCACATCTGGGTAGAGATATTTTCGGACAGTTGAGTGAATCCCGTCTGCTCCCACGAGGAAGGACGCGGTGGATTGTTTGCCATCGGTCGATTCCCACACGACGTGATCCTCGGTCTCCTCGACGACGCGAGCGTACTTTCGACCGAACACTACCGGTATACCCAGCGACTTGATCTTGGACAAGATGACATCGATGAGCTCGTAGCGGTAGCATCGGTTTGCCTGGTAGCCATATTTCTCCTTGCCACCAAACTCGTAGGTCTCGATGAGTTCACCGTCGACTTTGACAACCTTGAGGAGGTCAAAGTTGTAGCCTCGTCCACGGACGTCCTGGTACAAGTCCAAGGCATCCAAGACTTTCAGGGCGTTGGGTGAAAGCATGACTGCGCCACCGATGTTGAGAGGCGCTGATCTGGACTCGTATATCGTGGCATTGATGCCTTGTTTATGCAGCGCCAGGGCCAAAGTGAGGCCGGCGAGGCCGGCGCCGATGATAGCGACTTCAGGGGTCGACATTTTGGGAGGTGTGGGTGAGCTTTCGTCAAACGTCTGGTTGTTTGGCAGCTAGGAACTATTCGATGGAGGAGAGGGAAAGACGATTGTCAGGAGCGACCTTGAAGGCTTCATATACCTTTTTAAGGCTCGCAAGGAACAAGCATCTTGTCAGGCCTCCCAGCCATCGACCGAACAAGCATACATGCTTCTGCGGCACCGAACGAGAAGTCCATCCTATGTTTTTCCCCTCTTGTAAAATACCGAGTCGTTCTACAGCGAGAGGATAGCCAGGGTATGCTTGACCATCGCTGGTGTCACCTCGGTGCTAGAGGGATCGACGTCTCCCGCTCGCTCATAGTTACTGACCAACTGGGACTAGGTGTTCGTGGTGCATGACATGGCCAGCACGGCCTGCGTGGCGTGCTCGTTCTTTGTCATCGACCCTATCAAGCTGTTTAGATGGCTGAAGGGGTTTTCAGGAGCATGGGGGTGAACACATGCAGGGCACAGAATCAAGCAACGAAGATCCTGCGTGATCCGCAAGCTTGTTTGTCGCCAACGAGGGAGTCTTGAGCCTGCAAGCTGCAAGCACCGACTCCTGCGAGTGTGCCAGGGGTTGGGTAGGAGTGCTTTGGGGCCAAAGCATATCGTACACCTTGCGCATTCGGGGAAGAGATTGACGGTTGCGGAGGTACTCGGTAGGGTTGCGTGAAATAGCTGTGCCTCGTCGTGGGCATGGCTATTAGCTACTCGCTCCTTTGCTCGCACAGGACCTCGCCCTCGCCCTCGGCTCAGGTTCCGTCCCTTGGCCAGGGCCGAGCACTCTCGGGGGGCTGCTTAGGTGCCCTCGGGCGGGACCTACAAGTAGCTTAACAAGAGTGCCTATAAACACCCAATTAGGTAGCTAGGGCGATGGCCACGTGATACTCCTAAATAGTAGGGGAACCACCTCGTCGCCACTCACTGCCCGTCCCTTCTCCTCTCCCTCCGACTCACTTGCGTGCCTTGTTGGTCTCACTGATCCTTACGACACCGACCATGTTTCTGTCCGTTTGTTTCTCTTGTGTCTCCAGTGGACAGCCGCCAGTACATACCGATACAAATCAAGAAACCTTCCGTCTCTATGGTTGTCCCATCTGCAGTTCCACCCGGAGAACGTTTGTTTAATCTACACGTATATCAACCAGACGCAGAAGCACACACGTTTTGGTCATGCCGAGCCGTCCCAAGTCGTCGTCCTTACCCGCTGCGGACTCCGCAGGACGCAAGCCGATCAAACGTCCGAGACCGAGCTTGAATTGTGCAGGTACGTGATCAGTATGGCTCTCCCCCTGCAGCTGGTTGACCGCAGTCAGAATGCCGTAGGTTGAAGATAAAATGCGATCGTCAAGGTGAGTCTGCTTTCTACCTCTTGCCTCAGGTCGTCAGAGATTCACCGACCAGGACAGTACCCTGCGCCAACTGCGTCAAGCGAGCGTGCGCTCACGTCTGCCCCGACCAAACGCTGGGCAGCGTCAAAAGCATGCGGCATCGTTTTCTACAGCTCGAACAAGGCCGAACTTCCCCACCGGCAGGGCCGGTCCTCGGCAGCGATCTCAACCCCCTCGATGAAGCAGCAGGCCCCTCTTCTCGGCCGCAACCCTCACCCAACATCAATTTCTCGACGGTCGCAGCCGAACCTGGCGAGGCCTCCACGCCACAAGCGCCGGAGCAGACGCCTGAGGTAGGAACGTTGGTGATGAACTCGGATGGCAGATCCAAGTTCATCGGCCAGTCGGCCAGTTTTCAATGGCTTAGGGACGTAAGTCGTTCCGTGCATGTTCTCACGGTTTGATTTATGTCCGTGATTCGACATCCTCCTGATTCCAGCACCAGTTCCCTCTCAAAATTCCACTGGCTTTCTTCCCCTACTTTCTTCCAGTTATTCGCTGAACCGGATCTTGGTAGGAAACAAATGGACATCTTGAAACACGCCCTCCATCTCCGACGCGCCCACACCCTTCAGAAGGGTTCCCCTTTCACAATCATCCACCCGTTGATTTTCCTTCCCTCTGGTCACATCTTCCTCCCAAGGACGAAGCCATGTATCTTGTGGGTTGCTTCCATCGGCACATTGCATGGAACGGTTCTCCCATCCTCGAAGACGACCTTTTAACCATTCTCCGGTGGTTGTATACGCTATCTGGCATCGCCCCAGCCAAACCGAGTATGGCATTTCAGCGTCTGGGCTTGGTATACATTGTGCTTGCACTCGGATCAATGTTGAACATGGAGGTTACCGGCGACGATCTGGCCTGCAAGGAATTTTACGAACTGTCCCAGGAATGTCTGGTGTCGGGCAAATTTCTTATCCACAACTCTCTGACCACGGTGCAGACCTTGAGTCTGATGGCCAAATTTACCGCTTATGCCGACATGAGGGATGTCGCTTGGCAGATAAGAGGCATGGCCACCCGGATAATGCTGGCCATGGGTCTTCATCGAGACGGTGAGAGCTGGAATCTGTCCTCGAAAGACTTGAATGACAGAAGGCGAACGTTTTGGGAGACGTATAGCACCGATGTGCTCATTTCTGGCAACTGGGGCAGGCCGAGCGGTTTACATCCAGATCTGTTCGACACCCAGTTGCCCGAAGACTATAATCACGGCACCGGGTTTGAGAAACAACGCTGTCGCCTCGCGATGCTGGCCCAGGAAGCATTACAAGAAAGTCTCAAGATCCGTTCAAACTATGACAAGCTGCGGGAGATTTGGCGCAAAACTCTCGAAGTGGAGTCTGCAACTCCGTTCGAACTGCGCAACCGAACGGCTCTCATGTTCATGGTATCTAAATACCCGACGCTGGCCGAAGTCGAAGCAAACACTCCGCCGGCTTCCACAAATCTACGCCTCGTCTTTCAATCACACGACCTCATCGATGTAGCTTCGACCCTCGTCTTGTCCATGTTCCGACCATACTTTGTTCACGCGGTGCAAGAACCTGACCCATCCAAGTCCGTGTATGCTGAGGCATATTTCACCGTAATAGAGCGGAGCAGCATGCTCATTGCCAATCTCAGATCTCTCCATTCCACCTTCCCCCTCATCTCGACCCGACACTGGTTCTTCTGGACTCACGCATTCGCCGGTGCCGTAACCTTGGCCACCATATGCATTGCGAATCCCGGCAGCCCTTTAGTTGACCAAGTGATGAATGATCTCAATTCGATCATCTCACTCTATACGAGCATTCGACCAGACGTCTCCCAAATGCCTATTAAACGCAATCTCCAGTGGTTACTTGAGCTCAGAGCGAAGGGACTGGAAAGAATCGAAGCTTTCAGGGCTGGACAAGTGCCAGAGAACACCTCACCTGCTTCTGCATCGGAGGAGATGGCCGAACACCTATTGCTGGTGGGGTGGAGAAAGAAACTGGTAGAGCTAGGTCACAGGGACGCTGATACTGTACCCGATCCCGTCGACCCCAATGTCATGAGCTCGACCGGTCTCACCTTTGAAACGCCTGGTTATGACTTCGTGAGTCTGCATGCTTCGAGTTTGCGCAAATATATTGTGAATGATCAGGTCGCTGACAGTCCACAGATGCCACAGCTGCTAGGTCTCACTTCCGAGGGACCGCAGTTTATTACTCCCTTCGACAGCACGGACATGTTAGATTTTGAGTTTAATCTACAATAAGTGCATTATGTCCTATATGCCTATATTTCAGACTCTCGGCCTTTCTCCCCTTCCTACTGCCATCCATGCCCGCTGGTCAGCGATCGGATCACCGCCAATCATATCTGCGGGCAACGGTCTCCGAGGTTGGGTCATGTCGAGCGGAAGACCCCAAACCGTTCCCGTCTGCTTGACGTAGACGTCAAAATCGTCAACCAGCTCCTTTAGCTTACTAGGGTACTGCTCCGCTAGATCCAGAGTCTCTCCGGGATCTCGAGACAAGTCGTGCAATTCCCACGTGCCTTTGCCATGATCCTTTTTCGACATCCAGTTTATCTTCCACTTGCCTTTTCTCATGGCGCCCCGTCCAAACATCTCCCAACCCACAGGTTCTTCACCGTAAATTGGCGCTTTGGAAGCAAGGTGTGGGACCCAAGACTTTCCACGCATGGGATAGACCATTTGGCCCCTATACGGAACCTTTTGGCCTCCCGACAGCTGGTTCGGATGTTTGACACCCGCGAGATCGAGCAAAGTCGGCATGATGTCCATACACGTGGCAAAGGTGTGTGAAATGGTGCCCGGTTCGTGTCCACTCAATTGGGGATATCTCACAATAAGGGGGACTCGAATACCGCCCTCGGTGTTGTACGCCTTGTACAGCCTCCCAGGGGCCGTCGACGCTTGGGCCCACCGAGGGCCATACCAGCAAAATGAGTTGTAGTTGCCCAAGTTGTCGTACGAGTTGTCATAGTACGTCTCGATGGTTTTCAGGAGGTCTGGACCATTGGCGGCATTGCCCTCCCACGCAGCTGCTTCTGCGCCATTATCGCTCATAAACATAATGACAGTGTTGTCCAGCTCTCCGATTCGCTTGAGATAGTCGATGATCTTCCCTACTGCCTGATCGATCCCGTCCACCATGCCAGCGAAGATCTCCATCGCCTTGGACGACATTTTCTGCTCCTCTGTCGTCATTGTTTCCCACTCGGCTGTCGTGGCGACGACTGGATGCGCAACAGTGCCGTGTGCGACCATGCCAATTTTCTGGAGCGATTCGAGCCTTCGAAGTCGCAGAGCATCGGGCCCATCATCGTAGAGGCCGGCATACTTGTCGCGGTCGGCTTTCGGGCACTGTAATGGATAGTGCGGTGCTCCAAAGGGGAGAAACGCAAAGAACGGCTTTCCGTCCCGTTGGTCCAAGTATCTCATCAGCGTCTCGACGTAGGTGTCGGAACTGTAGAAGCCTTTGGCAGGATCGCTCTCGGTATTGGGCGTGGGCATGTACCGCGCACCGTCCTCCGTATAGAGCGGCGCTGAATGGCCGGGGACGAACTTGGCCGGTCGTCGGCCGCCGGGCTCCTTGTTCCAGGCGGGCTCCCAGCCGAAATGGTTGGCGCAGCCAGGCAGCATCGCGAAACTTCGATCGAACCCTCGCGAATGAGGCCCGAAATCGTTCTTGTAGCCAAGGTGCCACTTTCCAGCCATGGCCGTAAAGTACCCAGCGTCCTGAAGCAGTTCGGGAAGAGCGGCGATGTCGTGGTTCATGTAGCCCTCATGGCCGGGGACGTTGTAGCGCTCGGGATCTACTGTCTGGAGCCGGAAAAATGCTGGTGAGCCAGGGGAAGGGCATGCCCGACGACCAGGCTGACTGGCTCAAGAACAGAGAGAGGATGGGGGGATGTATGGAACTCACCCTGAATTCAGACATGATCCCAAGGCCGGCGAGGTGACAGTCCGTGCCGCTCAACAACATTGAGCGCGTTGGCGAGCACACGGCGGCCGTGTGATAGTCGCTGAACCGTATGCCCTCGCTGGCTAGCTGGTCCAGGACAGGAGTCTGGATTTCCGAGCCATAGCAGCCGATGTCCGAGAAGCCCAGATCTGGCGATGCGATTAGCCTTGGGGTCCAACGATGGTCTTGGAAGCCAAGCAAACACTACCGTCCGCGACAATGATGAGAAAATTGGGTCGTTTTGTCATGTTCGCTGGGAACCTTGTAACAGGCCGGAATGCTTCGAGGCTATTGCTTGTTCTTGTGGAGGGCGAAGCACCGAGGAAGGCTGTTTTAAGAACAGGTTTGAGAAGGGGTCTGTGGAATATGTCGGAAATGGAGAATGATGGATGAACATTGAGATTTTCTAGACCGGAAGGCCCCCCGTATTGTGCCTTGACGTTGAGGGCATATTCACTTCACTTGACTGCCCAAGCACTGCGTATCCGCTGGCGAGGCTCCACCCGCCTTGTTATCCGCCGTGATCGCGGAGCGGAAGAGAGTCTCAAAGCCGATACAGCGGACAAGAGCCTGGGCCCGACCAGTCCGCCCTTGACCGGGGAGTGATTTGCTTGTCATCTCGGACCAGACATCCCTTTCTAAAGACAAGTTCCGTGGGAATAAATGCATCTCTCCGATCTTTTCACAATGGCTACCATCATCTTGACACCCATTCAGCTCTCTTGACCTTGGTTTCCTTCCAAATCGCCTGCTACCATGACGAAACGCCCAAATTTCCTGCTCATCGTAGCCGATGGTCCGTACCCACCCCTGTTTGACAGCCAGATCCTTCTCTTTGGCTGCTCACTGATGTCCTCGCAGACCTCGGATACTCTGACATCGGATGTTTCGGTTCAGAAATCAGAACGCCGCATATCGATCGGATCGCCCGCGAGGGAATGCTATTTACTGACTGTGGGATTTCCGCGTCTAAGCCTTGTCTCGATTGAAGCTAACAATTGCCCTAAGTCCACGCGGCCGCTGCATGCTCCCCGACCCGCTCCATGCTGATGTCGGGCACCGACAACCACCTTGCCGGTGTTGGGGTCATGAGTGAACAACGTGCCAATGACTACGAGCGATGGAACAAACGCGGTCATGAGGGCTACCTCAGTGAGTTCCTCCCGGAGGAGGTGGGATGCCCCAGACACGTAGAGTCCACTGACGAATGGTGCCACTAGACCACGATGTTGCCGCTTTGCCGGAGCTCCTTCACGATGCGGGCTACCTAACACTCATGTCTGGGAAGTGGCATCTTGGTCTGAAGCCGGAGAATGGCCCTTCCCAGAGGGGGTTTGACCGCTCGTTTGCCCTGCTCCCAGGCTGCACCAATCATTTTGGCTTTGAACCTCAATTTGAGAACCCGATGGACTTTTTCATCCGGATCCCCGTCCTGTACGCCGAGGACGGGAAGCGTAAAGTCATCGAGCCGAATAAAGGAAATGAGTACGACACGGGCTTCTTTTCCTCAGAGTACTACGCCTCCAACCTCATAAATTACTTTAAGGAACGCACGCCGGAGCAAAAAGCCCAGCCCTTTTTCGCTTTTCTCCCCTTCTCGGCACCACATTGGCCCTTGCAGTGCAGCAAAAGCGACAGAGAGCGGTATCGAGGTAAATATGACGACGGACCTACTGCTCTAAGAAACAAGCGACTAGCTCGACTCAAGGAGTTAGGATTGGTCGGTCAAGATGTCAGGCCTCATCCCGTTATCCCTGAAGACACTGCTCATGTCTACGCCGCGGAGTGGGAGGAGATGACCGACGAAGAGAGAAAGAAGTCGAGTCGCTCGATGGAATGTTTCGCTGGAATGGTGGACAATATGGACCAAAACATTGGTCAAGTTATGGACTACCTGGATTCCACGGGCGAACTCGACGACACGGTGGTCATCTTCATGTCTGACAACGGGGCGGAAGGAGCCGTTTTTGAGTCGTACCCCTTGATGGGTAAAGATCTGATTGCCGTCTTGAAAAGGTACTACAACAACCAACTGGACAACATTGGCAATCACGATTCGTTCGTTTGGTACGGACCAAGGTGGGCCCAAGCGGCGACTGCACCATCGAGGTTGTACAAGATGTACTCTACAGAAGGCGGCATTCGAGTGCCTATGGTGGTCAGGTATCCCCCCTCGTGGCCCCAGAACAAGGTGGTGTCTGCTTTCGCCACCGTCATGGACATTGCGCCGACATTTCTTGAAATGGCTGGTGTCCAGCATCCTGCGTGTCACGGCAAGAACGGGATGTATAAGGGCCACGAGGTCTATCCCATGCGAGGAAAGTCTTGGGTGCCCTTCATGATGGACGGCGCTCAGGGCGGAGTGTCAGGCATCCACGGCGACGACGAGTTCATGGGCTGGGAACTCTTCGGACGAGCGGCCTTGCGCAAGGGCCGCTGGAAGATTGTCAACATGCCGGAAGACGCGTTCGGCAAGGGCAGATGGGAGCTCTTTGACCTGTCGGCCGACCCTGGAGAGACCAACGACCTCGCTGAGACACTCCCCGAAAAGCTGAAGGAGATGCTCCAGGCGTGGGACCAGTACGTCGTTGAGACGGGAACGGTGTGGGGCGAGCCAGTGTCTGGTGAAATTGCATGGGGGAATCTTCCTGAGGACAGTGTGGGTGGCGATCCCATTGCGCAAACCAAGATCTGGATGACCATTGGGGAGAAGCAGACTCCGCCGAGTGTCGGAGGGGGGAGATAGAAATCTAGACTCTGGGGATGGATGCATGGCATGGCAGTCTCTGCACCCCAGACTCGACCGATATATCGGGCGAATCGCTAACCTTTTTCAGAGCCGATTTGTCGCTCTTCCCCCTTCTCCTTGTTGGTAGAGGCGTGTAGCATATACATATATACCATTCGGCGACGAGCACAGCTCTCCAAATGTCCTCTCCCATTCCCAATACCCCATACCCCAGATTCTGGTTCTCGCATCCCACACTCTGAACAGTCGCATCCTATACCGTTCTTCCTTCGTCCACCATGCCAACGTCGCGACTGTCCCACTTTAAAGTGCTCAACCTGTACTTGATATTTTGTGTCTCGGTCTACCTCCAAGGTGCACTGCTTTTTGGCATGTAAGTCAACGACCCGTGTGCCTCGAGAGGCCTCTGTTGACCTGAGAATGACCCTAGTGATACCGGCTCGTTTGGTTCCCTCCAGGCTCTCCCCTCCTTTCTCCGTCGGTTCGGCGAGCAAAATGCCAGCGGCGAATATGAGCTCCCCACGAAGCGCAAGTCGATCATGAACTCGATTCCCTGGATTGGCAAGATCGTGGGCTGTTTCATCATCGAGCCGCTCATCGACCGCGTCGGGTACCGACCCTCCCTCGTCATCGCCTCGTTCGTCCAGATTTTTGCCCTCATCATCGAGATGACGGCCAAGGGCTGGCAACAGTTTACTGTCGGGCGCAACTTCGCATACCTCTCGGTCGGTTTGGTGAGTCTCCATACAGGAGTCCTCCCTTATCTTCCTCTTTCCTCGTCGATGACCTGTGGTCTCGTTCAAGTCTTTTCAAGGGGGTGCTGAGATATCCAAGGTGGAAAATTTAGTGCCTGCCTATTGCGCCGAGATCGCTCCCAGCTCGCTCCGTGGATTGTTGGCCGGCTCCATCACCTTTGTCGTCGCCCTGGGGAACCTGTGGGGTGCTGGCATGTCCCGGGCCTACGTCCACGAGGTGTCTGACAAGGGGTGGCTCATCCCCTGCAGCATGCAGCTTATATCGCCCGTCATCATCCTCTTGCTGATCGCGTTCACCCCCGAATCTCCGCGATGGCTCTTGCTTAAGGGCCAGAAGCAGCTCGCCCTCCGCAACCTCGAGAAGCTCCGCACCAAGGAGGAAGTCGCCGGCGGCTACATTGCGGCCGAGGTCGACGCCATTGAGGACGCCATTGTCCAGGGGAGCTCGCACGATTCCGGCACCTGGTGGGAGATCTTCAGCGACCCGGCCAATTACGGGCGCCGCGCGTGGATCGTGGCGTCGCTCTTCATCTTCCAACAGACCAACGGGAACCAGTTCGTCAACAGCTACGGACCGACGTTCTACAAGCAGAGCGGATACGGCGACGCTTCGTTCACCTACGCCACCATCGGGCAGGCCATGACCATCGTGGGAGCGCTTTCTGGAATCCTGTTGACCGACCACACCGGCCGTCGTCCACTAATGATCGTGGGCGGATTCATGTGCGGCATCCTGCTGTCCATCGGTGCCGCTCTCGGGTCCCAGACCCACGAAAACGCCGCCGAGAAGCACACCGTCATCGCGACCTTTATCCTTCTCGGCTTCTTCACCAAGATCTCGGCCAGCAACAACGCCTTTTTGATCGGGGCCGAGATCGGCGGCGTGAGGATGCGCAAAAAGATCATGGCCTTCGGCACCGCCAACGACGTCCTCGCCGCGTTCCTGGTCACGTTCACCACGCCGTACCTCCTCGCCAAACCGAGCCCGAACCTGGGCGCCAAGGTCGGGTGGATCTTCGCCAGCGCGGGCTACCTGTCGGGCTTCTTTGGCATCTTCTTCACCCCGGAGCTCAAGGGCCGGTCTCTCGAGGAGGTCGACGAGATGTTCGAGGCCAGGCTGCAGGCGTGGCAGTTCAGGCGCTTCCAGACCACCGGCGTCGGCCACAGGCTGGCCGAGCTGGAGAGGCACAACGCGAGGGCCTTGGATGAGCAGAAGGAAATCTCCAAGCACGTCGTGGACCAGAGCAAGGATCAGGCGCGGGGAGGACACGGCGGCAGTGCCTTTGGCGAGCAAATTGAAATCGTCGAACATGCAGCAAAGGACTAGCGGCCAGATCCACGATGTCTAAGCCGGCTTGGAAGGAAGCTTGTTGTTGGTTTATCCGAGGAAAGAGAGGTTGAATTGGCTCGACCTATCTAAAGAGTTGCATGTATATATTTGTGAAGTTACGGCGCCGAGAGATCGTGGTCTCGCACGAGCCACAGGTATACCTACCGTTGCAGCACCGGTTCCGAAAACCAAAAAACCCATGGGATTTTCGCGCTGGAAGCTCGTCGCCAAACAGCAGTTTATTGAACAACTTCTTTGCCCATATGACGGGAGGAGGAGCGACAACTTCTCACATCGAGCTGAAGCAACGCGCCTATGGCCGAACCTGAATTGAATGACACGAACAGGGAGGAACCACAAATCCCCTTATCACATACCACATGGCGATCCCCAGACAACCGGTGTCAATGGCCGCAAAGGCAGGGCGGAGACTTGAGTCTAGAGAAGTGACGAGAAGATACCTTCTGTCGTGGTAGCATCCACGCCTCGGACGGCTCCCCATCCACCTCCTTCTTTTCTTCCTCCCCAGCAAGCAATTCAAGCGAGTCTCGTCGTCTGACGTTTCATATATGGAGAGAAAAGCAGCGTCGATTTGTTCAAGGCACTGGGAAACGTAGGAGAATCTGGCAGGAATAGTCCACGCCACACAACGATGAGTTTCCGAACAGGGATAGATTTCTAGACAGATCCCGGATCCTAGATCTTGGTGATGTACATGATTATGAGCGCATCCGTCTCGACAATGTCGCCCTGTAATTCCCAGAAGACACTTTGTTGAATGTCCACCCCTGTTGAGAAGCACGCGCGGTATATCGGATCTCGCTGGGCTGAGGTAGGGCTCGCTCGACCCGACCCGGTGACCCAACATCTCATCCGGTCAATGCCCAAGTCACTTGGTCGGGTCGATCCAACCCCTTCTCTAAACCCCCACGGTGCCCCCACCAATTCAACAACAAACAAACTAACCCATCTCGCTCATCGGGCCGTGGGTCTCCATCTTCAATATCTTGAACAGGTCGTGCCTGGCCCACCAGCTCCGCAGGCGCTTGCCGAAGATGTACACCGGGATGGCCAAGAGGGAGAGGAAGATCGAGGTGCCGCCGAACACGTACATGATCTGCTCGGGCCCGTGGGCGGCGACCCAGTTGTTGGCGTAGTTGGAGAGGCCGTAGAACATGAAGTTCTGCAGTTCAGAGACGTGTTAGTTTTAAGGCACTCGGTTGCAAGTAGTAATACGAGAATCTCGCACAACATGAGGCGAACGCCACAGATCCCTGGGCCAAAGAGGGGTGACGGGAAAAGAGAAAGACAAAGGACTGGGACAGCACGTACCTTGAAAAGCATGTTCATGACGAAAATCTCGTTGCTCTGATCTCGGAACGAGTCCAGGCCGTACGAGAGCGTCGCGAAGATACCGATCAACACGCCCACCATCATGACACCCTGCAAGAACGCGCACAGCTCGGCCGCAGCACCCACCGCGAGAGTATACCCAAACAGGAACATTCCGAGGCCACATGCGACTCCGGCAGGAGCCATAAACACCAGACGGAATTCGGGTTCGCTAGATTCGCAGAAAGGTCAGTTCGATTTGAACTTCTGGACGGCGAGATGGAAAAGTATCAAAAAGTCCACTTACTAGACACCTTTGTTCTTGCGGCCCAGGTATTTGATGACATAGTCACTCGTGACACCGGTGATGATCGAACCAATCAAACCTCCAATGAAGGGACCAAATCCGACGTAGCCGATCTGCAAAGCATCGAAATTCCACGGTGGGCCAGAGAAGATGCCGGCCAAGATGATTGCAGAACCGACATACCTGACGAGCAGTTAGAGACTGTTTGGACTCGGCAGAATGTGAAACGATCTCAAAAGTGTTCCACGGCCCAGGACTTACCAGCTGTTGAGCACGCCAGATGCAATGATGGCATAACAGGCGGCCGGGTTGAGAAGAGTCAAGAACGGCCCGAAGAGGAATTTCAGGATGTTGTCGTGGGAGTAGACGCCCGTCCAGACGGCCAGCTCTTGCACAAAGGTCTTCTTCTTGGGGATGTCCGTGCGGTCGCCCTGTCCCGGCTCGCCCACCATCTCCTTGTGCGTGGCCTCGATCACGGCCAGATCCTGGAGCTTCTCGTCCACCGCGGTGTCGGTGTTGTAGCGCATGTCACGGATATACGTCGTCTCGGGACAGAAGAGGAACATGAGCACGAATTGCACCACGAGGAAAATCTGGAACATGTGGAACAGCCACAGCCAGCCGAGCTTCTGGAACACCACTCCGCAGATGACGGATGCCAGACTGGACGCGGAATTGAGGATGAAGTTGATGATGGAGATACGCAGACCTCGCTGGTGCACAAAGTACATGTCGCCGACAGTCGCCACAATGAGGGATTCAAAGGCCGATGTCGAAAACCCTTGGACGATGCGGGCGGCCAGGAGATATTTGTAGGAGATTCTGGCCTCGCCGATGGCCGTCCCGACGATGTCGAAGAGCGTAGACACAAGGAAGACTGGTCTTTTGCCGTATTTGCGACTGAAAGCAGAGACTAGACGAGACGCGCAGTGAGTTAGTCGATATTACCACCCAAAGCAAAAGGGAGAACATGGTAGGAGGGTAAGTACCGAATGGTCCAATACATCCCGCAGCCAAAAGATTGTATCCAGAGACCAAGACAACAGTCGTGATATCCGTGTTCAGCTGCTGGGACATTTCGAAATAGGACGCGTTGAGGAAAGGACCCTAGCATAACGTTCAGAAACACTGCTTCACCGCCACATCGCTCGCTGTTCGCTTACATTGGTGCCGGCGTTAAGCATCGAACCGAGGCAGAGGATGGCGATGATGATTTCCTTCTTCAATAGTGGCCAGTTCAAGGGACTATACGTATACCAATTAGCCTGCACCCTGGATTCAAAGGAACAACACCCGATATTGCTCGTGAAAGAGGACGGACGCAATCCCTCCCTCCCAAGGTTCAAGATACAACTTACTCGTTGGGGTCCTCGCTGGGCTGCGGCGACAGCACGATATGAGCATCGCGACCCTTTCCGTGCTTGAGCCCCGAGGTGATGGCTTCTGAGTGGGCGGCTTCATCGTTCAGCAGGACCGTCCCGGGGACGTGGTCCAGTTTCCTGTCTACTGGCCGTCAGTTTTCCGCCGATGAGGGAGGAATACTTTCGGGGTGTCCTTACCTTCCTGGACTCCAAGACCCATTTTTGCAGGGCTGCGACAACCCACAGAAGTTGAACCAGTATTGATGATTTGTTATTTGTCTTGTTTGGAGCCGGGTTCTAGCCTTCGAAGACTGGGGCTGCTATCGTCGGGGAAGAGAGAAGAGAAAGAGAGAGTCGAGAAGACGTTGGATGTAGTGGCCTGACACGTCTACTTATCCACAAGTCCCAAAGCCCCTCCTCGAGACCTGCCTCGTTGGCGAATTTATTTCGACCTCGTGCATAAGGAAGGATGCAAGGAAAAAAGCAGCTCGAAGCTTCCGCTCGTTCGCGTGGGCGTCCAGAGATGCAGGTTTCTCCAATGATCTCGCCCCATGGGGCAGGGGAGGGCGGTCGACGGAATTGCCCCAGTTCGCCCAGAGTCGCCCAGTTTGTTGCCCGGGCGTGCCAGGGGGGCCCATGTTGTGGACACCGCTGCCATGGGGGAAGACAGACCAATCGCGACGCCATGGTGCGCGACGAAGTACAACTGCCGTTGCTCGAACCTTTGCTCCAGAACAGAATAGTTGGGCTAGAGGAAGCTGGCGGGTCATCGCCCATGCGGCCATGCCATGCCCTCAGGTCCATCCCCCTTGAAGCCCTGTTCTAGTGGTGCTAGCGAGGTGCTTGATGACTCCCTCCCCCATGGATCGTTCATTTCATTAGGGATCTGCCGAATTCCTTTTGGGTAAGAAGCTTTGCATCCGGCAGCAGCACCCCCTAATTTGGGGTCTTATGAAAGCAAGGATCCAAAGATCAAATGCCGATGATGTCTTCTGACAGAGAGAGATTCGAGCATCCGATGTATGAGCTGCATCTTTCCTGATTGATGACCGGGAAATAGGAGCAGAAGGGAGACGACGACCAGCCACCGCCACAGGTGCAGCTCTCAAGTTCCATACAACGAGGACCGCATGTGGGGTTGGTGAATCCGGGGTCCCGCACTCGACCGCGACGAGGAGGACGAAAGTGCCCATGTGGGTGTTTTTTTCTCTCTTGAAGCCCTTTCTCTCCCCCTTGGCCACTCACAATAGGCTCTCCTGGAGGGGAGTGGACTATGGCTATTTCCCACTCCTTTACCCCGAATTTTGGAGCCCCTACCGCATTCCCGGGGCAGCCTCGCATCTCCCTAGTGGCCTGTAGTCGACACGTGTAAAGGGGAAAAAAAAGGCGAGAGAAAGCCGTCGAATCTGGCGACACCACCACCGGTGGGCATTCTCCCCGGCGCCCTTGTGACCACTCAAGAGCGAATATGGTGTTGATTCCAAGGGCTGCTGAGGCCCGAGGGGACCAACTGGAGGCTGCGAGGCTCTCCCCTTAGCGACGATGAGAGTTGCCGACGCCGACCACACGACCACGTCCCCAGCGAACCTTCGTATTCTCGGCTCTCACCCCCCTCTTGCCTGAATCAGACCCAAAAGCTGAGGGTTCTCTATCCGAGGGTCACCGACTACACTGCTTGTGAGACAGCCCGGCAGTTCATCATAGCTGCGCCGATTTGGTATATAACCCAAAGCATACCAAGCGATTCCCGGCCCGGTACTTCAGCAAGTACCGAGATAAAAAAGGGCTGATACACTAGTGACGACCTAGTTTCCCCTGTGCCTTGTGCTATCTCGGAGGAAGTCCAGTCAGAAAAAAGAAACACAAAACATTTAGGCGCGGATCCGCTTAGAGGTCTGAGATCCGCGGACCGTTCTGGTCTTTCGATGACTTCTCTTGTGCCCCCTTACTTACAGGTATAGGCATCTGTCATTGCCGACGATCTAGAACGTCACCGCGGATAAGGTGGAGTGCTCAGCCATGCACAGGAAAATAGATTTGGTCCGTCACAACGTGCCAGTGCAGGAAGCCGTCTATGCCAATAAGGCTGCATGGCGTGAATCAAAGATACGCGTCCCATTGCCGCCTCTCTTGGCCCAGTGTCATTTGTGATTACGATATGCTGTTTCTAGCCCAAGCTATGCCGAGAAGCATGTGGGTGTCTTTGTGAAACCACCTCTCCAAATGAATCCGCCGAAAGAAGACCGTGCTCGAGCTGCGTACGACCTTTGGACCTCCTACGATCAGCGAGCGCTTCCAAAATGTTCGCCCTCTGGGTCACCATACCTGGCGCAACTGATCGCTATCTCGTTTGGATGCCTTCAAACAACCAAGCAGTGCCTCTGTCGCTTCCAATGCCCTCAATACCACAGCATAACTCTCAAACTCCTGCCCAAACGGCCCAGGTCAAGCATTGAAAGAGAAGGAATGGAGCTGCTTGTCAACCCATTCTTTGATGGCGGCGCAACGAGTTGAGACTTTTGGCCGACACAGAGTGCGTAGAATTGCTTTGGGAGGATGAAAGATAGGTCGACTTCTCAGGTATTGTATCATTGGTATTTCCAGGTCCGCTGATTCTTCTCCATCATGCTCATCCGTCGTTGACCAATCTGTGTGATCGCGAGTGTCTTCATCATAGCTCCAACGACGAACAATTGTCAAAATCTGCTCAGATGCTCGCGACCGTCCCTCAAAGCTCCAACATCAAGATAACCTGCCGCTCACCCAAGCGCACAGTCTCATCTGTCGGCTTCCCAGCTCGACGTAGCGCGTGCAGACTTTATGAGAGCCGCCACCCATAAGTGGCAGAGCAGTCCGAGTTTCAGAATACTGTCGTCGTTAGCCCTCCCACACCGAACATCAACGTCCAGTCCCAAACCCGCCTGGACCTCAACGAGGTGGTATTATGAGATGCGGCACAAGGAGATGGAGTTGATGGTGACGGCCTGCCACACGCGAAGGTCGGGAGAGATGGTGCTTATGCTTTTGGTAGCAGGCGAAGCATGCGTAGCCATGCCGGTTTGTAAACATCAATCCTGAACGGCGAGCGTTGGCCATGGAGAGACCGGTTGAGATAGTAGTTTCCTGTATATATCCTTGGGATCTTTGCACCGCTGACGATCATGAGGGAGGGGTTTGTCTTCGGCCGCAGCGTGGAAGGATGAGCGGTTCCAGGTGGATATTGATGGTCCTCGGGTGGTACAAGCCCTATCTCCCAAGAGCTAGACAGTGCTGGCCTGGCTTTCCTTGCCAGTGAGTTCGACACCTTGCAGAATGTGGCTTCACCCAGTCTGCAATAGCGAGTTCTTCCAGCCGGGGATCTTCACAAGGGCGGCAAATTTGAGCACCCAGTCCTCTCCAAACGACTGCATCCTTTGAGATTCCAAATCGGAGGAGACGCGTTGACTGGCCGGGATCTCCAATGTCTTTTACAACTGGAACAAAATTGTGACAAGACATCGATCAAGAGACAACCGTCACTTCGTATGTCGTTGCAGGAGCAGCAGTCGATTCTTCCGACACAACCCGTTTGCCGAAGATGTAGACAAAGAAACTTTTCCCCCATTCCCGCCGTAGGTTGATCAAGTCGGTCTGGGCCCGGTATTCGACAGCTTCGTGTTAGGGAGGAGTATTGAAGATCGGAGAGACGCAAGTCTCCTGAAGCCAAGAAAATGGAAGACTGGCGGAAACCAAATTAGCAGCCTGCATCCCAAATCACAAGAGACCATTCATCCAGAATCTTCGAGATTGAACCTTCATGGCTTATGTTGGCAAATGTGAGGAAAGGGATCGGAAAAGCCGCGGCAGGGATCGATGCAGCCAGCAGCCACACCATTTTTGTAGAATTCGTACCATTGTCTCTCGCTTGTCAGCTTTCCCTCACCAAAGCCAGACACCATTTAGGGAGCACGTCTCTGAAGCCAATTTGCGGGATAGTTTGGAAACAGGGAGAGAACTCCCTGAGCAAATAGCCTGAGCGTTGAAGCCGAACACGGCGTGTCGAAGTCTGCCTTGTAAGGACGTGAGTGTTCTTAGCGAGCATGGGGGTCAAGGAACGATACTTTTGCCTGTTCGTGGAAGCAGGCGGCAAGGAGTTTTCACATCATTAGATGCACTCCAAGTGGTACGGTATCAAAGTCCCGGGAGAGTTGAGAGTGTGTGCTCCCATTCTGCGAGCGCGAGACCTGCACCTCGTGCCGCTAGCTTCGAGGAGTCTGGGCCTACCGCCACAAGCTCAGCCTCATGAGCGGGCATTTTTAGAGAGGCATGCCATTAGGTGAAGTTGGATGTTGTGTGGGTTCTGGAGTTAGTCGTGTCCATGGCCGGGCCCTCAAGGATTCGCCAGACATGACTGCAATCACATTTGTCCGCCTCATAGCGAAGCACCCGGCCATTTTCGAGCTGTAGTTTTCCACGCCTGGTGGTGATGGTGGTCGTTTGGAGAGGCCGAAGACCGACGAGCCTCTGTCGTGCTTAGACCAAGCGTTGATCCTTTGTTCTTTCCCTCCATTCCCACAAATTGCAGGATGACTGAACTGGTGGACGTCAACGCAACTCGGCAGGCACACTGATTTTGTAATGAATGCAAGGGGTGCTTACCGTGCCTTTGATGGTCACTCCATTTGTCCACCAGCTGCGGTGGACGCCGTGGTACCAAGCAAAGTTAAGCCCAGTCTGCAGCGTGGTCAAAGGCGTCCACGGTGGCTGGGATGAGACCGAGCAATGGATGGTACATGCATGTCCAAGTCTATTTCTATATTTCACAGAATACCAATCTCTTCTTCTTCTATGGCGCTAATATCAGTAAGTCTATTGGCTAGGGGTCTTCTCTCCAAGGCATTCATGTCGTTCTACCAGACTGCCCTTCAGCCCAGAATGTTTGGAATCTGCTCCTTCAGGTACTCGACGACGGCATCCGGGCCTTTTTGTACCTGCAGTCCTTCTGGGATTGCGTGAGTCTTGATGTCCGGCACGATGCTCCTGGCTATCTGCTGGATCCTGGTACTTTCCTCGGGCGTCCACATCGAGGCACAGAACTGTTTGGGATTGTCAGTTGAGCTAAGCCGCTCGAGAAGGTCATGAGCTTAGATTTGCTCATTGGAGGAGGCGAAACAGGACATACAAGTAGGTCTGGTTGGATCTCCTTCACTTTCCCTTCGACTTCGTCAATACCTGTCGCGTCACATATCAGCTAATTGGTTTTTACTCATGGTTACCGGATCATCCAACTTCATCCAGTCCACCGCGGAAATCGTGCTAGTCAGGGTAGGGTCTTACTTTCGCAGTTTGCCAGATGTTGTATCGTGTACTGATCTTTGAGCTCTTCCGTCACACGACCAATCAGCCTCTTTGCCCGCTCAGGGGCAGTGTTCACTGTCACAAGCCTGTAGGGGCCTTTTGGGGACATATTTGTTGCGGGTTTTGGGACGAGGCTGACGAGGCTGACGCGGTGTAAATGCCCTTGCCTGGTTTCTTATATACAATACTAGCTTTTATTGCAACGACTCTCTCAACTGCCTCGTGCGCACAGACAATCCTCTTCTGAAATGTTTATCTCAGTTTGCGAAAGATATAAAACCAGAACCCATTGGAGCCATACGGCATCTCCCGCCGATGTCTCTGGCCGCACGGGCAAAGTCGGCTGTCCCGCTCGGCAATTGAAATTTCGGCGCGTGGGGATCTCCACATTGTGCTTCGTCCCCTCTTCTTTCCTCTGCGTGGGGATCGTTCGTCATCCTGCGCCCTCACTTGGTGTCCATGTCCTCGTCCAACTTCTTTTGCCTTACCATCCAGCCTGGGACGGCATAGCTTGTCGGCAATTCTCAGGCAATTCTTGCAGAGGTGCTATAAGTCTTCCCGATCTCCACACTCTTCGTCGTTGGGCCGGGTTTGTCTTTTCCCGCCGAATGAGGTCCTGCATCTACTTCCGTCTCGAGGGGTAATCCACTCTAGACCTGCCGCAATATACCCGAGCGAGGAGAAAAGATATAAAGAGCAAGAAAGACTAAAGGCGAGTTGCAGGGAAATACCAGTCTCACCAGGCAGAATCTCAACATGCATTCCGACATCCAATCACTAAAGATATGCGTCATCGGCGCTGGCATGGGCGGCTTGACCTGTGCGCTTGCGCTTGCCCGTGCCGGCTTCAAGGACATAACGGTGTATGAAATGGCTTCGAATCTGGGCTTTGTCGGCGCCGGCATCCAAATGGCCCCCAACATGGCCCGTGTTCTTGACCGACTGGGGGTATGGGACGAGATTGCGAAGGAGGCTGTGGTTTTGAACGAGACGAGCATCCGACAAGGAGCAACCGATTCCGAGCTCGGGCATGTGGACTTGAAGTACATCCGCGAGACGTATGGCTTCCCGCACACGGTCGGCCATCGGTCCACCCTTGCAGGCGAGCTCTACAACGGCTGCAAACGAGAGTCGTCCAGCATTAAGTTCAACTTCGCGACCACATGTGAGGATTTCAAGTTTGAGCCCAAACCAAGTTTTACCGCCATCCCCCGCAAGGGCGGAGAGCCGTACGAGGTGCAATGCGATATTTTACTCGGGGCAGACGGCGTCAAATCAAACACGCGTGTCGCCATGCTCAAGGAGCTAAACATCGACGCCGATATCAAGGACACCGGTCAGGCTGCCTATCGAATCATGCTCAGTCGAGAACAGATGGCGTCCGATCCGGACTTGGTGGCCCTCATCGATGCCGATAAAGTGATACGCTGGATCGGCGAGAAGAGACATATCATCGCATACCCCGTATCCAGAAAGCAAATATACAATATCTCGACAACACAGCCCGATGTCAACTTCGCCGCTGCGCCCTCGGCCACTTACACGACCAAGGGTTCCAAGAAAGCGATGCTGGAGGTCTTTGGAGATTTTTGTCCCATGATCCATCGAATGCTGGACCTGGTACCCGAAGGAGAAGTATGCGAATGGAAACTAAGAGTACATGCGCCTCTCCCGACGTGGGTCATGGGGTCCATGGCGTTGGTGGGTGACGCGTGCCACCCAACTTTACCGCACCTTGCGCAGGGAGCTGCACAGGCCATTGAAGACGCCGCGGTTCTCGGCGTGGTCCTTTCCCACCTCCCGTCCGGCGCTACTCCTGCAGACATCAACAAGGCCCTCAAGCTGTATGAAAAAGTGCGTAAAGAGCGTGCCGAGACACTGGTTGAGCTAGCCGCAGCCAGCGGACGGGCCCTGCATCTGGGCGATGGGGCAGCGAAAGAGGAGCGAGACAAGCAGTTTGCAGCGCTCAAGGCAGGGAAGGGACCCGTGCCGGACAAATGGGCCGACGCTGATGTTCAGAAGATGGTTTATGGGTTTGACTGTATGAAGGTGGCAGAGGAGTTGTGCAAGGCTGAGATGAACGGCGCGTAGACGGACAAGGGAGTTGCACAGACGAGGCTGCAAGAAGAAGCTGAAGCCCTCCCTTTGGCGTGATAAACCTCCAAGATCACTTTCGATGTGTAAATGATAGCATAACGACCCCCGTGGCCATTTCGTGTTTCTTCCCACTCGATCCGCTGCGTCAGGTATGGCTCATCCGCAGATCCCAGTGATCCTGATGATCCTGCCCTAACCAAGTCTCCTCCATCCCCGGACCCTTTGTTCTAACCGCTGTCGATCCCCACGAACCAGGGAGAATTCGGCGGAGAAATTCGTGCCCTATCGTCCGGACTCCAGAAGGCGGGAGGAGGAAGGGCCACGGAGCTGTTCCTCACCATGTTACAAATTGCCGCCCGCCGCAGACATACTTGAAGACCAAACTCCACGCCGCCTCTCCTCAATATCCCCACACAATCCCTCTCTCGATCTCCTTTCCTACCCACCGTCACTGTACCACCGAGTCATAGTGAGCCAGAAGAGAAGGATGCTGTCGACAAGTTCAGGCCGAGTTGTTCTGCAGTGCAAATTCTGTCACAAGGGTTTCACCAAAGGCGAACACCTGAGGGTAAGTTGGGCGCCTCAGAGTTGTCCGAGCGAGCCAGATCACTGACCATCGATAGAGACACGAACGAAGTCGTAGGTGAACTACAATTCGGCGAGAAAGGCTGACAACTAACTGGCCGGTGACTCGCAGACACGGGCGCCAAACCGTACCAGTGCAAAGAATGCAAGCGATCCTTCAGTCGACAAGATTCACTCGCCCGCCATGAGAAACTACACCGTCGCCGGAACCCAGAAGATGCCTCCTCACCCACGGAATCCATCGACAAGCCCATCACTCCCGAGAGCCTGAGGAACGGTGACTTGACCGAAGGCTTTCCTGGTGTGGTACCCGATGTGCTGGGCTTTCCTCCCACCTCCCTCGCAGCGGGAGTCCCACAACCGGCGGCGGGCGACCTGGACTTTGAGCTCATCTGGCCGGACTCTGAAGACCTGCTGCAGACACTTATGTCCAGTGACGCCTCCAACCAGTGGCAAATCCCCCTGGGGACGCTTCCGTTCTCTGCCACGCCGTCCACAGCCGATCTACCCTTCGAGACGCCCAGCTCCTTCGACGAGCGACCTCCTTCGATCGGAGCTATACCTTCTGGAGGAAACCACCAAGCAGTCCAAGATGTCAGTAAGATGGTCTCCAATGTCGTAAGTTGAACACCCTCTGGCAGTAGATGTCACCCACTCAACCATGTACAGTCGTCCAGCATCACGGCGGCGGCAAGATCCAACTCCATCACATCCGTCTTCCTCGACGAATGCCTGCACATGTTCTTTGTCAAGTTCATCCCCACCTTCCCTGTCCTCCATAGAGCCACTTTCGTCTTCCGCGACTGTGCCCATCCGCTGCTTCTCAATGCCATTGCCATTGGCTCGCTGTATCTGGGACCCAAGGATGCGGTAGCAAAGGGTGAAGCGCTGTGGCATCTGGCCCACACGGCCATCGCAACATCATGGCAGAGTCTGATCACTCACCGAGGGCCCTACGACGCCTGCGAAGGCGTCCAGCTGGTAGTCACGGGAGTCTTGAGCCAGGTCTACGGTGCGTTGTCGAAGAATCGCGCGATCCGATCTACGAGCCAGGCATTCCATTCTCTGGGGTTTGTCTGGGCGCGACGCTGCGGGATGCTGGACAGTGAACCCTACCCTCTCGAGTCAGTCCCGTCCCCGGATGCGGCCGAGTCGGAGAAGGAGTATCAGTGGAGGCTGTGGGTGGCTCGAGAGATCCAGCAGCGCGCCCTGCTGGCACACTACATGCTCGACGGGCTCATCTCGCAGATGTCCGGGGAACCGACCTCGGTGCGCCACGCCACGAACCAGCTCACGCTGCCCAGCGACGAGGCGGCGTTCGAGGCCTCGACGGCCGACGAATGGATCTCGTACATGCAGGCGTCGGCGTCGTTCCAGGCCCCGTCCTTTCGCAGCATCCTCCGCCGCCTCTTCCACCCGATGGACGAGTCAAGCTGGCTGGACACGACACTGTCGGCCTTCTCCTACAAAGTCATCCTGGAGGGCCTGCAGTCCCTGATCTCCGACGACGACTCGGACGAAGGCACGGCCGTCGGGGTCCCCACCCGCGGCGAGGTTCGCGCCGCGCTGAACCAGGTCTACGAGAGCATCAGGCTGAACCCGACGCTGTCGTCGGCGGACCGATTCGAGACCCTCCTGCGCTGGCACTCCATATGCCTTGACACGAACGTCGACTCGTCCCTGCTGTGCCGCAACCTGTGCGCCAAGTACGCCATCACGCAGCACATCTGGCGCAACGGCCACGGACCGAAATCCAACATCGACCTGGCCGCCTGGGCGATCACTCCCGCGGCGCGCAGCGCCCTGCTCCACGCGATGGCGATCCAGGAGATCATCGAGCAGCTCCCCCGCGGTCGCGCGCACGCCATCAACATGCCCAGCTCCCTGTTCGCCGCCGCGACGGTGTACTCGGTGTTCGCACTGGGTGGCCAACCAGCGCTGAAGATCCCTTCGACCGTCGTCTGGCAGGACGTTCTCTTGTCCGAGCATCCCAGTGGAGGCCGAGGCTGCGAGCCGCCATCGTCCTCAACGACATCGGCGTCCTCATATCTGCCCCCTCCTTCCTCCCCTGCGCCATCGACGTCCTTGTCATCCTCCTCGTCGCTGTATACCGCCACCATTCTCAACATCCCCGACTTGCCGGGCGGCGGTAGCGGCAGCGCGATGGCGTCCGACACGGCGCGCTACATCCGTGGCGAGAGCCTGCAGAGAGCGAACGCGACCTCGCGCAACCTGCTGTACGAGCTGAACTCGATGGAGAAGCTGTTCCGCTGCCTCATCGCGCAGTGGGGCGTGGCGGTGGACATGGAGAGCGTGGTCGAGAAGTGGATTGAGCTGTGTCATTGATGTCCTAGCGCCATATCGTGCTGATGAGGTGGAGGGTGAGGGTCCGACACGGGGTTAGATCTAGTGGATAGGGGCTCTGTGAGATAGATAGTGAAGGATAAAAGACGGCGGGTTTTTGTTGTTAGCGGTATATATCCTCTCCACTGGCTGAGCACAAGAGGCATTGGGTACGAACCTCGTGGGAGAAGGAGACTGGACACGTTTTTTAGGAATGGAAGGAATAGAAAAGAGGCGATATACCCCTTGGAACGGTATCTCACGGCCCATTACTTTTGGGGGCCCGAGATTCTTGTTTCTCATACATACATACAGACATGAATTCACCCCAACCATCTCTGCTTTTGTTCATTTATCCATTCTCCCTCGCTCCTCCCCGGGCACCGAGTCTCCCGCCCCGTCCCCTCCCACAACACCTCACCTCCTATATCCCTGCTCCACCCCTTCCGACTTTCTCTCACTGCTCACCCTGCCGACTTTGTCCTACTGCTTCTCCGCCAGCGAAATCCTGCCCTGGTCATCGTAGACGATCTCGCGCATCTTGACGCTGCGGAGGTGGTCGACGCCCCCGCTGAGCTCGCAGTCGTGGTAGAAGAGGTACCACCGGCCTTGAAACTCGACGATGCTGTGGTGCGTGGTCCAGCCCAGGACGGGCTCGAGGATGCGGCCCGCGTAGGTGAAGGGGCCGAGCGGGTGGTCGCCGACCGCGTAGACTAGGTAGTGCGTGTCGCCGGTCGAGTAGCTGAGGTAGTAGCGGCCGCGGTGCTTGTGCATCCAGGCGGCCTCGAAGAAGCGGCGGGCGTGGTCGTCGGCGGCCAACAGCGCGCCCGTGGCCGGGTCACGGATCTCGAGCTGCTGCACCGGCGCCGCGAAGTGGCGCATGTCCGCGCTGAGCTTGGCCGCGCGCGGCAGCAGCGCTGGCACACCGGGGCCCGTGGGCTCCTGCGGCCCGGACATGGCGGCGTCGAAGTGGCCCTCGGCCGACCAGCACTGCAGCTGGCCGCCCCAGATGCCGCCGAAGTACAGGTACGCCTGCCCGTCGTCGTCGACGAAGCTGGCCGGGTCGATGCTGTAGCTGCCCCGGATGGGCTCCGCGTCCGGCGTGAAGGGCCCCGCGGGCGAGTCGCTCACCGCCACGCCGATGCGGAAGATGCCCTCCTTGTCCCGCGCGGGGAAGTACAGGTAGTACTTGCCGTCCTTGGTCGCTGCGTCCGGCGCCCACAGCTGCTTGGACACCCAGGGGATGTCCTCGGCCTTGAGCGCCACGCCGTGGTCCGTCACGGGCCCGCCCACTTCGGCGAGCGACAGCACGTGGTAGTCGGCCATGTCGTACTGGTCGCCGTTGTCGTTGAATTGGATGTCTGTTTCGCGGTCCTATTGGGGGAACAGAATGTCATTAGTGATGAGGTAGAGGGGCAGAGAGAACGACTTTGCCGGTCATCGGCGTGCACGGCCAATACCCGCTGTTGTGAGACGACCATGCCGTCGCCAAGTTCGACGAGGATGTGTCTCTCTTTCGTCGTCCACTCCGGACGATGCATTTCGTGCTCCTTGCTCCTGTGACGACTTACATGAGATGGATAAACGTAGATCTTGCCCTCGAAGACATGCGCGGACGGATCGGCCGTGTATATATGCGTGACGAGTGGTTGCGGCGCCATGTCTGTGGTATCTCTTCTCTCCCTTGTTTGACGCTACTGGTATCGTCTCGCTCGCCTTTTTTGATGTACAACCAAATCCAAAAAAAGAAGCTCTTCCTCTGTTCTGGGATCGTTCTTATATCTGCCCTTTTACACGGCTCCATTGCTGGGATCCCCCAGACCGATGCGGATTAGTGTTGACAGCATTTAGCCAGATTTATCCGCAGGGAAGAAACTCGAGGGGGGCTGTTCGTTTAAGTGGATGCCCTTCCGAAGAGCTGCCGACAAGATCGACCCCTCCATGTCTGGACGGAATCTTTGCGTGGTTCTTCGTTTGACGAACACGTCCTGGTGCACAGTGGCTGAGGTTTGTGACTTTTAAGGATCTGGTTTCCTCGTGACGATGGATCTAAAAGTCTGAGCAATAGTATCGATATCCTGCTTATTGCACTTTTACCCTCTGAAAGACTGGTTTTGAGCTCGAACTTCGTCCCGGATCAAGAATTTTCAGGTGCTTGCTTGGCCCCTGACAGCCGGGAGCCTCGCCGAGCCTCGTGATAGGTGGTTGGCCTCCCCTGGGACGGCGACTCAGCGGCGATGCGCACCGTCTTCCGGAATGCCAGGGTCTTCACTGGCTCGCAGGACGCCTCGTCGTACGGAAAGCATTCATGCATGATCATCAATGACGACCTGATCGAATATGTGGGCGACGGTTCCGATGCCGACGTGCAAGCAGCAACCGGTGGAGGGGCCAAAGTGGTCGACCTCGACAACAAACATACCCTGGCACCAGGCTTTATCGACGGCCATATGCATCTCCTGATGTTCGGGACGTCGCTGCAGAAGATAAGCCTGGAGCATTGTCGGACGCTGGCGGACATCCAGTCCACGATCAAAGACGCCGCCAGAGCGGATCCGTCGAAACGCCGCATTCTGTGTCGTGGCTGGATGCATTTCATGACCGGTGGGAAAGCATTAGCAAAGGACCTGGATGGGCTTGACGAGCTGGACCGGCCCATCTTCATCGACTCGAAAGATTTGCATTCCACGTGGTGCAACACCGCGGCATTGCAGGAGATGGGTGTGCAAGACATGCCAGATCCGCCCGGTGGAGAGATCAAACGGGACGAGCAGGGGAATGCCACCGGCTTGCTGAGCGAGGCCGCCGCCATCACGATTGTATGGCCGCATCTCGCCAAAGTGGCGTCGATGGAAGAAAAGCTCTCGGCGATCCGCCAGGCAATCACGACGTACAACTCTTCGGGGTATACGGGCATGGTGGAAATGGCCATGGACGAAAACGCATGGGAAGCCCTGCTTCAGCTGAGATCTACGGAGGAGCTGACCATCCGCGTGGCGGCCCACTGGCTGATCTATCCGTCCAAGACCAAGGAGGAGAACTTCCGCCAGGTTGATCGCGCCATTGAGCTGTGGAAGCAATACAACCTGCAGACATCCCCGAATTTCCGGATCGCGGGGATCAAAGTCATTGGCGACGGAGTGATTGACGCGTGCACGGCGGCCTTGCTCGAACCATACTCGTCAAATGGAGTCTCGTGCGATCCGCTGTGGGATCCAGCCATGCTCAAGAGCGTCGTCGAACGAGCCGATGCCGCGGGGCTGCAGTGCGCATTGCACGCCATTGGCGACGCGACAATCAAGATGGCCATCGACGCGCTGGAGACCGTTGCTTCCAGTGGGCGGCGCCATCGCATCGAGCACCTGGAGCTGACATCCCCAGGGGACGCCAAACGGCTGAGCGAGGCTGGCATCACCGCGTCGATCCAAGCAGTGCACGCCGACCCGGCCATACTACGGCAGTGGACTAAGTTGCTGGGAGAGCAGCGGCGAGGTCGTGCCTTCGCGTACCGAGAATTCCTCGACGAGGGCGTGAGTCTCGCGCTGGGCACAGACGCCCCTACAGCTCCGAACCTGCCTCTGCCGAATCTGTACGTGGCCACAACCAGGAGATCAGCAAGGGAGCCGGAATCGCAGGAGGTCGTCAACGAGCACTTTGCGTTGCCTCTGCTGGACGCCTTCTCGGCGGCCACGCAGGGTGCGGCATACAGCTGCTTCATGGACAGGATCACGGGGAGGTTGGAGGTCGGCATGAAGGCTGACTTTGTGGTCTTGGACATGGAATGGTCCGCAGCGACTTTGCTGCAGGCAAAGGTTCTCCAGACCTGGTTCAATGGACAACAGGTGTACATAGCTCAATAAAGACAGACATCAGCGTTACATGGTAGCATCGGCACTGCAGTCATTCTTCACGACGACGAAGAAGACACTCCCGCGACCTTCTCTTTACTGTTTTCTGCCAGTCCCGCAACGGCATCCTTGGTGCCTTCGCCGCTCTCTCTGGCGGCAGTGGTTGCTTGCTTGCTATGCTCCTCGACCGATCTTTCTACATCGCCGCCAATCTCCTTGGTCTTGTCTGTAGCGTCTTGCAATCTCTCCTTCTGGGCCTCCTTGGCATCTGGTGCAATCAGCATCTTTCCTTCTCTTTTTCACGCGGACTTGGGGTGTTCATCTCACCTTGACCGCCCTGTTTATTGCCGCCCGAGAACATCTCGCCTAGTTTGCCGGCCCCAGCACCGACAGCGCCGCCAGCGAATTGTACAGTGCTGCCTAGTCCGTCGCCCACGCCCTGGACGGTTCCGACCAGGCCTTCACCGAGAGATCCAACGGTGTTGCCCACGGTGTCGACCAGGCCTTTTACCCCTCCTCCCACTGTGCCTCCGAGGGCTGCAACGGCGCTTTGGGTATTGGAGGAGACTCCTTGAGCTTCGTCTTGGGGGACCTTGCCTGCGATAGCAGCTCTGTGAAATGACGAGGGACTTATCAGCCAACCGCAGGTAAAGGAGTCTCTCGGGCGTCACCCTCAACTCACTTGGTTTGCTGCGAGAGCCTGTCGGCCTTTGGATCACCTGGGAGGAGGTCGAGGTCAATGACACGGTTCTCTGCGACTTTGACCATTGTCAGCAACGTGCATTTATTGGGACTGTGTGCTCTTCATAATGGAGCTTCCCGCATGGGGGAGAGCGTGTCATGGTCGAGCTTGTCATATGCCATCGCTGGGTGTCGCTGCAGCACGCAGTGACGTAAGACTGCACGGCTTGTTGCGCAATTCATGATTGCCATGCGTGCCTCATGACGATATGCTCGAGCCTGTGTGCTGCGAGCAGGAAGGATGTCATGGCCGGCCTCTCAGAAAGGCAGAAACTGGGATTGAAACCAAAGTTCCCCGCAATCTCCACGGCGGCGAAGTCCCTGCGGTCAGTCCCAATGCGGCACCGCGTCTCTTTCTGCACGTCGGGATATTAACCCTACATATCACCCCCCATGTATATGGCTCTAAACGACATACTTGACACCCCATGCAACCTCATAGTCCTCAAACACCTCTCCCTTCATGACTCCTTGCACATAAGCCTCACCCAGATTTTGGTATTCGTTGCTGCCACACTTGCGAAATATGAACGGCGCCCGCGCACCCTTGAGAATCACAACGCGATCACCCTGGCGACACGCACTGGAGGCGAACCCCATCCGCCCTCTTTGCGTGGCGAAGATCTGAAGGGGAGATTGCTTCAGAAAGTCGATGAAGGACCAGCCTCGATGGTTGAAATACAGGTGCAGCTTTTCGCGTACATATTCCTCAAACGGTGAGACACCGAGCACACTTGCCTGCATTCGCGACCAGCGTTCTGCGCCCACCAGATTCTCGGCGACGACAGGCAGGAGTTGCTTCGCCTGGGACTTCAGGCTCCATCCGTTGGCGGCCGCGTGGCTGAGACTCGACTGGACGAAGCTGTTGTTGGCTAGCAAGGACTGAAAGGTGGGGCTGTAGTTGATGCTCAGCATGGCCTCGTCTTCGAACTCCTCAATTTTGAAATCCCGTGGCCCATGGTCCAATGGGTCGCACAATAGAAGGCTCACAAGGCGTCTCCGAGGGTCTTTGGTCGCGCGCCGCCACCTCTCAGGGACGACCGACTCGGCTGCGATGACAAAATCGGCAAGGTCACGAACCAGACTGCCGGTGCACGGCTTGGGGCCTGAGACTGCAGCCAGGGTGTCGAGGTGGAAGGCTTTGACCCTCAACGTGCCGGAGACCGAGCTCTGAGAGGACTTCAAGGATTTGCCGCCCGCTCGAAACTCCGTCCGACACTCGAAGGTGAACTCGTGAGCTCGATCAATCCATCTCGGCACCCAGCTCGGCCAAGGCGAGGGAGAAATCTGGACGCCCGCATATGGTAACATTCGGTTGCCATGGCCTTCTTCGGCAAAGGATGATGCATAACGATTATAGACGCCGTCCACGCTGGCAGAGTAATCGGGAGCAGGATAGAGGTACCGATCTCCGGCAAGATTGAGTAGGGCGAAAATCTTGTCCCTCGGATCGGTGGTGTTCAGCGAGCGCGATCGATTGAGGAGATCGAGCAAGGACGACATCTCCGGCTTCCCCAGGTCGTCGAGCAGGCTGACAAAGTTCGAGAACCTGTCCAAGGCTTGGGCCTTCCTGATCGAAGACTCACTTGGCCCTTGGGAGGCACTTCTCCAGGGGCTCAGATCAGGTACGTTGTCTGGATTGGTGTGCAGTGCCTTGGAAGCCGCGTTGGATGCCATGAGCTTGTTCTGAGGGATTTCCAGTGCCAATGCGGCAACGGTCTTCCAGTCCAGAGTGTCTTTGCCAATCAGACAGGTCACCTTCCGGCTAAAGTGTATCTCTTGCAGGACCCACAGTCTGGTAAAGTAGAGCTGCTGCATGATATAGTTCAAGCACGAGCGCCAGGGGTTACGCTCCCCGGGCAGGATTTCGGAATGGCCGCCACTCCTGACGACTTCGAAGAAGAGCGTGATGGGAGTCGTTTTGGCTCTGCACGACCGCACCCACTCCTTGAGGAGATGGACATCGTCCTCCCCTTCGCTGCCTTTGCCCAAGTACACGAAACACTCACGGCCGCTTTTGTATATATCTTGCATGCGCGCTACCTCCGAACTGTTAGCATTGGCAGGATTCCTCTCTGGTCCCCTTTTCCCCAGGCGAAGAACATGTCTAAGTCGCAAAGGCCTACTTACATACCTGACAATTTCGCTCGGAAATGTCGGATTGGTTGATGCAGATTTGGTCAATCCAGATACGAGGCCTTCCGTCCCCCGTTTTGCCGTCATTTCGAGTAAGACGCCGAACCTTGCGAAGGGCGTCGTCCACGGTCGCGGAGGCCTCAAAGGCCTTGCCGGCAATCATGATGGTGGCATTTTCAGCTTGATTTCCCCAAGCATATGAAAGCGTCGAATAGCACGGCGGGTCCTTGAAAGAAGCGACTTCCAAAGTCGCCTGCATAGGTTCATCCGAGACGACCCCATCCCACGGCGTATCCAGGCGGAGGACGCGAAACTGGTCTGCTCCAATGGGACATTGCTCATAGATATCTCTGGACGGGTAGGCCTTGCTTGCCATCTGTACAGTGCAGAGCGGCCTTTCCTCCGCTACCGACGTGTTCCAAAGAGTTCAGTTTCGACGACATTGCGGGACCCAGATTGTGTTACATAGATTATATGCGTTGCGTCTTGAAGAAGTTGTGAATCTGGGACCGTGCCAACCGGTTGGTCGAGCCCATTCAGACTTCAGCTCTAGCCTGCCCTGCAGAAGCCAGCATGGTCTAGTCATCTGGTGGTCTGGACTCAGCCACATTCCATAGTGGTTGCCTTTTGTTGGTCCTTTGGTTTGGCCAAAGGGCGGGGACGCCACAGAACTACTAGCATCAACATTTCCCAGCCGCGTGGGATCGTCTGCGAAGCTACATCACTTCAGGAACGAAGAGAAAAGGCGGCAAACCACGCCGTGACCAGAGATCGCTCCAGAGACAGAGGGGACAAAAGATCCCTCCACACAGCCCGGTTCATTGCTCAGGATGAATTCGAGAGGTGCTGAAAAACGTGCGCTGGCAGATTCGTTTGAAGCTCGGGATTAAGCGAGCTTCGCCTACTCACTATGCCTACTCACTGTGCCTACTCGCTAGGACGAGCTGGCTGCCCGCTTTCCCTCCCCTCCCTCTCCTTCGCTTTTAAACACGCTGCGCCGTAGCCTGATCATGCTCGATCTGCCTTTTCCGAGATAGACAGAGCGACAATTCTGTTCGTCTTGTTGACCTAGCCGTAATCCTTCTTAACGAGGCGTTCCGTGCCAATTTCTTGCAACAACCTCACACCTCGCAGCCAGCGAGCAAACTTTAAGGACAACGTCATGAGCGACCCATTATCCGTTGCCGCTAGCGTGGCTGGCTTACTGTCTCTCGGCTTACAGAGTACAGAGTACCTCCACAAGTACTACACCGCGTGCCGAGATCAACATCAGGATCTCGCCAAAATCGCAGACCAACTCGGCAGCCTTCTCGAATCCGTCCAAATTATCGACGAGATTGTGCGCACCCGCACCTGGCGGCCCAACGAGCAGCCAATCATACAAAGTATCGAAAAGTCTATCACCCACAGTGAGGACGCTATAAACGGGTTACAGAATGAGGTTGATAAATTCAAAAATGAGCCTACGGACAATTGGAGAAAGAAGGCAATAGTGGTTGGGCGACGGGCGGCATATCCATTCAAGAGGAGCACTTTAGGAGAGCTCAGCGACAATGTGAGCGAGTTTCGCGGAAACTTGTCGATCGCACTACAGGCGCTTCAGCTGAAAGAGCATCAGAATACACAGGACGACATCGAGGAGGTCAACGCTGTCGTCAAGGACATACAGGCACGAAGTGTCAGTGTCGATCTGTGGCGGTGGTTGAAGGCACCCGACGCAACCATCAACTTCAATATCGCAGTTGCCAAACGACACGTGAGCACTGGGCAGTGGTTGGTCCAAGGTCCAGCCTATACCACATGGCTACAGCAGGACAATTCTTTTTTGTGGCTGTATGGCTTCGCGGGCTGTGGAAAGTCCGTGCTGTGCTCGACGGCGATCCAGCACGCCTTTCGCCGCCGTCAACCATCCGTCGACATTGCAGTCGCCTTCTTCTTCTTTGACTTTCGAGACGAGTCAAAACAAGATGCATCTGCGATGCTGCGAGCATTGCTACTCCAGCTCTGTGGGCAGGTTCCCGGTCTGGAATCAGACATGACCCAGCTGAAAGCTTCATATAATTATGGTACTCCACCGGTTCATGTCTTACTTGAATATCTACGACAAGCCGTTGCTCGGTGCCGCCACATCTACATTTTGCTCGATGCGTTGGACGAGAGTCCTGAAGAAATCTCACGAAGTGAACTTCTATCGGCAATCAATACCCTACGACAATGGCAGCTGCCAGGCTTGCACTTGTTAGTCACCAGTCGAGACGTTCCTGACATTCGATACCATCTGCAATTTCCGACACTCCAGCAAGGCGTCGAGCATATCACGTTGAAGAACGACAGCGTTCAGCAAGATATCTCGCGGTTTGTGGCATTTCAAGTCGATCATGATCATCAGCTTCGGTGCTGGGGTGACCATCGGGAGAAGATTAAGAACTATCTAACCCAGCACGCAGGTGGAGTGTTAGTGATTTACTATTATCGGTTTATTTCCCTTGTTAAGAGCTAATCAATGCCTAGATTTCGTTGGGTCGAATGCCAGCTTCGGCCGCTACGGCAGTGTCTCCACAGCGAGAAACATCTCGAGAAATGTCTTCGCACACTACCACAGTCCCTCGACAAGACATACGAACGAATTCTTTGCAGCATCGAGTCACGAGAAGAGGCGCGGCAGATCCTGTCGCTCCTATGTTGTGCATCGCGACCATTGTCAGTCGACGAGGTTGCCGAGGCTCTTGCTGTTGATACTGACGACCTCGGGTGTTATGACCCCACGAGCAAATTTACTGGCGGCGTAGACGACGTCCTTCGAATCTGCCCTGGTCTCATTGATACCAGTCTTCGTACAGATGGTGTCCAGATACTCCGGATTGAACATTTTTCGGTCCAGGAATACCTGCTATCTGATCGCATTCGAAATGGTCCAGCGGCCGACTTCGCTTTGTCCGGCCTATTGCAGCATGGGCGGATCAGCAAGACCTGTCTACTATATCTCCAATATAATGAATTTCTGCAACAGGTTTTGAGCCCAGATCTCTTAAGACAGTATGCCTTTGCAAGATATGCTGCAGAGCATTGGCACCACCATTATCGCCAAGCTGACGGCCAATATGCCCGACAATTATCAGCGATGGTTGGCACTTTGTTGACGACGCGCTGTGCGAAAGAGCGTTGGCTCCGGCTACACAATCCAGATCGACAATGGTCAACTGACGTGGATTACTCCACAGTCGCTAAAGATTATCCTTCGGCAACATACTATGCTTCTCTTCTTGGCCAAGACGAAGTGTTGATATTTATTCTATCCATGTCAGCAGCAGATGTCAACGCACAAGGCGGCGAGTATGGCAACGCACTACAGGCGGCATCAAAGGGTGGCCACGAGAAGGTAGTGCAGATACTACTGGACAAGGGTGCCGATATCAACGCACAAGGCGGCGAGTATGGTAACGCACTACAGGCGGCATCAGATGGTGGCCACGAGAAGGTAGTGCAGATACTACTGAATAAGGGTGCCGATGTCAACGCACAAGGCGGCGTATATGGTAACGCACTACAGGCGGCATCAGT